GCAAGTTTAAGGCTCAATTTCAACAATTTACATAAAAACAGTAAAGACCCCAGTGATAAGAGACAAGAAATTAAATATACAGGCACTCCTTTTTTCTTAATTAGATTTCCTCACTGGCAACGAAAAAGAGAGTAGGCACATAATTTTTCTTTTTAATGAAACAGAAATTGTTGATCTTTGTAAATTGGCAGAACGATGCATGAATATAATATTGATGATGTCTGTTATTTGAGAGGTTAATTACTCTTGATATTCAATTGGACTTATAAGGATTATATAGGTGGGTAACCTATCCAGCTTCATACATTGCCATAATTGCTAGAATCCTAATAACCTAATGCATGTGGATGCAAGTAATCCTTTATGCACTCAACTTTTATTGAGATTAAGTGACCATTGTGGGACCCATATATCCCATTAATTTATTTACTTGCAATGATACTAATTGCTGTTTGTACAATGGATTTTTTTCTAATTGAGGGATATGGTGTACAAAGGTCATTGTCACACTTCTAATGAATCGTTGTCCCTAGTATCCGCCATTTCTAATAAATTAACTTTTTATGACATGACCAAAAGAAGCACTAGCTGACACAGATTTGACCATTATGATCAGGGATAGAATTAATCAAAGTGAGCCCTCTAAACCTTTAATTTGCTATTGAAAAATCATTGAAAAACTTGTCTTTTGATATATGATTCTTTATCTTTCAGTATTGTCATAGAACTGATTGAAAACAAAATGATTGTGTCTTATTGATGGTAACATGAATACCTAGGTCTTACGAGTACCCTAAATTACATTCAACAAGTCCAAACAAAATTTATATTGTAGTGAAGTCCAAGTTTCAGAGGCAGTTTTTTTCCAGCAGTGTGAATAATACTAATGTAGATACAGATAAGGAATATTGTATACATATACATACATTGTGACAAATTGAGCCAAGAGATGAAATTCAATTCTGAAACTTGGATTGTTTATCTGATACCATCTTACGACATTTCTCAGTGCATTCTCAAACACCACTACCTTTCTCTTTAATATCACTTTTACCCCAAGGCATTTCAGTAAAAGTAGAAGAAAGTATCTTTAGGCTATTGTCCAGAAAAGTATGTTAATTGCTTCTTTCTGGAAATATAGTTGAATTACATTTTATCATTTACAGTAAAGGCTTATGTACATTGTACCTGAACAATGTCCAATTATTTCTTCCCAGGAAATCCATAAAAGACATCAAATTATCATAATCAGACATTTGAAAGTTAACATGTCGGCTGTCCTCAAGAATGCAACCATGCCTGTGTAGTGTCATTGACAGGAATGGCCTTCTTGTAGGCAGCTAACAACGTATCATTACCTATCAAAGATGCTATGTCAGGAGAAACGTTCCTTGAAAAACCCAAGACTGGATGTCAATCATGCAAATAAAATTCTTTACTTGACAAATTATTTCCAGGGCTATAAGGCTCTTGTAATACTTGTTCTTTCTATGTGAATGCACCACTTAACCACCAACCCCTAGCTGCACCCTAGCTCGTCAGTCCCCCTCAGGCCAGGGGAGTAGAGATCGTGTCGGTATGCTCAACACCCTCACACCTTGTCTGTCACTGTTTGTTTGGGTGTTCTGGTGGCAGTGTGGGTCCTCCATATGGCACGCCCTATCCTGAACCCTGTTCACATTACAAGGGATATAGCATGATCCAGCACGCACTAGGTCGCGCTATCTCTGAGGTGAGAACGCGACAATGTCCATCCTGTCCACCCTGTCCACCCTATAGAGTGCCATGCCACGATGATTCAAAATGATGAACCTTGTAGCACCTGGTACGGGTGTTCAACTGGATGTAGCACCATCTTGTGCATGCTACTTGCTAGACTGTGCTATTTCTTGTACCATTAACATTGATTTGATTAGAGAGGACATTTTTGCACTCGGAAAGGGGTTCAAACTGGTCTCCTTTTATGTGTAACATAGAGTGGGGACTATGTTATACAGGGAGAAATTTGTGAGTATGTGAACTCATATTAAAGTGTAAAGGCAATGGGACCTTCTAAAGGGAGTCTTCACGTAAAACTTGCCAATTGACTGCAGGGCCCTTTTTCATAAAAATTGTTATCAATAATAATATACGATAATTGTTTTAAGCTACTGAAGTCCTTGCATTTGATTGCGTGTTAGCAGATTTATCATAGATCTGTGACAGATGTTATTGATAACAAGTTTTATGAAACAGGGCGATGATAATAATAAGAGGTCTTTTCTGGTTCACACCATGGCTCACGACCCGTAGTCCACGTTTGTAATGAGAAAGGGGTCTTATATTTATGCCATGTTAGGGCTGGGAGCAAAATCTTTTGCAGCTGAGTGGTTGTTTATGACATGTCGATTTGTTCCAAGGAAACAGCCTCTGGAATGAAAAAAGTGGGTTCCCTCTATCAAAGTTGAACTGCCCTGAAAGTTGCAGTAAATATTTAGGTTTCATGAAGACATTTGATTGTCATCTCCGTGTCATTACCAGCAGTGCCTGTTGATTTGAGCTTGGCTTAAAATCTAAAGAATTGACAATTCATTGGGATTTAAGGCGGAGCTCAACTTTCGCATACCTGTAGATGACAGAACAAGCACGCAACTACAATTTGGGGGAAAAAAGAAAGCAAACTATAGAATATATTGCCTGTTTTGTGACTACCGGTATTAGGATATGATTGTAACTCTTGAACTGTTATGTAATTAAAATCATTCAAGAGGGGGTGAATCCAGCTAGTGATGTGTGCGTGTGGGGGGGGGGGGGGATCTATCAAACATGTCCCTCTGAATAAATTTAGTTTTCAAACAAAAATGGTCAGGAAACTGTAAAAACAATCTCAATGGAAAAATTACCCCCCCCCCCCTCTAGCCCCCCCCTCTCCTTCTTGGTAAAATGAACTAGATACTTGCTGTCAAAGGCAAAATGTTTATAAATTGATATTTGTATTCAAGATTACTGAACAATGTATTAATCTCAGGAATTTTAGGTAAGATATCTAAGATATTTTAGATAAGATCAGTATCATTTTGTAATGTGGATGAAGTCACAAAAATATCTAAATTGAAACATGTTACATTTCATCAGCATTCTGTATGTGTAATGTGTTTCCCAAATTATGTACTGTCTGCTTAAAGCAGTCCTCCTTCGAGTCCTTGATTTGTTTGAACTTTTGTTTCTCAGATTTTGTGCGTGCAGGGTGTTGAAAATTTCAATTTTTTGTGTTAAATTGTGTTTTTCTGGTTTTGTCTATTGTTTTGCACATTGAAGGTGTGGACATGACTAAGGGTAAGACTCATAACTAGACCATTGATTATGCTGCATGTATTAGTCAAAAGTCCTTATTAGCAGTTTCTGTTGATATTTATCGCTTGGGCCTTTACATGTACATCTACAAGAGCTGAATATGATTTTGTATAGGGGAGGTCATGAACTGTTTATAGGATTGTTCGTTTAAGATTTGATAATATTTTCTTTTATCAGAGTTATAAATAATTAGTTAGTTTTAGTCTCATGTATCGGTTTTTACATACACATAAACCATTTACCAAAGATAATTTTTAAAAGATACTATTTATTAACATTTTGATATGAAAATAGTCCTTTGAATGAAAATACTAGAAAAAGACATCCCAGAAAGTTTATAGAAAAATGAGCAATGTATAGGCAAGTGGAAATACTTACTTTCAAGTTTCAATGATTTAGAGTGAATAATTTCCAAAGTTTTTTCAATTTCAACTGAAGCTCTTATTCTTGTAAGATTCTACATCGATTGGAGTTTGGGCTTTCAGTTAAAAAAAAATGATTTCATAGGATTTTTTGAAGCTGCATCCAATACAATATAAATGTTTGTTTTGTCTAGGTAGATCAGTTTTTTTTCCTGTGCAATCATTTTCTGTTTGAAATCAGTTTACAATGTGATGTTTGTTTGGTATCCTTGTAACAATTGTTCTTTTGTATATTATTTTTGATGTTTCATTTGTTCCTACGCTGTGATATTGTTTTCTGTTTTGTATTTGATTTTCTCCACTTGGAGGTTATTGCAACCAGTTTCAATTTTCAATGAGATGTTTAATTTAAGACTCTTTAGAGTAAAAGAGATAGTTTTCTTCTTCAAACACTTCACTTCTGACATTAAAGTGTAGACTCCTATCTGTGCCACTAGCATATATTTAACCTCCCTTGGTCTTACAAGCCATTGACTTTTTTAAAAATATTTTACTTCTATTTTTTACCATGGGGACTTCGGAAGTAACTTGTAACATGTATTTTCAAACTATCCAATTCAAGTAGCCTCAGAGCTGAACATACATGTACCTCTTCCATGGGGACTGGGAGTCAATGGGTTAACCCATCCCTTCACTTTTGACATTACAGTGAAGACTCCTAGCCATGCCAGTGGCATAGTTTAACCTCTTTGCTGTCACAACCCCTAACTGCCATTGCCTTTATACGTTTAAATTACACCCCCGGTACTCACAGATCTAGGTGAATCTGATCTGTTTTTGCCTACTGTTGCTGATGTCTGATTCTTCTCCATCCTGTCATACTTTCCCCTTCACCAAGTATCGATCGTTCCACCCAAACCTTGTGTTTTCAGTTTCCTCTGGTTTCTTGCTGAAGGACTTAGAATGGATCCATACCAGATTTTATCCTGATTTGATTGGAAAACTTTTTTCTTTTTTAGATTTCTGAACCAAATAAAGAAAATGTACAAATTTTAAAGCAGAAATCCCAGAGATAATATCAATGCAGATATTTTTGTCAAGTGGCTCAATATACTCTATAGATATCAACGAAAACAAGCAATTTAACGTTTTGCCAAGACAAACTCATCGTCTCCGACATGTAGGGAGTGTTGGAAGGGCACTTTCCTATTTGAAAACAATTCTTCTTTTTAGGGGGGGGGGGGAGGGGAAGAAAAAGAAGGGGGGAAAAAATCACTTTTTAAAATATGAAACATGAAAAAGGTGACTATTATTGAAATTAGTGTCATTACATGTAGATGTATCTGGGATTCCTTGTTCAAAATTTGGTGACACCTCGATTTCTTTGGCAACTATATGGCTAAAAATACCTTTGTATGGATGCACCTTTTATAGATTCCCCCATTCCATTCTGAACAGCTTTCTCTTGACATTCAGCAAAAACAAAAAAAATCCCCATCTATCGCTAGCCGTAAGATGCCACCGTTGGGGGGTAACTCGATGATCGTAGTTTGGCAGACAACTTGTATCAATAGCACCCTGCCTCCGATAGGGGACAGAAGAGCATGATACCTTGCATTGATCCGACGGTGGTCGATCCTCGCACTCTGTGTACCGGCTATCCCCTTTCCCGCTCTACATTTTGTTTCTTGTTTCAGTGTCTTGTGTATTTGCATCTCTGTGTCATCTTCATTTTTCATTCATGGTTTAGACTTGCAGCCTTTGTTCTTCGTGGTGAGCCGCCGTCCTGTCATATCATGTTTTCATGTCTCGCAGATGATGTTTCGTCTTATGTTTTCCATAGTCAGAATCTTTTTCATCTTGTTTAAAAACCTTTTTGCTCTGAATTGAATTGAAATAGTATTTCCATCTAATGCTTTCAGATTTTGTTAACCAATACGCAAGCAGCCATGATTTTTAAGTGAAAAACAGGTTAATATTTTCTGAAACTTTAAACACTGTAAATATGTATTTTCAGTGTAATATATGGGCTCTTCCTTGCATATCATTTTCAGCAGATGAATAAAAAAAGTCAACCTGAAATTAAATTATTCATATATCTAAGCTTTCCTTTCGTGTACTTGCAAGTTGTTTCAATAGAGTTTTAGCGATTATTATTTTGCCTAGTGGATATTTGCGTCATAATGGTTTCTAACTTGCACTTCTTAGATAGTTTCTTTTCATTTACACATTCTTTTTTTATCTTGATCTATAATTGATGCTAGTGTGTAAAGTATGTGTTTGTCTATTTCAGTCACTTGTGAATGTAAATGGCATTTGACTTGTATATGTTGTAGTGAATGTATATCATTAAATATGACTGCAGGTTAGAGAATGCCCAATAAGAAAATCGCAATGCATGTGATATGGATAAGATAAATTGCATTAAAATGATGAAGTAATTATCTTTTTAACAATCTTGTTTGATTCCTGAAGAATTTTCACTTCCCAATTTAGACCAAGTCCTAATAATTCCTCCTCCGGCATGTTTAAAATCTTTCTATAATAAATTCTAGTTTATTCAGTATAGTTCAGTATAAAACTAAAAGGTGCCCCATTGCGTTGAAATTGTTTTCTGTTGTCATTTACAGAGGCTATTTCATTTTCTACAGAGTAGTAAAATTTCCACTGGAGTAACTTTCACATTTGATATACCTTGCTCTTTCACAGCTTCGACTTTCAAGAGCCTAATCACTCTCAACTCTTATATAGATACTTTACTCACTATCATAGTTTACCCAACCTTCGTTTGTTGTGTTTTGCAGCACCTGAAGCACCCAGCATCATCCCATCTGACTGCAGTGCAGAGAACAACAGCGTGACCATAGCTTGGCAGGCCCATCCATCCAGCTGGGTAGAAGGCTATGTACTGGAGCTGGATGATGGCAATAATGGAGAGTTCAGGGTTAGTTATATTTTCTAATTTTAATTGATTAAGTTTTCTTTGTTTATAGATGAAATCCTCGTTTAAAACAGTTCTGGGCAACTATCAGTCGAACCTGCTGTACATAGTGACCACCTGTTTAGAAAGACCACATTTTGTATCCCTTGAAACAGTTTTTCTCATGAAATATATGTTAAAGTAAACCTGTTTATAAAGACCCCCTGTGTCTAATGACCACTATCTGTGGCCGTCTTTCTATACAGGTCTGACTTTATCACTGCACTATAACTTTAAATTGAAAACAATGAAACAAAGAAATATAAACCTAAAGTTCCTTGTCAAGGTTATTTCAGTAACTTTTGTATGAACAAGTTGATGCAGACATTTTAAATGAACAGGAAGGTTACATCTGTAATCTTGAAGGGCAGAGGGACATATATAGATACTTCACTATGCAAAAAAAAAATTCCCAGCATCATGCTTCAATGTCTTGTGATGGACATGCTGTCAAAGCAGATCTGTACAATCAAATCAACACTAGACATAAAGGGTAGAAGAATGGGTTTCACAGTTATTGTCATTAGTTCATACAATTATTGGGAATATCACACCCTCTTTCACTTTGTGAATCATCCACAGAAGTAGTGGAGCACTTCAATTCTCCAATGCCTTGAACATCACAATACCTTTGTAATTTTTTTTAAGAGAGGAGAGGAAATAAAAACAACATTTGCCACCTCTTGGGACTCCAGAGGAATGAAGCTTGTCCTGCAAAGTGTTTGTGGGTTCTTGATAGTTAGGAAGTTGTAAAAAATAAATATTTCCCTTATGATCCCTAGATATTACTTATATCCTGTTCAGATGAGAGGTAATTTATTTGAAACTTCTTTTATTAAAAACAAAAATTGTAGAAAGAATCTTCATAAGGTGAAAGGGGAAATACCCAGAGGAAATCAACATCATATGAAGATTAATCTACTTATGATAAATTTTTCTATCAAGTTTCATTCACAACTGAAAAAACATGCATTTTGCTACTTGATATTTGGTTATACAAGATTTCATTAGACAACATTGAGATTAGAGAAAAAAATTAATTACTAATAATGAAAGCTATATGATTTTCATGAAGTCTTGCAATGAATTTCTGTAATCTGAATGGGGCTGACTCATTTCTTGCTGTCTTTGTTATTCGTTACAGGAGGTGTACTGTGGGCGTGAAACCATGTGCACAGTTGACGGCCTGCACTTTGACAGTACGTACCATTCCCGCGTCAAGGCCTACAACCACGCGGGTGAAGGGGAATACAGTGAGACCATCTGCCTGCAAACAGCAGAAGGTAATTGTTAACCTGTTGAGTGCTATAGTCCCTCATTTTCCATAGGCTTTACACAGGGATGTTGCAGTTCCTGTAGGCTATGGGTTGACTTGCCCTAGTTGTTTGTACTTGAGAGGTGTTTAGAATCAGAGGGTATCAGCTTTTGTTGTGACTTCTGTTGCTGTAGTTTGTCCTTTGATGTGCTTGAAGAAAAAAATCTGGTATAGTTTTGTCTTTGAACTAAAATAATTGTATTAATGTTGAAAAGTCAACAGTACCATATGGACTAGACTATGTGCATGAAAGTAAATACCCCCCCCCCCCATTTAGTTTTTTTTTAATTTTGTGTCTGTTTTTGTTTTTGTTTTTGTCTTTCGTGAAGCTTTAGATATAATCAGGTTGGCTATTTACATAAACACTGACCTCGATTTTGAAGAATACAAGATTTAGTTAACTTGTCTTAATAAGGCATGAAGAAATAGTTCAATTGAATATTTACCAAAGCTATCATTTAAGGAAGTTTCCAATGCATAAAATCCTAACTTTTATTTCATAAACTTGATAAAACTCTGTGGAGACAATCTGGTATATAGTTTAATAGCATCAGCTTTGGTGTTACCCTGTCAAGGTTTCTTCTAATTGCGAATAATAAACTAATTTTTGGTCTGCTTGTAATGCCTAATAATTCATAAAGAACCAAACAAAGCCAAAACAAAACAAAACAAAACAAATATCAAATTTGCATCATGTTGACTCCCCTAACAATTTTTCATTGCTTTTTGTTCTGTTTTACTTACTTTGCTTGTCCATGTGTCCATCTGTTCATTTATGTATTTCTCTCCATAGAGACAGCATCATTTTAGAAATTGGTTACAAGTAATTTACCTGTATAATTAATTTGTCCTGCATGCCCATGCCAAGAAGAACTGAAAAAGTATGATGTTGTAAATGTTTGTTTTGTTTAGGAATCAGCTTGTTCAGTTCAAGAGTTTGTATGTTCACTGGAAGAAGTTACATGGGTAAGGTCAGGCAGGATTTCTGGACCCTATATTTTCACAATTCACATTTTCTTCAACAGGGTCACTACTTTATAACAAATCTATCAATAAGATCATCCATTTCTGAGTCTTAATTATTAATTTTTATACATTGTCTCTCAATAGATTGTGTGAGGAACAGGGAAAATGGAGGTTGAATAATTTTACTAAACAATGCATGCCGAGTGCTGACCACAATATAGAGATATTTTCTTTACTTTAACACAACTACCACATATTGTAATTGTTGACCACTGACCAAAATATCAAGATATTTACTTTACCGTAACATCCACATATTATCATTGTTAACACAAGATCAAGGGATAATTTTGTCTTTCCCTGTCTACAATATCTCTTTATCCATTTTTGTCTGTGTAATTTTCTGTCTATACATCTGTCTGCTTGTCTCTATCTTCTTTTCTCTCTCTGTCTTTTCTTTTCCCTCTATCTCTCCCTCTCCTATGACTGTTTACTTCTCCCGTAGCTCTCTTGATCTCTCTGTCCATCTCACTGTCTCTCTCTCTTTCTCTCCCTCTATCTCTCTCTTTCTCTTTCACTCTGTCTCTGTCTCTCTCTCTCTTTCTCACACACACACAAACCCCTATTCTGCTCCACAATTGTGAACTGGTCTAACAATTTAATGACTTCAAATAATCCAGATATAAGTATATCACTATGATGAATTGTTTATTCATTATGATTCTTATCCTACATATAACACTCTATACTTTCAATCCAATTTATATTGTTTTCCTTGTATTGTGTTTTGTCCAGTGACTTGTATATGATGAATGCAATTTTTTTTTTACCAGTGACAACTACAGATTTTTCTTCTTCATCTGTTAACATATGCCTTGATATGTGCTAAGGCAATTACTTTTGATAGTACAATGCTATTCTTGTCCTTTTAAGTTTCTTAATATTTCCCTTCAAATTGTCATGAATTTTATATCTGTATACCTTAGTATTGTCATTTTATCTCCATATTTTATCTCTGTATAGATTTAATTGTTTCGCTTTGGTGACATTATTGTTTTTTGTAGTAAATGTAAAGGAAACATGTCTTGACCATAATCACATACCCCAATTTCATCAATGCGAATGACACCTAACTGTTAACACACTGGACAAAACATATTACATAATTTGCCTGCATGGCCAAAATTATGTTTGTTGTTGGTCAGTTTTGAGTCAGCCTTGTGATGTTACTGGGGTGTCAACTAGTTCTTCCAATCGATAACAAACTGCTAGGTAATATCCTGACTTCTCTGCCTGAAGTTACAATATGTCTATCATTTGAAAGTTAATAGGATATTCTCTGATAGGGTTTGCCTTTTATTCTCCTTTTTTTAAAGAATGCCCATTGTATTCAAAGAAAGTTTCTGTATTCTGTATCTTTCTGTTGTTCTTCTCTTTAAAAAAAAAATCAGAAAAGCCCATGGCTTTTCTTAACCCTTGATCCTCCCCGTGCCAACCCCACTCTGTTTACACTCTGATTCCCCCACCCATCCTGTCCCTTTAGCTTCAAGTGCTTCCTTCTATTATGTCTTCGCAGTAGGGGATCGTAATTTGTAGGCTTCTCTTGGAGTACAAACTTTGTCATCAATCAGCTTCTTATCGTGAATGCCCATGTTGCTATCCTAGCAACAACATACATGAATGAGTAGATTCTGGGACATAGTCACCTTTCTGACTATCTCTCTCTCTCTCTCTCTCTCTCTCTCTCTCTCTCTCTCTCTCTCTCCTGTTCTACCCTTCTTTCTCCTCCCTCTGCCCCATTCTTCTATCTATCTCTCTCTGTCTTTTTTTTTTCTTCTTTTCTCTCTTCTCACTCCTCTTTCTCCCCCTCTCTTCTCTTCTCTCTCTCTCTCTCTCTTTCTCTCTCTCATTCTCTCTCTCTCACTCTCACTCTTAGAGAATAAGGCAAGCTTGTGCCATTTGAATAAAGTATTTGACTTACTTTATCTTGTTACTAATAGAATAGGTCTCTGGAGTAAGATATAGCACCTTTCTTCAAGCAGCTTAACTATACACACACGTTGATAGGATTAGAAAATAGGATTTGCACAATCTAATAGAGGCATTGCCACAACAAAGACATGGTCGACATGTTTTTCCTATTTTCCTTTTTAAATGGCAGCCTTAATTGGATGAATAAAAGAAGGAAACATTTGAAATTGGAAATCAAAATTTTACTGAGATTTAATGCTTCATCTTATTTCGTGGGAGCATATTATACTGGATTTTTCTTACATGTAATTTATAGGATAAAAGGCAATACTGCTGCATAAATGGTTATTCTAGTGTATGTCTCTGGATTGTAAAACCATTTTGTGTGATTGTAATTCAGAGTACTGCTAAGTGAAAAGACATTCTCACAGTTTCTGCTAGGAATGCTCTGATAACATAATCAGAAGGCAGATAGATGACATTATGTCATCAAGTTGCCATGTAGGATAGAGAAATTTTGTACGAGAAATAGAAATAATTATTTCATTAAGTATATTCTTCTCTCTTTCACAGGACAGGCTTTAATGTCCTTCTCCTTTAGTTATGTGTGTGGTTGTTAGAAGGGGTCATTAATGAAATAATACATTGATAAATAACATTAGAATTTAATGTAGATATAGCTAACTTTTGTACAACACTAATTCAATTTCGTGTCATAGTTTAGTAGCATCTCTAAGTAACTTTACAATATCCTTGTGTTTGAATAGTTCATACTGAAATCATTTATATTTGGATACAGGATAGGTACAGGACATAATTCATATATTTTCTTTTATGTATAATATGTGCATAAATAATATGATCTACTTATCTTGTAACATCTAGTATGTATATAAATGACAGAGTATTATATAGTTGTAAGCCTGAGCAACTGCAGTACATCATCTTGTTATCATATTTTAATGTTGGACTGGAATATGTTTTATTAAAACCTTAGAACACTGGCTTATATGCTCATTTGCTTGCTTTGCCAACTATTCAAGAATTATTTGTTCTCTGTTTTATACAGTTAAGATGGTAACAGCTTGGCTTTGACAACAGAACTCTTCACTCATTCCAGACCATTACAAACCATTACAAACGGGTTTAACAGTGGTGGAGTCGATTGATAGGCTTCTTTGTTGTAGTAGATTTGAAGGACGTTCATTCTTTTCATTTAAGGCAACCCCACTGGGAACCTTATCCTATTGTGTTCATTTATGAATAGCCAGTAGGATGAGCACATGAAATGGTGTTGTTTTTGACTGTTCAGAGAGTAAGCACAGAGGGCAGTGTTCCACTCTGTGTACAGATGGCAGTGGTAATATCTTGAACAGGTATATAATGATCGAAAATGACTTACCGGTAGATATGATATAGACAATAAGGTTCATTAAGTTGAACTAAATAAATGGAAGGTGGATAGCTAATTTGATAGTGATGTTGTCAATAGAATACAAGATATATTGTTTTCAGTGCATTGAGACATGTACCAAGGCTTATTGGGTGTAATGTCCAGATAATTTATAAAGTGTATATCTTGTACTTTGTTGTTGTTACCCCAGTCAGTGGAATCATTTTCTTCTCTATTTCCTCTCAGTTTGTAATTTACTAGGTCCATGGACCCTACCAAATTAAGTCATACATGGCTTTTGGCATTCTCCCAGGTCCTCAAATCTGTTGGGTACTTCAAAGATAAATTACATGAATCTAATTGCTACCTCTATGTTTATTTCAATCAATGATGTATATTATTTGCTTTATCCTCCACAGTTGCTTGGTTCCATCCTGACCCTAGGACAGCCCACAAGGATATCATCTTCACCAACGAGAACATGACACTTACCTGCAACAACCAAGATGACCGCATTGTCTTGGGGAACGTTGGCTTCTCCAAGGGTGTCCACTACTGGGAGGTGACCATCGACAGGTACGACAATCATCCAGACCCTGCCTTTGGCGTTGCGCGATTGGACACGTCCAAGGACACCATGCTCGGGAAGGACGACAAGTCTTGGTCCATGTACATTGACAGCAACCGAAGCTGGTTTATTCACAACAACGCACACTCGGATAGGTGTGAGGGCGGTATAGGTGTCGGTTCCGTCGTAGGTGTGCTGCTCGACCTAGATAAGCATGTTCTGTGCTTCTATGTCAATGATAAGGCGCAGGGTCCAGTGGCCTTCAAGGATATGAAGGGTGTCTTCTTCCCAGCATTTAGCTTGAACCACAATGTACAAGTCACAGTCCATCCAGGATTAGAGATACCCACAGACTTTGATTAAATTCCCTATCAAACATATAACGTTCTATTTGTAAAAAGCAGAGTTAGTGCAGTTTTATTAATGAAATGTCATTCTTGATTGAAGAAAGTGGCTTGTGTGAAAATGTATCTGTAATTGTGTAGAATGTATTCTGGTAGAGCACATAAGTTCATTCCTGACACATGGTATGTGCAATGCACCTTGTCTGTCACTCTGTCACATACATTTTCAATAGATCTTCAAAACTTTGCAGTAGCTGGATATCTGTATTAAAGGTAGTGATTATGTATTCTTTGTTGCTTTATTGAATCATCAAGGGTACCCTGTGCTTCTTCCATTTTGATTAGAAAACAATCAGAAAATGTAATCTTTCATTTGATTTCCCTATTGTTGTTATGTCACTGATGAGTGCTGGTGAGTAAGAACATCTTCCATTTCTAATCTTATCATGTCTACACGTGCAGTAGAATCTGGTCAGCATTTCACGAAATCATTATACCGGTAAGTACAATTTCATAGACAACCCATTGAAATGCGTGTACTAGATTTTACACAGGTTCCAGTGGGATGTCAGTGAACTTGTACTTGTGACAGTTTTGTGAAACAGCGATGCCTTTTTGTTGTTGTCCTTGCTATGGTAAACATTAAGCCCTTGTATTGGACATTTTATAGATATAGACATGTATGCAATGATTGTATTGAACATTATGAATTAGCATTCCCTTGATAGTATCTTTGTTTATACTTTTAGAATGAATTAATCTGACAAATTGTTAAGTCCTTGTGATTAAAATATCACAGAAATAAGTCTTCGTAGCGGACAAAGGTAATCAATAAATCAAGAAGACTGACGTTTTTAATGGCTGCTATTGCACTTTGGCAAGATATATATCTTATTATTCCTCACTATATTTATAAATGTGCATTGTAGACCACTACCAAAGTTATGTCCACATAGAGGCTTTCATGTTTTGACTGACTGCAGATAGTTAACCCTCGATTATATCCTCTTTTTATATACATTGTACCTGTGTAAAATATGTATTAGATGATTTCATTTAAAGGTGCTTTTTTCATGAAGAAGCCAAGGAATGAGTGTCTCCTGCCCTCCAGAATGAAAAGGAGAAATTAGTTAATGAATTAAAGCTGAAAGAGCATTGAATTGCCATGTATGGACCGTACTTGTACATAGAAAAAGATATTTCCCTGTTTGCTTCATAGAGACAGTTATTGCAAATGTTGCATTTGGACGGTGTGGTAAAAGTGCTTTTTGTATGATTGTGTAGAGGAGCTGCACGATCAAAATACTTGCTATTTTTAAATACTGTAAATAGATTATTGCATTGGTTTTTCCATGTCATAGAATTAATCAATGATAACTGCACATATGTATACTAGAGTGACAAAATCATTGATTTTGATAAATGTGTGGTCTGTATTCTCTTGTACTTTCAAAATGCAATTTCTATGATCTTTTCAAATATTGATGACTATTCAAAATGAAACAAAAAGTGGCAATTGTACTTATTATCATGTAATGTCATGAATAAATTGCCACAAAAACTGTGTTCTGTTATCACAATCATTATTTATGTATTCCCTATTTATATGAGTGCATGTGTGCGTAAAATAAATTATTTATCTATCTACACAAGCCATGACAATGATATATGATTTTAAAATTAGGAAGATATCTCTGTTATTGTTCATGGTTATATTTTCTTTTTTCTATCTTTTACTTGAATTTGTTCACACTGACATTTTTTCTTTTTGTTTGAACTGTTTAAAAATATCACAATTAGATTTTAGAGGTGATTCGTAATTTGTAAATCATTTGTAGAGTTTAATTAACAAAAAAACCCAACACTGGCATTGTCAATACAAGCAGGTCGATGTCAAGTGTATGTTCTTGAGATTTTTGTTTTCTGTTTTATTCAAGAAGACTGAATATATATTTTAGTCAGTATTTCAATGCATTTCCTTGTAAAATTTACCTGTAATTCTAAGGAATGTATGAAATATGTTTGAAAAGCTATTTTTCTTCATTCAATCATTCGTATTTTACAAGATTTCCAGGTTAATAGTAGTCATAATTTCTGTGTTATCTGGACCAGGACATTTGTTAAAATTATATGCTGTATACAAGTAACTCATTGGTGCTTGGGCGTTGGAGAATATAATTGTTTATTCCAACTTCCTGTTTGTATTTTGTCCAAATGACCAACATAAAAATTTGCCCAAATTTTGTGTAAAGTGAGAAATTTGTAATTGGAAGACGATCAAGAACATGATATTAGATATATAAGTTTGTTGATCAAGTATTCACTTGAATTGGGACCAACAAATATATAGGTCATTAAGCCATTTTTCCTCCCTCAAGTGGATTCAGTCCATGGCAATGAAAAGCACTGACCACAAGTTAATGAGGTTATTGTATCTGAACAAAAATTGAAATTAACATTGTGTAAAACATATCTGTTAACTGAATGCATTTGTTTGAATCAAAAAACTTTGGCCTTTACACTACTAAAATTTAAACCTGATGCTGGGTTCCAGCTTTTGTCCAATATCGGGTTTAACCGAAGATGTTAATCTGAATTTTCCTTTTGTAAAACAAGAATTAGTCAAATATGGACCTAAAATTTCAGGAACATAGTCTTTGTGGGATGTAAGAATAAGAGATGAAATTGTGGTTCACAAATAACTTGTGGCATTGGCTTCCAGTTGTATAATGTAGAAGCACATAGCCTCACTAGTTTATTTCAAGAGGTAATGATGTCTTTGATAATGGATGAATTCCTACTTTGAAACTAACAGATTAGTTTCTTTCATAATTAAGTCCAGATACAAGAAACGTTTAAATACCTCATTTTCTACTGAATATCATACTGCTGTAAAAAGAGCACCTGTGATCATGTGTTGTATTTTTTGTATATCGTGCAAAATTATATTAAGTGAAAAGTATTCATTGCTTAAATGTATTCACATCAGCAAGCCATCTTTTGAAGTATAATTTAATATATTACTGGATGCGCGGAAGAACTTATTGTGATTAGGGCATATTTGGAGAGAAGGAAAAAAAGGGGGGGGGAGGAGTAATGCAAGACAATAAACTTGAATTTGAATTTGTAATATATCAGTAGGGTTCTAAGGAGAGATTTCTCCTCCTCTGTCAGTTTTGGTGCTCATCTTAACAGTTTGTAAGTGGACATTGATGAATTTTATTTGCAGTGCTGATTAGACAGTTTAACCAATGTTCATGGGGCAGAGTGGGGGGGGGGGGGGGGGGCAAATGTAAGTTTGCCACCTTCTCCTTCACCAGATGTTGAGGGGACACTATTTTTCTCATTGAACAGTAAAATGTATGTCTGAAGATATCATAATTACAAGATAAATGTTAGGCGAGTTCAGATTCAAATTCAGATGTAAGCATTATATCATATCAATATTTATTTCAGAATATAGGGTACTCAGATTAACAAAAATATATAAGTATATACAATTTCCCAAATATAAATGGAGGGGGGGGGGGAGATAATTTGCTAATAAGATAGAATTATAATTTGTCACTATTATATTATGCTTTTACACCCCTAAGTAGTATCATACTTCCCCCGTACTTCTATCCTGTACTCCATATCCCTATATCTTATGTATCGGACTAAAATTCGCTTTGGAGTACCAGAACCTATTTTGTGGAGGATTCTTGCCCTTGAATAGCCTACTACTATGTTTGAGAACTTTATATTCTTCATCACACTCTCTTTCATTTCCATATAAGTATACTCCTGTTTATTACTGAGCTGCATATGTGTGCGAAATTTCCCTTGTTTCTCAGTTTCTTGCCTTGTGGTTATTAAATTATGGACACAATGCTTGTGTGATATTGGAAGTTCAGTTATGGTGTTCTCGAAGTGTTTATTTTCTTGTGTTGGAGATCCGAATGATGTGTTTTTGTATGAGTTTATCTCTCTTTAGATTGTTTGAACCTTTTACATTATGGGTCAAGTTCGCTATTCATAAGAACCATTATTCATAAGGACTGCTGTATATATTATCCATAACGTGTCACGAAATGAATAGTGGTCTTTTATAAATAGCAATTAGACCCCTTACATATACATCACTAAAGAAAGAAAAGATAAAAGGAGCAACTCTCAAACATGTATGCACATCATTGGATCAGTTCAGAGGGCTTATAAAATGGGGTTGTGGTATATATCTTTAATTTCTTGTTTTTAGATGAGAATTGATAGACCAAGTTTATGATTACCGGTATGCTAACATTGCCATCACTCACCTTCCAATCCCTACCTATGTCAACAAAGAAAGAAGAGAGCAGTTAAAGATAGGTATAGTGGATGAAGAAAAAGGGGTATTAAATGATGTAGAGAGGGGGTATATTGTTGAAGAAAAGGAGAGAGAGAGAGGCAAATAAAAGAGACAAAGAGAGAGCAGAGAGGATACTTGGATAAAGACCAAATATCAAGTGATGGAGGGAGGGTGAGGGGGGGGGGGAGCATGACGTGGCTCATTTCGGACCTTTTTCCCCTTCAATTTCTTATTTTTTAAATTGTGAATGTAGCTAGCTTGACTGGCTTTACTCATCAAAGATACCGTACAAAAAAAATCGAACAATTTTCTGAACTAGATTTTAGTCTAAAAGAACCCTCTAAATAATCTCTATAAATAGCACAAACCAAGATCATGGGTCATCCCGTTTATATTGATGACCAGGTCATGTGATAAGGATTTTGTATGTTTGTTCGAGAGTGAGCTGAGATTACAAAAGCTAAACAAAAACGGTGAGTACGAGTGTCGAGACTTTGGTAACGTAACCGACAACCCACCGACGGGGCCGGGGAAGCTGAGGCCCAGCGGTCGGCCAGGGTATGGTCATGTTAGCCTGAAGTGAAAGCTTCAGACTCAAAATCAGAGTTCAGTCTCTGGTTGGTTGTTCTGCTGAGACTACGTCTGCCAAGGGCTAGGCGATATGATATTTATTCTTAATTTAGGGCACAGGTATGATGAGGATTTCTTTTAAATACACAAACAGAACTCAAAAGTTTATGAAATCAACAGCTGGTCCGAGAATGAGGATCGTCCGCATAAACAAGGGTTTCCTATCAGTATCATCTATTGCTAGTAAATGCGGACAAAATGCATCCTAAAACGTAAGGATCATCCGCATTATCACAGACATTCTTTTTCTTTGGTTTTGGGGTTCCCTATCTGCACGCTGGCAATGCCAAAAACGGATTCTGCATAGATCTAGGGCCTAATACAATAGTCTATGATTGGGTGACCAAAGTTCACGGACATTTTAGAACATAGACCTAGATCTATTTCAAAATGTGATAATCGATCTATGATTTCTCACATTCTACACAAATTTATTTATTTCAATTATTACCAAGTGGACGGCAAAGTTTTTTACTACAGATTGGTTCAACAAGAAAATTTATCGTCAAAGAATTTCAAAGATATCGCGATCTAAAAATTTGATGTCCGATCGCGCTGCATCTAAAAAAAGTCATAAAAACAACGAGACCTAACTTCATGCACGGTAGTTTTGTAGGCCTACAGTAGATTTATCAAAAAATATGATCCATCAAAAATAAGGTAATATCATATTCATAATTTGCAAGGCAAGATATCATACAATCAGTTCGTACCACTCTTTACTTACAATTTTGAGGATTTCTGCTCTCAAAATGAAGATTTCCAGACCCTTATCGATAAGTTGATAATTTTTCGGAATGGACGCAAATAACTGCAAAATTTGCTGATCTTTTGTCAATATTTTCACAATTTCGCACCCAATTCTAAAGAAAATTTCTTTTCTGGGTAATTTTATGATCTTCTTTCCATTGGTGATATCAGATTTTTGAAATCTTACCAATTTTTTGAGAAAGCGAACTTTGGTCATGCGCGAACTTTAGTCACACCGCCACACTTCCAGTTCACCATCTACTTTTGTGGGTTGTCTAGTCTTCTCGAGGATTTATCGCTCATAACGTAAAAGTCTGTAGCGACAAATGTTACAGTGCATTCATTTATAATTCACTGGTATACATATTGTGTTTTTAATCCAAAATGGCCGCTTTAGAAGTCATTGAGAGTTCGAGGATTTGGTATTACGCCATGTCCTCAGAACTGGTTTTAACTCGATTTATTATATAACGATGTTTATTCATTAGTATTTTCATCACATGACCAATTAACATAGATGTACGCGTATTTATTCATAAGTATTTAGATCACGTGCCTTATTAACATACATGTGCGCTTGTTTTGAACCAATCGCGCTGTAGTTGATTGGCGCTCTTCTGATTTTCCTGTGCGGGAATCAGTGAGCTGTTTTAATATTGGTATACACACATGCTGTCATTGTGTTGATATTTGTACCTAGAAAATTGTATCCAACGAGGATTGAACTGCTACGTCCCCGGACCATTCCCGGTGGACGTGCTCACCTATTTACATCTTGTACGTTTTGCAAGATATATTTTGACTCTCTCGATGTTCAACATTGACGACACTTTAATTCACCAGCAGTGAGAATAGAACATTTAATATGATCTAACGTTTTTCTCACCTGCATTATTGTTTGACAACCTTTTATCATCGACTTCATATATATTGTCTCGACATTTGATTCTTCGACCTGCATCGCAAGTCACTGAAGTTGATCTATTGACATTGACTGCATCATCATTGTATTCATCTGTTAACTGATTCATCATCGTTGTCATCATCGTTGTCTTCAACATCGTCTTCATCATCGTGGTATTCACCTAGCGTCGATCATCGTCTGCATATCCTACGCGATCGACAACCAGCTCGTCGACCACTGTTTTCGACTAGCTAGTTTCTACATCTATCTAACTTTTAGAACTTGAAGAAGATCTACTCTGAATTCAACTCCAATGACTCACGTAACGTTAATTATATTGTGATGTATGCTTTGCATTGTTTATCATTGTGATGCCTTATTTTGACTGACTGAGTGCCTGTTGTTGAGTGCGTACGCTTACTAACACATATTTTACATGTTTATAATTGCACTAGTTCTAGGCCTATGCCTGGTCTACTGATCTAGATCTGCTATAGTCTAGATCCACCGATATATTGTTGTATTCTCGTGTTGTGCATTCCGTACACATACACAAGTAGAGATTTGTTTAGCGGTTTCTTGAACCACAATATTTCGTGTCTATGTAAGTAAATCTAAACGCTGTCTAGCTTAGATTTGAGTAGTATTTTCTTGACTGTTATTATTCATGCAGTGTGAATGATATTTAACTGACTTGTTTTAGTACTGTTTTAAGTTGTACTGAACAGCTAGACTCCTGATATTTCGAGACTTGTATTCAGCGGTAATCATTAATACCATAGTGACTAAGTTGAGTCTCCTTTACATTAATGTGCTGTTGGAAGTTATCTATGTTTGATTATTAATAGTAACTACCAAGGGCCTAGTGATAGTTTAATTGTCTGTCACTGTTGAGATAGACAGAAGAGGTTTCTGATAATTCTGTAATCATTGTATCTTATGTGAAATTATAGAATATAGAACCAGTTTTTAACCATAATCAATTTGTCTGGATGTGATCATTTATTAAGTGTTTTCTTGTCTGGAGGGATACTGCTTTTTAGTAGTTTAATTAAAAAAGGGAATTATGTGGGATTACTAGTTAACACGCAACATAGTCCATACCCCATGTAGTTTTCTAAAAGTCTCTGTACAAAGTCAATGTAAAATGCATCAAGAAAATCATTGCAGAATCTGTTTTTTGCATCGCTAATGCGCCAATTGGAAATCGGAATCATCAGCGAAAATGCGGACAATCCTTATTTTTGCAAACGCATCCTTCCACGTTTACGAAGATCCTTGTTTATGTGTAAGTTCCTTATTCTCGGACAACCCCCTTACTGATCAATGCAAAACAAAAGGAGAACAAATTTTGACAAACTTTCACTTATCTACTTCTCCTCATGAGTCATGATGTTACTGATTTTATTTAAACTAGGGTAGTATGAAAAGTATGATTCACTTGCCATAAAAAAGCAAGTTATGAAACATATTAAGATTAATATTAGTCATTGCCACTCTCCTCTTACTTAGATAAATTTTGCAGTCTTCAGAATTTTGCTCCATTTTTTACCCATTTGTCTCTGTTTTGAACTGTTTGTGTCTGGAAAGAAACTAAATAGTGTTTGGTATTTTGCGCTGGCCCGTACAATTATGATGCAACTCTTGTACAAGATCATGAATGGAGAAGTAATAATAATAATGGGATATATAAAACATGATAAAATATGGTCAGAGTTAGTGTTAGGGTTAGATGACATAGTGAATAGCGCCATTTTCCACTGGACAGTAGCAGAATGGAACCTACTCAAGGAGGAAACAGTTATGTCTACCTCCAGTGCAGTCTTTAAGCAGAAACTTCAAATGTGAAACACCTCTCCTGCCATAGCTCATAAATGACTATAAATTACTAATCAAAACATTGGTGAAATACAGTTAATCCGGAGTATACCGACGCAACAGAAACAGAAACAGAAGTAATGTTGGTATACGTGTGGATATGGGCCCCGGGAGTGTGTTGGATCCGGGAGGTGATGCAACTTTGACAAAGGGTTGCATCAGGATTTAGCAAAGAAGAACTCTGCTGTCCTTGTGTTTAAGTTAACAATAAGATCAGTACATATGTAGACTGCATCGTAGAAGAGTATCTGGTCAGTGTAGTGTGTGCATGATTCTCGACTCAAGATTCTCTTCCAACAAGTTCTCTTTTGGATTTTCCCAAGGTTTTGGAGCATAAGTAAGTAGGTCTACAGATGTTACACATTCAAAAATTGGACACATTTGAACACTGTTTTGACAGTAGTTTAAATAGGACTAAGGCCTTTGTGGTAAATATTGGACACATTTGAACACTCTTTTGGCGGTAGTGTGGTCATGTCGAATCCTGTTATGGTACAGGCCTAAATATATACTGTAATTTTGATTTCAAGAAAATTATCACTGATAAATATGTACTTCTCTCCTCTCTGTTTGCTTTACTTTTCCCTCTCTCTTTGCTCTCTCTCTCTCTCTCTCTCCCCCTTTGTCTCTTTTAGTTTCCTTTCATTTTCTATAGTATCTTCTATTCCTTGCTGTCAGGGGAGATACGGTTATAATATGCTATTTAATATGCTATTTTATATTTTAATATGTTGCCCTATACAGCAACATCTCCTACACTTATTCAATGTGTCAAATGTTAATTAGCCCATACATTTGTTTGTAATTGATTAATACTATATAATGTATCTGAAATAATGATACCGCATCTTGCATTTAATTACATCACTTATAATTGTTTAATAGGCCCTAATTACTTTTCAACTTTGAAGGTAACCCAAGGCTAAACTTCTTATTTCTGTTTCATGTAAATCATCCATTGGAATTGGGACAGGAGGCTTTATGCCACAGTAATTTAGTTAACTTTTTCTGTCCCTGGCGTTCCAATGGTTGATAATTATGTCTTATTTTGTATTGTGTACACTGATATGTAATGTTTTTCTTTGCCGAATAAATAATAATAATAATAATAATAATAAATAGGACTTAGGCCTTTGTGATTTATAACACAGTAACCTATTCTCTCCTGTAGATCACTGATCATTCATCATGCAGCCACTGAAAGGGTGCATTCTTGTTACATCTGTTGTGGTTACCATAGCAACAGTCATCTATGTCATCACCTGGTCCGTGCATTACTTCACCGTCCCAGTCAAGTACTACGGCCCTCCGCATCCCAACGACAATGTACCACCGTACCCAGGAGCAACCTCAGAGAACCTATGGTGGTTTGTACAGGTAAAATAACTACCTTGAAAATAATACTGTCTTCCATGGATTATGTGAACAAAAATATCAATTAAAAGGACAAATGGGAAAGCAAAAAAATAATTATAATGGGGGGAGTGGAAAAACTCAGTTATTTAATTTGAAAATTTGAGTTATTAAACATTGTTTAATACTATTGATTAAGTTGAGAGTTGGAAAGAAAATATGTATTATTACAAAGTTCTTGCATGCATTCTTCTTTTGTTCCATTTCAATGAATACAGCAATGTGCAAAGTATTTACATTCTGTGCGTATTTGCCTGGATTGTGTTTAAACAAATGTTTTGGAATGGTTTTGAGCCCAGTTAAATAATGAGTGTTACCAAACATCAGTCTCTCAGTATATTATGATATACTCCCCAAACTGTTGTATATACGCCGATGAGAACCTCTTCACAAAATATGCACAAAATTGAATAGAAGTGAGCACATTTTCATAAGTTTATCTGAATTCACTAAATTTATTTACTCATTATGCCAGACCTGCTTTCTCTAGGGCCAATTAAGTACCTAGTATGTTTCCATTTCAATTCAATTCAAATCAATTTTAGTTCCAAATCATTGAAAATTCCAATTAAATTTGAAAATATGTTTAATGTGCAATAATCAAAATTAATAACAAAATAGAAACTAACAAAAAAAGAAGGCGTGTATTAAAGTGGTGTAGCTCCCTTTGAAATGTACAGAAGTATATTTAAATTGGGAAATTGTTTCTCACCAACTTTCCCATTTCCATTACTTGGCCTTTTCTATATGAAGTACAGTTGATTTCTTTTGATTTCATATAGATATCAGACACTCATCTAACTTCAGTGGAGAATGCTGAGAAGGCAACACGGCTACGAGACTTCAAGACATTTTGTCACGAGCATCTGCATATCATTCAACCCATGCTGGTTCTTCATACAGGTTAGATTTCTTTATGTTTCTTATTGAGGATTTGGTTGGGCAATTTCCAGAATATTAAAAGAATGTGCATTAGGACATTGACTCTTTCTGACCTAACAATCAGCATCATTATTATTTATTTATTTTTATTTTTTAGTCAGCATTTTCCCTCTGATGACACTCCTTCCCTCTACCCCTCATGTCTCAAACATCCTTCTCATTTAGACCAACTGTACTGTTTCCTTTCTTCACCATATCTTTCCATGAAATCTTTGGTCTTCCTTTCTCTCTTATCCCATCCACTGTCAAATTCCAGGCTCTTTTCACAGCTTCATCATCTTTATCTTCATCATCTTCCCTTCTCAACACATGACCTATCCATCTCAATCCACATCTCTTTACCACTTCCACCACAGTTTCTTCCAAACTTTCCATGAGCTCACTTGTGTTCTTTCTATCGGACAGTTTCACACCACACATCTTCTGTATCATGGCTCTTTCTGTTGTCCTCAAAATACCTTCGTCTACTGTCTTCACATTCCATGACTACGTAGTAGAGTGAAATTGATGTATACTATGAGGTTATACGAGACTACACGCACATGGGGCATGGAAGTTTAGTCCTAACTTTTCACCTGTTTCTCACCATATTTCAAATATTTCAATTCAATTAAATTTTCAATTCAAATTTTATTGTCCAATCATTGGAAATTTGTTTTGTTTGCATGTCAATACAAAATTTAAGATTATAAACATCAAGAAGATATAAATGGATACAGAATAATACAATTGATTTGAACATAGATAAAATGCGATAGCACAAAATGCAGACTGAAATTCAATTCATAATTCAGACTTAGTAATTCAATTTAATTCATAGCCCAGATTAAACATGAGGGCATCTTAAGAGCTATCCTTTTCAGGGGGACATTTATTCTATATCTTCGTACGAACTAATATACATAAAAGAAGAAAACTCACAAATTATTTTCACCTAACCAAGAATTAAACTTTCTCTTTACTGACTGTAGGTGACATCACAGACGGTGCTCCTCATGCGTCTCAGAATAAAGAAGATTGGATATCGTATCAACAGATCGTATCCGAGGCTAAGCTACCTTACTCACTCAGGTGGCTGGATGTGAGAGGAAACCATGGTAATTTATCAATTTACAAAAGTCTACTAATATAACAGTAATAATAATACAGTGCTTGTATACCACATATCACTACCATAGCGTCTCTGTGTTTATAAAAGAACAACAAAGGAAAAGACAGGTGCTGTAATTGCCCAAGTGTAACTCAGTCAAAATGCTGTATAAACAGTATGTTTTGAGGAGGGTTATAAGTTTACAAGTTGTGGATGGTACTTATATATGAGGTTGGATGGTGATCCAATTCAGGATTCAATAAAACCATTTATGGGATTTTATATCATATAAATGTAGAATTTCTTGTTTTTGTCATGATCTTACATTTGCATTCTCCTGTCTTTTTTATTTCTTCATTTGCCACTACCTCTCTCTCATTAGACAACTTCAATGTACCCTCCCGGCTTCATGAAAACAACTTCTACAGGTTGGTAAATGTACCGATTTATCATTATTTCATACTGAAATCCGGCCCTGTTTCATAAAACTTGTTTATCAATAACAAGTTCCAATAACTGTTACAAGCTACTGAAATTGTGGTATTTGATTGGCTGAAGGCAAATCGTTATCAAATCTTAGCATTGTTATTGATAAAAAGTTTTATGAAACGGGGGCCCTGAGGTGCTGTTCCAGTTTCAGTTTCTGTGTCCTTCTGTCATATGAGAAATACTGATTGACTCAACTTACAATAACAAAAATTACACTACTGAATTTGAATGTTTTGATAAAATGTGGTAGCTTTGTGCACATTTTAAATTTATATTCCATATTCTGTTCATTGTTAAATGAACATCTTTCTCTTGATTGTATTTATTGTTTATATAATACAGTAATTAAAGGATTCACAGAATAAGAGCAACATTTTTCTAGGTAATAATATTTTTTAGGAAAGCAATGATTTTATTTTTTTCTTCTCCATATAGTTATCGTCTATCAAATGCCCACTTGCTTCACCTGAGTTGAGAGTGGAAACGTAGATTACTATCTTTTAAAAGACATCAGCACCAAGGTTGGGACTTGGAATCTAGAACAATTTTTTTTCTCAGTTAGTCCCTTATCTAATAGATCATGACAACTCTGTATCCCTTTATGTACATTATAGGTTTATTTATCATATTTATTGTTACCCAATCCTCTCAACTGTTGAACAGAGAGTATTCCGTCCTAGGTGAAAAGGGAGACGACTCGTTTCTCTACAAGCTTGAGCTGCCCTTTGGGACCTACTCCTTCATCCATGTCGATGCCCTTCTCAAGATCGGTACCAAGAGACCTATCAACTTCTACGGAATCTTGGATGAGGTGAGAAATGTTTGAATATTAAAGCCTGTCTGCACTACTTGTAGCTACTTGCGCCCTATATATAACAAACAATGCCTAAGTGGTACCCGTTGGTTTCCCATGACCCCCTTTTTCTTATGTTAATTGAGAGCTGATTAGATGAGATAACCACCTGTCAGTGACCATGCAGGGAGGTCTAATTCCTCCTGGCCAGACTAGTGCAGATAGGCTTTAACACAACCTCTGCCACAGGAAGTTTGAAAGACCAAAATCTTAATAATTCAGGTTTTAAAAAATTGACAAGGGAAAGCTTGTCCTTCTCGAAAATCCAACATGGGTTTATGATGAAACAGTTTTTGTATCTATTAAAACAAACATTGGCATGTATTGTAAACTTGTTACATGAAATATATGTATTTATTTCTTTATACATGTTTGCAAACTTGATGTCACTGCAAAGAACAACTTTTGAAAAGAATGTTATTTTGATGTGCTCACTGCAGTAGAGGGGAAGACTCCTAGGAGCGAGATGAAAGCTTTATTAGTGTAATTCTAGAGTCACCAAACATATAGTAATTAAGATGGAGAAGGCTTCTGTAGCCTGGGAGTTAAATGACAATATTATATGCATATAACAATTTTGTTTTTCAATTATTTGTTTTTCTTTCTTTTAAATACGTGGTTATCATCTCTTCTTTTTTTTATTTTCATTTTTTAATGTATGTTCTATTTAAATTGAAAATTCCATTCACATATTTATTTTAAATGATCAAAGATAATTCTTGAGTGATCAGTTATTCATGAGGATACCAATTAATTTGTATTATGATACCTGTTGATATGCTTGTGTATTTATCTATTTTGTTTTTGCTGCTGTTATTTTTTTTATTCTTACCAAACAGGGCCTCATGGAAGACCACCAAATTGGTGATATGTGCCACCCTGTATAAATATAAATTTCTGGATTTTTTGGTTGTTATATTGCACTATACCAGTTGCAATTTACTGACCAAAGTACTTACCGGATAATGACCTTGATCACTTCTTTAGGCTGGGGATGCGAGGGCAGGGGCGTTGATCTAATTTGGAGGGTTACCAATCATATCTTGAGGTTGAAAGAGTCAATCAGCTTAGGAGCAATATGAAATGGAATTGGTACATTCTAGATTTAATACATCCTAAATATAATTTCAATGAGAGAGCAGACTTGTTTTGCATTGGAGTCAAGCTCATTGGTATTTTGACTATATTTGACTATTTTCAGCTGAATGTGTACCACCTCAAGACATTGTCCGAGAGGGCCCAGCAGACCCCCAGCAATCAGACGATATATTTTGGTCACTACCCAACCTCGACGATTCTTGCCCCCCATGGACTGTATGACATAATTAAGTGAGTGAAGCAGAATTTATATAATCGTGCAATTTGAATATACAGCATTGGTAGTAAGATTTGATACTGTCAGACCAGAATTTGTTGTGACCCATTAACAATGGATATTTTTTGCTGCAAAGAACTTTCATGAAGTCCAAAAACTTAAGTGTCAGAATAAAATAATTTCATAATATAAAACTTTCACGAGTCTGGACCGCTCGCAGAGTTTGCAAACATTTCAAGAAAGCTTGGGGTTTAACAGTATCTGTCTGATTACTGTTATACATTACAAATTTGTTTACTTAAAATGATATTTTTTCTGTATTTGTTTTTCTTTCCATGAGTGTTAGAAATGAATTATTGATTTGTTAGTTTTCTGTTAACTCAACAGCTCAACAATACTTGTATCTTGAAAAGCCAATTTTATTTTATTTATGTTATTATGTAAATTACCTTGAATATATATTCAGGTGGGCTGTATCTAATACAGACCACCTTATATTTTTGTTAAAATCGCCTTTATTTATTATTTATTTATTTATTTATTTTTCTTAATTCTACCCACTTTTTTGTTAACAAGATAACTTGAAAATGGCTCAATTAAATGCCTTGAAATTTGGCACACATATGTATAGGCACATGTACAAAGCACAATAACGTTTTCAACATTGACCTTTACTGATGACGTCATCTAGGCGCCATTTTGTAAAATTTTACGAAAATCAACTCATGATCATATCTTCATAACCAAAAGGTATTTCTCATTCATATTTATCATGATCAAGGTCAATATCCGTCCGGTCAATTTCAGGTCAAATAACGCGCGCGTGCGCGTACGTCCGCGCGGCAATGCGCGCGCAAAATTTATAAAGCTCAAAATCGTATCAAAATCATTTTGCATACTTTTGAGGCCATTCTAAGCATTTTATAAAAAATTGCGCACACGCGCATGCGTGCGCGTTTTCGCGCGTAAAGCTATTGCACAACATAGAATCGCCATTTTTTTTCTTTCATAATATTCCACATATATTTACAAACAAATTGATATAATGTTTGTCTTTTTATGACTATTAATAACGGAATGATCGACCGTGTAACAAAAATTTCAGTGCGCGCGAGCTCTTGTAATACATAGCATATATGGGCAAAAACATGCCTATACAAAATCCATTGTAGCTCTTTAGGATGCAAGGTGACCCCAATTTTTTTTCCATATTTTAATAGAGTATGGTTCGGAAATATTGTTTCATGTCTCATTTGATCCTCAATTAACCCATGACGTCATCATAATGCCCTCCAAACTCAAAATTTAAATTTGCATATTGTGACGACAGCATATTTACGGAAAGTTGATTGTATCTCTGTAAATATTGATCAATTGTCTTTGAAATTTTGATATGTTTTAGCTGAGACAATTCTCTACGAATGCAAGTTACACAAATTTTCATTTTGACAAAGGCATCAGGGCGCATTTTCGCGATTAAAAGAGGCATACCAATTTTTCACATTTTGCGCGTATTCTCTATGGGACATGAGTTTTTCTCAAAACTGGATTCTACATTTCCGTCTTTCGCGAGCAATATCTCTGTCGTTTTAGCTTTGTTTATGCTGAACTTCGAGTATGTTGTAGCTGAGACAATAAGCTATCTCAAATGTGCCCTTTATTTTGTCTCAAATTTTAGTTCGACCAGCCCACCTATACTTGTTCTAAACAAGTATTACAAATCTAGTTTTGTATGTGTTTCAAATGAAAATCAATAAAATCCCTGTGGAGGGAAAAATATGGAAAAAAAAAAAATTAACTTTCCTGATATAAAAATGCAGTTTAGTAAGCTGTATCCTGTCAACCATACACAATCAATAAATGTCTGGAGTAGGTAGACCTACCCCTGCATAAAATATGATACACTTACCAATTTTTATTTTTGATTATCTTCATCATAATCATCATCACCATCATTTTTCATTTTGACTGATATATTTGACCAATCAAATAAAGCAAAAGTGTACTAATAAACAAGATTTGAAAGACACTAAAGCTCTTTTGTTCTACCCCCCCCCCCTTCTCTCCATTCTCTCCAATCCTCCTTTTCCATCTATCTCCTAACCGAGCACAGAGGTGGGATAGCCTATCTGTGTGGCCATCTTCATGATCTAGACTTGAAGCATGGGATCAAGAGGATGTATGTCCTCCAGAGGTATGGCAGTCTGGAACTTGAGCTGGAAGACTGGAAGAAACACAGAAAGTAAGTTTGTGGAGGATAATTTTTTTTTTTTTTTTTGGGGGGGGGGGAGCAAGTCCAAAGTATGTCTCATACCCTGCCAAGTAAGTTTGAAATGTAATAATGAATTGTGAACATAAATCGACATAAAGATATCATTTTATTTTATGTTTTGTGTGATACAAGCACTAATAGGGCTCTAACTTTGGTGCAATCATCAGATATACTGAAATCATAAATGTGGTCGGTAAAGTATGGAACAAAATAGCTTGGACTTGCCCTTTTATATTGACCTTTGTGCAACCATCTACATCTTGCAGGGGAAATCCCCCATTCCAGCGTGAAAGCAACACATACATCAGGCCTGATAAAAACCCGATTTAAATCGGTTTCCCGATTTTTTTTATTTTTCCCGATTTTTTCCCGATCTTTTTTTCTTCCCGATTTAAAAAAAAAAAAAAAAAAAAATTTTTTTTTTTTTTTTTTTTTTTTTTTTTTAATTTAACCAAATTTTTTTCCTTCCCTATTTTATCCTGATTTTCCCGATTTTCCTCTTATTTTCTCTATTCTTTCTATTCTTCCCCACTTTGCCCTATTTTTTTCTCAATTTTCCCAATTTTGTTCCAATTTTCTTTCTCGAAAGGGGGGAATGTTTTTAGATACCATTTTTTCCCCGCGAATCCTCTTCTTTTTTTTTTTTACTCAAGGGGGGCAAACCTATTTTTTTTTTAGTGCTCACTATCACCCCTGATACATGTACTTTTCATGTATCGTCTGATAAAAATCGTTTTTTAGCCGATGTCCTTTATTGCAGAGTTAACATAATCCTGGCTTTTAACAAATCCAGAAGGGCATTAACTCATACACTTTAACAGTGTTAACATCTTTCTGGCTCTCAATAGACAAATACATATATTCGAATGAATGCTTTTTATGTCACCAGCTCTTTATTAGAATTTTATAAAACTGAGTAAAGATTCCAGTTTAGAATTCAAGGTGCAACACCAAATTTTGATTTTCTTTTTTTCATGGTAAATTGGCAAAAAAAAGCTGAGAAAAGCATGGCCCAGTCCACATCGTGCCAGCTTATTTCTTATCTTGGACATTCAGCATATTTATTTTCAGTCGATTACCAGAATGCAAGACTTTCCTCAATATTATTTTACAAAAGTATTTTCAAAATACAAAACCCAATATTCCAAAGAAGGGTGTAGTATTGCAACCTCACCAACCTACATCGTTATGAAGGTACTTTATTTTAAATTGCACATAATAATAATAATAATAATAATAATAATCTCTTAAAGTCCACTCCAAATGTTATTAAGTTGAACCGAAAATAGAAATTCTTTTTGCCCAATTGATCGTGAGCCCGGCAGCCACTGAGCAGCACCAGATTGACATTGCTCTATCCCTTATTGTTAAACGCCAAACAAAGTAGCAGCAACTCCCGTCTTTTAACGTCTTTTGGTATGACGCGGCCAGGGTTCAAACCCATGACCTCCCGGTTGTGAGGCGGACGCTCTACTGACTGAGCCAACACACATGTCCTTCCCATGGGAGTTGATTACAAAAGTAGCATTGCTTGAACAAATTTCTGATTGTTGTTACAGATTTCGCGTGATGGCCTTTGACCATGATATGCTGTCCTTCACCGATGTCCAGTTTGGTGAATGGCCAGTCATTCTGATCACCAATCCTAAACCAGCACGGTTCCTGGCCCCAGGGCATGAACCAGAAAAGAAGATGTCCCATTCAACTCATATAAGGTGAGAAGACTATGTAGGCTGATGATAGACTTTATAGCCATTTTTTCCAAAGGCCAATTTGTCTAGTGTCCAACTGGTCTAATATTATTTTGGATACAACTCTCTCCTAGATGAAAATGATTGGTCACGTGTGGTCACCTGTGAATAATTTATTCAGACTGTCCAAATTTTTTTTTCATGAAAAAGCATGCAATAGTATTCAGTACTATCCAACAAATTTAAATTAAGCCATGTACGTAGAAGTAAGTGCGCTTATCTCTATGTACGTTCTGAAGGAAGCCTATTAAACTTTGGATTTTCGGTCAGCAATAATGACACAAAACAATCTTGAAATGAATTCTTTTTTACATCCAATAACAAGGATCTAGGAGTTTTGTTGTATAAAACAGACAATGCATGCTTTTATTCATACAATATAAGATTTATTCACTTTTGTTGAGTCTGTTGAGTGCGGATAGATTGTTTAATGAACTCATTGGCATGCCTCATGTATACTATCCCTAGTTCATATATCAATAATTTTTCAAATTTTCATTATCGTTTAATCTAATGACCAGTTAGCATATTACTGATCGTACAATTTACTTATCAATTTACTTATTAATTTACTTAGCAATTTACTTTTTAATTTACATATCGATTTCACTTATTAATTTAATTATTAATTTACTTATCAATTCACTTATTAATTTACTTATTAATTTACTTATCAATTTACTTATTAATTTACTTGTCAATTCACTTATTAATTTACTTATCAATTCACTTCTTAATTTACTTATTAATTTACTTATTAATTTACTTATCAATTCACTTATTAATTTACTTATTAAGTTATTTATTAATTTACTTATCAATTCACTTATTAATATACTTATCAATTTACTTATTAATTTACTAATCAATTTACTTATTAATTTACTTATCAATTTACTTATTAATTTACTTATTAATTTACTTATTAATTTACTTATCAATTTACTTATTAATTTACTTATTAATTTACTTATCAATTTACTTATTAATTTACTAATCAATTCACTTATTAATTTACTTATCAATTCACTTCTTAATTTACTTATTAATTTACTTATTATTTTACTTATCAATTCACTTATTAATTTACTTATTAATTTATTTATTAATTTACTTATCAATTCACTTATTAATATACTTATCAATTTACTTATTAATTTACTTATCAATTCACTTATTAATTTACTTATCAATTCAAATTTACTTATTAATTTACTTATCAATTCACTTATTAATTTGTCAGAGTTTCATGAATTCTGATTACTGAGGTATCAGTTGGCCATTTAAACTTTGTTCTCCTGCATATTTTATCTTACATTCAAATCATCCATTGAAGCCTACAGTGGCCCTTATCAGAATTTTACTATTGGATGAAATGGATATTCAACCTAGTAGGTAGGATACCCAACTACTATTAAAATTCAAATCTAAACCATTTTCTATTTGGTGTCTTTTTTGCTGCAGAATACTTGTTTTCTCTCCAAGAACAATCAAACAAGTCAAGGTGGAGATTGATTTTAAACCACTGGGCCTAGCTAAACAAGTGAATGAAGGACCTCTCTTCGTTTTGCCATGGAAACCGGATCGTTATTCAAATGGTCTGCATTTAATTGAAGTCAAAGTCAAGGTAATTTAGTAATAATGGTAAAATCTGTCCATATAGCAACTAAGAGCTTTATACAATTATTTGTCATTTCAAATTTGTTGGTGGTTTCAAATCATTGAATATTTATAATTACCATTGTTTCTACAATACTATATTAATCTTAGCATTTAATTCCATTTACCTTTACACATTCATGAATGCTGAATAGTATTACTGGTAACTGAGCTCTGCAATTCAATTCAATTCAATTCATATTTATTTCATTTCCAACAGAAAGATAAACAATGAATGAATATAGGATTAACATTGTTGAAAACTTTTTAATTTTTTTCTTCACGTATATTCCTTTCAGGATGCAGCAGGGAGGTATAAAACAGTTAGTCGAGAGTTTTCCCTCGATCAGTCGAGGCCTAACCAACCTTTCTTGTCATCACTTGTCATCATGATCAACAGCTTTATCTTTGTAAGTGGAAACGGGAAAGCAGAAAATGTACAAAATGAAGTTTAAAAGAATAATGTTTGTGTTCAGTGCTTATTGTATCGTGGAAAGCATGTAAATCGACAGTGCAGATCAATTAAACTTAAATTAAAATTAGACTACCGTGACGAAAACTCGTCGTTTAAAATTGAAATTCCCATTTGACTTTCACCACTACTAGAGCTGAGATTGTGATAAGCCCTAAGTAAACACTAGCGCTGTAATCAACCCCACCAAGACCTTGATGAGGTGAAAGAGAGAGAGAGAGAGAGATAAGCATGATAGAGGGGAAAAGGAAGGGAGAAGGGAGAAATAGACACATGCAGGGGTTAGCTGCCAGAGTTAAAATTGTTGTTATATCGCCAATTATGAGTCATTTTGCTTAGTTCGAACTTTCATTTTGGTCTTCATCTAAATTATTAGTGACTTTAGGACATGAAAATATCTTAAAACAAGTAAAATACTTATTTCCTACTTCTCATTTCCTTTCAGGCAGAGCCCCAGTAAGAGTTTGTTTACACTAGTATTACGCAAGATGATGAAGAGTCCAGCTGCAATCCAATATCTTAATGTCTCACTCAGAGCCTCAAGGCTCTGTCCAAGTTTTTAACGAGAGAAACGAAACTGGGGTAGTGATACCCCACCAGATTGCATTGACTGCTGTGTTATAGTGGTGGGGTATAGTTTTAACGAGAGCTTTTTGTAATGACTTTAAAGTGGTTTTATTTGTTGAAAATTAATGCAAACAGTTGGCAGGAGAAGATGAATCATGCCGTAGTTAATCGGTGCTTGCCGTCAGCTGGAAAGTAGAATAAGTTAGAAGTTAAATTTGATTTCTCAAGACTATTTAAGTCCTGCCCGGACTGATGATTGTACATTTCAGTCAATGATGTCATTCCCACAAATTACAATTATTACAATTTCACTGTATGCCTAACATTTTAGGCATTTAGTCGAATTCTTTACAAATCTGGGGAAATGTCCAATGTTATCCTTTTGTGAGCCAAACACTCCAGCCAAATTGAAATTCTCCAGTATATACAGTCTACATGTGTATTGTACTCTTTCTTTGATAACAGGAGTTGCTCATGTGTTTCTTCTCAATAGATCGGTTTACAAACATATTCAAATTTTATTTATTAAAAAAAATAATTGTTCTTGAAAACCTGAGAGCTTGTCTGATGCTTGCCCAGCATAGCAACAGATAATGTATGCAGACTGGATTCCAAGTATTGTAGTTCATTCATTTGTAACGGGTTAATGGGGTATCTCGTCTCTAGATCCCCAGGAAAGAAACATCCATGAATTTCAATATGTTAGTAAACCGGTCCATTGAACCATGCTTTTTCTCTCGTGCAGTTGGTGTTATGGATCATTGGCTTAGAATGTTTGTGTGTGCTTCCACTTGTTTTCTTTAGAAGATACACAGAGAGACCCAAAGCTGGTATGTATCATTTCTCACATCTTCTTTTCTACATTGTTCCCTCTTGTGTACCTGTGTGTATTTTCATGTCCTTAGTTTTGCTAGTAGTTGTTTATATCGTTGCATTTTAGTTTTCTGTACATTCATACATTTTATTCTGATAATTATTTACAACGGAAAGCTTCATCAAGCTAGTCTTCCTATATCCATAGTGTGCGCCTGATTATAGTTGTAAGTCTGATATTGTTACTACTTTATATTTCTTTATGGTAATATTATGTAATGAACCATGGACAAAAAATGATAACAATGAAAGTAAGAGTTGAAGATAAATCTGGCTGTACCCGGCACAAGTGGGAGCATTCATTGGATAAATGATTACATGTGATCTTTTTATTGACAGGTCAACGACCCTCTGTTGTCTGCTACGCTCACTTTCGCCGCATAGGTACATGTTCATGTTCAGAGAGAGAAATAGATCATTGTATTCATTTTCACTCTATCTCTAGATACTATATCTATAGATTTTGGTGATGTGTTTTCCCACAGTTACTGTCTCTTGCCCTTTCCATCAGTTTCATCAAGTCTATTCATTGGCCAGCCACCTTTCATCCTCTTTCCTAGATCCATTTCTACCAACACGTCATCAAAACTACTCTTCATCTTTCACTTTAATATCCTCATCCCGCCCTCAATCTCACCTGTCAATGCCAGATACCCTAGTCTATCTTCATGTTACAAGCATGAACACAATCCATTATACTTAAGAACACTTACATGTAGCTCACAAAATAGTTGTCATCATGTAGTTGCGGCTTTCCATGGGTTAAATGTTTTGATCTCTGATTTTGTTTGTAATAAAATATCAGCAAAAGCAATAACAACAACAATGAAAGAAAACACTTGAATTGATGGACAGTTATGATGTTGGGTTTTATTTGTGGAATACTTGTGCTTGATCTTTAGCAAGTATTTTTATATTTTGAAACCCATGGCATTTGGTTAATTTTAGGGCTCTTATAAAACAATACAATATAATTTGCTTCTTATTTTATTTTGAGCTAATGAATTTTTGTGCAAGTATTTTATATAGATACACAAATTTAATAGCTAATTTTTGTCTGAAAATGTATTTTAAACCTGTAATGTGTTCGATGTTGATTTGTTTTATGCAGGTACGTCAGGAAATCCTCTCTTGTACGGCTTACTCCTCCTTGTTCACACCAATGATATCTATTATCCTCTCATCTCAATAGCTTTATATCCTGTCATAGGTGAGTGAGGAATGAATGAAACAAATTCAATTCTATTCAAATTCATTTAAATTCAGGTTTTAACATTGAAAGTATGGCCAGATGTTAGTCCAGAGACTAATTATGTTATGTTTACAATATAAACAAAATAAATAAATGGGATAATTAAGCGTGGATATTTAATGTCCGAGGAAAGTAAAGATGATGTGAATGAACCAAGTTATACAGATTGGTACTCATCACTGAGTTGGTGATTTTTTTGTTGTTAAAGAATGTGTACTGTAGAATTTTGATGACAAAAACTAAACAGAAATATATTGCACAAAATATGATACTGCAAACTAGGTTCAACTCTCATTCTCTATGGGGGAGGGGAAGGAGCTAGTTGTTACTCTATTGAATTTGAATTCAACCTATGAAGGAGTAGGCTTGGGTGTGTCAACTCTCTCTCTCTCCTTGACTTGCTCTAACACTTCCGATCCGTGTTCAGTAAATCTTCGCCCAAGAATTTGATTGTCAAATTAGGTGTGCAGACTAAGAATAGCCACTTCATTCTTGGTAATAAAATGAAAATAGTAACCTTGTTTTAAATTTTTTCCCCATGGAATAAAGTTACTGCACATTTTAACAATAAAACGAGTATCTCTATTCAAAATTTAATCCCGAAGTTCATTTAGTACCATTGTTAAAAAACTTGGTTGAACAGAAAGGGCTAAAGGTAATACATGATGTCATGATAGCTATTTGGTGATGAGATTTGCATCAGACATTTCCAACTGCATTCTACTTTCTATACTAATTATGTTCAATAATCCTTGGTACTGGGAATGTATTGGTCGTAGAATGACCAAATGCACTGGACTTGCCCTCTTTGTAAGTATGTATTTTTGCTCCATATCATAGTATTCTGTTGTTGATATATCACAGCTAAATACATACTGTTTCCTATTCTCGACAGGTCCATGGTTGATAGGAGAGGTAGTAACAGACATGTATGGAACATTGACATTGTATGGAATCTATGTCAACTCAACATTTATCGGTGATAAGTTTCCAATGCTGTACTTTGTTACTGATGTAAGTATATATGATGGGTCTTCTTTACAAAATAATTCACATCGTACATCATTGACTGGGTATCCGATAGGATATGAATGTTAATGTAGTTTGCTAAGCATTGTGAGTGTCTGTAAAATGGCGCCTGACAGGAATGCTCCCCAGGAGGTGGAGAATGTGAACAAATTGTGTGCAGGCAAGCCTGAATCTGATGACCAGGGTAATAATATATCTGTAAAGTGGTTAGAGACGTCGTTGATGTATTAAGCGCTATATAAACACAGAATTTTATTATTATTAAGAATAAAAATCTGAAAACAATATACTTAAAAACTTTAAAGATGTCCATCTCAAAGGATTTGTGTATTCTTTACCATCTTTCTACAGCTCCTCTGTTTTCATCTTCCCCTGACCCTCTTCTGCCTCCTCCATCTCTCAAGAGCCTATCACCTCCAAAACAAGCATTCTACTCATCACTATGGAAACGGCAACAAGAATGGGAGGAGATTGGTGGACATTGTTCTCGTCATAATCAGCATCTTTTTGCTCAAGTCGGTTCTGAGCAGGTCTTTCGGCACGATCGCAAAGTTGACTCATTGGTACGGTCAACTCGCCTTGCTAGTGTCTCCCAAGTACACCTGGACACTCCTGGTAGCACTGTACGTTGGAGGCAAATGTGTGTTTATAGGTTACAGAGGGGCGCATACGCCAACAAGAACAGTTGGGACCGAAGAGATGGAAAATAGTGAAAAATAAATCTGCCACAGTTTTACACTAGTTTTATCCAAAGAAGACTTACCTTGGTGAAATAGATTTACTATTACCTCATGAAATAGATTTACCATCTCACTCATAAACATTTAATATACATGTATATTTGAACTATATTCATGTTGTATATATATATGATTTGATTTCGTACACTAGCATGCTGTGCATGTCTCATTGATGAAGAGTTGTATGAATTCTTGCCAATCGTAAAATAGTATAAATGTGAAGATTAGACTTTGATTTGAAAGGTGCCATAATGATTGACATAATAGATGCATTACTTGTTGGTGCCAGATTTATCATTTTAATTGCAAAAAGACAGTGTTAGTTTGAAGTTTTGTCATTAATGATGATCTGATGTCGCAATCTCTGCTACCATTTAATAGATGTACAAAGTTTCATTTTTTCTAAAAATTTAAAATTTACGTTACTATGACAACTTGACTAGTATTATTTCGAAAAGTTAAAACATATTTTGATATTCATTTCTACTGTCAATGTAAAGTTAATGTGTGGTAAGATTTGAATGGTTCTTCCCCCAAAAAAAATCTTCCTTTGGGATGGGAAGGAAATATTCTAGACGATTATAATGAAATATCATAAAAATGTAAATTGAGGACTTGACAACTTTCACAAGTTATATATGTACAAGTTTCACAAGTTATGTCACAATGCAAGCTGTCTGGTAAGGGAAGAGACCTTTTCTTATTCTCAAATTTAGCTGCTTTAAATTTTGCCATAATTTTGAGCAAGAACTACATTGAGTTGTAAAATGAATTAGATCAGTAAAATTTGTTATTGTTTTTTGCTGGTAATGCATGGTACAGACATTTTTCATTCTATTATACTCTGACTTGAAGGAACTAGAAAAGGAGTGTGTTGTAGCTGATAATTTTTTTTCTTCCAGATGTGGAATATAGACAAACCCCAACACGATTTAATACAAATATCTTTGCTTTAAAAAAATGCATATCTTCTACAGGAAAATATTGAATGTTTTCAATTGTACTACAGACTTAATGATAAACACATAGTCAGACATCACCTAGACATGTATCTGCATGTGCACGTTGAGCATACAGTCAAACCTGTCTATAAAGGCCACCCAAGGAAACCAAAAAAGTGGCCACTGTAGATGGGTTCTACAACACTCATTTCTCTCTCTCTCTCTCTCTCTCTCTCTCTCTCGATCTCGAGGGAGACAATGACCACTATAGACAGGTTTGACTGTATTTGGTTTACCTTTCTAGGGTCACATTTCAATGCGTTATATTTTATTTAATGTTACAAAAAGAGGGCATTACACCACTTGTTAGCAATAGTCAGTTCAACATCTCTTTCTTTCACTTTGTGCTATACCCGTACAAAAACAACAACATGGTACTACCATGGCTTTATATATACCGTGTTCAAAAAGTTCGTTCCGCCCCTATCTGCCAACTCAACTGATCATTATGACTACTTTAGTAATAGCGCAGTCTGTTACCAACCAAATGTACTGGATGCATCCAGCCTGCAAAAATTGACCACACCTTTTGCTGGGCTGAAATACGAGGGCAAAAATTGAAAAGGAGGAATTTAAAGGGTCTGTAAACCTCGGACATTTAAAGATGGCGCCCAACAAGACCAACAGTAACTTGGAGAAGGAAAGAGAACTGGCCAGAAAATTTGACAGAAATGAACCCCATAGAGAAACTATGGTCTATTATAAAAGAAAAAATATTGAAACTCAATACTGCAAAACAATAACTCAACTTAAATGGGGGATCCGGTGAGCATAGAAAAGCCTAGACATGAATAAGGACCTCCTTGCATCATTAGTGGACTATAACTGGACCAAGCGTGTTTCACAGGTGATCGACCACCAAGGAGAGATAAATTTTTAATAAATTGGAAAGTGATATCTCTAATAATGCTTAGAAATGAGAAAATTAATCAAATAACCTGAAATGCATGGTGCAAATTGAGTTTTAAACGCAATAAAATGCTTTTCTGTAGGGGGCGGAACGAACTTATCGAACACCGTATATGTAGTGTACCATAATACTGTGTACCATGGTAATCTTTTACAAGGGCATGACTTTGTATCGTGCAGGCAAAAGACAAGAAATTATGAATTACCTTTTTTTTAAAGTTTATATGAATTGCAATAAAATGTAAGTGCAATTACTTTGTCTAATTCTATTGTATTTAGTTATTTGTTTTTCAACAATGTACACAATGTGTATTTCTGTTATGCAAGTAACTGGTACCGGTATACCTCCTGGTAGTGTGTAAACCAATATTTTCTGTCTCTTTTCATACTTTCAGTAATTTTACTTTGTTCATTCACTTGTAATGTTAATTATCAAATGAAATAAAAACTATGAATCATTTTGAACCAAAACAATACAAACATGTAACTACATTTTGTGCGATTTTATGTCGATCTTATTTACAAGCTAGTTTATAAAAACACATCCCATTTGTTCAGTTGAATTAATCTTTTGACCTATCAAACTTTTTTAGGTTTTAGATTTTTCTTTTGATATGCTTTGTATGCTTTGCACATGCATAAACATGTACAAGATCAAAATTGAAAATCATAGGCAGCCGGCGTATGGATCTTACTCCAAAAAGGGCAATTAATGTTTCTTCTATTAAAAAGATTTTAACTAGAAAAACGGCAGTTCAATGGAAGCTTTGAAAATGCATGAACCTGATTGTTTAGAAAGGGCACTATGAATTGCTGGAAAAAGTGGGGGCACTATGTGTGATGCCACTATATACATACATATTGTAGTTGTCCATGTATACATGGAGTTACTAAAACTTTAGTAACTCCATAATGTATATATATATGAAAGCACTCTGATCCTTGGAAGCTGTACCAGGTTCTTTTAAATAATTGTAAGTTTGGAAGTGAATATTTTGATAGTGAAAAAGGGGGAGGGCATTTAGCAGTTATATAGGAAAGGGCCAGCACTTAAGTCTTAAAGTGAATTGGCCGGGGGAGCTATCAGAAAGAAAACTTAATAGGCACTTACAATTGCATGCATGCACGCAGTAACAGAAATTAGAAGACATGCAGTTTCCAAAATTAGGAGGGCATTTATAAAGAGGATTACTTTGTCAACACCCCTCTCCACGGCACTGTCTCAGAACTAAAGGGCATTATAGAACAAGTACGGTAATACGCCAATAGCGGTCTGTACTTAACCGGAAGAAGAAGAAAATCAAATTTAACAAAAATTTTCCCCGGCCAAGCTAGGTCAGAAATGGAAAATTTCTCCAAAACTAGAATACAAAAAATAAAAACAAACTAGATTCTAAATTAAGATAAAATAAATTAGTGAATAAATAAAATGAATGAATAGACCTAAATAATGTCCCTATTTAAACAAAATAAATTAAAAAAAAAAAAACATCGCCCCTATTAATAATGTCATCTCTCTAGCTCTAGCTGTGTGTAGCCTAGCCCCCCCCCCCCCCCTCCTTTTTTTTTTTTTTTTTTTTTTTTTCTTTTTCTTCTTCGCGGGACTGAATTGGTGATCGGTGTTATAGATTTCGGCCCTTTTTTTGAAGAGTTGCTTTTTCGACCGATCTCTGCCTCTGGTTGCCGCTGTTTTGCATTCAGTTTGTATCTGCTACCGGTATGTTTTTAGACTTATTGATTTAACTGAAATTCAACATCTTGAAATAAATGAATGATAATTTTGTAGGCATGCCTAGCTATTATGGGTGGCTGTGCATGTGTCAGTGTGTGAATTACGAAGCCGTAGAGTGTGTGCATGCCGAGCCTGGCCGCATCTGCGGCAGGCTCGGTCGACCCTTTTGCTCCGCACGGCTCGGGCGTCGATACATGAATGTGAATATTCATGAATGTCTAGTGGTAGTGGATGTAAGATCAATACAGTTACAGCAGCTATTGATCAACATAATTTATGGATCTTTCATGGAGATAAGGTGCATTTAATGTTGGATATTAAATATGTCATGATCTCCATTAGACCGAATTTTCTGTCTCTTTCGTTCGTTAAGCCTCTTATTTAGGTAGAGTCAGCTCAGTTCCTCTCTCTAGACTCTACTCTGTCTCTAGTTCTAAGGAAGAGCCGACCCTACCCAAATAAGAGGCTTAACGAACGAAAGAGACAAAAAATTCGGTCTAGATCTCCATTACTCCTATCCTAATGAACCTTTCGGAAGAGACGAACACAAGGATGATATTACTATTAGTGATAATGTAAAATATGATTATAAATTTTTGGTATCAATCATGATACTCCATAGTCTAGATCTAGTCGTGCGTACCCCTGCGAGAAGACTGAAGAGGCAGGTAAACAAAACCTAAAATGGGTTTGAAATCCCCCCTTCCCTCACCCGACAAATATTGCACAGCTGCTTCGGAGTTCGCTAGTGGACTCTAGGTCTATAATTCTTTCTTCAATTCTTCTCATAAAAAGCACTTTGAAATCTGTCAAGAAATAAATATAAAATGTTAGATTTTGCTACCGGAGTGATAGTGATTTGCTTTAATACATTCCATGCTTTCCTGCTGATCTACCCCCTAGTATCAAATTTCAATTTCCCAGAGACGCCAAGTTCAAAGATTGGCAAGGCGTGACATTTTCATGATTCGGCGCGCGAGCGCACGTGCGAGGGTATAACACACGTATAAGGTATAGCGTTTTTTTTCAAAATCTAGCGCGCGCGTCGTGCATAAGAGCATTTTCAGACCCTCGAAATGCGTGATGTCACGCCTGATGCGTGATACTTGGTAGCTCTGATTTCCAATCATAAATATCTTGATAATCATTCATCGGATTCCTGACTGACCTAAAGGTTTATAATTATGATTGCAGCATGAGCTAAATCAAAGATTTTATCTAAGGATCTGAGACATTAAGTTACGGGATCCTTTAAGGCTAGGCGATATATCAATATCATATTTTACATTATCACCTAGCCCTAGATGCTGTGTTAAGCCTCGGTCACAATTGCCATTACGAACGATTTTCAGACAATGGAAAAACAGAGATTCGTACAAACTTATTGTTTGTACGGACCTTTGTGACCGTAGCTGAAGTCTAGCTTCTTAATATTAGATTTTTTTATATAAAGTGAATTGGATTGTCATGGCTTCAGGTTTTTTTTACCTGCGTTTTTTTAGCTAGCGTTTTTATAATTCAAGGATGTGTGTTCTCCAGAGACTAAATCTCTGTTTTCACCAAATCAGAAGATGTTTAAAAATTCCTCCAGCCCAAGCAGACAGCATCTGACTTAGTGAATTTGCTCCTCTGAAAATGTATGATACTGATAGGGGGATCATAATCTAGGCACTTTGTTTCCAGTATCAGACATACCGTGGTTTATGCAAATTTCTTCTTTTTATCAGTAAAATCGTTTAAAAAATGGTGCAAGACAAAGCAATTACACATATTTTCAATATTGATGCCTGTGTCAAATGTTGTTGCGTTGAATATGCATACATAGTAATGAATACAAATCTCTACCGTATTTTGAAGCTGACTGATGGGAATTTCATCCTGATTTCTGACTACGGTAATGATAACATCACCTAAAATAAAGGGATATTACATATTCTTTTCAGCAAACCACAATGATATTCTTGTTGCTCAGTCACATCAGAAATTTGATTGTGACTGATTGTGTCGCATTGCACATATTAAATTCAACTAGGTGTGACGGTGCGTAGTGTATGAACCCTCGGCCAAACACAAGATTTGTTCATAACCTGTCTTAGGAAGTCATATAGCTGTCTGGAATACAAGATTATTCTATATGATAGCTTGTAAATTTGTGAGTGAGTGTATGTGGGCATGCAATTGTATGATATGACTAATGACTTTTCCATTGCTATCTTTCAGAGTTCTGGTACCGGAATTAGTCAAGAATGGATGAGCCACCATCGAGTCCGATGGGGTTAGAGGTCATCGATGTGGAGACTCCTGGTGGCTCCTCTGTGACCTCTCAGAAGGAGTACACCCCTATACTCAGCTTTACCCCCAGACACTATCAAGTAGGTTAAACATAATTATTTTAAATAATGCAATCAGTATAAAGTAAGGTATTGGTAAACATAATTTCCTGCATGTGTAATTATATCAAAGGGCTAAAGATCTTATACTTGAGGTACTTGTTTTAAAACATACTTTGTGCCAGTGATATACTTACTTTTTTGTTGTTGTAATAGAATGCAAAATTCATCTTTGTTTTGATATTGCTAGGCATTGTCACAAATTTTGAACAGGTATATTTTGAGGAAATTCAGTATATTGAAATACTGCTAAAAATACTTCTAATTACTTGTGTGATGAATTCAATTTGCTTTGTTGCTCAGTAATCTATCTAATACATATATATATTTGTAATTAATATCTTACTATTTATCATTGTAGCTTGAACTCTTGGAAACGGCTTTGGAGCAGAACACAACAGTGTGCCTGCAGTCTGGAACAGAGAAGACATTCTTAGCGGTAATGCTAATCAAAGAGCTCTCTGGGTCAGTGAGGTTACGTCTAGAGGATGGAGGAAAGAGAACCATCTTTCTTGTCAATTCAGGTAATCCAGTCTATATACCGTCAAAAATAGTCATTTTATGGAACTGTTGATGTTTAGTTTTAGATCTGTTCGATGGAAATGGAAGGTTTATGGCCCAAGATTTCTCAGTGGTATTGATGGATTTTAATTGAAGAAAATTCTTGCAAATAATAATAATAATAGTGGGTTCTTGTATAGTGCTCATGTCTGTCATTAGCTTAGCATTTAGCATGGCTGCCATTACGGCGCTCTAGCAATTTAAGGAATTAATTCCTGCCAGGTACCCATTTACATCACCTGGGTTTTATTGTGGCAAATGTAGATTAATGTCTGGCCAAAGGATAGTGCTGCGGCGGGACTTGAACCGCAGACCCTCTGATCCACTGTCAGTTGAGGTATTGACTTGACCACGACACCTCTACAATGCCATAGATGCAAATAGTTAATAGGAATCAATGAATAATTCGAGAAAGTTTTTAAATAAACAATTTTAGAAAGGATCTCTCCTCTCTCATATTCACATTAAATGTTATTGGTAAATGCCTCTGTGAGATCTTCATTTAAGTGTTTTAGAAATATATTTCATCATAACTCCTCAGACAAAATAGAATTCTTGATTTCCGTCAATTAAGTTAAATTTCTCATTATGTTTTTTTCCCTTATAACTACCGTAGTCTATGTCTTTACTTTTTTTCCATAGAATCCTATTTGTCAGAGTATGGCAACGTGATCCACACACACACTGATTTAAATGTTAAGGAATACAGAAATAGCGATAAAATGATTTCATGGGACAGAACAAGATGGCAGGATGAAATTGAACATTGTCATGTTGCAGTGATGGACAGTGAGATCTTCCTCAAGCTCCTGCAGATGTCCTATGTTGGACTGTCCATGCTCAATCTGCTTATCCTAGATGAGTGCCATCACACCCTCCAGCATCTTCATCCATACCACCAGATCATGCTAGCGTTCAAACAGTATCCCAGGGATGATCGCCCCAGAATTCTGGGGCTAACCGAATCGATTCTGAAAGGGGATTTCAAGCCATGTGCTTTAGAGGAGCACATAGATATGTTAGAGACCTCGCTTCAGAGCAAAGCAAAAATAGCAACAAATTTGACCAGTATTAGCAAATATGGCACCAAGCCTAAAGAAGCAGTCATCGTCTGCAGGAAGTACGAGGACTGCATTGAGTTGGTATCAAAACTATCAAAGCTCCTCACAGACGGTCTTGACCAACTCAACCAGTTTGAATACTCCTTCAAAGCCAGGGACTTTGAAGGTGAACTAGTTGACTGCAAGCGTGATCCTGTATTGCCTGCCAGACAAGCCCTGATGGAATGCCTCTCGACTCTAAGAACGATCGGCCCTCTAGGGGTCAAGATTCTCATCCCCATGCTGGTAAGAGAAATACTGAAGCTTGAGAAACACGAGTTCTTGGACGTTCACCTCCTGTTCCTGCAGCATGCAACCACCCAGCTCAGGATGGTTGAAAGGATATGTGACAATGCCCTCAGGGAAGGAGGCAATTTCTACGACCTGAAATTTCTGACTCCGAAAGTGAGGAGGCTGTTGGAAGTTTTAAGTGGATTCAAACCAAAGGAGGTGAGCCCAGAAGAGAAAGCTCAGCAGAGCACTAATCGGGAGAGGGCCAACAAGTTTGCATCACGCAGAAAGGCACATAGATCTCATAAGGACATTAAAAAGTGAGTGGCTCTTCACTATTCTGTTGATGAAATGCATCTCAATAGTGTGTTGTTGTGTTGTTGTTTTTTGTTTTTTTGGAGGGGGTGGGGTTGCTTCCTTTTTTACTTTGCAGTGTCAAATTTTATGCTATTAACATTCCCATCTTTTAGTTTTCTTGACTGATATTTGTGACAGTAACAACACAAGTTTTTACTGTCAATTGATTGTCATAAAGTATGAAGTAAGGCAATACTGGCTGCTAAAATAGGAACACATGGACCCACATTTTCCTGTTGAGAAAAACTGCAAGGGTAAATGGCATTTTGTCACAACAGCAAATTACTCAGTAGGCGTGTCATAGAATTTTATCCCCATCATATGGTCCATGTCTTGCTTTAAAGAGGCAATACAATTTCACATAACTTCTTCTAAAACTCAGGGATATAATCTTGTTTCCCCTCTCTTGTTCCTTCTGCCAGTCCAAGATGGAGACCTATAGTACCAGAAGACCAAGACGAGGACGAAGTAAGCGATGAGGAAGAAGAAGAAGAGGAGGATGAAGAAGATGTGGGTCTCCAGCAAACTGGCCGCTCCACCACCAACCTCTGCGGCATCATCTTCGTGGAGCAGCGTTACACGGCAGTGGTGATGAGCAGGCTCTTCAAGAAGCTCTCTAAGAGGGACCCCAATCTCCATTTTCTCCTCTGTAGCTGCATAGCCATGGGCAGCGGGAGGCTGGGCACAACGAAGAAGTCTGCCATACAGGTCCAGAACCAAAGGAGGAAGCATGAAGAAGTACTGAGGAAGTTCAGAAGGAGAGAGGTCAACGTTTTGGTTGCTACCAGCTCTGTGGAAGATGGTGAGTGGATTCATTTAATATTGATAAATAGAGTCACAGGTAACAAACTTTTTTTAAATATTGGGTTGTTCATGACACAAAGTATGCACAAAATATAGGCATTAAATGTATGATAAAAAATATAAATTAAGGTGGGGGATGACATATTTTTACAAAATCTTGGAAGGTCTGTGTGCACATGGGTTTGCAAAATAGACCAAGAAAAAAAAGAAATAAAGAAAGAAATAGAAAACATTTGACACAGTTTATTCACTTCTGTGCGAATCCGAAGTGGATTGATGACAAGAAATGCCTCTGTGCAGTTTATATAAGCCTAGGGTATGTACACTGTATATGTGGTTTGTATGATGCACGGTCTGAATGGTGTACCTGTGTTAAAGGGAGTATCAACAATTCATATAAACCACAGATTACTTGGACTATTTTTTAGATCATATGTCAAAAACTATTGCAATTTGTTTTAAAAATTGGAACTAGTACTCTGAGCTGTATCCAAATCATGCCCCAGGTGTTGTGTATCTGTTATGACATAATTAAATGGCTGCACTTTGCATTGACTTAATCAGGACACTTAATCTATATGTTCAATATTTATAATTGAATACCGCTATATGATTTTAAAAAGTTGTTGTTCAAGTGTCATGTTTAATTAAGAATATTTAGTAGTTCACACATGATCTGCATCAAACTGTTCCTGGAGTTGGATCAAGCTCCCTATCTAATGCACAACTATAACTCACAGACAGGCCTTTGCATTTATTTTCTGTGATATTACTACAGTACCAAATCTATTAAAGAATAGCTCCAAGAATATTTAGTCTGTGATGGCTTAAATGTAAATTGTATGTTATCCATTTGAACGTTACAGGTGTGGAACTCCCCCGCTGCAATGGCTGCAACCTTGTGGTGCGGTTTGATCGCCCTACCAGCTACCAGTCTTATATGCAATCCAAGGCCAAGGCCAGGGCACCTACATCGCACTACCTCATGCTCATATATGAGCCGGATGTACAACTATTCCTTGTAGACGTGCAGTGCTACCAGGAGTTTGAAAGGGTGAGTGATGTCTCTTTGACCTTTGCAGGAAATCACCAAAAATCATGAGAGTGCCTCTCGTAATCAAGAGAATGAAATCATTATTGGGGCAACTCCAGGCCAAGGTTAATACAGTATTCAAGATATAGAGGGACCTGGGCCCCGTTTCACAAAACATGTCATCAGTGACAAATGACAGTCTCTGTTATAAGCTACTGAAATCCTTGCTTCTGATTGGTTATAGGCAGATTTGTCACTGATTTTTGTCATTTGTCATTGAAAAAAGGCTTTGTGAAACAGGTTCCAGGCCTTGTAGGGTCCCTTTAAGAACATTCATAAGCACCAGCTCAATTACACATGGACGTGACAAGTCAAGTGTGTTCCTGTCATTGTGATGATCATGGATGTTCAAAAACATTTCCTGTTTGGCTGAAAGTTCAGAGACAGTGCAAGATACAGATGAGAAATAGTGCTTTAAAAAAGCCATGGCAAAAAGAGGGCTGCTGATTAGGAAGTAATGTGTCTCTTGGGAATTTATTCTGGTGAGATGCAGTTTCTATCTAGAGCTGATGCAGTATTCAAAGGGAGTTCTCTTCGTATTGGGACGCGTTTCCTGATGGGAAGCTAGGACTCTGTGTATTTTGTATATGGATTTTCAGCTGTAGGAGCAAGAGATGTTGCGTTTAAATGTTGTTGGGTGTTTGCTTAGCAGAGCTCAAGTCTGCTTGCTTCCTGTCAGATTTGCTAAGAAAAAAGCCAAGAAGCCACAGAAGGTGAAGGTAGGGAAGGCATTGAAGGCAAGTGATGATTTTATTTGTAGTAAAACTACAAGTTAAGTGTGGCATAACTTGCTTTGAACATCTGTTAGTAAAATGTTGTACACCATCTTATTGATGTTGTTAGTGTGTTGTGTAGGTTAATGTGTTTCATACAGTACACATACAAGCATATACTTGCTTTCCCAATCCAGTCAAATTGAAAATTAATCCCTGATTTTGGACTTGTCAATATCAACCATTATTATATGTGATAATTAAGTGAAGATTATTACAGATTTTGCAAAATTTTATTGTATTTTCCTCTGATTGTGCTGCTGAATTAAAAAATGATAAAGTATTGCGCAATACTTCAGGTATGAAAGCCAGGCATTGTGCAATACACCAACCAAGGTGCGTGCATCGGGCGATATTGCGCAATACTTCAGGTTGAATAGGAATAAAAGCCAAACATTGCGCAATACACGAACCAAGGTGCATGAGGTGATATTGCGCAATACTTCGGGTTGACGAGGAATGAAAGCTGGCCATTGCGCAATACACCAACAAAGCTGCATGCACCTAGATGATATTGCGCAATACCTTCACCAATGGTTTACAGGACGAGAGGATATTGCGCAATACTTGTGAACAATCTATTATTGTTGGCTTTTGGCAATGTGCCAGAGCTGCTGAAGGAGTCTTTGTTATTTTTAAGTGATAAGGCCTTAAAAAAAATGTTGTATTGCCCTTTAGGTGCCAAAACAGGGCAGTCGGTCGGAAATCTTCTTTTTTTTTAAAACTTTTTTTTCTCCCTCTTTGGGCTGATATTTTTCAGTTCTCAATATTTTTTATGCCTCCGCCACCGAAGGTGGTGCCGGAGGCATCATGTTTTCGGGTTGTCCGTCCGTACGTCCGTCCCATTTGACCGTTATCACAATATCTCAAGAACCATTTAAGATTTAAACTTAAGACTCGGGAATAGTATTTATCACCATAGGAAGACGATCTGATTAGATTTTGGAGTACGTAGGTCAAAGGTCACAGGTCACAGAGGTCAACTTATGAAATTCCTTGTATTGAGTTTGTTAGCGCGATATCTCAAGAACCATTTGAGATTTAAACTTCAAACTTAAGGATAGTATGTATCACCATAGGAAGACGATCTGATTAGATTTTGGAGCACGTATGTCAAAGGTCAAGGGTCACAGAGGTCAACTTATGAAATTCCATACATTGAGATTGTTATCATGATATCTCAAGAACCACTGGAGATTTAAACTTCAAACTTAGTGATAGTGTGTATCACTATAGGAAAACAATCTGATTACATTTTGGAGCACGTAGGTCAAAGGTCAAGGGTCATAGAGGTCAACTTATGAAATTCCATACATTGAGATTGTTATCATGATATCTCAAGAACCACTGGAGATGTAAAAACTTCAAACTTAAGGATAGTATGTATCACCATAGGAAGACGATCTGATTAGATTTTGGAGCACGTAGGTCAAAGGTCAAGGGTCACAGAGGTCAACTTATGAAATTCCATACATTGAGATTGTTATCATAATATCTGAAGAACCACTGGAGATTTAAACTTCAAACTTAATGATAGTGTGTATCACCATAGGAAGACAATCTGATTAGATTTTGGAGCACGTAGGTCAAGGGTCACAGAGGTCAACTTATGAAATTTCATACATTGAGATCGTTATCGCGATATCTCAAGAACCACTGGAGAATTTTCACTTCAAACTTAATGATAGTATTTATCACCATAGGAAGACGATCTGATTAGATTTTGGAGTACGTAGGTCAAAGGTCACAGGTCACAGAGGTCAACTTATGAAATTCCTTGTATTGAGTTTGTTAGCGCGATATCTCAAGAACCATTTGAGATTTAAACTTCAAACTTAATGATAGTGTGTATCACCATAGGAAGACAATCTGATTAGATTTTGGAGCACGTAGGTCAAAGGTCAAGGGTCACAGAGGTCAACTTATGAAATTCCATACATTGAGATTGTTATCATGATATCTCAAGAACCACTGGAGATTTAAACTCCAAACTTGTTTAAATTGCTCTATGGCGGAGGCATCATTTTCGACTGCGCGCAGTCAAAATTCCATCTAGTTTTTCTCGAAAAAACATTTTTTTTTTTTTTTTTTTTTTTTTTAAAGAGCCAACCGTTGATTTCAAGATATTTTGGTTGTCGCAAAGGGCATTACAACATTTTTTTTTTAAAGGCCTAACAGAAAGAAAGAATTTATCTTTTGAAAGAGTTATACATATTGCAACATACAAGTTGAACTATGCACATTATTTTTTCTCATATTGCGCAATACCTTCACCAACGGTATATAGGATGAGAGGGTATTACGCAATTCTTTTGAATGCATAATCTGTTATTGTTGGCTTTTGGCACTATGCCAGATTGCCAGAGCTGCTAAAAGAGGCATTGTTATTGTTCAGAGATGTTTGTTAAAGGGAGCATAGAGAAATTTATGTCAAATTACAGAAGAAATGAATTTATTAAATGTTGTAATAGATTGATTGATGAAAATGAATGCACCTCCCGAATTGTGATTTGCTTGTTGAGACTGAGTGTCACTTTATTCACTCATGGTAATATCCCTCCCCTCCCCAAAAAAATTGTACTAATTAAAATATTGATACATATTGCAACATAGAAGTTGAATTATGCACATTATATTTTCTCATTTTGGAAAAAAACAGATAGTCTGTCAGCATAGGTTGTAAAATACACTTTGTTTTTTAATAATTGGCATGATTAAGAATAGTAACAGTTCATGATTTTGAAAGCGCTATACATAGAATTGCCCAAATCTTTAAATCATTAGATTGTGAAACATAGTTTCATACCAAAATGTTCCCAGGAAAAATATTTTTCACGATACATTTTTCTTTTTAAAATTGTATTGGACTTGCTTGCCAGTCAAGTCACAACCTTGTATTATGTTTATCTGTAAAGAGCTTCTAATCCATCATCACCATTTGTTCATGTATAGGTCCTGAATAGGAAGAGTAAAGGTAAGACCCAGCCGCAAGAAGAGGTATTAGACCTCCTGGTAGCTGACAAACAGATGCCTGCATACATCCCCAAGAATGAGGAAGGGTCACCCAGGGCCTCGATGACCACTGCCATCCAGATTATAAACAGGTAAAATGAATATAAGCTAAGCTAATCTAATCTAATCTAATCTAATCTAAATTAATCTAAGCTAACCCAAGCTAATCAAATGTAACCCAAGCTTATCTAAGCTAAGCTAATCTAAGCTTTAAGCTAAGCTGAGCTGAGCTAAAATTATCGTATTTAAGGTGAGCTAATCTAATCTAAGCTTAGTTAATCTAAGCTAAGCTAATCTAAGCAAAGATAGGTGACATGGAGTAGCCAGAATCTGTATTCAATGAAGTTTATCATATGGGATTGACATAAAGATGAGAATTTTTTAACTTTTTGCCTTTTTCTCATCTTTCTTCGACTCTGACCACCCATAGATACTGTGCCAAGCTGCCTAGTGATGTGTTCACCCATCTGACTGCCTCCTGTAAGATGAAGGAGAGAAAGGGTGATGTTAGCCCAGAGTTCCAGGCCACTCTTCAGCTGCCCATCAACTCGCCCATCAGGAAACCCATTACAGTGAGTTCCATTCTAGGATAGTGTAGGTAGTGTGGTATAGGTAGCAAAGATCACTTGGTAGGAAACCCATTACAGTGAGTTCCATTCTAGGATGATGTAGGTAACATGGTATAGGTAGCAAAGATCACTTGGTAGGAAACCCATTACAGTGAGTCCCATTCTAGGATGGCGTAGGTAGCATGGTATAGGTAGAAAAGATCACTTGGTAGGAATCCCATTACAGTGAGTCCCATTCTAGGATGGTGTAGGTAACATGGTATAGGTAGCAAAGATCACTTGGTAGGAAACCCATTACAGTGAGTCCCATTCTAGGATGGTGTAGGTAACATGGTATAGGTAGCAAAGATCACTTGGCAGGAATCCCATTACAGTGAGTCCCATTCTAGGATGGTGTAGGTAACATGGTATAGGTAGCAAAGATCACTTGGTAGGAATCCCATTACAGTGAGTCCCATTCTAGGATGGTGTAGGTAACATGGTATAGGTAGCAAAGATCACTTGGTAGGAAACCCATTACAGTGAGTCCCATTCTAGGATGGCGTAGGTAGCATGGTATAGGTAGCAAAGATCACTTGGTAGGAAACCCATTACAGTGAGTCCCATTCTAGGATGGTGTAGGTAGCGTGGTATAGGTAGCAAAGATCACTTGGTAGGAAACCCATTACAGTGAGTCCCATTCTAGGATGGTGTAGGTAACATGGTATAGGTAGCAAAGATCACTTGGCAGGAATCCCATTACAGTGAGTCCCATTCTAGGATGGTGTAGGTAACATGGTATAGGTAGCAAAGATCACTTGGTAGGAATCCCATTACAGTGAGTCCCATTCTAGGATGGTGTAGGTAACATGTTATAGGTAGCAAAGATCACTGTCCAGGAAACCCATTACAGTGAGTCCCATTCTAGGATGGTTTAGGTAGGCTGGTATAGGTAGCATTAGATCAATGTCTTGCCAAAAGACATTAGTGCCGCAGCGGGACTTGAACCGTGGACCTTGTGATCCACAGTCCAGTGACATATCCACTCGACCACGATACCTCTACAACTCTTTAGGGTATTGAGTGGCAAATTTAGATTAATGCCTTGCAAAAGGACATTAGTGCCATGTCGGGGTTTGAACCAACAACCTTTGAATTTCAAGTTAAACCACTCGACTTTGGCACTTATAGATGATTAAAAAGTAGTTTTGTGCAGTAAAAGTCCCTATTACAGTGTAGTTACTGATCCAAGTGTAAGACACAGTAATGTGAAGCACTCCTTTGTTTTCATATAGAAAATATGGATGTCGATGCATGCATATCATTCTAATAGGATTAAAGATCTAGTATTTGCAGCTGCATTTTGGTTGTTGAAAGGTGGTGCATTGAAAACAGTAATATGGGCATTTTCTTTTTCTTTTGTTTTTTAACAATTCATTTCAATCTCTCTCAATCAAGTAATAGAAATCCTTTTTATTTTATTTGTTTTGTAGGGTCCATGGATGAAGCGCAAGAAGTGGGCCACGATGGCAGTGGCTGTCAAAGCTGCTACGATTCTACATAAAGCAGGTAAACATGTGATGATTGTGATTCTTACATTATTAAAGTATGTCTCTATGTTTTAGATGGGTAGAGAGATAGATAAATGGTTAAATATATAGATAGATAGATAGATAGATGAATAGATAGAAGATGGGTAGATAGATAGATAGATGGATAGGTAGATAAATTAATAGATAGCTGGATAGATAACTGAGCAGATATATAAAAGATAGATATATAGATAGTAAGATGGATAGGAAGATAGATAAATAGATAGGCAGATCAATAGATATTAGGTAGATAGTAGACAGATAACGAGATACTTAGATAAATCTTTAGATAGTGGATAGGAGATAGATAGGTTGATAGATAGATAGATATATAGATAAATAAATAGGAGGTAGGTAGGTAGATAGATACATGAATAGATCATTCTCAGATGCAGTATTTTAATTATAGTCATATATGCTATTGTATTCTTCAGGAGAGTTGAATGACTACCTGCAGCCAATGGGGAAGGAATCGATCCTGAAGGCAACTGATAATGCTTTCAATCATCTGTTTGCTGATGGCCAGACACGACCAGGAACAACTAAGAAGAGACAGTACTATGATAAAGAGGTAAATATTCCTCCTCCCCTCCTCCATCTTTTCTTCTTTGACCTAAGATTTTTTTTTTTTCTAATTGGAAAGAAGGTCTACATTCAACATGCCAGTGATGAAAACATTGTGTAAAAACACACAAGAAGTTAAATAGCAAGAAGCTAAATCAAGTCACTCATTCTACATCAGTACCATGGCAGTGTTATCTTTAATTGTTCATTCATGAAAGGTTTTGAAGCCAGAATCAGGAAATGGAAACACCTCTTCAACAAAAATGATTTGATGCACAGTGTGACAGTCGAATGTTCAGAAAGTTTTATTTGGGAAGAGTCCGTTTCTTTATTGGTACAAGGCTTGCTATGTGATTGTCTGTAGCACATACTCCTTTTTTTCCTTTTTTCTGAGCAAAGCTTGACTGTTCTAAACTAAAAATGTTCCAGAACTGCTATTTTTTGCTGAGAAAAAGAAACTATTTAAGGGATGCAGCCTACACTCTCAAATCTATGCATGATCCTCTTTGACCAGGTTGCCAAGTGCCTGCTGGGATGCCCTCCCCAAGCTGATCAACCTTGCTACCTGTACAGCGTTGACATGACCCTTGCCTCTCAGAAATAGAAATTGCAAAAGAAAATGAAAATAATACAATGTATTATGAACCAAACATGTCCCAGAACTCTGATTTTTAGCTGAATGTAGCCGTACATTATTAACTCTCTGCATGTTCCTGTTTGGTTAGGTTGCCAAGTGCCTGCAGGAATGCCTTCCACAAGCAGATCAACCTTGCTACCTGTACAGCGTTGACATGAGCCTGGCCTCACCTCTACCAGACATCCTCAACATCCGGGAGAGGAGACTCCACAGACCAGAGGAAACCCAGCAGTGCTTTGGCATCATCACCTCAAAGCAAATACCAAAGGCAAGTCATTGGTTATGGATCCTCTGGGATCGTATTCTGAAAACGATGCTATCCTTTAAGTTTGTAAAACAAAGTTCAAGTTCAAGTTCAAGTTTCAAGTTTATTTTTCTTCCAGAAATCACATGTAACAAAATATAACAGTACAGTGTAGAATAAAGAAAGACGGGGAGACCTTGGTTGAAGCACAGCTTGTTAAGTTAAGGCCCCTCAGATGATGTGACAAAGATAACTGATTCATGAATACAACAACAAATAATATATGGAAGATATAAAGCTATTTACCCAACGATGCATCGACCATAGCATCTATTTTCATAACAAATCAAAATTAGGCCAAGTCATTGGCTAATGTCTGTGCAATGCAGGGTGTGTTCACGTAAAGTCTAAAGAGCCATCAGTGCAAGTGCCAATGATAAGCTTTGAGTTTTTGCAAATTCAAATTGTTATGACAATTAACGATGTCACTTAAACTGTTCTAGTAGGGATGGAAATTATTACTAGAAATATATAACTGAACAATGAACATGAAAAAGTATGGATCTAGTCATCAGGCACCTTGCCCATGTTTTATGCAGTCCAGTGGAACTGTGTTCTGGTATTTGTGGCTTTTAGCAAGTTCTTGTAATTGTGCTTTACACTGGTTCAAACAAAGCTGTTTCACCTGTCTTGCTTTCTTTATGATCATCGATTGAGCATGAATTTTCACAAGTTTCTCTTGAAAGGCTTTTTAAAAAAATATGGTAAACTCATTGGACATGATTGTTTGGTGTGACACAGGGCAGGTATTCAACATGTTAAGAATTTTGAATTGATTCTATTTAGCATTTCTATTCACCCAGGTCCCTGGATTTCCAGTCTACACCCGAGCAGGGGAGCTCGCCGTCTCCATCACGCTTGAGTCTGATGTAATTCGACTAAGTGGCTCCCAGATCAGGAGAGCCCAGTCCTTCCATGGCTGCATGTTCTCTGAAGTGCTACGCCTGGACAAACCCAACCTAGAGCTGAACCCGGAGAAGAGTCAAGCAAACTACCTTATCGTGCCTCTCAAAGAAGGTGAAAGAGTGCAAAAACTGATGTTTCAGATATAGTTAGTTTGTACTTCAATCCAAATATATCTTCTTCACTCATTGACTATAGTATAGGAACAGGGTAGATTATATATAAAGTGAATCTAAATGAGAGAGTTTAGTTGTTAGTGGGTTAAGAAACAATGATAACATGATTTCTCTTGAATTCTAATTCTAATTAACTTTAACATAAGATAACATAAGATTTGTGTGTGTGTGTGTGTGTGTGTGTGGAAGATATAATAGAGAAATTATTTTTGAGATGTGCATGTGTTCCATGTGAGTTATTGTTATGATATTGAGGACTTTTTTTTTTTCTTCATTCTTTTCTCTGGTATAGTTATCATAGGTATATGTCTAAATGCATTTTTGGTTTGTTGATATATCTTATTCCATCCTGCAGGTCCTTCTGGAGGTCCTTCTGTGATTGACTGGTCATTCCTGGAGAAGGTCAGCCTGAGCTCTGGTCATCTCGACCAACCTACTCAACTCCCAGACTACAGCCAGAGCCAGTTTGAGTTCTCCACAGACATCCTAGCTGATGCCGTGGTCACACCTATCTACAGGAACATTGACCAACCCCAACGTTACTTTATGGCAGACATCCTCTACGACTTACCCGTGACCAGTCCTTTCCCATCCGAGAAATACGAGACGTTTGTAGACTACTACTTTGAGCGGTACGACATCCAGATATCCAACTTCCAGCAGCCGTTGGTCGACGTTGACTGCATGTCATCAAGGCTGAATCTGTTGACTCCAAGGTATCTGAACCACAAAGGGAAAGCATTGCCCATCAGCACTGGTCAGAACAAGAAGGGTAACCTGCAGAAGAAGCAATACCTGGTGCCTGAGCTCTGCTACATCTACCCAATACCCGCATCCTTGTGGCGAAAGGCCGTATGCCTTCCATCTATCCTCTACAGACTGAATGCTCTGCTGATTGCAGAGGAACTCAGAGTACAGGTGGCCGAGGAGGCTGGCATCGGCTTAAAGACACTTCCACAAGAATACCCATACCCAAACCTGAGCTTTGGATGGGAGGGGCTTGACCTGGAGGCCCTCGAGAAACAAGAGAAAGAGGCTGAAGAAGAAGCAGCTAGGTGTGAGGAGGATAAAGATAATGCAATACATGATGAACCAAAGTGCAATAACAATGAGCAGCTGAAACAAAAGGAACGTGCAGCTGAGCTTGAAGTGCGGACAAACAAGAGTGAGGAACATAAAGTGAATGAGCAGCTGAACTCACCCAGTAACTCAAAAGGAGAGCAACATTCTGGGGGAGATATGAGTGTAAACAGTACTATTGAGAGCAAAGAAATCTTAGATGATGGGAACTTTCACCTTGATGATGATGGTAAAGACCCGCAGATGTGCCTTGGACCCAGTCCTACTATTATATTGCAGGTGAGACAGAGAAGTTTTATGAGAAGTGTATGTTTTTATTATGAGGAATCTGTGTTTGAACTTTAATATGCAGAACCGCCTCCCTAGATAAAGGCTGCCACTTATCCCAAACTGCCACATATTTGCGTCACATCTCTTCAATCTTGCACATCTTTGATCATCAATTTTATGGAGTCCTTTTAACATTCATGACCTTATGTGAGTCTCAGCATTGACAATTGATGTATATACATGTAGGTACAGAATTTTCTTGGTAGATTAGGGGGAGTTCAAAATTGCTCTTTTCAGTTATTTGTACCTCTATGAAGATTAAATGTGATCCTTTTATTTGCCATTCTTGAGGAATCTAATGTGTGGAAATTTAAATATAGGGCTGTCTCTTTTTCCATTCTCATGTACTTCTACAGCACAACAATAACTTTCAAAAAATGCACTTTATAATTGTGATACCTGGACCCCCTCTTATAGAATGTTGCTATTGATTTATATGTCCCGTGACTTATTAAACTCAATCACACCTGTGTACTCTATATAAGACGGGGCCCTGATCACAATCTGTACTTCTACAAAAATTGACCAACTTTTGACATTTTATTTCTTTTTCAGTCCTTGACCATGTCCAATTCCAGTGACGGTTTCAACCTTGAACGACTTGAGATGCTAGGAGATTCTTTCCTGAAGCAGGCTGTGACTGCCTATCTATACTGCACATACCCTCACCTGGATGAGGGCAAGCTCTCATTTCTCAGGAGCAAACAGGTTAGGGGGAAATATATTTTCATTGTCATTTAGAAATTTGAGCTATGTTTCTTTCATAAACATGTACAACCATTGTAAAAGACTCGATTTGTGATGATCCCTAATGGACTTGACAACTGATTTTGTATTTACAGTGTATATTCACTCAAAGACTCCCTCAAACTTTGCCTATAGTTGCATATACACCTGTACACTTGTATGAATAAAGATTGCTGAATTAGTTGTGATCAAGTACAAGAAGTTTACATATGCAAAGTCTGTCACTTTACTTGGTCTGTACTCTCCTATTCTACACAGGTTAGTAATTTCAACCTGTACTGCTTGGGTGATAAGAAAGCACTAGCTCATAAGATGCAGGTATCACTGTTTGATCCATCCATCAACTGGCTACCACCCTGCCTGCTGGTCAAAGAGAGCTCCAGACCTGTCCCTAAGGAAGAGACCGAAACCGACCCGGATGCAGGATTTGTCATCGATACCTGGGATCCCTCGACTGTTGAAGGCGTGGATGACTTCGATGATGATGACTTCGACAGTGATCAGTGTTGGGAGGAGAATAGCGATGACTTCTCTGATGAAGAGATTGATGAGACGAAGGCAGAATGTCCGGATGATTTCTTTGCAAGGGAAGAGAAGGACAAGGAGCAGTGGTCATTCTCTGTCGGTGATCCAGACGATGTCCCGGGTCTGACGTACACCGGTGCTAAAACGCAGGACTTGGGGAGTGTCCCTCAGCTGCCGTATGAGATCCACACCCAGCACAGCATGTCTGACAAGAGCATTGCTGATTGCGTCGAGGCCTTGATCGGTTGCTACCTGGTGTCCTGCGGCTTCCGTAGTGCCCTTCTCATAATGGCCTGGATGGGATTGGATGTCCTTCCTACCATCGATGGTCAATCCAATAAGCGGAATGACCAATCCTCAGACCTTCCTGCAGCTGATCTTCCAGTGTCTTGCCTCTATGGCTACCTCAAGCAACCAGAGTCCCCTCTCCTCAGGAGTGTGCCCAATGCAGAGGACGTGTTGCAGCACCAGCTTGTGGGATACGACGGCTTTGAGAAGACCATCAACTATCGCTTCAGGGACAGGGCTTACCTGCTACAGGCCTTCACTCACTCATCTTACCATCGCAACAGCATTACTGACTGCTATCAGAGGTAATTGTCTTCATTGCTGTCTGCTAGATTTTACATGAGGAAGAAAAATGGTTATAATTGTGTTTAATTAGAAATGCTTAAAATTCCTTGAGTCTAAAATGTAAATATTTCAAGATAGTCTTGACAATCAACCAGGTATATTAAGAATATCAGAATTAATGATGCATCATCAGTAAAATTCATATACTTGTATTTATTTTACTTGCATTTATTTGTTTGTAAAGCTTGTACATGGATGTTAATAAGTAACAAGCTTAAATATTTATGTGTCCTTAAAAAACCACATAATGCTCATGCACAATGAATAAAGGTATTTTCACAGTATTTGATTTATGTCATAGGCATGTTCAATTGTTTGTATTGTATTGAGAAAGTTTGCATTGTGTAGATCTTAGTGTTTAATTGCACTTTGTATATATGTATCATGTATTTCGTCTTTTGCCCAAGCTGCGCCTTGAGCATTTGACCGTCAAGTGGATTTGGCGTCTTATAAATCTTATGTATTATTATTATTATTATTATTAATAGAGCCTATTTAACCACGTTACTTTCCTTTACAATTTCCCAGGCTTGAATTTCTTGGAGATGCCTTACTAGACTACCTCATCACTCGCCACCTTTATGATCATCACACCAACCTCTCCCCCGGAGCCTTGACCGATCTCCGCTCGGCCCTGGTCAACAACACCATCTTCGCTTCCTTGGCCGTCAAATTCAACTTCCACAAGTACTTCAAGGCCTATACAGCCAACATGTTTCAAGTCATTGATAACTTTGTGACCTTCGTCGACGCCAAGAATGAAGCACTGGGAATGGATTCACAGGTATGATAGATATGCTCTTGTGAACATGATCGAGACTGAAATAAATCAATGAATAAACATGAGATGAACAGAGTATGCAATTGATACTCTTTAGTACATTCTATACAGATAATGTTAACTATTACCAAGTGCTTTTGAGTGCTCTAAATGTGTGAAAGGATTGTGTGCTGTTGACCACCTAAATCTCCATTTCGTCTGTCCGAAAATAATGACTATGATGGTCAGCTTGCAACTTTTCAAAATCTCTAAGAGTTGAATAACGTTATTTTTTTCTTTATTTCTGGCAAGCTACTTTAGATGACCCCAAAATTTGAATTTTGCACATAATTACTTTGATTTTTTACCCAACTCGCAAGCCAAAGGTAAAATTAAGCGAGGACCCTGCATATGCATTCAGTGGTCTCTGTTGTAATGGTCAAGTTAAACCAGCCTGCCGTATTAATAATAGCTCCACTTTCCTTCTTTCAATTATTTTTGTTGCCTTCACTTTCAGCTCAAGTACAGTGAGATGGATGGAGAACAAGAGGAGTCTGAAGATATCGAAGTCCCCAAAGCTCTAGGAGACATCTTTGAATCGGTGGCTGGGGCCATCTACCTTGATAGTGGCATGTCACTCAATGCTGTGTGGAAAGTCTACTATCCCATGATGAAACAACAGATAGGTGAGTTTCTAAGCTCAATCTATTTAGTTTAATAAATTTTCACTTTTGAATATTTCTTGACAGTGTTTTCTTTGTTCTGTTTTCTTGATCTCATTTAGTTATATTTTTAGTCTTCTCCATTTCCTTCTTCCACTTCAGTTTCGTTTAAATTCATATTCCTGTTCACCATAATTTTTACTTTTCTCATGTTTTTAAATGATCATTTTCACAAATATAAATTTAACCATCTTATTTAATATACCATATTAAATTTAAGTCCATAATAGTATGATGTACATGTACATTGAATGAAAGTTAAAAGAAATCATATGTATGTGATTCATTATACTTTAGATTCCTCAGGAAAGATCTCTTGCAAAAATATTCAGTTCATTATTTCCCTTCATGCTCATATTTTTTCATTTAAAGGTATTTTTCATGGAAACAATGTTTTTTTAAATGTTTTACTTTTCAACATTTCAGAGCAATATGCCTCAGACCTACCAATATCTCCTGTCCGAGAACTGCTAGAGATGGAACCAGAAACAGCACGATTTGGGTAATAATATGCATTGGTAGTTTTAAGCGATATGTCCCCTGGTCGATTATCTATCTAACATGAATAAATGTATGTGGTTTCTTTTTAGTAGTATTGTAGGAGAAAAAAAGAACGATAACAGCATTATCAGCATTGAAATCACTAAATTTTTCATTTTTATTGAGTTTATTTCTACAAGTCACATCTTCCCTTATTTGTATAAAGTGACTTCATTCATTATGATTAATATTTATGCAAGGTCCCCTTTGTGACTCCTTTCGCTTAACTATAAGTTTCTCTGAATAAGATTGTTTTCCTCTTTTGCCTTTACTCTTAGCCCTCCGGAGAAGACCATCGATGGCAAGACAAGGGTCACAGTTAACGTGGTTGGCAAGGGACAGTTCAAGGGTATCGGACGGAACTACCACATCGCCAAGGCAACAGCAGCTCGTTTTGCTCTGCGCCACCTCAAGAGCCAGCCCAAGAAGTGATAACAATTATGATTATCAAGGAGTAAGGCCTTGTTGACACGTGAGTCAACAGTCTTAAAGAAAACCATCTTGGCAAAACGTATAAAGACAAGCATGGTGTGCTTCACGTTTGTGTGTAATATAACACACAGATATTAAAGTGAGCATGCTGAGGGGCTTTTGTTGCTTGCAGCTACTTTTTTATTCATTTATTTCATGCCATATAATGAATGAATGAGGCTTAAGGTTGCAGGTAAATGGTTGTATCTTGTGTTGAGTGCTTGGAAATTTAAATGGATAATGTGGCAACTAACTGGTTGGAATGCCCCACCTTCCTCCCCAATAGTATGGACAGCATGACAGTGGAGTGTCGTGGTCGAGTGGTTTAAGGCGCTTGACTGTAGATGCGAAGGTCGAGGGTTCGAATCCCGACACGGCACTAATATCCTTTGGCAAGATATTAACCTGCACTTGCTACTCTCCACCCAGGTGTTAAATGGGTACCCGGTAGGATGCGAACGTTCATGTGGTTGAACGAGCAAGTGTGCGCTTCTAAAATGGCGACTGGCTGGAATGCTCCCCAGGGAGTGGAAAATGTGCACACATTGTGTGCGGGTAAGCCTGAATCCGATGACCGGGGTAATAATATATCTGTAAAGCGCTTAGGCACATCGTTGGATCGGTGTATTGAGCGCTATATAAAAAAAACAGATTATTATTATTATTATTATTATGCACTGTATTTGCAGGAAAGTAATTGAATTCAGTGACAATGGAATAATTCTGTGAAGTGTTTTGATATGTTACTTGTAACCAGAAAGGCACTTATACAACAAAAAAGTCATTATAATTAATACATTATTTTTAATGACATACTTGTCTAATTTCCATTATGGTTTAACCTTTACTGCCAACTCAATCAGCAATAACTGCAATATTCATTCTTTTTCCATGATGTTGTCTATTATTCAATACATAAAATATGCTGTAGAGCAGACTTGAGAATGAGATTGTGATTTTCTGCCCTGAAGTAATTATTCAACTTTCAAAGAACTGGAGCAGCAATAGTATTATGCAAACTCCTTAGAAATTGATTACAATAGGATAGAATAGACGATTTGATAAGCCACTGATAAAATTAGTTTATTATTGTCAGGTTAAAAAGAAGGAACAGGGTTATAGGCTATAAGATTATTACTTTTTGTAAACAAAATAAACCCTCTATTTATAGAGAGGACATATGAGATGACTATGATTAATAAAAAGAGGACATGAGATGAATTGTTATAGGATATAAAATCACTAAATTAAAATAAACCTCAAATAAAAATTGAATGGATTTAACAAAATGTGTCATTTTGTTGCTAACTGGCAAGTCCTGTATGTTTTCTAGGGATGATCATGATTTTCATTCAGAGATTTGCACAATGCATATACTGGTATTCAAAATGTCATTGTGTGAAGGTGCTTGAAGTATTGTGAAATACATTAAGGCATTCAATTACGAGTATTTTACAATTCTATGGACCTCATGGAACTAACTGGAATGCGTAAAGAGGACCAGAACAAAAGCTAAAGAAAGTTTCAAAAAAAGCTCTGATGTACCCTCACATGCTTGCCAGTATACAATGTACATGAATATGTTTGTGATAATTTGTATCTGGAGACTGCTGAACTTTTGTTTCTCCAAAGTAGAATTCAAACAAAAAGTACAATGATGAACACTTGTTGAATGGTTTCTTATTGAAGATTGTTCTGATAATGCAGCTGGAAATAGTGTGTGTGTTTATGAATCACAAATGGTCAATTTTGCAGTCAATATGTTTGTAATGTACATAATCTTTTGAAAATAACTTTATGCCTAGGCTAAAGATCATGTTTTTTGACTGTTTGATCAGCATTATTTACAAAGATATTATGAGCGGCTATGAATCATGGTTACTGGAAGATGAAATTAGATGTGAAAATGTATGTTTCGTAATGCTGGAAAATAAATGCTTAGATAAGATGGTGACGGCTGAATAACATTGAAGTAAATATAAATTCACATTTTCTTAAGATTTAAAGCATCTAGTGAATTTCTCACACTGAAGTATTTCAAACACATGTACATTATGTATTCCATGATGAAATACAATACAAGAATGACTGTGGAAAAATAACCTTCATGTGTGGTGGATTTCAGTTATAGACTGCCCATTTATAATCTATGCATTTATACATATTTAAGATGGAGATGTAAATATTGTCATAAAAATATGCCTCCCCTCAAAAATGCCTCAGTTACTAATTTAGTTCTGCCTTACTCAAGTAAGTATGTGGCTAGACAGTGTTATTCAATTGGATAAACTGTCTGTTTGAAATTAATCCTGAGTCGACTTCAAATGTGTTTTGAGACAAATTGGCTGAAAGTTTACATTTAAACCATTCTACCTGTCAAAGTGTATTACTTTCAGTGCATCGATGCAGTCTTTTTTCAAAGGACACGTTGCAGCTTTGGTTAGTGCCAGTCAAGTTCTGAGAGCAAGATAGTTTATGTGATACTTGTAGAACCTCCTTGCTATCAAATACTGATATCTTTGACGTTGAAATTGCATTAAAATTTATTTGTGAAATTATTATTTCTTGCTTACACAGCATTATTCATGAAATCGTGAGAGCTTGTAGATTGATTTTTTTTTTTTTAATCTTTGCAAGTCTGGCAGTATGTCAATGGTGTTTGAGAGATATACATATCTAAGTCGATAAGTTGACTTGACTTGTGCATGTAACAAGAACAAAATTAAATATTGGATTATAATCTAGGTATGAATTGCATTTTGATTGAGAATTACTCGTAAGACAGTGAATGGATATCATAATCGTGGAAGAAAAAAAGCTAGCAAAAGATTCATGTGTACTTATTGTCTTCATACTTATGCAAAGAAAGTGTCAAACAATTTTAAAAGGGCAACTCTTCCATGATTCTACCTCTACTTCTATTTCTGATTTTATGAAAAAAATGTTTTTCTGTGTGTAGTCGATTTCATAAGCCTTGTGATACATGTGACTGTAATGAATTGTCTGTGACATACTAAGCCACATACCATGGTAGATACATGTATTGTGTGTAATATACTTAGAAGAATCTCCTAAAGGTGGTTAGTGAATATTTTTTGTATGCAGAGAGTGAGCAAGGCATTAATTTTTTAACACAAAGTTATTGCTTTCTGGCACTCAGGAGCCGATATGTCCCGGCTATCGAGATAGGTAATTAAATTTGTGCAATATGAAATAACAAAAATAACAGTAGTTTGATACATTGACTGTTTTATCTTAGCAAAAGAATTGCAACAATGTATTTTCAACAATCTGTTTCAAAATCTTGCAATACTTAATGCAAATAACCAGGTAAGGATTTACATAGCTCTGTGACTTTCTTTTTCTTTCATGATTTGTTTTACCTCTCATTATTTGATAAATGATTTTATCAAGAAATCTTTGATGACTGAATAAATGAAATAATAAGAATTCCTAACATAAAAAGGTCTTTGCAGGCAAATTATGAAATATTTCACTCTGCACATCACAGTCCCCAAAGTTTCGAAATTTGATAAAGTCTTGTATTGACATACTTTTGATAAAATTAACATCCCTTTAGTATTTATGTTGAATTCCAAAATTGGATCGTAATAAATTCTCCTTTTACTTCAAAGAATGATTGAGAAGACCAAGATTTCATCATCATGTATATGAATGTATTATTTTGTATCATTGTTTTTATTAAAAAATACATTATGCACTTCCTAATTTGTTGTTTGTACTGCATATAACAGGAATGATATATGGATGATGGTTTATCCTACTGTGTGCCTGTCTATCACTGCCTCTTGTAGCATGTCACCCGTATATATCAAATTGTGTGTGGAATTATGTACACTTTTTAATTTTCTGAGATGTAATACATATATTTGACTTGAAATTTTTTCTTTTCTTTTAAAAATGAACTAAAAGCAGGACTGCTTTAAAAATCATTCCAGTGTACTTCTAATGTTCAATGCATTCATATGTGTGTATGGTAGTTTCTTCTGTATGGGTTACTCATGAAATAATGTTAACGAAAAAGCAGGCTGCCAAAACATGTATTTGATATATGATGTTTAATATATGCTGAATGGAGTAATTTGGAAGTAAATCCCTGCTGTGCAAAGAAAAGAGTAAAACACATTCATTTTGAACTTAGTGAGGTTTCAGTTATTGGAAGAGATGTGTACAAATTTCAAGTATATTTCTATCTTGTTAGAGAGAACATACAATACAAAATGTCACATAATGTCACAGATTTGTTAATTTGAAAGCATTGTCATAAATATGAGATGCATGTTTATAGTAAACTAATTTTGTTTGCTTGCAGAAATTTTTATTGGAAAAATATGACAAACTGCATATTTTCGCGAGTGGACCCGGTATTATCTAATTCTGTTGCTTGAAAAAGAACATTAAATTAGAAGGAGGAAAAAATTCTTGCCTACAAAACAGTTTGGGTATTGAAAAAAAAAATGCTACATGAACATCGACCTTATGCTTCAAATCAAATCATAATTTCCTCTTTTTTCGTTTTCCACTTAAGTTACAAATATCATTTACAAATCATTATTATTTCTCCATTATTTGTAGATCCATGGTGCAACATGGACTGAATTAAATATGATAATTATTTAATAGAAATTGCAAATATTTGTGATAACACCCCAACATTATCTCCTACTGACATAAGGAATAGCAATATATGATTTCACATACTTATGTCAAGTTATGGGTATTTCCAAAGTGCCAGGTGATAAAGTATATAATTCATCTAATGATTACTTGTATTAACATTTTAATTTCTGATTATATTTTTATCACATCAGAATGTTGGTTGCATGAATGATGCTATGCGTTGCTTTGTTTGGCAAGCCTCAGACAAGTATGCATGTTTAAGAGTCTAGAGTAACCATTTGTTTACTACACTTCTGAGCTAGTCAATTGCAGTGTTATTTACATTCATGAAAAGCGTTGTTCTGTGAAAATCTAAATCATACATTCTACTTCATGTTTTAGGAAAGGTATTATAAATTATATCCATGGTGCAGTTTTTGCAAGAAATGTAAGAATAAAGTGGTGCTCCAAAATTGTATGTACATCCATCCTGCTTGATACATTGTTTATTTTTTTGTGCTGTTTTTCATGTCTTTTCAAATTTTTACCAGGATTGGTATTTTGGGAGGTATGTTGAATCCATTTAGGTCAGCTTTGTTTTAATTTTCTCTGCTTATTTCATAATGCAGAGAGATGGGAAAGAATATCTTACAAAAAGTACAGATGAATCAAATTTTCAAATGAATGCTATATTGGAAACAAAATGAAAATTATTTATTGAAAATAAGTCCTTCGATTTGTAAAATAAAACACAGGAAAATGAGAGAGGCATAAAAATTATAGCTCAATAAACCCAAAGGATTGACCAAAAAAAGGAAGTTTCATTGAAGTTGAAATTAATTAGATGAAAATTTGCATTTCTCATGTGAGCACCTCTCCACTTGATTTTTGCAAACAACAACCATAATTTTTTTTTCCATTTTCTTCAAATGAAATGTGTTCTTATTTCACGTAAGTAGTCTTGACAGTATTTTTTTTTTTTTTTTTTTTTTTTTTTTTGGGGGGGGGGGCCTCTCTTCACCTGTCCCCCTCTCTAAAATTGATTAATGTCTCAACCATCAAGTGAAGACCTAGGATGTTTTCATAATTCTCAGTAGAAAGCAAATGGGGAGTTTTTACAAGGGAAATCATAAGAGTTGCATTGTCTCATTTTTGGGCTTTAAGTGAAAACAACTTATATCAGTTGATTTGATTGATTTGAATTTATTTCCATATTTCACAAATAAATTTGAACAAGTAATTATACAAACAAACAATACATTCAAACTTGAATTACAATTGAATGAATGAATTGAAGACTAAAGTACAATAAAATATTACATGATCAACAATTTGTTTGTAATTAACATAACGTGAAATATAGGGGAACCAAAAAGAAGCAATGCTTGTAAAAAAAAAAAAAAATGGGATGTCCATTCCTTTTTGAGCCTTCCAAAGCTTCCTGTCATTGATTGATGAATTGATTGAATTATTCTTTATGCATTCACTCATTTCTAAATGTCTTCTTAATCCTTTCTTTCTTGATATATTGAATCATTCATTCATCCATCTATATCCATTCATTCAGTCATTCATGTTCTATTTCAATTTTGTTTCAGCTGTTTGCTGAAAGGTTGCCTAATTACTTCAGAACATGCTGACAATTAGCTTAAACTTTAAAGAGCTGCATAGAATAATTTATTTGTTACAGACAGAGTAGCAATTATCAAAATTGCCTTTCTTTGGGGGGGGGGGGTGTTTCTGGCCTTCTTTAGTTGATCATAATAAGACTATTATGCTGAACCCGCGGGCTCGTTGAATTGAGTGCATATTTTCATTTAAATATGAGACATCAAAGACACCATACATTGTATATCTCGTTCTTTTGGAAAAAGAAAAGCTCCAAGCATGGCCCGACCGAAAAGGAAATTTCGAGGAAGTGGGACTGGTCAGAAGAAGAAGAGAAGAAAAATAAGCTTAGAGAAAATGAGCAAGATGAACAGAGAACGTATTGAACGAGAAAAAAACCGGTGAGTAAAGTTTTGGTCAACGATGTGAGTGGGTCGCATGCGAATTTTTTTCTATATTACAGTCCCACCGCCTGCGTTTGGTGTCGGGTCGGGTCGAACTTTTTCTATTTTACGCGTGTAGACTACGTACGTACGCCAATGAATGACTAATTTGACTGGGACTGGACTGCTGTACCGGTATGTAATCTTCAGCAATAGTGTACAAGTACAACAAGCTTATCTGAAATGAAAATTAGTGCTTATTCTGAACTCTAGTCCAAGCATGCATTATGAATATGACCTCGCCCTCGGCCTCCTTTCATACTTTTTATGATAATAAATTTTGATTGATTTAATTGTGCAAACTGCAACTGCAACTGTCAACTTAAGTTAGATATAAAGATTTTTTAAAAATTAAACAGTAGGGGCGCCGGTCCGAGAATAAAGATCTTCCGCACAAATGAGGATTGTCTTCGTAAACGCAGACAGACTGGACGCGTCCCCAAAAATGAAGATTGTCAGCGAAAATTTTTGCTTACCATTCTGGGGGCCGTTTCTCGAAACCGTCATAACTACAAGATCAAGGACATCTCGACACTGTCACGCAACTTGTCATCTAAAATAAAATTATTTCAGGAAATTTTCATAAGTGTGGAAAGCTAACAGTAACATTTGATTGTCAAATTTTGAAGACACCTAACACTGACAATGTTGTATACCGGTACTTGAGTGAGCAAGATGCCAAGAGTCTTTTTTTGTGAAAGGGCTCTACATTGACAAGGGCCTACTTGATTTCATGCCTTCACTTGAAGTCTTGAAGTCTTGAAGATCAATATAACCTTCAAAGGTGGTATCACTATCATAGAAGAAAACTTGGTTCAAATGTCTAATTTTGTTACTCTCTTTCTGTTTTGATTTGTTCCAGACATGCTAATAAAGAGGCAACAAAGGAATACAAGACTGCAGGGCCATCAGTGACATTGCAAGAGGTACATATATACATATACCTGTTCTGTGTGAATGTAGAATTGTCGTTGTGGTCCTATGAGTCATGACTGATCCTTTGTGACCCTGTGGACAATCGTTGATGAAACACCCCCCATTCGATAAGAAAGATATTTGAATAAATAATATGGCTATGCTTTTTGGTGCAAAATTAGATATATGTTTATAATGATATTAACAAGAGTTTGAAATATAATACAGCACAGCCTCGTTGAAGATATTGGAGATATTCTTAGATAATTGTTTTGTGAAATTAAAAGGTACTGAAACTTTAAGTGATTTTAGTGAGTGATCAAATATGAAGAAAATATCCAGAACATCTTGCCTTTACTTTGGTCAACAACCATTGTTGAATTTCCAATTGTGATTTTGATTCTATTGAGGGAAAAACTTTCTATAGTGTCTTCAAACATTCAAATGCATAAGGTTTGTTCATTTCCCTGACACATAAGCACTTAACATATGATACATAAAACCCTAAATATAACTCCTCTTGTTTAGGAAGGGTCTTCTTCTGATGAGGAAGATCAGCAGTTGATGACTCCTTATCAAGAGCTGCTTGCCAATTTGGGTGCCGATGGAGGTGGGGACAACGATCTATCAGGTACTTATAAAATCACTGTTTTTGCCCTCTCAGTTGTATGTGGAAAGTCTGCCAAGATTGTTTCCTTGTTCTCTAAGGTGGTATGCCTCTTTATATTTAAAAAAATTGTATGTTTGCACACTTTGAAATTAAATATCTAAAGAGGTATTAATTGGCCAGTTTGAAAAAGACCATTAAAGGTTTTATTCACAATTGCTGGTTTGTAAAATGAGATAATCAAAATGTTGCTCTGCTTGCAAAAGCTCCATAGGCTAGGGTTATGGTTGCAATTGAGACCCTCCCCCCAATACCCCAATAGAGGGGACAAGAGGGATGATGATGATGATGTTATCCTACCGTAAGCTTATTTACCCATGTATCCACAGACATTGGTAGTTATGGCATTCAATTTTGTTCATCCAGTGGTCACCATCTTTTTCCTTTCTTTGTTATTTATATTTCAGATGAGGAGGATTTGGATGATAGTGAAGAGGAAGATGGAGAACAAGTAGCCGGTGATAGCAACGATGATGAGGACAGTGACATTGATGAGGAGGAAGATGATGTTGATGACGAAGATAGTGAAGAAGGAAATAGTGAAATAGAAACAGAACTATTATCAAATGGAGAGGAAGAGGAGGACAGCAATGAAGAAGAGGAAGATGAGGAGGAGGAGGAGGAAAAAGATGAAGAGGGGAGTGAGGAGGAAAAAGAAGAGGAGGAGGAAGATCTTGGATCAGAAAGTGAATCAAATGGCGATGATGATGAACATGAAGAAAGCCAGTCACAAGTAAACAAAGGTATAGCATTCAATGCATGTGTGGCTATTAACATTGATTAATGATGCATCAATGGTTTGAGATTTTGTCTTGCTTTATCATTTAAGTTTTTTTTGCCACCATTCCTGACAACATTAAACATCTACTGCAGTCTAGATTTCAATTGGACATTGTGACTTGTAACTTTTTTCAGCGATAATTTTCTTTCCTAATTTGAACAAATGTGTGAAACATAAAGGACAATTCAAATTTTGCATTAAGTTGAATTTGGTGAAAACCGGAAAATCAGACAAACAGGTTGATAGAGTTTTGAAAGAAATAAAACAAATTTTAAGTAAGTAATGAAATCTGAGATCACTAAGTCTAGGTGAATCTTACATTTGCAAATTGTTCATGCGACTCTGGTGTGATTAGGGACAACTCTTGCATTTGTTGAACTTTAAAATATCAATTTCCAATCCTCTTCTAAGTTTGACTGACAAAGTGACAAAGTTATTGTAGAAGTTAGAAATAGTGTGATTAATTTGTTTTAATGTATGTCTATACAAAGCTGCAGGCATTGATTTTGCAAACCATTTTTATTTATTGTGCAGATCCATTCTTCAAAAAGGTCAACCATGAACTAAGTGAGGACTTCATCAACAAGTTGACTAAACGGAAGCCCAGTCACAAATTTGAAGACAAGGTATTAAATAAAGGTCCACCATATGCCATCATCATGATGACTATTTATAAATGTTATTCTTTGTTCAGATGATTTCCTGCAAACTTCTCTTTTCCAAATTACTCATAGCAAAGAAAGAACATGGAATGTGTGTATCAAGTACTTTTGTTGGTACAATTATTATTAACTTCTCTTTAAAGGGTTGGAGAATCCTCTGGTGTATGACATAATTTGTCCACTGCCAACTACATTTGTATAGCAACCATTTTTTGGTCTAACACTGCCTTACAGATATAAGATCAACAATATGAATTTTATCATGCCCTGGTTGTTTATTGTCAAAAATTTAAGCGATATCCTTGTTGGATAATAAGAATAGTTCAGTTTGATAAGTCAGTGTAAATCTACATTTTAGCATATTCCTAGCTTAACTTTATGTGAAAGTGTACTTTTGTATAATCTTTTGTGTAATCTTCTAGTGGTCATGCTTGGGAAAACTCTCCTGTTCCTGTTACGACGATGTCTCGCAAGGGGATTTGAAGGTGTGCAGAGAAACAGACTTCAAGTCTCTACATGTAAGTCCTTCATTGCCTCCACAGAGCAGTGCCACAGGGTTGAATACATTGGTATTTAAAACATGAATTATGTGTAAAAGACATCAATATGCATCGATGAGAACATTTTATGCGAGAAAACAATTACACTAAAGAAAGGGATTTGATAAATGGATATGTATGCTAGTGCACTTGTATATTTATTTTGCATGTGCAGATATGTTCAGTTTTAGATTTCTGAAGTGATAGATGCATACCGTTATACTGGTTTAATCAGCGAGATTTGATATTTTAATCTCGTAATGTACGTATTGCTGTTCAATATTGATGTCATTTTATTCTCCATTATATCTTTGACTATCTTAGGTCCCCAAACGAGTGTCTAGCTCTTGGAGAGAGGCTAACAAGGATTACATAGATGCAGACTCAGAGGCAAATCTATCTCGTCTTCAACAAGAGCTATTCTCCATCATGAACTCTTCCAAGGTACACTTTAACCTTCTCTTGGCCACCATGTTTTTTAATGATAAAAATACTTATGAAAACTTCTTACAAAGTGTTAGGTCTGTCAAGGTTGACACTCATTGTGCTATACAAACATATAAAATGAAATATAACAACATTTGCAACTTTAGTGAATCAAAAAAGGCATTAATACTAAGAGCATATTACAGTTAAAACGAATGTAACTTTAACAGTTGTGTACATTGGCAATGAACGATATTTAAGAATATTAAATAAAATGATGTTTTTTCATAGATAGATTGGGTGAAATGGTACAGATTAGAGTAATACTTGTAGTCAGTACATAGATTCAGATCTTTATTTTTTTTTAATCCTCCCACATCATTCCCTGGGATACTGCAAGGTAATATTTCATTCATTTTAGTTGAACAATTTCCTGCCAAGAAACATGATGGTACTGACGATGGTTTTATCTGTTACATTTAACACGGGAATGGGGATTCTACCGGGATCCTTAAATAATTTGCATTTTATTTATGACAGGATCTTGTTTATCCTGAGAGGAGTTACAAGAATGAAGAGGAAATCAGACTGGTTTACTGTCTTCATGTGCTCAGCTATATTGTCAAGTATGTATGATGATGATTTTCTTTCCTTACAGCACTTTTTGTTTCTCCTTTCTTTTGCTAACTTTCTTTTATTTCCCTCTTTCTCTGCTCATTTTTAACTCTTCTATTTTAATTTCTTTTCTTTTTGTTTCTCTTCATATCTCTTTTTCTATGCCTGTTTCTCTTGTCTCTCTCTCTCTCTCTTCTCTTCTCTTTTCTTTTCTTCTCTCTCTCTTCTCTTTTCTTTTCTTTTCTTTTCTTCTCTTCTCTTCTCTTCTCTTCTCTTCTCTTTTGTTTAATATATCAGATACCTCCTTCATGAAGTTCATCATTTCCTAGTGATGCCCTTTTGACAAAAAGTTAAACATTTCTTAACTTACGGACTTGTTTTTTTCCTCAAAATTGCGTTTAGATCAAGAAACATCGTCCAGAAACATAACCAGATGCTGACAGCTAATCCTGAGCTTGACACAGAGTGAGTAGAAAAAAGTCACCTCTTTATATATCCTGATGTGTTTGTAGCATAATTTTGATTATCTTTTCTACAAATTACGATTCGATGTGTAATAGTCGGCATGATTTTACCAATCTATCTTGATTGACTTCATTGTGTATTTGTATTTGACTTTCTAGTTACCAGAGTTTGATATGTTTGTTAGATGCTAAGGAGGAGATATTTATCTATTCTATAGTCATTGCATACATGTATCAGTGCCATTGATATGAAGGCCAATCTTATAGTAGATCATCTTCATAATGTGTTGAAACTTCCCATATTATTGTATCTCAAAAGTCAGAATGCACATTGCTTACATGAGCTGTTGCTAGGTCAGACAAACACAGTGTGTCCTTCAGGAATTTGCAATCTTTCAGACCTCAGCAATATGTTATAATTATTCTTGAACTTTTCCAGGTCAATGAGGGACCAGGGCCTGACCAGACCGAGGGTCCTGATTCTGGTCCCATTCAGGAGCTCAGCCTTGGAGGTCATCAAGACCATGGCTAAGATCCTGATCCCATCAGACCAGACCATGAGCCATCGGAAGAGGTTCTTTGAAGAGTATGGAGGAGGCGAAGATCCAGACTCCAACATAGTCAAGCCAGGTTAGGGATAGAGTCCTTGTAGTCGTAGTTGTAGTTGTTGTCGGCGATGGTGATGTTACTGAGGAGGAGGAGGGGAATTGTGTTGTGTTGATGGTGGTGGTGGTGGTGGTGTTGGTGAGAATGATGAAGATGAGGATGTTTAGTGATGATGGTGATGATGATGGTGATGAGATCTTAACTCTCCAAACCAAACCAAACCATGAGCCATCAGAAGAGATTCTATGAAGAGTACTGAGCAGGCAAAGATCCAGATTCATCCAATATTGGAAGAATGATAGTTGATGAGGGGAGGAGGAGGAAAGAAAGGATGATGGTTATGATGGTGATGTATCTACATGTAACTTATTTTAAGTGTATTTAAACTGCAATATCTCTTTAGAATGATTAATTGAAGCTCATATATTTAATACAGTATAGTACACGGAATCACTTACATCAAGAGCAAATCAAGTTTTGGTGATTGGTGCACTTTAATATAAATCATCAGGTAAATTGAAATATTTTATTTGATGAGACATACATGTACATGTATATTTTTATGCCTCCGTTACGAAGTAGCCGGAGGCATTATGTTTTCGGGTTGTCCGTCCGTCCGTCCGTCCGTACGTCCGTACGTCCGTCCGTCCGTCCGTACGTCCCGTTCTCGTGATCGCGTTATCTGAAGAACCGATTGATGGATTCCTGCCAAACTTTGGTCATGTATGTTACTTGCAGAGCCGATGAACTGATTAGATTTTGGGGTCACGAGGTCAAAGGTCAAAGGTCACAGGGCTCATTATGTATGCAAAAACAGCTCGTGATCGCATTATCTCAAGAACCGATCGATGGATTCCTGCCAAACTTTGGTCTTGTATGTATCTTGCAGAGCCGATGAACTGATTAGATTTTGGGGTCACAAGGTCAAAGGTCACAGGTCACAGGGCTCATTAGGTATGCAAAAAGAGCTCGTGATCGCATTATCTCAAGAACCGATCGATGGATTCCTGCCAAACTTTGGTCATGTATGTATCTTGCAGAGCCGATGAACTGAATAGATTTTGGGGTCACGAGGTCAAAGGTCAAAGGTCACAGGGCTCATTATGTATGCAAAAATAGCTTGTGATCGCATTCTCATTAGAACAGATTGATGGATTCCTGCCAAATTTCGATCATGTATGTATCTTGCAGAGCCAATGAACTGAGTAGATTCATGGGTCATGAGGTCATGAGGTCAAAGGTCATGGGCTCATTATGTATCCAAAAATAACTTGTGAACGCATTCTCATTAGAACTGACAGATGGATTACTATTTAACTCAGGACATCTCGCAGAGCCAATGAACTGAGTAGATTTTAGGGTCATCAGGTCAAAGATCAAAGGGTCATATATGTATATGAGAAATTGCTTGTAATCACGATATTCTGAGAACCTCTTAATGGATTACAATTGAACTTGAATTTGAAAAATTTCTTCTGTTTTGGTTTGTAAAATTGCTCTATGACGGAGGCATCATTTTCGACTGCGCGCAGTCGAAGTTCCATCTAGTTATGATTATAATGTATGCCATGTTTAATATTTGCAGAGGACTGGGAGGCAATGTTTAGAGGGAACAATGACGATCATTTCAGACTGGGTGTCACCATCACAAGAAAGAGCTTCAAACTCTACTCCACGTTCTACTCAGCCGATATCATCATTGCTTCACCATTGGGACTCAGAACAGTCATAGGGGCAAAAGGGTGAGTGGATAAATATGATATTAAAGTACTATGACTGTTTGAAATTTTCATCTTTCACTTTGAATGAAATACAGCAGAGTATGTCTGACAATAGAAATCGGTAAAAAAAAAAATTGCGATGGAGGCAATCACAATGGTTACTGCATGAACATCGTATTATATTTTGTTAAATTGTTGAATATTCAGAGTAAGGAAATATAGGGGTGAGGATGCAGTATTTAAAAAATTGCTATGATGTCAGTTGATATTACAAATAAAATTACAAAAAGTCACCATAAATCTTATATCTTACCACCTTGAGAAACGTACAGAGAACGCCTTAACATGCATAGGGTAATAAAGTCCAAAGCTCTTTGGAAGCGCATAGAGATCCAATTTCATAACGTATTATGTGCTATACAAGAACTGAACTATTATTATTATTTCTGTATCCGATAATAAACAAATCAGTGGGTTCACTTTAAGAGTCTTTCCTTCCATACAGATACTTTGACTTATTTCTTTTTATCTCCACTTGCCATTCAATTATACATTTAAAAAACTCTGATATACCACATGTGTTAACAAACTTTGAGAGAGACTTGAATGGTCTCGTTCTCAATTTATTTCCCTATGAGTCATGTGAGTCATTTTCTTTGCCATCCATTTCAGAGAGGACAAGCATGAGTATGACTTCCTGTCTTCTATCGAGCTGCTTGTTATGGACCAAGCAGATATCTTCCTCATGCAGAACTGGGAACACATCACGGTAATAATAATATTCCACTTTAATATAGCGCTTAATACAAATGTCTCTAAGCGCTTTACAGATATACTATTACCCCGGTCATTGGATTCAAATCTCCACTCCCTGGGTTGGCTTAATTCACATGAAAGAGTTGTTCATCTGTTGTGCCCATTTTTTCATTTCGTGTGTGTTTCCATTTGTTCTGGGGACAATGTCCATTTGGTCAGTTCTTTACACCAACTGAATTCTGAACTTCAACCCAGGATCAAGCAGTATACCAAACCCTTATCCCAAACTTACCCTGACTTTCCCTATATCCTTGACAAAATAAAGCAAAGGTTGATAGAGCACATGTGGGAGCAAAGTTTTTTTCTTTTCTTTTCTTTCAGTATTGCTCAATTTCCGTATCCTGCATTAAAAGAGGCCCGTAAAGGCATGTATTGTAAGAAAGGTGTCTCATACGTAAAAGCAGAGCTTTCGTGAATTTTGCAATTGACCAAATGAACCATTGTTTCATACCACAAAGTAATTGAATCCCGACAGCGAATTTGTAGAATTTAAATAATTTCTTGCCAACAAAATAGCCGTCACTGACAGTTCATAAATGTTTCATGTCGCGAAAGTGTTATTCATATTGCATTATCAATCAAAATGACTATACCAGTAAATTTCCATGAATATTTTCCCCCGCATTTTAAGCCAAATTAATAATATTTTAGTTAATTTCACAACTGTTTGAAATATAGAGTAATTTTCTTCCACCTCTGCAGCACATCATGGAACACTTACACCTACAACCCAAGGACTCTCATGATGTAGACTTCTCTAGAGTCAGAATGTGGGCTCTCAACAAATGGTATGTATCAACGTTTCCTCATCATAACCAGTGTCAAAAAATACTTTCTGTATAGCCCTGGGAACTGTCATTGATAGTATACATGTACATGTTTATAGAATCTGAAGTTTCATTGAGGGAGGAGGAGGACGGTGGTCATTTTCTCCCCATAGCTCTTCTCAAGTTTTCCAGAACTAAACTGCTTCTGGTCTGATTTGTAGTAATTTTAATCCCTCTTGGGTCAATGGCTTCACCAGGTGATAGCACCAGAAATTATTTCTCCTTTACTTACGGAGGGAATGCAGGAGCTTCAAATGTTCTAATTAACAGTAAACTTTATGTATTCAGAATACAATGATTATGTTTCTGCTCTAAACTGAATTACAATGAACCAAAATGAAAACTCTAAAAATTAAAAAGTATGAGAGCTTTGGAAAATAGATATTTAATCAGTGTTGATCAATATTCAGGATGCATACAGTAGACGTTTAAATCCAATAGAAACTTCTACTTGTGATAACAATCGTGCTATGTAAACACAATATAGATACTCTCATCTCTGTAACTTATCATATTCTCATTGTTTTCCATGACAGGAACAAGTACTACAGACAAACGTTGATCTTCAGTAACGTGAACACCCCTGAAATCAATGCTCTAGCCAGCAAACACTGCTCAAATATCCTTTTTACTAGCTTGGTGCAAAAGTCTTTATGTTGTAATGATAGATCTTTATATTACTTAACTAACACTCAGTATGCAGGCCTGATAAAAACCTGATTTTTTTTATTTTTCCCGATTTTTTCCCTTTTTTTTTTCCTTCCCGATTTAAAAAAAAAAAAAAAAAAAAAAAAAAAATCCAGATTTTTTTTTTTCTTCCCTATTTTATCCAGCTTTTCCCGATTTCCCTTTTATTTTCTCTATTCTTCCCTATTTTGCCCTATTTTTCTCCCAATTTTGTCCCAATTTTCTTACTCGAAAGGGGGGATGTTGTTAGATGCCATTTTTTCCCCGCGGATCCTCTTTTTTTTTTTTACTCAAGGGGGGTGTGGTTGAGGGGAAAACTAGAAACCTATTTTTTTTTTTAGTGCTCACTATCACCCCTGAGTATGGGTTTTGCCAATTAAGAGTCAAATGTTTATGTTATATATTTGTTGAATCATACATCATGTAGTAGTAAAAACCCTCTCTCTTTTCCTTTCCTCCTGCCCTGCCTGATTTTAAGAGCACTGACTGTTGATATCATAAATTAGGTGGGCTTTATGTATGTGTTGTTGAAGTATTCTTTGATTTGCATTTGTTTAGTTCAATGGATTAGATAAAAAAAATGTCAAGCCAAATGCATGTACAAAAATACGCAAATCAGATGCAACTATTATTGACAGGTAGGCTACATTTTATATGGTTCTTTAGCACACTTTCTTAATCACAGTGAAATTACTATGACCCTTAACCTTAATGGTATTACATATGGCAGGTAGAGTATCAGTGAATAACATGCCGGCACTTGGTAGCATTGGTCAAGTGGCTGTTCAGCTTCCTCAGGTGAGTTCAATGTGACTCTTTCATGTAGTCTACTTTCATGTATAAATGCATATGCCATATGAATTGAAATACATAAAATCTATGTATAGTTTAAAAAAATTGCATTAAAAGGGTTAAGAAGAAAAAAATGCAGCAGATGAATTCTGTAGCATGAAGTGTGCATGGGTACATTCATTCATATTTGTATTGTTTCACTTTAATAGTAATGATCTTTTGAAAAAAAATCTACATGGTGTCCTTCATGTGCTATGAATGTTTAGATCTGTTCTATATTTAATAATGCAGAGCTGTAAATAGAGAGGAAAGGTTGGGATAGTCGGGATGAAAGTGTTATTTCAATTTGAAGATGTGATGTATTGATGATTTATCAACATTTACTTACAATAAACTATATTTGGTGTTACAATTTATTTCACAGGTTTTCCACAGGATAGAATGTGACAGCTTTGCTTCGGCTCATGAGAAGAGATTCCAGTTCTTTATCACAAAGGTACTTTTCTTCTACGCATATTATAGTATACAATCTTCAAACTGGAGTGAAGAAGTGATCTTCTTTTTAAATTTTTTTTTATTGAATTATATTGTATCTTGGAATTATTTTGATAAATTTTCATTTTAGAGATTAGATTTATATTTTATTTTGATGTTTGTTTTCATGGTTTGTCTCTCTGCTTACAAGATTGTTAACATTTTTAGCATTTAATTGGATCTATTAACATATATTTATGCTTTATATTTAATTTGGCAGGTCCTTCCTCAGTATAGAGAATCCCTGATGTCTGGCACTATGATCTACATTCCATCTTACTTTGACTATGTCCGAGTCAGAAACTACTTCCGCAAACAGGAGATCAACTTTGCACAGATCTGCGAGTGAGTATAGACTGTCTAAATCCTAGGGCCTGAATTCATGAAGGAGGTTTCAATTTATATTGTGGTCTAGAGGTTAAAAATGTGAACCTCCATCATGGAATGAAATAAGCCTGTATTACTTTCCTCCAGTTGGACATGAGGGCACACATTTACTATGCATATAGAGATTCACACCATGGTTTATGGTAAACGTCTTTCATGAATTCTGGCCAAAGATAAGTGAACCTCATGACACTGATCTTGGATTATCCTCAAATCTATTGAAGCCAGAGCAATAGTTCTGAAGACAAGTAATGCAATAAAACATTTTTGGTTGTTAAAGATGGTCCCATGCCAATAACCAAGTTTTAAGAATAAATCCTTTCATACCGGTATCTATTTTGTTTAAACCGTCAACACAACACGATGGACCATGTGATGTTCATACTTATGTAAAATGTAGGTGCAATGTTGTTATTCAGGGGGAGGGAGGGGGGGGGGGGTAATTATTTATCTCCTTCTGCACTTCTTCAAGAACAAAGAATTACATAAAGTAATTTGTTTTCTTGCCTGAGAGTCACCATTCTAATGCAAGAAACTAAGCATACCAATGTAAAAAATATTAACGCCAGTAGTATAATCTATTCAGAATTATGAAAAATGTGCATTAATATGAGGTTTTTTTCTCAAGAATAACTCCAAGAGAGTCTGCTTATTGCCGAAGTTCATATGTAATACAGAGCTACTATTTAGTACCAGTATCAGGGCTGCATAATATTTTGATAATAGTAAAGTTGTGATATTCAATATTTTTTAAATTCAGGTACACAAGTCAGTCTAATATCTCAAGAGCAAGGATGTATACGGCCAAAGGAATGCGTCATACTCTAATCATCACTGAGAGATTTCACTTCTTCAGAAGGTATAGTTTGAGAATGAAGATGATGACGATAATTATGAGAAGGAGGAGGAGGAAAGGGATAATTGTGTTGAGGGTTATGGCAATGATGATGATATTGATGATGCTGCCGCTGATGATAATGGCAGTGATGATTATGATGATGACATTAAGTATTTTTAATTGCTTCTGTTTTTTTTTAAATACCTTTTGTGGTTATTTTTTCAAATTTAAAACATGTCATACATGGCAATATATTGCTGTTTTAATGTTAGCCATACTATAGCCCTATCACGATAATGTTTCCTGAGAACATGTTCTCGTATAGACATTTGCTACAAAAGAAAATAGGATGTTCTTGTTACAACGATAATAATACTTTCCATTTTAAAGTGTTTCATTCACTGACAATACCAGCCTCTACTGTTCTCAAAATCCATTATGCATTTACCGCATGTGTCCTCTACAGGTACAAGTTGCGCGGCATTCACCACATCATATTCTACCAGCTTCCCACCTACCCGCACTTCTACAGCGAGCTGTGCAACATGCTGGAGACGCCAACAACAGAGGGCGCGATGAAGGAACACACCTGCAGTATAATGTACACCAAGTACGATGCCCTACGGCTGGGGCCAGTGGTGGGACTCAAACGCAACAGTCACATGTTGAACTCGGACAAGAATGTTCATATGTTTGTGTCTGGAGATGTCTGAATGGTGAATGACAAACAAGAATACTGCATGTCAGTGTAACTGTGATCCGAGCAGAACACTCACATGTCGACAAAGAGAAGAACGTCCATATGTTCGTGTCTGGTGATGTCTGAATGGCGATAAACCAACAGTATCTTAAGTCAGTGTTCCTGTGACCTTCAGTGTTGTTGGTTTGAAGAAAGACCAATCATCACCCTGATGTATACATGTATTGGAGGTAGATGTCATGCTGTTTGGCGATTAGACACTTGCAGGTGGAGCAAGGAACACACTCTATGAAGGAGAGAGCTCTCAAAATGTCTTCCAAAAGCTCTTGAAATGGTTTCAATTCAGAGGAGCCACCTAGTGCTCACTTGTAGCTAAATTTAGTCAACATCCTGAATTTAGAGATACAGACAGTCAAAGAGAGAGAGAGAGAGAGAGAGAGAGAGAGAGTAGGGATAATAAACTAATATGTGATTTTAATCAAGAGAAAAGCTAATGGTTACCGGTACTCATAACAGCAAAACACATGACTTACATATATATCTATTACTTTGAATAAAGACTGGTGCATCTAACTAGTGAAAGGATATTCAAGCAGTGTTTGCTGGCTAGATTTCAGGTGCATTCACATTGGTGAAGATTAGCGATCGTCTGGAGATTGTCTCAGATGCTATTAAATCCTGTGTGTTTCTGGTCAGTTTACCAGCATTTGGCCATGGCATTTTGTTCCTGACAGTAACAAGTTTGGCATCTTGAAGGGTTTGATCTTTATTCAGGCAAATAGAAATGATGCCACAGTCAAGGTGCAAAAGAAAGTGAATGTGAAGAATAGTTAGTAACAAGACAGTGCAATAAAGCAGAAATGGACAAAGAGCGTACATTGCACTTGAAAGTAATTACCTGTAGGTCTATGGACAAATAATACAAAGACAATACTTTTGTAAGAATGTACAAGTAAAAAAAACACAATCATGCTCTAACATGATGATGTTCCTATCTTCCTCTTAATTTATCTGTTGATTGTTGCACTTCCTCTCCCTAGCTACACATGTAACAGACTGCTTTAAAATATCCCCCGACAGTTCTCACAAAGAAAGTATTTCTAAATAATACTTGATACATAATTCAAGAATGAAGAATAGGAATGTTATTTTTAATTTTTAATTGAAAGATTGACAGGTTTTTATGTACCCGGTAAATGTTTTCTCTTTTCTTTAAAGATACAACAGCAAGCTATGGGTTTTTATGCCTCCGTTACGAAGTAGCCGGAGGCATTATGTTTTTTGGGTTGTCCGTCCGTCTGTACGTCCGTACGTCCGTACGTACGTACGTCTGTACGTACGTACGTCCCGTTCTCGTGATCGCGTTATCTGAAGAACTGGTTGATGGATTCCTGCCAAACTTTGGTCATGTATGTATCTTGTAGAGCCGATGAACTGATTAGATTTTGGGGTTACGAGGTCAAAGGTCAAAGGTCACAGGGCTCATTATGTATGCAAAACGAGCTCGTGATCGCGTTATCTGAAGAACTGGTTGATGGATTCCTGCCAAACTTTGGTCATGTATGTATCTTGTAGAGCCGATGAACTGATTAGATTTTGGGGTTACGAGGTCAAAGGTCGAAGGTCACAGGGCTCATTATGTATGCAAAACGAGCTCGTGATCGCGTTATCTGAAGAACTGGTTGATGGATTCCTGCCAAACTTTGATCATGTATGTATCTTGTAGAGCCGATGAACTGATTAGATTTTGGGGTCACGAGGTCAAAGGTCAAAGGTCACAGGGCTCATTATGTATGCAAAACGAGCTCGTGATCGCATTATCTGAAGAACCGATTGATGGATTGCTGCCAAACTTAGGTCATGTATGTTACTTGCAAAGCCAAAAAACTGATTAGATTTTGAGGTCACGAGGTCAAAGGTCAAAGGCCACAGGGCTCATTATGTATGCAAAACGAGCTTGTGATCGCGTTATCTGAAGAACCGATTGATGGATTGCTGCCAAACTTAGGTCATGTATGTTACTTGCAGAGCCGATGAACTGATTAGATGTAGGGGTCACAAGGTCAAAGTTCAAAGATCACAGGGCACATTATGTATGCAAAAACAGCTCGTGATCGCGTTATCTCAAGAACCGATTGATGGATTCCTGCCAACTTAGGTCATGTATGTTTCTTGCAGAGCCAATGAACTGAGTAGATTCTTGGTTCATAAGGTCAAAGGTCATGGGCTCATTATGTATGCAAAAATAGCTTGTAATCACAATATTCTGAAAACCTGTTAATAGATTACAATTGAACTTGAATTTGAAAAATTTCTTCTGTTTTGGTTTGTAAAATTGCTCTATGACGGAGGCATCATTTTCGACTGCGCGCAGTCGAAGTTCCATCTAGTTTTTTAATGATAATTGTATTCATTGTGTACGATAAGGACAACATTAAACGGTTTAAGTCCATGTATAGATAGAAGGGTGAAGTCAATCTGGCAAATTTCTTTGTTTTGAGTTAATAAAAAACTTGATAGAGACAATTCTAAACTGCTACTGTTTCAAAGATAGTTATACTTCTTCTATTTAAAGGGATGGAATAATCACTGAATGATAGATGTGATTTTGTAAACACTGGACCTTCTGGTCAGAATTTATTTCCACATTTTGTTCAAAATAAAGAAATACAATCAACATGTGAATATATATATATATATATATATGTAACACAGATTCAAAAGAAACATGGACTACTCCTAGCGTGATGGAAATAACAAAGACCAATCTATTCATTCTCAATCCATCCGACTGTTTACTCTAAAAATTCGTACACATCTCTTGATTTGAAAAGAAATCAGTTTCTACCATTACCGTAGTTTTTATGTAATTCATTGTTATCAATGTGAATTGTATATGGAATATATTCATGAATATACTCCTTGAAATATGAGATTCCACAAATTCCTGTAATATTTTTTTTTACAAGAATCCAAGTCATTACAAATATACTATTATAAATAAAATATTTTAAAAACTATTAATAATATTCTGTTGAGTCTTTGTTTTGTTTCTCTGTGTTGCATTTATTATTATTATTATTATTATTTTGTGTTTTACCCTAAAGTTGCAGTTTTTATGTTCATTTCACTTCTGCTTTGATGAACACATTTTGGTTAAATTCAGATTTTACATTTGAGAGAATTTTGAAGATGATGATGATGATGATGATAATGATGATATTGGTGATGTGATAATGATGATGTTGATGATGATGATGATGATAATGATAATGATGATAAAAATGATGGTGCTGCCGATGAAGATGATAATGATAGCGATGATATCCTAATATATATCACAGTAAAAAGGTTTTCATGATAGATGGAATTGAAAAAAAAGTCTAAATTGCCAGTTCCTTATTTAACAGTAAAAGAATACCGCACATTAAATTCGAAGTTCGAAACCCTTGCATGTAGGCCAATAATATTGTTATATCATAATTTTGTATAAAATCTTTAATTCTTTTATATTTTTTTCCATCTTATTCATGTGTTTTTATAATTTCAACATAGAAACATTTTTTTCATTGTTATTTATTTCTTGGTACAGGTAGGGTTTTTGCTTCTTGCATGTATTATCTATGGGTACTATCGTTATTTTAGTTATTGCTATGATCAGAATCAGAATTGCATTCGTTCGCAGACCTTCTTTTGTGTTTAATATAGGTTTTAAAAGTTTAAAAAAATGGAATGTTTGCTTACTTTTTCATTTATAAGAAGGGAGTATCTTCATTAGGAGGCAAGTACAATTTTTTGTGTGTTTGGGGGGAGTCGGGCTAACTCGGACCACAGGACAACTCGGCCCAGATGCAAAAACGGTCATTTTTTGCATGTTTGGGTTTAGGGTTAGGTTTAGGGTTAGGGTTAGAGTTAGGGTTAGAGTTAGGGTAAAATGACAAAAAATGACCGTTTTTGCAGCTGGGCCGAGTTGTCCTCTGGTCCGAGTTAGCCCGGATCCGTGTAGGGGGGGGGGGGGGGTTCTACTACTACTAGATCTTCGTACAGTACAGCCACACTGTACAGTCAGGTACAAGTAGTACGTGCGAAAAGCAGGAAGATTTCAATTGCACAACTACTACCAGAGAGCTTATACTACAGAGAGGGCTTGATTAGCTCCACTAAGTATGTAACATTGAAGTAGAAATAATCGATGTAGAAATAAATGCTCTCTAGCTGTTTATAGATTAAAGCATAATTAGAAACGGTCATCCTCAACCATTTAGCATTAATTATGTGCTTTTAAAAACTTTTAAATTTGCTTACCATGATTCATTCCTCCCCCCCCCCCCCCATAATTTTGAAGAAAAAGGTTGAGAATGGTGTATAGATCCTTGTCTAAGGTCTATAGTATATAGACAGAAAAATCAAATTTGGAGTATATTTGTTTTAAACATCTTTGAATTTTCACGCTGTGTACAAGAGATATTCTGTATAGCCTAATATAGTCTCGGTAGAACATATCCAGGGCCGGAACATATCCCTGCACAAATTTTTTGACTGATATTTTTGGTCGTATCCCCCCCCCCCCCCACTCCGAGAACGGACGAACCCCATGCGTGTTGCCAAAATGTCCTTTTCGTAACAAAAGAAAAAGGTCGACCCGTATTGACTTTACACACCGGACTTTTGCTGAAATGGGGGGTCGGTTGGAACACGCATATGCGTACCCTAAATAACACTGAGTGGGGGGCCGGGGTCGATCGTATCAGTTGCCTATAGGCTAAGGGTAGGCCTACTTGTTATAGATATATAGAGTCTAGGCATATTTCTCATTATATCTTTTTTTTATTTGCTCTCATGCAAAAATCATGCTTGAAGCGTATGGAATAAGCTGTGAAAAACAAAGAAAAATAGATAGATCTAGATCTACATGCTCTTTTTCCTTTTTTAAAAAATTTCTTCTAGAAGTCTATTCACACACGTTTCGGCATACTACGGAAGTATCATCGGGTACGTTCTCTTTAAAATAGTAGCTCTTGTAACACGTGTGCGAAAGAGAAGTAAAAATGGCTTCTGCACTCCGGTCCATGAAATTTTCTAGAATATTACCCTTAGCTGCAAGGATTGCAACAAGGTCAAGCCTTCAACGTTCTGTTCGAGTAACACCTGCTAGAATATTAGATGACTCTATTGGTAGGAACTTCAGGTAAATAAACAGAATGTATTTAAAAAATTGTGTGTGACTGTGTGTGACTCTCGATCTCGCGGAGGCGAGAGCTCCTGCCTAGCGGAGCCTATTTGCCAGCTCCCCCGACTCCAGCCGCCCAGGTTATACTGAACCTAACCGACGTTTGTGGAGGGGCTTTTTATTTTTCGTACCGTAGCTCGTAGCCTGCCCGGTTTTAGCTCGTTTGATTTTCACAGATAGATCTACTTCTCTAAAAGTGAATCATACAGTTGCTTATGTATATCAGTTTGTAGTTAAAATTCTAGTGAATCAAACCATGCCGTTCTTATCTGCTAGTAACTCCGGGAAGCTCAAACACCGACGCCACAGGCGTCGTAGCTTCGGTTTTACTCTCGTGGGGACTAGTAAAACAGCCGATGGGGCGATATCATCGTTAAATCTGCAAAGGGTGTACTTACAATTTTGTCTTCATAGGTTGCTCGACTCCTCTGAGCATATGGATGACCACTTGAAATTATAATTTGAAGAAGTCTTTGATGGGGGAAAAAGGGTTATTCGGCCCGGCCTCCTACACCAACGATTCTTCCATGTTGCAGCGTCGATTCAAAATGGCGAAGAGAAGGTACGCATGCGTGGCAGAGGCGCAGAAAATATGAATATTCATGCTATCGAGCGCCGATCGCTCAAAATCGCTGAATATGCACGACTCGAACGGACCGCTCTGTTTGTTCGAGTCGAGTGCATGCTAACGACGTCGTTGCTTTGGAAGCAACATGTACTTAAGAGTTAGAACTGAAATGAAAGACATTTGCAGAAAAGACTGAAGGAGTAGTCCCGTCAATGACGGTAATGAATGTTCATTTGATGATGTTTAATGTTAAGTCCATTGTGCAGTGCTTAGTGTACACCGAATTTCCCGTCTCTTTCGTTCGTTAGCCTCTTATTGGGGTAGGGTCGGCTCTCTCTTTAGAGACGGAAGCCGACTATACGCATTCCCTTGCTAACACCATGGCCATTTATGGCCATATTTTTATGCTCCGAAAATCCCCCCAAATGTCATTTTACCTCGTGCATGTTATATTGTAAATTAGGCCTAGGCTATAATAAATTGGTTTCACTGACCAACTTGACTGAAATAATCAGTTTAATGGTCCCTTTTTAGGAAATTTATGGGTCAAAATCGAAATCCATGTTAAAATACGTCTTGCAAGATTTTTAACATGGATTTCGATTTTGACCCATAATTTCCTAAAAAGGGACCATTAAACTGATTATTTCAGTCACGTTGGTTAGTGGAACCGATTTATTATAGCCTAGGCCTAATTTACAATGTAACATGCATGAGGTAAAATGACATTTGGGGGGATTTTCAGGCATAAAAATATGGCCATGGTGTTAGCAAGGGAATGCATATAGTCGGCTTCCGTCTCTAAAGAGAGAGCTGACCCTACCCCAATAAGAGGCTAACGAACGAAAGAGACGGAAAATTCGGTCTATGCTTAGTGTAGATCTACAACACAATTGATTACGCGTTGGACGGAAATGTAATAAGTTATCGAACATTGCCGATATATATGCATGCATATTTTTTTCATGCTGAAAAAATAAGGATTTTTTGGTCAAAATACTGATTTGGGGGATAAGAATACTGAAAATGCAAAATACAACTTGGCAGCTCTGATCTCTGTGTAGTTGGCTCGGTAATATTAGCCACATAGCTGAAAGCCAACCTTACATCTTGCCATCCATTCTTTGTTCTCGAGAAAAATGTACCTTTAGGAGCCCCTTGTAGGCTTTTCCATCTCTGTGTTGTTGGCTTGGTAATGCAACCTGCCACCTACCGCAAATCCACTCTTGTCTGCATGGAACAGACGATGTGGATTGTATAATACTGAGAGGGCCCTTATCTCTTGCAAATACATTTCAAAGTCCTTGAATCAATCTTTAATTTTGTGACTGGACACTACTGCTCTTTCCTTTTCCTTCAGTTGAGGCCTTCGATAAACGAGTTAAGGGTCTCTCTTTATCAAGAAAGCACTTTAAAACTTAAATGAAAAGGAACATATTCAAGAAAAATAAGTGGTTGTTGTGTACTTTACAACATCTTTTAGATTTAAAAATGGGACCCCATACATTCATATGGCTGCTTTAAATGAGATCTCTCCCATTTTCAATCTCCTTAGAGTAGCTTCGAGGTCATCTTGTTGTCAAGGAATTTTCGCCAATAAAGTTTTAACATAATATACATAAAGTACAGTGGACTTGTAATAAGCACTGATAACAATCCTGATACCTAGCAACATCATCAACAACGACCGACTCCAGTAGCAACATTGCTGGAATCAGAAGTCTTTGAATAAGTGATGTTTGAACCAAACTCCATGCAGTTAGGGGATCCTCTTTGCTTGCTTTCTGGACTCTGCACTCGATTACTCCTATGTCCTCACTATTCAAAAAACTTTAGCCTTTGTTATGCGTGTGAAAAACATTGTTTACATATCAACTCACTTTTTCTTCACATGCATTCCAGCATTTCAAACCTGCGATGTTTTTCGGTAGCAACATCGAGGTTTCAGTCGGTCTTAGATGCTCAGCAGGACGACGTGGATTCCACCACAGAGGTTGCACAGCAGCCGATCAGATCAGACAATGAGTTCAGGATCGTACTGAGGAGACTGGATGACATGGTCAGGCGGACAGGGCGTATCACCAAAGCCCAGCTGCTCCTTGTATTCGATGAAATTTGCAAGCTAGGTAAGTAAATGATTTATGTTATCATCCCTACCTAAACACAGTCGCAAATCATATAGATTGTATTCTGCCTATAAATATGTTAAAAAGGCCAGGTCCCTGTTTCATTAAACTTGTTACTAGTATTATTAAAAAGTTGCATTAATAATCCGCACCATTGTAAGTTTGCAAGTAACAATTTTTGTTGCCACAAAAATATCTATTATTTATAGCAATATACAAAAGATTTATTTCTCCAAGTTTTCTAATTTACTGGAACAGGGGGGGTTATTTAATTGTCTTAGTGAGTAATTGTCCAAGGGAGGATAGCTCTTCAGAGGGTATAGTTTCCTGGAGGATAATTGTCCTTTGCTGAATGGTTGAAGTTTGGGACCTTAGACGTGACGGACCAGGAAGAGGATGTTCTAGATCCACAATTGATTCTAAACATTCAAAACATTTTCTTAATCCCCAGGTGCTGCCAAACCTAACCAGGCCCTGCTACTCATCAGGAGCTGCGGTTCACTCTTGCCAGAGGTTGCCCTTGTGGAAAGGACAGCACTTGTCTCCAACATATGGGATAAACTCAAGGAGCTGGGTAAGTGTACATCACATGAGCTAGCTAGGTTTCTACAGTAACTTATGGCAAGTTGTAGAGCATCCCATCTGAGGTCAAACATGCAACCATGGAATACAATATGATTTTACTATCACATACATTTTCCATATGATTTATCTTTGGTTTGTCAACCTAAAAGGAAATATCTCTATGATTGGATGTGCATACCCTTGTTACTCTAGGATTATTGTAAGTAAATAAATACACTTGATATCACATTGAATGACTCTTTTAGTTTTAATTGAGACCTGTTAATTGAGTCAGACCTGTCTCAGACGCATTTAGTTTTAAGGTATTGCCTTTTTGTGTGTGTATTTATTGTGCAATCACGAACGACAGCCACTCCAGGTATCGACAGGTAAATGTTGACAACTTGACCTTGAAAAGAGTAATCATCTTTGTATTTGATGGTTTTGTTAAACAGGAACTACTTTTGATGTCACTCATTACAACGCTCTTCTCCGAGTCTATCTTCAAAATGAGAACAAGTTCTCCCCAACCGACTTCCTGGCTCAGATGGAATCTCATGGCATTGATCCAAACAGGGTAAGCTTGCCTACTTTGTTTGTTCATTTGTTTTTGGGTCAATAGAATTCACCATGGTCATTTTATGATAATTAGTTGAAAATAAGAAATACATCCATATTGACTTTCTTGGCGCGAAACTCAGTAACCCATCGTAAGAGGGAACATGCGGACTTAAATAAATAATGGTGATGACTGCAAATTGTAGGTTTTATAGTATTAGAGTTTGTACCGCTTCTTTGACAGACCTGCCGAGTACCAGTGAAAGTATCAAAGTCACTAGGTAACATAGTGTTTTAGCAAATGTGTTAAATAAAGAATGGTGACAGTCGTTACTTATGAATGGCAAAATTTAGACGTAGGGTTTCGATTATTGGTACAATACGAAACCATGTGACTGGGATGAGCATAGCTTATGATAGGTTCTTCTATCAATCATGAAGATGATTTATTTTGCAGACATTCAATATGGTGGTGTGTTTTTTCTTCTTCAGATTACCTACCAGAGGTTGATCAGTGCTTACTGCTTACAAGGGGATATCCAAGGTGCTACCAAGATCCTAGAGTTCATGAAGTCAAAGGACCTCCCCGTCACAGAAGGCATCTTTAATTCCCTCATCACAGGACACGGAAGAGCAGGGTAAACACCCTCTTTTGTTTTGTTTTGTTTTGTGACTTTCGTCTTGTTTTGTTTTGCTTTGTTTCATTCTGTCTCATTCTGTGGTGTAAGACATGTGATGTTTTGTTTGTTATGACCCACTCTCATACATATGTACTCTGAATAGACCCAGTTACGAGTCAGAAATTCAATTTTTCAGACTTAATCTTATTTCACTTTCAGGCCATTTCTCCTCATATCAAGCTTCTTCTCATATCAAGCTTCTTCTTTTTTGTTTAGTAATGAACAATTCAATTCAATTCACCATTTATTTCAATCATAAAACCATAACATAATATATATATACAAAAGTAACATGAAACAATCATAATCTTACACTTCTGGAAATCATGAAGAAATTGGAGACTTAAAAGGAAGTTTGAAAAACTTGTTAGCAATAACTCCCTGACATAAATTATAAATAACAAGATTACATGGTTGTAGACGTATGGGACTCCAAGTTGTATGGATCTCATTTCAGGCCAGTGGAGTAATTACCCACTGGTATCCCTAAGATGTATTTCAGTTTTTCACCAAACAGAAGTTATGCATGACACTTTGAGGCATGCCTGTGGTTAATTGGATATAGCAACAACTAGTATGAGCATGATGGAATTTGCCTTTTATTGAGCATCTTTTTAAACTTCTCATTTCCTTTTTCTCTGCAGTGATCTTGAGAATGCACAGAACATATTGAATGTAATGAGGTAAGTGGATATTATATTTAAAGTACATTTTCAACTATGGATATTTGCATTTAAAATCAGAGTCAGATTTCACTATTTCAGTCAATATGCCAGTTGGCTTGTAACAGCTTTTAAAAAGCATCGAGAGTCAATCACCCAAAATCATAGGCAGAGTGATATTCTAGGAAATATGACGACATGACATTCATTCCTTTGCTTTTGATCTGGTTATTTCGATAACTATATAACTTTAGTTTCAAATGATTTTTGACATGTGTTCTTTTATCTTTCATAATTCATGTTAGTTTAGGAGGCATGTTAGTACAACAAATAGACAGTTAAAATTTTGTCTATTTGTATATGTTGAAAACCAATCGGTTCCTTCTTGAAGCTTAGAAGTGTGAGAAAATTCAGTAATCAACAGGTCAACAGGTCTATTGGATATTATTTCTCATTTTGTTTTGTTTGTTAGGAGCGTTGGACTGGAGCCTAGTTCAGACACCTACACCGCACTCATGTGTGCTTATGCTGAGAAGGGAGAAATGGAGAGCATCACAAAGGTATGATACCTAGGTTAGGCTTTTAATTGCAGTGGTTGATTTTAGAGTTACCATATGCACTGTCACAGTTGCAGAATATTTCCCTTCTGTAATTTATTCAAGTATGTTCACTTGTTGTCACTTGGAGGTACATTGTATTTCAATGTGTTGGTTGCCAATGAAAAAGAATTGTTATCCTTTGAAAAAGACGATTTTAAAAAGTTTCTCTTGAATTAAATTTGTAGTATTTTGGACATTATTTCCCTTGGTGAAAGTACCTAATGCCTGCAAATTTACAAAGTAAAAGAATACATACACAATTCATCCACTTTCATTTTAACTTATGGATACTAAACAGTATTTGATTTTAATTTGTTTTGTAGGATCCCAATGTTTTAATCAGAATACCGGTAGTAGGGTTTTATTCAAAAGTTTGGAATTCTGTAAGTGTTTGAAATTGACCAATCATGTGGTTTCACATTGGCCAAACGTTACTGAAGCATGTGGTATCAATAGGTAACTTGATAACGCATCATATCCCACTATTTTTATTGGCGCCATATAGCTATCACAGGAGCTGGAATCAGACAACGTGATTCTCTCTGGAAGGTGTTATCTGAGTGTGGCTTACAGTCTTGCTACTTGTGGACAAAGCCAACATCTCCAACAGGTAAGCAATATTCCTCATGAATTATCACAACACTTATAACATTTGTTCAGGTTTAATCTATTTCTGTAATTTTCAAACGATTGGTTTACCAGGGATTTTGTAAATTTTCAGAATTCATTAGTTGGTCTCTCTTTACGGATTTGATGTTTTTTTGTGTATTTTACCACATGTGATTTTTAGGTGAACAATGTATATTGGATCAGTTCCCAAACTTTTGCATGTTGCAGGAAGGTTGGCTGTAGTATGACTTCTAGACTCTAGATGAAGAGGTTGTGACATTTGGTTCCAGTCTATTGCATGTATGAGATTATAAATGTTTGATATGTTCTTTTTTAATTCTGATCTTTTTTCCTCAATACACAATGACCTGTTTTGGTTCTGTTTTCTAGGTCCTGGAGAAGGTGCAACTCAATGCAGGTTATATTCCAGGTGAGTGTGAAAAATCAGGTCAAAGGCTGTACCATCTTGTCTGATATTTGTGGGCAAAACAAGCCCTTCTAATTTTGTTGATGAGATTCTTTCCCCAGTGTTTCCTCAAATAGGATTATAATTATGGGGCCAATGAAACATGAGTAGAAAATAAGAGGATCATGGGGGACCAACAGGCACCAATTAGGCATTGCTTGCAATATAGAGGGTGCAAGTAGCTATAAGTAGTGCAGTGGGGCTTTTTAACATTCTCATGACTTCTGATTGTTGGTACAGATGCTATCAACCTGTCACTGAGCCTGATGACCAAGGGACAGTCTGAAGCAGCCTTTGAGATCGTCAAGATGTTCCAGGGATTGAGGGTAGATCAGAACTCTGCAGAGCCACAGAACCAAGGCAACTTCTTCATCGATCATGCAGTCCAAATACAACTCGTAAGCACGGCTTTCATTATGAGACAGACATAGATAGATTTTGTAGATCACTTAGTGGTACTTGTGTACAGTTTGTGTACATAGAGACATTTCCTATTTGGAATGGATAGAAATGAAATGATATGATTATAAAAGATAACAGGCTTTTTACTTCAATTATTCTTTCTAGTAAGCATGGATTGTATTAAAATATGTGGGCTATGTTTTACTTGATCGCTTGGTATTAATTGTTTACCGTGTCTGTACATGAAGATGAAAATGAAATGAAATGATATGAATTAAACAGAATCTGTTTTTAATTTTTTACTTCAATTGTTCTTTTTAGGCTCATGAAACGTTGTTTGGACACCTGGATGAGCTTATGTCATCTGGTCTCCACTCATCGCCTTACATAATAGCGCTTCATTCATCGCTTCGGAAGGTGAAGGAGAATAAAGGTTTGTGCAACAAATATGCTATCAATATAGCAATTTGGATATTTCTTTTTGTGTGTTAGCTATTTTGCAATGATGTTCTCTCTTACCTCTGCCTTTCTGTTTTGTTTTTATTGTTTAGATATTGCTATTATTGCTCAACATTTTGCTAGATTTTCTTAATTTTGTATGAGTGTGTAGTACACGAGTTGACAGCAAACTTTTTGACTACACATGTCATGTTTTGATAGGCCTAAGTTTATTCGTCTTCAGTGCCATGTATTCACATTTTTTCAATTGTTGTCCTTAATCAGGGATTCTATGTCCTTATCATACAGAATACATTGAAATTGGAATTGGATTGGAATTTTACTTAGTAATAACCTATGTGCCCTGTGCCAATATCTTACCTAATATGTAGTCTGTTTAGATTTTGTTAAAGGCGTTACATTACTATGTGTTCAAATATATGTGTGAACGTCCTTCTGGCTCTCAGCAGATGATGTTAACATTTCATTGTATGTTTGTTTACTTATTTTGCAGATTATCCTTTTGGAATCATGAGGAGAATGATTGAGCTAGTAAGTATTATGAATGTCGTAAGCATTGTATGTGAATGTTTTCTTCTGTTGATTACCGTACTGTTTTGTTTATGGATAATAACCTGCTCTATAAAGCACACATGGTCAGAAATTTCTTGTTAATGTCCTAGCTAGCTTTAACCAATTATTTTGCTTGAAGCTTTAGAAACGATTTTGGAAAAAAAGGAAATGTTGATTTCTTTACAAAACAAGTTTAAGAGAAAAATGTTAGCTTAATTTGTAGCTCCTGAAACAGGTGGTAAGCATTATAGCAAGCCTTTATCTATTTCTTTCATCTAAAAATAATAAGCTCTTAATTGACTAAAATGGTTCTTTTCGGTATCCATACAATGGCAATACTCAGTGATTCACCATTTTGGGATTGAACTAATGGAGAAAGTCTTATTTTGCTCAGAACACATTGCATAGCATTGCTCTCTTCCTTATAATATGTAAACAGCCTCAAATGTCTTGGGTACCTTACCTTATTTTACTTATTATGGGAGGAAAAGAATGGCTTCAAATGGAGTTTATATCTCACACACCATGTGTATTACCTTGGTTTGTATTGATAGTATTTGATTGTTGTCTGGAAGCATTCAAATAGTATACTATTGGGTGAGTTTCTCTTAAATGTCCATAGTGTATGTAATATCAAGGTGCCAACAGGGATATTAGTTCGTTTTATAAGAGATTTCTCTTTCTTTTGCTGCAGGAGATTCCAGTAAGACCACACTACTTCTGGCCCATCTTTGCAAGAGATTATAATGCCGGTGACAAAGAAGGTAAGGATGTCAACAAGCGATCTATTAATGAACTATTTAAACTTCTCCATTGCTCTGCTCATGGTAATTGCAATGAAAACAGCTTCAAACAGTTACAATTGCTGTGCTTAAGCTACCAGTAGTCAGTCTAAGACTTGAGCAATCTTACTTCTTCAAATAGAAAAGATAAACAATAAAGTCTTTATATGAAGACCATTCAAAGTAGTCTAGAAAAGTGGTTTGTCTTCGCAGGCGGTCTTTGAGTACAGGTTCTTTTTATGCAGGTTTCAATGAGAACATCAAGGGGAACATGAAATGTGGTCTTTCTATACAGGTGATTGCCGAAGCCTGTTTGACCGTAGCATGCAATTTGTGCTGGAGCAAGGTTATTTTAGTACAGGTTTCAATGAGAACATCGACAGGGAAACATGAAATGAGGTCTTTATAGACAGATGGTCTTTCTATACAGGTGGTCACTAAACCCTGTTTGACCATAGCATTCAATCTGTGGTGGAATAAGCTTAAAATAATTTTCTTTTCTTTCCTTTCTTTGCAGGCGTCATGAACACACTGAAGCAGATGAGGGATATGGGTGTTGAGACCAGCAGTGATACGCTTACCAAGTTTGTCTTTCCATGTCTTGGAGGGACACTAGCAGACATCCAGGCAGCCATCAATGTAAGTTACACAGTTGCATGCAGACATTCCATTTCATGGGGATACCGGTATTGAGTTTTGGGAATGCCACATTAGTCATCATTGATTTTGTATTAAGTGGGCAATCATTGCCTGCCGTGCAACTTTATTTTGCACCTACCCAGAAACTTCTGCCCTTTCTTATAAAGAGTTGTGATCTATCGTAATTGATCACAAGTTGTCCAATTTCAAGTTGTGATCAATTTGAATCGATGGCAACTCTTTCTGATATGGGGCCCTGAAGTCATTGATATAGAAATATTCATTGAACTTTATTATTATTATATAGCTAGTGCTCACTTTTGGTATAAGTGGACATGATAAAAATTACTTAATTTCCTGATGTTTCTTAACACCTATGAGGGTAGAACACTACCTCTAAATATTCATTTTAGAACACATGTATGTTGTTTGGAGACATCATATGTTTTGTTGTAAGATGGCAAAATCATATGCCAAACAAATCGCAGCACCTGGCAACTTTTACAGATTTTACCCTATCTAGTACACAGTTGGTTCACTCATATTAATGTCATACTATATATGTTTAAATGCAATACGATTGGCATTCATCATAAATGCTCTCTATCTTTACAGGAGCTTGGGATACCTGCTGACAAGTCTCTTGTGACCGCCATGGCGAGGAATGAAACCAGACATCAGAGACTGGATAGCGTGGTTCAGCTCAGTAAGTCCTCTGTCTTTTCTTTGAAGTGTGAACATATCCAATGATTTGGATGGGAATTACAAAAATGATTGGTAGGAGACCGGTTTACTAACATATTTAAATTTATAGATGGATTTTTCCTGTGGACCTAGTGACAAATTATTCAATTAACATGTTATTAATGAATGCACTACAACACTTAGAATCCAGTCTGCTTAAAGTACTTGTTGCTATGTCAAGCAAGCCTTAGGCAAGCATTAGGGTTGTCAGGAACAACCTTTGTCTCAAAAGTATGTCTTATCTGAGGGATTAGATGATTAAGGATAAATGCTTTGCCCAAGTGCATCATTGTGTTTTTGCCTTGATCATTTGATTTTTTTTGAAGACCACTCTTGTACCCACTGAACTGTACTGTCTTCTTCAGAAAAATAAATGAAAAACACCAACACTTTTTGAGGGGGTTTGAGGGAGAGGTGTAACGATTTGTATGTTTAAACAATATGTTCTTATCAATTTTGAATGAGTGAATTGCTAATGCAGTAGCAGCATGAGTTGGAAAGATGATTGGAACAATGCTGCCCTTGTATTAGAGATAGTGTACAAAAATATCTCATTCTAGGCAAAGTTCTCAAGTGTGAAATGTGATGATAAGGATGATATCCTTCAGGTGCATTTGGCAGTGCTTCTTGATTGTGTGCTATCATCTACTTATTGTCATTTTCATTCCCTACAGTCAATGAATACAGAGATCTTGTTGATGTACCTCTCATAAAGGCTGGTCTGGTTGTTTGCTTCAGCAAGTGAGTACAGGTTTCTTACTTTGCTAATTGGTGGTCTTGGAATAAGTCAAATAACTGGTTTTGCTTAATACATCAACATGGAAACAGTGAATGAATCGTTCGTTCGTGTCTCCTTAGATCAAGATAGTTAGGTAAAGTTCCTCAATTATAATTAAATTAAATTAAATTAAGTTCTTCCATCGCCCGATTGAATGAATTAAACCCTATAATGGACTCTTTGGTACATGTCCTTCTAAATTAGTTTAGCGCAGTTTTTTGATAAGCCTATAAAGTCATGTCTAACACAGGGAAACTTTGAACTCAGTCTAATTTCTTTCCTTAAACTTGACTCTAAACTGAACTTCAACCTTGTATTGGGTTTACATTTTTGTAAGATATCTGCATTTGAGTGTTCAATTATGATATTTGTCTGTAAACGAAGTGGCACAAAAGAGGGTAATAACCAAGTGGTGTTTTTGTTAGAACATGCTCTTGTATTCCAAATAATGATGTTTTTTGTATTCAATGTTTTTTTTTTGTAGGAACCCTCAAGCAGAAGCAATGTTTCAGATCTGTAAACACCTGGTAGATAGCCATCAAGTCATAGAAGACAATAACATTACCAAGGAAGGTCAGTTTTGGACTTTGCTATTTGTAAATTTACAAAGAAATCTACAGGTACCTTGAGACCATGATTAAAATCCGGGGGGGGGGGGGGGGGGGGGGGGGGGGGGGGGGGGGGAAGGGGGGATCCAGACTCCCCTCCTTCTTTCCATTTGTATTATTGAAATATCCAGTTCCTTGGTGACTAATGTGCATGTGCTACACAGCATGTATGTCAGAGTCCCTTATACTTTTATTTATAATGCTCTATTTATATTTAGAATTTGACATTCTCAGATCAGGGTCCCGTCTTGTAAAGAGTTGATATCAATCGCAACTATGTACATATAAGAGATAGGAGACTGTAAACTTGTGATTGATTGGAGGACTTTCAATTGCTTTGGAGTTGTAAGACAGAGCTCTAAAGTAATACTTCAAGCTTGTACATTGGTGGTAGAATACAAGCATAAAGCCCAAAACATACATATGAACAACAAAAAACTTGCTGATCAGTCCCTCGGTGCGTGATTAAAATGTCCAATCAATTATGAACCAGTCCACAAGAGGAGAGGCCAATATGACTGGTAAACACATGCACCATGGAACATATCGTGTTGCTCTAAAGTTGTTGCTTGGGCTGTAGGCATCAGCTGTTACAGACAGACAGTGGTAAATACTGGTTAATTTGGCTTTTGAGTCAGAGTTGAATGTTTTGTTTTGTTTTTTAAATCAAAATGATTATTATGTTGTATAACTCAAATATTGCTTGTATATCATTTGTTTTTCAGACCAACTTGGGAGCTTCCTGTATGATATTGTCTCTAGCATCCCCATAAAACAAGCTTCGGTGGTCAAACCTGATCTGGATTTGTTATTTAAAAAACTGGCAAGAGAGGTAGGTTTCCCCTCATGTTTATCTTTCAACGTAAAATCTTGAATCTCATTTTTTTTTGTTAAATGGAGTGCACGAGGTCCTTCCCAGTTATGTGTGTAATCAAAGTTGTAATAAATTGTTGCTATTTGATTATAAAGAATGACCCATTGTGTTGCTGAAGTAATTTACAGCATCCTAACTCAATGTAGGCCGTATAATCAGATCATCGAAAGAAAGATAATGGAAACACTGAGATCCAATTTTCTTGTCATCACAAGCATAATAAATCTTCCTATGGTCTTAATGGGTTTATATCTAGTACAGCAACCCTAAAATTTAGAGCTCAATCACTTAATCACATTCATTTCGAGATCTCTTTCTTTACCCCCCTCACCAGGGTCTATACGTCACTGGGTCAAGGTATCGAGGGATTCGGAACCAACTGGATCGCATCAAGCTGCCCATGCTGAAACCTGCTGCTCTCAAACTCCTGGACCCTAGCGAGGTCCAGAAGGATCGCGTCGCTAACTTTGATGTTCTATCCGGAGAGGTATGTAGGATTCTGCCATGTTGTCCTTAAACAGATGTCTCCCAGAGGAACTTCTGTCCTTTGCTATCCTTTTAGTGGAGCAAGTTACCTTTCTGGTGATTCCAATCTCCAGTTATCCTGTAGAATTCTGTTATCCTTGTCCAGATATCTTCCAGAGGACCTTCTGTCCTTTGCTATCCTTTTGGTGGAGAAAGCTACCTTTCTGGTGATTCCAATCTCCACTTATCCTGTAGAATTCTGTTATCCTTGCTCAGATATCTTCCAGAGGACCTTCTGTCCTTCGCTATCCTTTTGGTGGAGAAAGTAATACCTTTCTGGTGATTCCAATCTCCAGTTACCCTGTAGAATTATGTTGTCCTTGTCCAGATATCTTCCAGAGGACCTTCTGTCCTTTGCTATCCCTTTGATGGAGAAAGTTACCTTTCTGGTGCTTCAAATCTCTAGTTATCCTGTAGAGTTCTGTTATCCTTGTCCAGATATCTTCCAGAGGACCTTCTGTCCTTTGCGATCGTTTGGGGAGAAAGCTACCTTTCACACTGTCCTATCCTTCAGGTAATCACTCATAGGTGTCTTCAAGCGAACCTAATTGAATATAATGTAATCATTATTTTTATATATTAGGAGGTATCCCTAGAGGAGCTAGAGGACCTTCTGTCCTTTGCTATCCCTTTGATGGAGAAAGTTACCTTTGGTGATTCCAATCTCCAGTTATCCTGTAGAATTCTTTCAGAGGACTTTCCGTCCTTTGCTATCGTTTGGGGAGAAAGTTACCTTTCACACTGTCTTATCCTTCAGATGTCTTCAAGCGAACCTACTTGAGTACAATGTGATTGTTGTTTTTCTATTAGGAGGTATCCCTAGAGGAGCTGGAGAGCCATCTAGTGGAGCTGAGAGAGAAAGGAGGCAACCTGAGAGGGATCCTGAGGAGACTCCTTCTCGTCCATACTACAAACAATGTAAGTTCATCAATCCTTCTTATCTGAGCTCTGTTTCATGATACTTTGATGACAACTGTAACATTCATCTAATCAAGCTCAGTGATTTTATTTGTACCAATCACCCAAGAGAAAAAAGTGTTTTGTATGTTAGTATTTTTATGTCCGAATAATAAATCAATTAATTAATATTTACTGAAAAAAATCAACATGGATATGCACACGTGGGGCAGGGTATTATTTTGCAGTCCCAACAGCAATAGGGTTTTCTCATCTTTTTTCCCTCAATACTGCTCAGCGAAAATACCTCTTTAATTAAAATAGGTTTGACATACATCATTTACTTATTTTGGGTAATATAATATATCCATGTCATTTTATTCTGAGATTATATGACTTTTCAGAGTGTTGTATCCAAACCCTTGTTTTCTTCTAGAACTACGAGCGAGCCATGGAGCTGAAAAAGGAGTTTGATGAGGCTCATTATGAACCAACAGGAGCTATCTTTGCCTGCCTCATCACCATGTGCAGTAACCAAGGCAGATTCACTGAAGCCATGGAATTCAAGGACAAATTGTAAGTCATTTCTTGCTGTTGTTGATGTAGCATGAGTTCAACAATAACATTCTTGCCAACCTTTCACATTTAAAATTGGTAATCTATCACGGCAAAATTAGGAATATAGTCCATTTTGTATACTATTCACATAGAATATTTCAGGAAAAAAGAGGAATCTAGGATTCAAAATAATAGGAATCATTCCTCCAAAATTGGAATTGTTGGCAGCTATGCAATAAATTACATTGGGGCTCAAAATTCATACATCTGGTTTTTAAAAAAAAGTGTTTTTTTTGTATACCTTTGTTAATAATCTCTTTGGTCACATTTGTATTGTGGTTTATTACAGGAGATGGGAAGGGATGTCCAGCAATGTAAATAAATTATGCTGTACGGTATTTGAAGCTCAACAGTGCTCATAGATATTCAAACAGTGAATGTTTTGATGTATTGTGATTGATTATATTCAAAGTAGCTGTTTCATGAATTACTTGTGAGTTTTCAGCTGAATCAATGTTCAGGTAGGATACAAAAGAATTTGATGAACTTCATTGTTTATATTTTGGGGGTAAAATGTTTTTCATACTTTTCTTATTTCAGGCATAAGTTTGACCCCAGCTTCAAGCTAGACATCTCCAAGTATCGCTTCCTGATCTGCCACCTTGCGAAAGAAAATCAACTCCCAGGTCAGTCAGTGTCTTTTCATCTTCACATGTACAGTCAAACCTGTCTATAGAGACTGCCGAAGGGAAACACAAAAAGTGGTCTTTGTAGACGGATTCCTTTAGTACATGTTTCAATGAAAAACCATTTTCAAGGGAAACAAAAAATGTGGTCTTTGTAGACAGGTGGTCACTAAAGCAGGTTTGACTGTATTGTGCTTTTATTCAGCTCTGCTACCTTTGTATACTATCCAAGGGACTGGGTAATTGAAGATTGTGCTTTCACACTCAAGGACACTAAACACTGCCTTGTCTTTGAGTGTGGGACATCCCAGTCACAAAACAGCAGCTCTACCTTCATTCCTCTATTTACTGGACATGAAACTCTTAGATGCTAATATGTAGTACTGCTTCTAAGACAGCAATTGTGTTAAGAGATCTGTTTATATTATGACACTGCCATAGTATATTGAAAATCAATTCACAATGCTGATTAGCATCTTACTAGGGTTTTCGTGGTATGAAGAGGTGAAACTGGAACTTGAAATTTATAATACAGTAATAAACACATTGGTGTAAATATTGGTGTATGAAGCAAGATGAAAGGCATAAGAAAATATTAAAGCTTATATTGAATCTGGTACTGGACCTTTATACATAGTAAGGTATATATGTACAATATACATATATACCTTCTTCATAGTCTGTATCTGTGTATTGTATTTACATGATTCAACAGAGAAACAGGTGATGATTTACATGTGCACACAATGAACACAACTGTATTGCAAGTTCCAATGGATGAAAATCTAGATAGGTATCTTGCCACTGGACATTCCTATAAACCTATTTGACATTGTGTGTGTGTTTAGCTGCCTTGGACATGGTGCAGGAGTTGAAGGAGCTCGGTGTGGACACGGACCGCATGGAGAAGCAGACCTTCCACATTCTGAACGAGCTAGCATCCCTGGGACTTAGCGAGGAGGTGGAGCGCATCTTTGAGACGATGGTGGAACTTGGTCTGGTGAAGCCTACCAACAACCTCGTGGGACCCGTTGTGGGTGCATACATGGCCAAGTAATGCTTTGTTCTCTTTCATCAGTTACCTTATCAGAGCGAGAGGAGAGGGTCATTCAAGATCTAAAGATGATTGAAAAACATTATTTCTGCTTTTACAAATTTTCCTGGACATGTTGGGGATTCTAATTTTATGGCTATTGCCTGAATTCAGGCCCTGATATCTCCAAAGTTCTGGGCCCCAATGCACAAAACTTACCATTGATGGTAACTTTGCCATCAATTTTATCTGCCATGGAAACCTTGATTTTGATTGGCTGTGGAGCCCTGTTACCATGGTAGTTGGCAAAGTTACCATCAATGGTAAGTTTTATGCAACGGGGCCCAGATCTAATGATGATTAAAAAAACATCGTTTCTGCCTGGACATGTTAGGGATTCCAATGTTATGGCTATTGCCTGAATTCAGGCCTTGACATCTCCAAAGTTCATGCCTCTTCAGGCTTCATAATGTAAAGTACATATGGGACAATTCCAACAAGTCTTGGTGCAAGACTAACTGTTATATTGGCTCATCTTATAAAGTCCTCCGTTCAATCCCAAGTTTGCAGTCTCCTATCTCTTATGTACATAGTTGCAATTGATATCAATCGCAAATAAGTTATGATTAATATCAAATCTTTATAAGACGGGCCTGACCTTTAACTTGTTGCTCAATAGGATTATTTCAAATTGTAAGTTTCCAGTTGGAAACAAAAACATCTATAAATCTCTCTATGATAGAAGATGACTTGTGAAGTGAAAATTTATGAGCAAAATGGTACATAAATTGAATGAATGGATACTAAAGCTTGTAGTGCTCTATATCAAGGATTAACTCTTGTTTGAAATGATTGATTTACAGGAACGATCTGGAAGGAGCACTGGCATGTATCCGAGACTGCCAAGCCAAGTACAGCATCATGCCTCACTTCCAAGATGTCCTTGTTCGTCTGGTGGAAGAGGGCCATACAGACCAGCTTCAGAAGGGTAGGTTGATGAGGCAGAATTGGGGTGGGGGTGGTGGATGGTAGTGATGGTGGTAGTGGTGATGATGACAGTGGTGGTGGTGGTGATGATGTTGAAGAGGAGATGAGGATGTTAAATTTGTAAGTGTTGTGGTAATGAAGATGCTAATCGTATAAATAATAGGGAGGATGATGGTGATGATGATGATTGGGTTGTAGTGATGATGATGTGTTAGTGGGGGTTATGCTGTTGAAGGTTATGCTGTTGAAGGTTATGCTGTTGAAGATGATGCTGATGTTGGTCATGATGACACTGTTATTATTGTTTGAGTGGTGGTAGTAGATTTGAAGATAGTGTTTGTTTGGGTCATGATGGAACGATAAGTAATGTCACTACTGATAATGATAATGATAACAATGATGGTAATGATCGTGATCATCATGAGCAAGATCATGATGTAAATATAATAACCACATGTAAATCCATCTCTATCTTTACCTATAAAGCAATGGACTTTGCGAGCCAGCAGCACGGTGATATCAACATGCTATATGATCTCATCTTTGCTTTCTGCACATCTGGAAAATACAAAGAAGCCATGAAGCTCATTGAGGTAAGATGTGAATTCCAATATTGTTTACCATATAAAGAAAACTTTCAAACTTTCAAATAATACTAATAAAGAAACTGGTCTCAAAAGAACTCCATTTTTTTAAATTGGAAATGTTCAAGGGACTGTATGGTGCTATGTTTGACATGTTAGACGTGGTTACATGCATGATAACTTTGCACACAAAAGTAAAGAGCATGCAATAGTAACAAGTGATGGTGCCGTCATGTTATTCTTCAGGTTGCTAATAAATTTTCAGTTTTCCTCAAATCATTTTGTATTCATGTTGACAAGAAGCATATGATGATGTTGGCGATGATGATGATGATGATGATGATGACCGTGATGATGGTGGCAATTATGGTGGTGATAGCGATTATGATAAAAAATGATGATGGCTGATACATGTATTTAACTCCACTTGCTTACCACTATCCCCTTCAAACAGACCCCAGGTATGATCGCTAAGAACAAGCGCATGCAGTGGTATGCCGAGCGTTGCATCGGAGCTAACAATGTGGAGGCCTTACAGCAACTGACGGCTATCACCAAAGACCTGTATGCGTGTGACAGGGACCAGATGTACTTCTATCTCATTCAGTTACACAGTATGTTATCCACACCTTTAACGTTTATGCCCCCTCTTTCATTTAGAGAGATTTAGAAGGATAAATAGATTAGAGAAAATTCAAGCTATTTTGTTCCATTTCTCACCGACTACTAAAAATTGTAGTATAAGTGATGGATGCTTTAATTTGATTGTCCTGTTATATTGTGGGTCAGATATAGTGTGATCAAGGAAATTATATTTGAATGGTCATGTTTAGGACACAGAACACAACTTGACCGAATACATTGGACTTGTGCATAAACACAAACAAACATAATCCTTGAATTCCTTTAGTCACATTGAACTAATTCAAATATTTCACAATGATCCTTGTATCATATTTGGTTTGAATCTTTTTGAACATCGTACTCTCCTGATGTGAATACTGTTTACTTGACATCAGTGATCATTGGACACCACAATTATAGCATTCTTCAGATTTCGGACATTCGATTCAAACAAGAAGGTGCAAGGCTCTGTACATAAGACCTTGTAGGATTCAAAACCATCAACAATTCGCTGCTAAGGCAGAGCAAAACACAATCCCTTCATATGTCACCTCTTTTTATTTTGCTCCAAAGCTCGAAACAACGATGTTGATAAGTGTCTGGAGGTGTGGGCTGCTATGCAAGAAGAGGGTGTGGTCCCCAGAGACAGGACGATGCGTTACCTTGCCAACGTACTCCGGTCTTACGACAGGTCTATACCATTCGAGGTCCCTCAGCTCACCGCTGATCAGGTACTGTTTTATGACACTTTTATTTCTTGATACTTCAAAAGAAAAGTGTTGATTTTGTTGGCATTTTTGGAAGAATTTGTGCAAGTGCATACTAAAATTGTGTTTATACAAGAGTGCATTATTGAAGAGCAAATTCATAAAATGACTCTTAATCTCTTAATGTATTATGGCAAATATATTTCAAGTAAACTTAAGGATTTCATTCTTTGTTTTAATCTTTGTGAAGGTGTTGTATGTTTTCCTCAAAGTAAATCTCCTTTGGGGTAAAACAAGACATCAAACTTACTTAGTATAAACTGTTCACTATTTAAAATACTAAAACAGATTGTTGCTTTAATGTTCCTATAACAGATTAATGTACTAAACAAATTTGTATTTGAAATTTATCAGTCTTAATTGAACATGATGTATTTGTTTGTTATCTCGTAAAATAGTTGGAAATTAACTCTAAATTTGTTGTACTTTGTAGTTGTGAAATAATCTTCCTTGTTGACATATTTTCAATTAATTTTGTCTTTAGCTTGGCAACGATGATCTAAATTCCACTGAGAAGATTGAACGTATCCTGAAAGCAGGAGTAAGCCTTTTTCAGTTTCTTTCTTAGTGTTATCTGCTCTTTTTGTTGTTGCAATATTTAATTCATGGTATTAAGCTAATATGTTTGATGTAAAATTTTTATTCTGATTGCACCCTGATTTTTTTATATATTGGTGACACAAAATTTGTTCCATAGACAATTTCTTTGTTGTTGTTGTAGTTGTTGTGTGTTTTTTTTTTGGGGGGGGGGTTAACTTTTTTCATGTTCTTTTATTTAAAACAAAGATATAAAATTTAGGATTAGGGATGCAATTGATATTTTTGTAAAGTGGCTTATTATAACACCTTGTGTAATGTTTATATCAGAGTTCTTTTTTAATGGGTTTTTGCTTTGTGACAATTTCTTAAAGGTTATATAACGTCGGTTGAATTCACCCAATGAAATATGAAGAGTTCCATATCCTTTTTGATCAGTTCCAATCAATTCAATTTTATTTCAGTTTTATAATAAAAAGGGAACATAAGTTCAGAGATTAATATTGTCATATTTACAGTAAAATACAAGAAAACAGGATATAAGGTTATAAAATGTACATTGAAATATAGTACAAATATTATTTTAAATAACATCCTTGCAGTTCCCCATGAATTGCAATAACTTATCATTCCTTCCTGCTTTTGTCTTGCTAATCTGTAGAATATTGGAGGAGCTGAGGAGCTTTTGAAAGAAGCTCTTGCTGAAGGGAAGGAGGTTGGTGCCGGTGTCTATGATAAGATCATCTTTGAGATGCTGAAGCAGGGCCACATTGATGATGCTCTAGCTTTGAAAGATCTGTAAGGATGTTTTTCTGTTATCATGCCCTGTATCACTTCCAGTAAACTGATCATTTTCTCTTTGAGGGTGTTCCTCAGGGATGTTCGCGTGCACCATAGCTGGTAATGTATTTACCATGCACAAAGCATGGAGTTCCTGGTATTGTACATAGTAAATACATGATCAGCTGGCCTTGTGCAGAGACGGCGCAAACAAACATTACTGCAGGATGTCCTTAAGAATGCCATTGAACATCTACTATTATCTTTAAGTTGCTATATTTTTCTACAAGAGTATACAATAATAGTATTTAATAAATTCTGCAGCACTGAATGTTCTTCAGTATTCTTGCTGGACTATTGTGACTATTGCCATAGCGCATTAATGTAAGCTTGTTAGGTATCATGTAATGGTAACGATACTCTGTGATAATGTCTCTTAGAAGTATAGTATTTAACACGAAAGATTATTAATTAATTTTTTATTAGAGCGGAGAAATCTTGTGACTTCAAGATGTCTGTCCTCCTTAACAACAAGCTTCTCATTGAGTACGTCAAGAAAGGAGACATTGAAAGTAAGTTTGAATTTACAGTAGACATCTTGATTTTGTTATAGAGGTGGAGACGAGATAACAACAAATATTGTCTGTTTTTAAGAAGAGTGCTGAAGAGTTTGATGAGTTTTCCAATCAAACCAGATGATTGTGTAGGTGGGGAGAAAGAAAGTGTTAGACCACAATAATGTCTGATTTTAAGATGATTATTGGAACATATTTTTGATCTAGTTTGTCACTCACAATAGGAATTTAACACCATTAATTGCTAGACCAAGTACACCCAGATTTAGAAGTTTGTGCTGAAAAGAGATAGTGTCTCATTCACTCCGGGTGTGTATTAAACACCATCATAATTTTATATTTTAGGTGCAGAGAGGCTGCTTGACCAAACATTGGAAGCAGACAAATTACCGAGACCATCAGGGATCAGGATGCTCTCAGAGAGATACGAGCAGGACGGACTCCTGGACAAACTCCTGACCTTGAAGGAGAAGTACGAGGAGAGGACGCAGTCTCGCTTTCCCATCGGCAAGTCAGTCTTAGGAGCTTACATTGTGAAGTAAGTCATCAAAGATTCACTTATGGAGTGTGAGGAAACTGGTTTAATATTAGTTACACATGAAAATGATACTTGTAGTTAATTAAACTTTTAAGGAGACACTGAACAATCATTTTGAACAAACAGTTGTAATATATGTATGTCCTTATGCGCTTAAGTAATATATGGTCAAACCATCACTGCATTGTTCTGGTTTCCAAGCAGAAATTTCTTACAGCAGATTTAGAGTTTGTACGAGAAATCAATGGTTTATTGTTTGTGTGTGATTGGTTATGTATGCTTCATCTAAATGCAATTTTTTTCTTCAGAGTATCAGGAATTTTTATTCAGTCAGATGTTCCAATTAGAGACAAACTCTATTAGCTTCATGACCATGTTGTGCTCATCATGCAAGACTTGTAATCACAAAGTGCAGATAAGTCTTCAGTTGACCCCTGACCTATGACATTGACCCCTTGCCCTCGTTTGACCTTGCAGGGGTGATTTAGGAGGTGCAGTGTCATACATAGAGAAGGAGCTTGAGGAGGATCCCAGCAAGTCTAGACGGATCGGTATGAGGTCGTTCTTTGGCAAGCTGCTTCAGAAGGACCAGCCAATGGATGAGGGTAAGATACCGGTCGATGGATTAAATGATGGATGGGGGACAAGATGATCGAGTTCTGAGAAAGACAAACTGTATTGAGTCATTCCGTGGCAAACTTCTACCGACGGATCAGTACACGTGTGCCGATGTGCAAAAGATTGAATCATTAATATATTAAATTAATTGATTAATGGATGAATGAAAAAAAATGGATGGATAAATGGCTGAATTTGAGGGGTTGATTGGTTAATTGATTTGAATTCTAAGTATGACAGATCTTAACATCATTCTTTGGCCAACTTCATCGGAGGAATGATGACAGTGAATATTTTGTGATGGATTGATTATTGTATTCTAGTTCTAAGGAAGGCAATTCATTATGACTGTATTCTACAGGTTTCTTTGCAAGAACCATTCTATGGATGAAGATATGCAAGACACAGTTTGTTTAGTTTCATTTGAAAGTTTTTATTGGACATTGAATTTTTTCTTCTTTAATTTCTTCTGTATTAAAAAAAATGGTTTTGAACTTTGCTCTACTGAAGATTGCTTTTACTTTTGACACAATTTGTTTGCGAATTAGTGATCATAATGTAATTTCTCTCTTCATTTCACTGTTTCTGTTTTTGCCCCTTTCTCTCATTGATCATCTTTCTAACCCTCATTTCTTTTCTCTCTGCTCTCTTTCTCTTTTTAAATCAAAGCTTTTACAATGGTAGACAGATTAGCAGCCAAAGACATCGAGGGCCCAGTATGGCAGCTTCTCTACGCTCATCTGGACAATGGCAAAACAGAAGGAGCCAAAGAAGTCATTCAGGTAATTAGCAGCTGGCCTAGGGAGTGATTCATTTTGTACAGCAGTAGTTCTTAAAGCGGAAGTCCATCCTGGTATTGAGTCAACTTGCAGAACAGCATAAATATGAGAGCAACAACATTGAAAGTTTGAGGAAAATCTGATAAGGGTAGGGTAGTTACAAAATGCCGAAGTTGTGTTAGATGACACACAAATTAATTAGCTCTGTGATTTCCTTTCCGAATTTCCGTTCTCAGAATTTTATAAATTTACATTTTTCTTCAAAGAAAATATGTTGTCATACTTGTACCCCACTCTGTACTTTTACTTTTCCTCAATTACCAAGAAGAATGGCAATTTTCAACAAGTCTTTGTACAAAACAAAAACTTCACCATATTATGATGAGCATCTGTTATAACAGTATTCCTGAGAATGAGGTTCCTTCCTTTTTGTAATCAGAAGAGATGGATGATCCATTTTTACAGGTTTTCGCAACCTCCATGGAAAGCCTTGCATATCACCTTTGTAAATATTGTTAAAATTTACTGTTACCTTGTATACTTTGATTTTTATATTGCGAAATAAATTGAATTGGATTGAGATTGATACCACGTATTGTCCCTTTCTTCCTACAGAGATACGATGTGATCAGAGAGAAGTCATCTGGTTTGATAGGCTACGTCATAGAGATGGTGGGATCAGATGATGATGTGGTAAGAAGATTGATTTTAAACAAAAGGGTTATTAAAGAGAGGGTAGAGTTCTGGTAGAGGGGAAGAATATTTTAGCACCAATGCCACTTTCTAAACTTATTTTATTAGGAACATGCTTGTCAGTATTTCGTTACTTTTATAATTCATTTGTTCTATTATATATTGTAATACTGTATGGTTTATATATGTCATTTAACTTGTGGATATTTGAGTGGAAAATAAATAAAGTCAAATCAAATCAAAAAATCAAATCAATGGAAGGCAATATCCTGAAATGTTCTCACCTTCCAGGTAAAACTAGAAATGGTTTAAAGGTAAGGATCAAATGTTGTTATCAAATGTGCATGCAGTCCCATGTACCCATATATGTGTGCAGTGAATTGAGCAAGATTTTGGTTTATTAGTTATAATTTTGATGATTCCATGACCTTGCAACACACAATTATTCATGCTATTTACATAAGCAGCCCTTCCCAGTAAGTTTTGACCAGCACTCAACTCTACTAAACACAATTCTTAACCAGTAAATTCCTTCACCAGCATGCTGTATGAAAAGTAGTTGCTAAGGACAAGTTTGTGTCAACCTTCGTTCATATTTGTCATATATGAACAATTAATCTTTTGATATTCTTCTCTAGGATATCTTCTTTTTCTTTTGAAGGTTACCTTGTTGTATTTTCATACCAGTCAAAATCATATTAGAATTTATATTCTCAAATATAGATGAAGTGTCATGAAAATACAGTTGTAAAGGTAAATGTTGGCTCGGACATAAAGTTTTCAATCAAATAGCACCTTGATACAACTTTAATGAGAGTTATTAATTCGATTCCTCTGCAATGATTATGTTTTTCAGGAAGGAAAGATTGAACAGGTCTTACAGATCACCAAAGATGAGGATTATCTTGATAGAGCAAAGATCTACTTCTACCTACTCAAATCATATGGTAAGTCCCTCTTAGTAATCCAGACTGTTGAGAAAAAATGAAAAATAGAAGAAGAAGAAATGGTCGCACTTATTGATACATGTATCGTAATGCCATGGTATGAACATAATTCTTATTGTAACTGGAAATGAATTATCGACATGTCCAAGGTATGTCTCACATATTACCAAGTTTTGTTGAATTCATTTTGACATTGTGAACATAAATATTTGATTTGATGATTTTTGTCTGATTCAAGCCGGAGTCGTGCTATAACGTCAGATATAGTGAAATCTTAGATGTTGTCGGTAACATCTGGGACAAAATAGCTTTGACTTTTCCCTCACTAAATGTTAGTGTTTCCTATTATAATTTAATTATTATTTTAATCAATAAACGATCCAACTACTTTGACAACTATGTCAAAGTGATGACTTAACCAAATGATTTATTTTAATGCAGAGAGTCCTTGTAATAATACAATTAATGATAAAACAAATTAATTTGATTGATTTGTGTTCTCTTCATCTGTAGATAATGAGAGTAACTACGAGGGTGGGTTGACGGTGAAGCAGAGGATGGAAGATGAAGGTCTACACATGAGTGATTTCATGCTCAAGAGACTGGCTTTATTACTCAAGAAGACTGGTCAACCTGTCCCATTTGATGAACCACCAGTGAGTAAACCAATAGACCTTCGGGGCGTTTCACAAAACTTGTCATCAGTGACAAATGACAGTTTTTGTTATAAGCTACTGAAATCCTTGCTTCTGATTGGTTGTCAACAGATTTGTCACTGATTTTTGTCATTTGTCATTGAAAAAAGGCTTTGTGAAACGGGTCCCTGGCCCCTGTTGCATAAAACTGGCCATCGATGGTAACTTGCATAGAAACCTTGATTTGATTTGCTGTTGAGTGATGTAGCCATGGTAGTTAATATTGATGGCAAAGTTACCATCAATGGTAAGTTTTATGCAATAGGGCCCTGTTTAGTAACATTTTTAAATGTATGGATGTTTCTTTCCTGGGGACCTAGTGTTGAGTTATTCCTTTAACCTGTTCAACCATGATTCTATAACTAAGTGAAAATACAAAAGCTTGTCCCTATGACATTTCTTTCTCATTTTACTATCTTAAGCAAAGTAATTTTTATTCTGTTACAAAATTCAAGTAATTTATGTAAAACTTTTGGCTTTACACCTTGCCTTTTACAGATCAGTGTACTGTAAAATTAAGGTAGGTCCAACTTTGGTCGCTTTCAAGAATATGGGCCAAAGGCATTTATTGGAGAATTGCATTGTAGCTCATAAGTGTTTTCCACAAGAATACTTGCATGTTTAAGAGTGTACTTATTTGCTGATCAAGATAGCAGTTTTTGATAGGTACTTTTGTATCTTTATTGAAACTCTGTTCATCCATTCTCCTTTCCCCCTCCTCATCTTGTACCAGAATCCCATCTCATTCTACCGAGAGAAGCTCAGACTGGAGGACAAAGACAACCTACCCGAGATCAAGATCACAGAGGATGAGAGCTGATCCCAGTCAAACAACTCTTATATGAACATTGAAATCCTACCTGGATACAGAAGAAGAAGAAGAAGATGAGGATAATGGTGATAATGGTGATGATGGCGATGGTGATGATGAAGCATGACAGGAGACAGTGTGAAAGGGTCTGATGGTGGGCACTTGGTCAGCCGTGCGAAATGGATAGGAGGACATGCCAGGGGTAGTTGGGCAGAAAGATTTATAATTTTTTGTTTTCTATGATTTTGTATGGTTTTTTACATCAATAGGCCTGTTTTGAGATTTATTTATTGTATTTTGATTTGACAGTTGCAGTACTCGGGCTGTTTCCCTTTTCACGGCAAATCCATCGTAATGTATTCTAATGCGTTTAAATTTTCATGTGGTTGTTATTCATGAGCAGTTATGCTCCAGTCACACCAACGAGACAGACACCGGGCTGAAAACGGACCAAACCATCTGTTTGGAGCCAGAAGGGCGCTAACTCTTTGTAAAATGATATGAATTAATGCCCTTCTGGCTCCAAACAGACAAAACAAAAGGTTATGTTACCCCCGAATGGCCAAGAATTTGTCGGTTAGGAGTCCGTATGGAGTCGGTTCGGCGATGCGACTGAGGTACTTGTATATTACCCATAGACATGGATATGCTATGGTAAGTTAAGGTGTGAATGGGATCTAAATGTGTATGATTGAGAGGTTGGTGATTGTTGTAATTTGAGATGCTGAGAAAGACTTAGGATCTTCCTTTTCAAATCTCTCTGCCGTATTGATAGAGCATCATCCCCTTGATGTGATCACATCCTTAGAAAATAAATGAACTGTGTTAAATGCACATTTTTAACAGAAATTTAATTAACTAATGCGTCATATATTGTCAAATTAAACATATTCATCATGAAAAGTAGCATTTTTATTGCTTCAAGCATTAGTTGATAATATGATTACTGTAAAAGCAGTTGTTTTTTTGCAAGTTATTTTACCTGCAGACTATTAAAAAACAACAGAGAACGTACTTATGGGTGTTTGTAATTCATGCTACTAATGAGTAATAACATTTTAAAATATGTATTTTTGTGTAATATGGTGGACCATGCAGAAAAATAAATGAAAGGAAGTGAGTTACTGGTTCAATTTACAATAGATTTTTGCAAGATGTGTATTTCTCAATTATTTTGATTCACTGATAACTCATTTCTTGTATTCCATTGAAATTCATTTCTGTAACATTCAAGATATTTTGTGACTGAACTACTTTTCTTCTTTACTTGAAGAATAAACATATAATCTGGAGATATGATTACAGTGGAACCTCATTATTACAAACTCTCTGGGACCAAGAAAGGTACCATGTTAAATTAAGCCTTGTTATATCATAGCTACTAATAATAGAAAACAAAGAATTGGGACTATCAACATTACCATGTTTTAACATGAGTTTGTTATGACAATGTTCTTTATTATGAGGTTCCACTGCATAACTATTGGTATAACTGAACGATTTATGAGCCAGTTACCTGGTAGTTACAGACGCTTCATATGTACTTTGACCTGTGTTTCATTGACAAATGAATTAATTGGTGTAGTTATTGATCTACGTAATCAATGTATTTTACAAACATAACGTTCATGAGATTATTCCACAAAATTGATATACACGTGCAATGTATATTTACGAACTGTTAACCTCTCTGTAAGCTTTCGTATTCTGTCTTACTTTTTGTGCTTCTCCAAAAGTGAATATTATTTATGTTTTTAATTCTTAATGCCCAATACCCTCTGAAAGTGCATCTAAAGCATATTTTCTCCCCATTTATGAATTAGTAGAAGAATGTTGCACAATGGCTGTGCACTGTCCTAAGAAAGTGTTTTGGTGATAGGTGCCCCCCCCCCCTGAATTCATGTTAGTTTTGTATATCATTGAAGTAAATATATGAATTTGAAATGTAGTTTGTCAATGATACCATTATGAGATATGATTATTGATATGCTTTCTTTGTCAGTGCGTGGATTGTGCAGTCTTTCTGTATTGCATCACTTACATGTATAGTCATATTTTGACAAATTAAAATTTATTAAAGATGAGACTTTAATCATTTTGTCAATTCATGATTTGTGTATTTTCTAAAAAATTATATATATGTGTAATAAAAAGTATAATACACTGTTTGTAATGTATTACAATTTAAAATTCATATAGGCGGATACTGCATTGACCAACAACAATTAAATGTAAATGATAAATAAACCAAATACATGTACATTAAAAGACATATAGTTCTCTGCTTTAGAACTTTAAAAGTATAACGATTTGTTACAGGGGGATTCATTTCAATAATCTTTTTCAATGGTGGATTTGCTATTGCTATAATTGCAAATTTGTGCAAGCTTTAAGTAGAGACTTGCATGATATATAATATCAGTAATAATAAAAGTTGGTTTGTTTACCAAAGTTAGCATCGGTCATTTTTACCCCAGTAATCTCCAGGTACACATTTACACATGTGGATTATTAATTTCTTTCCAAAAGACGTTAGTGACCGTTAGTGCCATGCTGAGATTCGAACCTTTAACCCTTACATTGAGAGTTGAGTGAATGAACCACTAAACCACAACACCTCCACACATTAATCAGTAAGTGAGCTGGTCTTTTAGTGCTCTACCGAGTTAAAGTGAACACACTTCACATCAGTAAGTTCATAGCCGCTCGATTTGGGTTCACCAAACTTTTCTCTTATCTTAAAGTCGACGTACTGGGTGCAAACAAAGCAAATGATAAATGGCATTGATTAATGAACTCTTATGGACAGTCATGCCAACAATGTTGTGTTCCCACGTATCAATGTTAAGAGTAAATTATTATTGTCATACTTATCTGAGAGATAATGGCACAAAAGCCAAGATCTATAAATGCTGAATGACTTTCAAAACAACTAACTTCAAGTTCAGGTTTTTTTGGGTGTCTGTAAAAATGTCAACTTCAGGTATGGGTGCAGGAACATATTTTCCACCAACAGAATGTACTTTACAGATAGTTGACTGGCTTGAAAAACAGGGAAGAAAGAAAGAAGGAAAGGAAAGGGTTCTAATGTATAAATTTGCCGTCAAGGGTAAATGAAAAACATGATTTTTAAAATTGTCAACACTGGAATTTCGACAGATATCTGGAGTGGGTGTCCCAGATGACGTAATGTATTATAACCCATTGCTACGAGATTGTGCATGTGCGCTCACGTATGCACAAACTTTTTAAAATGAAGACTTTGAACCATATTATAGTGTTTGTTGTTTGTATTGTTGCGTGTTTTGTTCCTCAATCATGGGTATGATATGCGACGTGTTTATGACGTTAGTATACCCGAGTTGACCCGAAAATACTATTTTATCTATTCTATGCTAATAAACACGCACCTCTATTCTAATTTTAGAGCACAGGGTTAAGAATGAATTATTTCACTCCGAACGTTCCTCTGAATAGTAATGACTGGTAATGAAACTACTGTTTCAGTTCGATGTAACGCCCTTTAAGAAAGTTTAATGACCTTAAACTTTAAAGGAAGATATTTTAGTTTCGGTTAGGAGTGTAATGATAACCCTAATGTTTATCATGTCAAAGCAACTTGTCATGTTAAAAGAATAGCAATAATATCTAGCTTAGTCCATTCTCTTATCTCTTTTTTTCTTCTGTTAAATCTGTGATAGTGTTCATGTAAGTTTCTGTCCAAAATCTCGGAATCGTCGCTGAAGTTAAGACTGATGTGTGGAGGAAAAGCGGCATATGTTGACAAAGATGGAGGAGAGAAAGAAAAAGAAGAAGAAGAAGAAGAAAAAGAAGAAGAAGAAGAAGAAGAAGAAGAAGAAGAAGAAGAAGAAGAAGAAGAAAAAGAAAGAAAAAAGAAAGAAGAAGAAGAAGTTGGAGAAAGAAAGAAGAAGAAGAAGAAGTATGGAGAAAGAAAGAAGAAGAAGTTGGAGAAAGAAAGAAGAAAAAGTTGGAGAAAGAAAGAAGAAGAAGAAGTAGAAGAAAGAAAGAAGAAGAAGAAGTAGGAGAAAGAAAGAAGAAGAAAAAGAAGTAGGAGAAAGAAAGAAGAAGAAGGAGAAAGAAAGAAGAAGAAGAAGTAGGAGAAAGAAAGAAGAAGAAGAAGTAGGAGAAAGAAAGAAGAAGTAGGAGAAAGAAAGAAGAAGAAGAAGAAGAAGAAGAAGGAGAAAGAAAGAAAAGAAGAAGTAGGAGAAAGAAAGAAAGAAGAAGAAGAAGTAGGAGAAAGAAAGAAGAAGAAGAAGTAGGAGAAAGAAAGAAGAAGTAGGAGAAAGAAAGAAGAAGAAGAAGAAGAAGAAGAAGGAGAAAGAAAGAAAAGAAGAAGTAGGAGAAAGAAAGAAAGAAGAAGAAGAAGTAGGAGAAAGAAAGAAGAAGAAGAAGTAGGAGAAAGAAAGAAGAAGTAGGAGAAAGAAAGAAGAAGAAGAAGAAGAAGAAGAAGGAGAAAGAAAGAAAAGAAGAAGTAGGAGAAAGAAAGAAGAAGAAGAAGAAGTAGGAGAAAGAAAGAAGAAGAAGAAGTAGGAGAAAGAAAGAAGAAGTAGGAGAAAGAAAGAAGAAGAAGAAGAAGAAGAAGAAGGAGAAAGAAAGAAAAGAAGAAATAGGAGAAAGAAAGAAAGAAGAAGAAGAAGTAGGAGAAAGAAAGAAGAAGAAGAAGTAGGAGAAAGAAAGAAGAAGTAGGAGAAAGAAAGAAGAAGAAGAAGAAGAAGAGAAGGAGAAAGAAAGAAAAGAAGAAATAGGAGAAAGAAAGAAAGAAGAAGAAGAAGTAGGAGAAAGAAGAAGAAGAAAAAGTAGGAGAAAGAAAGAAGAAGTAGGAGAAAGAAAGAAAGAAGAAGAAGAAGTAGGAGAAAGAAGAAGAAGGAGAAGAAGTCGGAGGAGGAAGGGAGGGAGTAAGGGAAGGAAGGCCTGGGCGAAATTGGAGATAAACGAGAAGTGGCACTCTGGTTCTGAAATGGGGGAATAGCGCAATTAACATTTTTAATGGCCTCTGGACTTTGAAAATAAAGAGAAATAATATGGTTAATTTGTAAATTATTCTGATCCGTCTCGAAAACACAAACTGTACTGAATATATTTTTGTAACATACTTGTACTTTGTGTAGGAGCTATCAACAAGGCAAACGGAGGGGGAGGGGCAATAACTGAAAAAGCCATATCACCTATATCTGTTTACTAGTTTGAGGGATGGTCAACTTATTACCAGTGAACATTGACCATGCAGATCATTTAAATAAATAATCGTTTTCCGACCGTCATGCAATTCGAGACTGATTGAAAGCAACATTCGTGCCTGCATAACATTGTGATTAAAAGTGTTGCTGTAGCACGTACGCATTGCCTCTCTTTGGATCTAACCTGTACTTTCGCAGAACAAACAAGATACATGTATATATATATTTATCTTAGGATTGTAAATACGGCAAGAAAGCATGCCATGTACTCGTATATATTGCATTGCTTTCTGTAAAGCCAAGATCCAACGTTTACGATATTGAAGACGAAATTTCTATTTTCTGAACTTGATTGTCGATGGATCTTGAATTATAGTGACTCTTGCCATTTTCTTTCTAATCACGGTCGAAATGGAGAATGGATTTCACGTCACTTCAACTGACAGGGCCGGTAAGTGTGCCGAATTTTCAGGACTCCCTTGCTAACGAGTTTTCGGGAAAATATATGTTTAAGTTTTCTTTGAAATTTAAGCCTAGAGTGGAATCAGCACTATTCTTAATAGACATTGGTGTACATTAAAACTTGCTGTGATGTTTCATCAGTTTGTACTTAATGGAAATATTTTGACAAAGATATAATAATATGTTCTCATTCTAAAATTTTGAAAATAATGAACATCTGTTGACAAACTGACAATCTGATGACCAGCTTGAATCTTGTCGGCAAATTAAGAATTCAAATAGGGGCGTGGAGACTCGAGGGGAGGGGGGGGGGGCGTGGACCGTGGGGTAAACTTTTCAGCTATGTTGTCGGAAAATTTGGTTTGACATCCCTCTCCACCTTCTCTTTCCCTCCTCTTCCCCTTCTCTTCCCCTTCTTTTCCCCAGTTCAAAGTGGCCTGTCGATGCCCTTGTTTTAAGTTTCTTTTCTTGCTACTATTTAGAGAACACTCGGGCACAGGGCAAGAAGCTCTTTACTCCGGGTCCTCTGTGTGTCAGTCTAACAACCAAAGAAGCCATGCTTCAAGATCTAGGCTCAAGAGACCATACATTCATCAACATTCTCCAGTCAGTACGAGACAGTTTACTTCAAATTGCAGGTAATGATACAAGATCTACCTAGCTAAGTATAAAAGGCAGAAGCATACAAGGGTGGGGCGCGGGAAATTGGGAATACAGGGGGGGGGGTGGGGTTCAGTCATGCACTCCCACGCGTTTTAGTAACCGTCACCTAAGAGATATTCACGCAGAAGTTTATGTCCAACTGTCAAAATATGATATGCATTTTCTGTTGAAATTTATGTTATAAATAAGCATATCACGTGATAATGATGTCATTAATTAGTTTTTCAATCATCATAACCCTTTAAAGGTACTATGTCCCTTTTGCAGGCCAAAAATGAAAAGGTTAAATTCCAATGGCATTTGAAAGATAATACTAATTTAGAACTCCCCTTAAAAAAATGGGGCTTGAAAATGTCTTTAAGTGGGAAAATAACGACTATTAGTTGTCAAATCGACTTAGGAGCTATAGAGCCAGTAAGTAATAGTCTTGATTTTCAGATTATTGTACCGCATGGTCGTACATTTTATGCTGCGCAAAGATTCAATCAGTTTAATTTTGGCCATTACAAGAAGTGGGCTATTATTGTAGACAAATCATTTACAGCTCATTTTATGTATGTTATTACCAAAGAAGAAGAAAAAGCCAGTCAGTCACTCAATACTGACAATAGTGTCAGACAGTGAAGTCTAGCAAGTAAACGGGTTTCCTTGCATAATTTGAATATTAGGATACTGCTAACGTTTAAATTTCACAGATAGGACATACACGACATATCCATAATTCCTGCAAAGTTCTACAGAATTTGAGGTTGGCTGCAAAAGGGACATAGTATCTTTAAGGCTTCCCTTGAAAATATTTTAGTGAAAAAACGGTGCTCAATAAGTCTATTGTGCCTTTGTGTCTAACAACTAAACTGCATAATTATTTTTATGACGATCATAATTATAATGACTCAAGATGTTTTGACCAACTTTATGGTAACATTAAAAATGACAATGGTTGCCCTTTGACCTTATTTCACATACTAAACATCACTGTCTATGCTAATTGACCGGGAAATGTAACGTGACTACGTTCATGCAAACCCATTTCCCCCGTACAAAATTTTAAGCAGCAAAATGATATTGAATGAGCCACCAATGTATCTTTTTTTTTTTAAATACCTTCAGCGTTACACCATTGTATGTAGCTCTTAGCATAATGCACCTCCCATATTGCACTCTATATAGGCCTACATGGGCCTGTATCTTTTGTATCTTTAAAGCATATTGGATTCGTATTTTAGGTATTACCAACATAATCTGCAAATTTAATGATATAGTCAAACCTTGCTATATTGAAGCCAACAGAGAGAAATATACAAAGTGGCTGATGTAAACAGGTTCTATAATTATACAGAACATATTTCTTCAAGTTCTCGGCGAGACAAAATGCATATCAACAATGCAGGTGGCCTTTATAGAAAGGTGGCCAGCCACGAATACAGGTTTGACTGACGTCATAATTCGCTGATGAATTTTGATAATGTGAAAAATTAATTATTTTGCATCAAGTATCATTGTTCTTCTTCTTTTCATTACTATAAGGTGTGTCAAAAGAAACACATACTTGCGTGCTCATGCAAGGCAGTGGTACATTCAGCATAGAGGCCGCTCTTACAACAAGTATTCCTCGGGAAAATCCTCGAGTAAGTTTTACAAACTGATGGCATATCCACCCTTTATAATTATGTAAATAAATGTATCAGTTTGGTTCTTTTCTCAACCGTGGTAAAATGGTATTTGCCGGCAGTCTAAGAATATTAATCGTTTATGAAACAAGGTTTGTATAGGGAATACGGGTTTTCAGACCAAACTGACTAAAAATAATATGCAGTGACACCGCAATGCAAAATGAGCAGCTAGCCCATCCACTTGAAAAATACCAATAGGGTCCTCAAATATTACAAGACAAAACCGGCCGAATGTACGTACTGTAATTTTAAACTATTATCAACCAATTTAAATTCGGCGGCAGAAATCGTGGAACTGGGTTGTACTTCATTTCCTTTTAACCCATGTAGAAACAAAATACACCTCTAAAATAAGGAGAGGTGGCGTTTGCATTGTCTATCTATTATTATTATTATAGTTGATTATTATTATCATTATTATTATTATTATCATTATTATATTATTATCATTGTTATTATCATTATTGTTGTTGTTGTTATTGTTGTGATTGTTATCATTATCATTTTTTTATATATTTTTTTTACAACGGCAAGGTTCTACTTCTGGTCAATGGCGCATATGGTCTGCGCATGGCCAAGGCCGTCAGCCTTCTCGGGATTCCCGAGACCAGCTTGGAAGTGATGACCTTTCCCGAAGATCAGAGAGTGGATCCCTTCCGGGTGGAGGAGAGGCTGAAGGACGATAGAGGATGGACGAATGTTGGAATCGTTCACAGTGAAACAACCTCAGGAGTGATAAACCCCATTGGTGCTGTTGGAAATCTCGTCAAACAGTGTTGTCCGAGTATGAAGATCTTCAAACGGATTTATTCACTCATTACGATACGTTAGGGCTTGAAGCTCGTTTCAAGAACTCTGTAGACTTAATATAAAGTAGTTTCAGAAGATCAATGGTGATCAAAAACAAAACCAGTGACAACATTCATACTTAACTCTTTGGCTTCTCGGCTTATGGGAATCACGGGATGGTCGGGGAGGGGCGGCGTTGGGCTGACGTCGCTTGCCCATAATGCGCATAATGTACATTTCAACTATCGTCACTTTTCCGTTAACTGATATTCACATTTCATTTTGGCAGTTTCGTGCACATTGATAATATTTATTAATTGTATTTATTTCATGCAATATATACATGAATCATTCTGATTAACTCAAACCTTATTTTCATGATTTTCTTTCCAATGTCTTCCATCACCCCGTAACAAAAAAGATGCAGCCTACATCGTTGATGCCATGAGTAGCTTTGGAGCAATACCGATCGAGTTTGAAGCTTCTGGTATTGACTTCTTGGTAAGTTCTGCCAACAAGTGCCTAGAGGGCGTCCCAGGCTTTGGATTCACCATCGCCAAAATCGAGACACTGAAGAAGTGCCAAGGTAATGATGATTATATAAGGTTACAAAGGCATAAGTTTGTAATCTGTGTTGAAGGCAAGAGTGTGTGTGTGTGTGTGTGTGTGTGTGTGTGTGTGTGTGCGGGGGGGGGGGTAGTGGGATAGTGGGGGTGTCATCAGGAAAATAATTTTGAGATCCCGTCTGCCTTCCCTTTTTCGCTCGGAGGAGGCGGAGGTGAGACAAAATCCAAATATGATTTCTACTCTCCTTTTTTCCTCTTTATGATTTGCCTATTTTTATAACTCAAATGTTCTTATTGAGGGAGCTGCGTCGTTTCACCCCTTTGTTTCGCCTATGGGACAAATATTTTTCCCCTCCCGTTTTTGTTTCGTGTTTAATAACTAGATTAGTACCAAAATAGCATCCTGTGTTCTCTGCAGGCCATGCAAGTTTTAAATGATAACTCGTGAGTTTGACGTTTAAATCTTTAAATTTTTTCCGTTTGTAGAAGTTGTATACTAATGAAGAGGTCCGAGGGTCTAAACCAACTTAATGGCTTTACAAGCATTGCTCACCTGCATTTGTTTGTCCTATATTGGTGCGTAGTTTACCACCATAATACTCGTATTAATCTCTTACTGGTTGCATCCATTTCTCCCCGATCACAGGTAACTCAAGAAGTCTAAGTCTGGACCTCTATGACCAATGGCAAGGATTGGAAAAGAACTGCCAGTTTCGATTCACTCCTCCCACCCATACCATCCTGGCCTTCCACCAGGCTCTCAAAGAACTTGACGCCGAAGGAGGGGTCGTGGCAAGAGCGAAAAGGTACGACTATATACTTCTCAATTGTTTTCCTTTCTTTTTTTTTTTTTTTTTTTTTTTTTTTTTTTTTATTTTTTTTATGTGTTTTATTGGTTTTCAAGATACAAATCAACACATGAATCAAAGAAATCAATTTGAAAAAAAAAAAAAAAAAAAAAAAAAAAAAAGCAGCAATACAAAAATGTTAACATAGAATTGTCGCCAGAAGAATAAGACAAAATGATTTTCATTCATAAAAAAAGACATGTTAGGTGTTTTCCGCGTTACTTATATAACAAACATGGTACATAGTACATTGTACAGGGTATTTTTTTTTTTAAAGCATGTTAAAAGCAAAAATACAATTTGCAAAGGAGCTCAAAGGTAACATATTCAAATGTTAAATCTCCATTTCCGAAAATGAATAGGGAGTTTGTTATTTTTTTTGGCAATACAATACTCGAGTTCTTTATTGGCCGTAATATAGCATTTATAACCTTCGAAGTTTGGTGGTTTGCTTTGGAATTTGCATATATAAATATAATATTTAAGTAAAAGAAACAAATATGTAAGGAACCTATCAGATTCGCAACCGAACATTTTTTCAAATGTTGAGACATTTAGAGGTTTATTAGTTTTCTGAATAATAGCTTTAACAGTTTCATCCCAAATAGGCTTAACATTAGGACATTCAACAAAAATGTGACTATATGTCTCAGGGTCAGTATTACAAAATGAACAATTGGGGGAGACCTTCCTTTTAATTTTATACAAAAACTCATTCAAACCTATAGCTCTATGAAATAACTTAAAGTAGAAAGAGCGAATACGAGTACTTATAGTGCATTTAAAGTTATTCACATGAGTCTTTTCCCAATCAACTTCGTCAGGTTCTTGGAGGTCATTCCAAAATAAGATTTGACGTTCTGGAGAACATGACTCTAGCATTGTACTATATGCATATTTTGGAATTTTTAGAGTTTTCAAGAGCTTAGTTTTAACGTCATCAAATATTTTGTCAGGGGTTAAGTCAGAAGTGACTAGCAAGTCATTTGGTATATTTCTCAATAAAAAATTATATTTCCGCCTGTCTTTTTTACCAATATCATAATCCAGAATAAGCTCTTCAAAAAGTTTATTACCTGGGTGGGGAGGGTTGAGTAAATCACTGATATAGACAATTCCTTTGTCCAACCAATCTTCATATAAAAAATAATGTTTTGATTTTGAACAGATATTTCTGTTAAACCAAATACACTGACAAGAGCCAATTGCGGAAAAGACTGTACCGAACTCAGTTTTAGCAAAATTTTCTCTAAATATATACCATGTTTGAAGGGATTCAGCTAATTGACATGAACCTAATTTGTTTAATATACTTTGAGGAGCATATGCTTTCCATAGTATATCCTCTCTGCTACTGAAATTATTTAAAATAGACATTTCAATGGACTTCCACACGCTTTGATAGTTATCATCAAGAAGCATTTTGACCCATGACATTTTTTGAGCAATAGAGAATGTGTATGGATCTATCATTTTTAAACCACCCAAAGAGTAATCATTACACATGAGCCTTCTTTTGACCCTATCACTGCCACCATTCCATATAAATTTATACAGTATTGTATTTAACTGTCTAAAAAATTTCTTAGGTATTTTAATACACAACACAGAAAAAAAATAAAGAACTTGTGGCAGCAATAGGGTCTTTACGACACAGATCTTCCCGACCAGAGATAAATTTCTTGCGCGCCAACAATTTAGGGTGTTTTCAATGGATTTGAGTTTTATCTTATGGTTAAGGTCATATAAATGATCTGTGGTCAAAGAAAAGTGAATGCCTAAAGTCTTAAAAGTAAATTTATTCCACTTCAGACCTTTCTCACAAAATGGATACCTTTGACAACCCTTCAAAGAACCAATCCATATTGCCTCTGATTTTGAAATATTAAGTTTACAGCCAGAGCTCTCAGAAAAAAACCCAATAGTGTCGAATAATGATTTAAAAGAGTTATCTGAGCCATCAATAAAGCACGTAGAATCATCTGCTAACAAAGAAATTTTCAGTTCATTTTCTGCAACTGGGATACCTTGAATATTAGGATTTTGTCGAATAGCAAGAGCCATAGATTCAATAACTAGCAAAAATAAATATGGGGATATGGGACACCCTTGGAAAATACCTCTTTCCATATTAAGTGGTCTGGTCAAATTACCATAGTTAGATACATAACTTTTCCTACCGGAGTAAAATACTTTTATCCAATCAATGAATTCATTACTGAAATTGAATTTTCTTAGTACACAACATAGGAAATCATGGGAAACACTATCAAAAGCTTTTTGAATATCAAGGAGAAGGATTGCACCAGGAATTTGTTCTGATTCTGTATATTCAATTATATCAATAATTAATCTCACATTGTTTCCAATATTCCTTCCTTTTAAAAAACCAGATTGGTCTGGATGAATCAAATCTGAAAGGATTTTTTTTACACGGTTTGCTAAAGTTTTGGCTAAAATTTTGTAATCTACTGTTAACAGGGATATAGGTCTGAAATTTTTTAAGTAGGAGGCATCCCTGTCTTTTTTTGGAATCAAGGTAATAACTCCGTTTCTTTGTGAGCTAGACATTAGTCCATTCTGTAAGGAGAAATTAAATGAGTCTATAAGCATATCAGAAATATCTTTCCAAAACACAATATAAAATTCTACAGGTAATCCATCCAAACCTGGTGACTTGTTATGTTTCATTGAAGCAATTGTATCAAATAATTCCTTTTTAGAGATGGGTTTATCAAGAAGAACCTTATCAACTTCATTTAATTGAGGGAATTCAATAGAGTCTAAAAAGTCCTCCATTTCATTATCTGAATTATTGTCACCACAGTGTTTTGTGTAAAGGGTTTGATAAAATGAATTAATTTCCTCCAGTATAGCGTGTTGATTAACAATAATATCATCATCTTCATTCTTTAATTTGAAAATACTTTTCTTCTCTCCAGTTCTTTTTTCTAAATTACAAAAATATTTGGAGCTTTTTTCTCCTTCTTCAGCCCATCGAAGTCGTGAGCGAATAATTAAACCTTTGGTTTCCACATCTAAAATATCATTTAAAGCCTGGGTTAAAAAATCCTTTTCATTAATAAGCTCATTGTTATTTAAATCAGCACTTAATTTTTTCTCTATATCTTCTATTTCCGCCAAAAGGTATTTTTTTGCAAAATCCTTTTCCTTCTTTTTACGTGTACAATATTCTATACAAATGCCAGTAATGGTGCACTTTAAAGAGTCCCATAAAATATTTGGATTGCAATCGCTTTTGGAATGAATTAATTTAAAATCTTCTATTTTGTCAATGATAATTCTACTAAAGTCTGCATCATTATGTAAATATTTGCAATTCAGTTTCCAAAATCCTCGGCCCCTTAGTGGTTGAGCACCTTTAAAATTTAATGTAACAAGGGAATGGTCGGATTGGATTCCTGGGATTATTTTAGATTGCAAACAATTGGTAACAAAATTATCAGAAACAAGAATGAAATCAATCCTGGATAACACTCTAGGTTTTTTTTGATGTCTCGTATATTGCTTCAGGTTTGGATGAAAACTGCGCCAAATGTCACAAAGATTAAATTCATCCATAAGTGTTATTAACATTTCCTTTGATTTGAAATTTGAGTGGGTGTCCCTACCCCCTTGATAATCCATGGGCCCCAAAACAGCATTAAAATCCCCAGCGCATAGAATGGAGGTGTAATCGAGTTTATCCACTTTACTGAAAACTTCAAGAAAAAAATTGGGGTCATCATTATTTGGACCATAGAGATTAACTAAAATCACAGGTACCTCATTAATGGTAACAGATAAAATCAGGTATCTCCCATCGGGGTCAATAAAAGAAGAGTTAAGGACCAATGACACCCGATTTCGAATCAAAATGGCTACACCTCTACTATTTGAAGCGTGGCTAGAAAACCATGCTTTTTCACCCCATTGTTGTTTCCAAAATTGTTCATCTGATTTAGAAGAGTGAGTTTCTTGTAAAAATATTATGTCACTATTAATTGATCTTAAGTAATGAAAAAATTTTCTTCTTTTGACATGATCTTGTATACCCCGACAATTAAAAGTAGCTAACCTAACATTCATGGTATATACACATAAATACACACCAAATCACTACACTTGTAGATGAAGATAACACTGAAATAAGAATTGTGGTCATAAAAACCAGTCCTATGTAACAAAGCTGCAAAATACTGATTGCTGCATGATCATTTGAAATTAAAAAAGTAATTGACATACATGTAGATGTAAGCATCATCAAAACGACAAGATTAAGACAATAAAAAAGAGAAAAAGGTTGCACGAGAACGAACGGCAAAGGCTTCAAATCATAAAACAGCCCAAACCAAAAGTGCAAAGGCATGCAGAACAGTTCTGAGCAGAAAAAAGGGTAAAGTGACTTTTCGAACTCCCAATCTAACTAGGAAAAGAGCATTCTGCAAACATATAACAAAAAATGTCTTGTGTTGTTGGAGTCAGAGGGAGAAACAGTAAGAATTACAGACAAAATGAAAATGGCACAGAACTTTTATACTGTTGTAAATTGTAACTGACCAGGGCCACTTAAACTCCACATCTTGTAAAATAAACTTAAATTACACTCTTATATGTTTAAAAGTTCACCCTCACCAAATAAAGGAGAGTTAGACATCTGTCAATAACATCCAAGTTACTGTCAACTAGCTTGTTAATGCAAGTTCTTTTGTACAGATGACATGAACGTACGGATGTATATTCTCCAAACAAAGTAAGAAACTTTCAAATAATGTGATGAATAAAAAATGTTGAGTGCTGTAGACTCCACGGTGAAATAGCCAGAAGCAATTAATTCACACCTACGTGTATCTCCATAGACCTATATAGGAATTCTTCAGCAGAACGTCATAAAACAAACATAATAATCAGGGATGAAACTGGAATGTCACATGAATGATATTATCCCATAAAAGGAGGACAGCAGAAAGTTAAGCGATGATCATCTTTCCATCTGGATTCCTATGACATAACTTGTCCGGAAAAACGAAAAAAGGCCTTTTGCCCTCTTCCTTGAGACGCTTGAATGAACCAGCCTTAGCTTTTCTGAGTTGGAGAACACGTTGCGAGAGATCCTCCGCAACGAAAACCTTGTGGTCTTGGTATAATGATGTAGTAGCCTTAAGCTTCTTAATGCAGGCTTTTCGGGCCCTCTCTTTCGCAGCGTAGGCGCCAAAACCTAAGTGGATCCTCCTGGGATATTGTTGAGAATTCTCCTTTACCTGGGGCCGAAATGATGGTGTACGGTGACATCGTTGAATATCCTTGATAACATCCTCAGGCACCTCTGCAAAACGCATGAAATCTTGAATCACCTTCCTGCAGTCTTCCTTGTTATCTGATTCCTGGATCCCAAAGACTACGAGATTATTTCTTCTAGAACGATTTTCAAGATCGTCTAACTTGCTTTCCAGCTTTCCATTCTCTATTTGCAAGGCCTGTACAGCATCTTTCATATTATCAACTTCAAAAGACAGACATTTGATCTTCTCTTCATGATCTGCGACTTTAAAAGTAAGGTCACCCAGTTTTTTGTCGAGAAGTGACTCAATACGAGCCTCTTGTCTATTCTCAAAATCAGCAAAGAATTGTACGAACCATTGTGGTGGCTTGTTCATTGATAGGTCGGCTACTGCCGCTGGGGTAGAGTGGGAAACTGATGAGAGAATGTTCCGTTTCGCTGGGGGGTCGCACACTGTAACGTTCCCGGCGGTTGCCGGGGAAGCCTGGTGAGGAACTGCTGAGTCCGCGTGCTCATTGTTCAACTTTAGTTTCTTACTGAGTGGCGAGTTATTCTCCATGATTACGCATAAATCTGCTCGTAATATTGACTATAAGTTTAACACAGTATCACAGAAGAGTTGAAATTGATAGAATTTACCGTTTATAAGTCACACATATTCGTCACCGGTGATAAAATTCTGCTCAAAACTGCTCTCGACGCAAATCACGTCCACATGCGAAACGCGGCCATTTTCCTCCTGTTTTCCTTTCTTGGAGTTTTCTTCCTATTTATCACTTCTCTTAAAATCCTCCATTTTCTGTCTGAATTCTGTTGGTTCATCGCTCCTTGGATGATAAAATAACTTCGTTTGGCATAATATTGGTTTCTTTGACTCTTACTTAACAATATGAAGTATTTTGTCATAACGTAAATTATTTTACCCTTCCCATTTGTCTTTTAATCACTGTAATGTTATATTTTTAAATAAAGATAGCCTAATCCACCCCCTATTGATTATATATTTAGTTATAAAAAGTAATCGATATGTTAACCCTTTCCTAATAGTCATCTTTTTGACCCAGTCGACCTCCTTGTTCATGAGCCACTTATCTTGTAGCATGTGCGACCCGTATGTCAATCATCCATGTTCTGCCTGTTTGTGATCAGTTCCGGTCATTGCCACTGTTCATATCGCTCTCCATTGCGCTTTTCCTAGATGTTAAAGTGAACTGATGTTTTGTCAGGTCGTCTTTCCTTCCTACTTTCGAAGTCAAACCATTTTCTTTAACATCACTCGGGTCTCGGAGGCAGTGTCCAAGAAAACGGAGTTGTTGCTTTCTATTTTTACCAGCAATGTTTTGACGGTTGATGTTCTGATCTTTTTGCCATTTGATTCGATACGCGACTTGTCCAACTTATTTTGATTATTAATCACACCCCTGCTTGTCTTTTTGTTTGTTTGAAGTAGCAGGTCTCGATACAATCATATACTTCCCGCGTAGATAGTACATTACAGTATCGTTGCCATGGTAACCTCGTACTTTGTATATTGACCTCTAATTTGTTGCAATACTACCACCTTATTTCCCCCTCCCCTCTCTCTCTCTCTCTTTCTCTTTTTTTCTTTTGTCTCGCCCTCTTCCTCCCAGATACAAGGAGAATCGTCGAATCTTGCGGGAGGGGATGAAGGGGTTTGGCTTTCGAGAGTTTTTGGATAATACTCACGAGGGTTACATCATCACATCCTTCTACTATCCGGATCATCCCAACTTTGATTTCACCCAGATGTACGAGCGGCTCAGCCAATTTGGTAAGTTTCTAAATAGTCTCAACTCTTCTTTCCTCTCCTACTTTGTGCTTTGTTGTCTTTATGAATGTGCTATTTTATTATCACTGCCTTCATCAAGATGATTTTATCCATATCTTCCTCCCCCCCCCCCTTTTTTTCTCCCATTTTCTCTCCCCTATCCTCTCTCTTCTTCCTCCCTCACCCATTTCCCCTGTCGTCTTCCCTTAGACCTTCTTCCTCCCGCCCCACCCCCTCTCTCTCTCTCTCTCTCTCTTTCTCTCTCTCCCTCTCTCTCTCTCTCTCTCTTTCTCTCTCTTTAAATATCTATCTTTCTGTTTATCTATTCGGCTCCTGAGGTAAAAAATAAATAAATAAATTGTTGTGTTTAGTATAGGCAACGAAGACACTAAATATCTGGGCGGATCGAATTCAGTGCTTATAATACGGTGGAGGGGTTTGATCGAGAAGGCATTCTTCTGATGTTGGAGATTATCAAATCAATTATAAGCATTACCGTAGGATGAACATCACCTTTGTATTAAATATATTTTTGTCAAATTTATCAATCTCTATCAATCTTTAATTGATTTTTAATCTCCATATCTCTCATTTCCGCAGGTTTGGTCATCTACCCTGGTAAAGTGACGAAAGCAAAATGTTTTCGTATTGGAAACATCGGCCATCTTTTCCCCGATGACATGCGCCTTCTGCTATCTGGTATCCGTCAAGTATTCGGGGACATGGGGATACCACTGCCCCTTAATGATGTCACCATTGGCTGACTAACCTACACCATGTAGCAGGTTATTCAGAAAATGCATTTGCACAGCATCATGAACGTAATGGTGAATGATTTTTAATCAAGACATCTGCCAAGCAAGAGATTAAGAGCTGCGTTACATCACAGGTCCATGGTTACAGGGGTGGGGCAGGGGGGTGCGATTGCCCCTACGAATTGCCCAGCATATACCCCCGAAAGAATATTGTCAAACGATCCTTAAAAGTTTGAGAAATCAACTCAAGGGTTATTGCAATATAATGGTCAGGTGGACACAATATCCTGCCATGTCGGTGTTTCATTCCCTACCGGTTTTATCACACAGTAAAAGCGGCAAACTGTATCGAAAACGATAAACATCGTCATCAACCAACTCTCGAAACCCTTGTTCGCCACCTATTGAAATGAGTGAACAATGATAATGGCATGATACATAATCTGAACATGATTTCTTGATAGCTGTGCGATCGTACATGTAACATTTCAAAAAAATTGATGTGTGAATTATATACATTTTTGAGCGGGAGACGTACAAAAAGAGGAAAAATTTGGAAGGTATATAATACCGTTCATATTTTTCAAGACGTTTAATCCAAAATTGGTAGGAGGTTTATAAAAATGTTATTATCTGGATATTAGAGACTATAACGTCAAATGATTCATAATTCCACACAGTAGTACGCCTTCTTAAACAGGAGTATGTTTGATATCTTATTGAATTTGTATTTGTCACAGTTGTTCGCCCGAAATGCTTTTCCATTAATTTGTACAGTTATGTACTTCTATTATTGTGGCACTAAAATGAATATGTGAACTATAAAATGAGCTTACGAGTGAAACTGAAATGAAAGGAAAATTACCATGTAACAACGTCACGTGACTATGATCGACGTTGTGTGTAATATGAAGAGAGTAAATGTGAGGGTCGAGTTACTGTACCCATCATAAAGTGCACTACATTTCGACTCATATTGAGTTTCTATCGGCACTAATGTTAGTGTGGTTTAAAATATAATATAATAATAATATTTAGCTTTTATATATCGCTTATCACAAATGTCTCTAAGCGCTTTACAAATATATGGCCCCCTTAAATCTAGCCATCATTACTGCATATATGAAGTATGGTAGTTCTAACTCACATTGAGTTGACATTTCGAAAATCAGGCGTATCCTATAGTAAGTGATTTTAAGAAATATCATTATTGTTTTTCTTCTTTTCGTTCTTGTTTTTTATTTTTATTTTTACAAGTATTTGAATACACCAAGAAGCATAAAAACACTTGTGTACGACAGTGATTAGTGTGCAATTTATTGTTCGTTACGGGTGTAATTGTTTCAATTAGAATTTGATGTAACTTTTTTATCTATTGTAAAACTATGTCACTATCTTCAATAGAGATTCTTATATACACATAAGATTATATACACCATAAACTTTACCCACATTAATGGCAGCATGATTGTGTATGTGTCGAGAGATAACCTTGATGGTTTTTAATGAATGCGATATTGATTTGAACTGAACCCCCGAAACCAAGAAAGAGTGTTCTGTTGATCTCAATCCGCAATTATTTTCATTTTTAATTGAACGTCTTCGTATGCGTCTTCATATTTTGCAAACAAAGTCTCTTAAATATATATAATCTCGCTTCAATTAAGATTGTATTCTTATATGGTAGATAGTATAGTCAGGTTCTGTTTGATTTTGTTGTCATTTCTGGAAAACATTGTCCAGAGTTAAGAACAATGATTACTCGATGTTCTTTCTCTTGAAATTTTCACCACATCCATGAAGAATGGTCGATATCTCTGAATAATCTTTGTCCTCCATTTCCGTCCCGAAGACGTTTTTTAATATCTCTCTCAACCTCGATCTTCTTTCCGAACGACTGTATCCATGAGTCTAATCTGGTCGTCGCTTAGTAACGGATGAAGCCGTCTGCGAATGGTTCGCCGTGCGCCCCTCTACCGGTCTCTGTGCCCTATTCACCCCAAACAATTACCCATGCCGTGCTGTTCATCTCCCCCACGCAGCTAAAGTCGTCTATCTACCCCCACTAGAGCAGAATCGCAACCCTCCAAAGTGGGAATCACTCACGTTGACAGTCATACAGTCCAAATTTGATCAAAATCAAATCAATTACTGGCTGGTCATATGATCTATAAACTTGCTATCAAATTTGACAAGTTTATTTATTTTGAGTGTTTGCAGAGATAATCTGACCTCTTTTGATTCTTCGAGTTTTAGCGTGGAAGGAAAAGTTTGCCAAGATGACGACTGGAATGGCAATACCGCGAGTGAAACTTCAAAATACCAACCCTCTAACCCTAGACGAAAGGTAAGACTGTCAATTATATATTTAATAAATAAATGATTAGATTAATGATATAGACCATTTTTTGAAAAAACGCCCCCCTCTCAAAAAATGAAATGAAAGCTCTTATTACCAATCATGACTGTGAAAAGATATATATTTTTACTATAACACGTGATGATACAAATTTTGCCTGTAAACCGCTTACTAGTTGATATATTTGGTAAATTATCATATTGATCCGGCCTGGATAGATATCGTGAATGCACTTCCACATTGAATATTTGGGCATAATTATATTTCTGCTTTTTGCGAATTTAGGTTGAAGTCTTGCCATCTAAACCTCTGAAGGCAATATCTAAACAACATTGAATGGATATTTTGCACCCAAAACCCTTGAACCGCAATTTTACCACAACCGGTCTATATCTTAAACAATCGTTATAGATCCCTTGTGTAATGTTAATCAATTATAATACTATATTACATTTCTATGGCGCTTGATATTAAAAGTTTTTAAGCGCTTTACACAGTGATTTGTTCAAAATATTAAAAGTCCTGTAGTGAAATAATACCAATGTCAATTACATATTTACCAATCATAATGTTTACACAACAGAGGAATCATCATTAAATCCAAACTTCTACTGACACATAACATGCCCTACAAAACTGATATCATTTTGTCCTTGATACATTTTTTATGTGTAGTACATCAGTGTTTAAGATTGTGATATAGCATTCGTGGATTTCTATATTGTTTACATTGAAGTTACGGAAAATCAAATAACCATCTATAAAGGTTTAGTTCAAGAAATTCCTTTTGCAGATTAAAAACATAAATACCTACAACGAAATCATACTTCAAAATAAAAACAACTTTACAACCATAACTCAAATATTTGTGATATGTAAAGTACATCTAGACAGCAAACAATTTTGAGGCAAGTTTCTCCGGTATGAATTCAATTTCCAGGATGCTTTTTTTTTAACCAACTGATCTGTATACTTCCAAGACAAAATTTGCATACATTTAAACCAAGGCTCTTCAAATAATCACGGTAGCCTTCTCAGCAGATTTGCCGCTGCGTATTGCAAACTGTAAGATTATTGGAAGCTAATATGGATTTTTAATTTCGGCAAATCTAAAATTAAAAATCAAAGAGAAGCTGCCAATGTCCAAATTACTGCTAACCAATACAACTGGTTCTCTACAGCAACCTTTGATATAGAGCAAATAGAGTAATCCATGACAGGTCTCATAGTGATGGACATTTTTGTCCTGATAAGTCGAATTTAATCTGTGTAGCAATGTTTGCCCGCGCCATAAAAGTCCATCAGTTATGGTACCCCGTTTCCTATCTAAACTGTATATCTATCGTCTTTATCGTAAACGACTATTTAATCAGACATTATACGTATCGGGGCAGATGCAAAGGGAAGAAGAAGAGAGATAGGAATGAGAGGGCGTGAACATATCTGGAGAGAGAGAGAGAGAGAGAGAGAGAGAGAGATAAAATGAGAGAGAGAGAGAGAGAGAGAGAGAGGATGGAGATTATAAGAAAATATGACTATAGCTTACCAGTTTTACCCATTTCCTTTTACTGAAAACACTAAACCTGGATATTAAAATAAACATGAAACCGTTCAGAATTACATTTTTTTAAACACAAAAATATAGTAAAATAATGAGAACTTCAACAAATGAAGAGGTTTTTTTGTAATTCATATGATGTTTGTTTCTACTCTATCCTAATAGATTAATAAAGAAGTGATTATGTTCTATGATACTCCTCCCCCCTCCCACATACACACACTTCTCGAGTAGATTTTCGCCTTCTTTTTTTAAGACATAGATATTAAACCACGGTCTATTCTCGAGATAGCAAGTATTCAATATTACTTCTCAAAGAGAATAATATGCAGGTAAAGAAAGGTAACACATATAGACAAAATAATTACAAAACAGCGCCGAAATTAATCTAAGATAAGATAAAAAAAATTGTTTGTTTTTTTAAAATAAATTTTCGTTACCATGTTTCCGTCAGAAGATATTCGCCCGTATTAATGGTTGCAGGTGCATAGGGTTGGATGGAGTATACAAGTATATCGCTTAAGTATAATATTTTTAAAAATTAATCCAAGATACTGACGTTGTTAACACGAAAACGTGTCATCCTTATTTTCCTCAAAATCGCATAGGCGCAAAGCTGGCATATACCGATGATTTCATGAACCATGTATAATAATCATAATTACTAACAATCATGTCTCATAACCTTTAAGAAAATGTCTCACGAAACGAGCTACATGGGGGTAAAGACAGGATATGTGGTTCAAAACTAGAAATTGGATTTCTAAAAAAATTGAGAACCTACATGCAACGAGTTGCGAGATATCAAAGTGTGCAAATTTGTATTGAGCAAGCTATAGATAGCAGGGTTGTGTATATGCTGGATTATACTTTCTTTCCATCCTGTTAATATGTGACATGAATTTCTCTCTTAGAAGAGGATTGAGAGATACTCATCTCATAGTAAGATTCGCCACACCAATGAAATCAAAGGTTTAATAAATAACCAGTAAATGACGTTAACAAAAATCCTTTCATTAAAGGCCAAAGCATAAAGTAGATAGTGAGAGGATTCCATCTGCTTATAAGCGACTGCTTTTTAACTTTGCATTTAAAAATATTTTGCAGGGACGCCATTATCATACTTATTTACTTTTGTTTCGATCCTTTGTCATTTTTTTTAATGAAATATGTTTTTGGAATGGCAAAATATACTCAAATACACCAGCCAAATTTACAACAAAACGGATAAAATAATGAGTGTCATCATGAACTGAATTTATATTTATTCGTGTATTTATCTCACACAATGTTTACCCGGCAGTCTTAACGCCATTTTTCTGATGGATATGGTTTTTGCTAGTTTAATGGGGCAAACGACAGTTAGTAGGTATCCATTTCAGGAAGAACCAACTTGAAACATACAATTTCGTTATCGTAATTCAAAAATCAATTTCACGTCCTAACTTTTTTAGATAAGTAAATATGCATTTTCTCTATATCTCCACTTGCAAAATGAATCCCGTTTAACCCGGCCCCCTTCTCGCTGTCGCTAACGATACACATCAATCGATTTTCCCCTTTTCCCCCTCTCCTTTGTATATTTTCCGGCCTGAACACTTAAACATAATAGATTCGGTGGGGCATGATAAGAATTTATGTCTATAGATTCCTTTGAATGGCGGACAGTTTGATAATAATGAGAAGAATGGTGGTCAGTGACGAATAAGACTACTTCTCATTCTCACTCGATATGTTGTTAGTCTGTTAAGGTATGAGAGAGACTAAAGAATCTATACCGTGAACACTAAAGATGTTTTGTTGATACTCGTAGACTCGCGGACAGTCGTCGCTTTGAGAAATTCAGTCTTTAGTTTTCATGAAGTTTTGTCAATTTGATTGTAATTTGTTTGTCAGCAAATTTTCTTTGCGTTAAGCATAGTCCGATGAAATGAAAATGAAAATACTTTTAGAATATTGGACATTTTGATACGCTAGAATGGGGATGAATTATCATTACTATTCATTTTATTATTATATTTGTTTTTTCTTCTTCTCTGTCGTCGATGCCAAAATATCAATATGGGATGTTGCCCTGGACTACACATGAATATTTAAAATTAATATTTCATGAACGATACAGCGAGTAATCAACAATTATGAACATGGTATCCCTATACCGTGACGGCATTGACAGATACAATCATGTATGCGTGGTGCAAACTTAATTTGATCGCTTCCAATGAGCATAACAGTACTACTCTAATTTGATTAAGCATTAGAATAGAAACGATCTACTTCAAGGCGAATGTTTAGGCATCGGCGGATTTAGTTTTTTTTCCCAGGTCGGGGGGGGGGGGGGGGGGGGGGGGGGGGGGGGTCAGCCCAATAAAATAAGCAATGACGACGACGACGACAAAACAACAACAAATAACAAAAAACAATATTTTAAAAATAATGAGTTACTGATAATTATGATTTCTAAGAAGCCATTATCGCCCGAAGATCATGGAAGGGAATTGTTTTAACATTTGCAACAGCACACAGACACAAACATAACAACAACGACAAAATCGAGATCTTTCTTTAAATAAATATAATCATCATCATGCGAACTATATAGGCTAGTCTGCACATTTAACGTTTTGGGGGGAAACAAGAGGTGTAATTTTGCTTGGGCAAGGTAACAGCGAGAAAAAAAATGAGAAAGATATCTTATAGTTAGATAATTATAAATAATAGAAACAGGGGGTCGTTCAATGATCGTTATCTTACTCGCATCCGTTATTGGGTCTTATACATCACCCTTCAATCCCAGATAATAAGTATGTCCTTACCTCTATCAAAGAGCACAATGAAGTTCAATATTGACAAGGTTCTTCATGTCATTTCAAGGAGAAGACTTAACGCCGCCAATGATGTTTGTTCATGTCATCGAGCTATCATTAACTACCAAGCAATTTCTAATTTGACGCGAAATCTCACAATATAAGGGGAGGGGGAGACGGGAGTACGTCCGGGGCATATTTGTTTTGTTGTAATTTGTGGTGTTTTTTATATCATGCATACAGGAATTCACTGTCTGCACCCAATCATTTTGATGGCTGATTCGATTCTATAAAAAAAGACTATATAATTATGCATCAATAAATACATCATCCGTGTTATTTACTAACGATAATTATAGGCCTAATCCAATAACTGTTGTCTCTGTCTAGAGCCCGTGATGACGAACTCTTCAGTTATTAGATATTATGTATAAACAACACTATCAATATAGTTACTGTTGGGCTATGTGTTGCTATGTCGGAAGTGCATGGGAAAGATTTCAAAGCCTTTTTGTTTTTATAAATTATGATTAATTTCTTGAAATTTGGAGTATATAAATATATCATCCATCTAAATTAAACATTTATTTTTCCACTTTCTAACACTTTTTCTAACAGATTGGCATATGGCGACATTCCACGTTGGATCGCAGAGGGTGTAGAGATCAGGTCCGTCAATATTCCACAGGCAAACTACGCAAAACAACTGAGAACGGTAAGAGAAAATGATCAAACAATGAGTGCGTTGCATGGTCAAGGTAATGGTTTCGGTTTAAAAAATAAAAGATATATTCAGAAACTTTCATCTGTAAAGTAAAGGCTATACTGATAAATATGTTTTAATACCCCTCCCATTATGTCTCAACATGCCGAATGTGACTTTCACTCTTTCGATGACGTCTTTCCCACCTACCTTTTCATCTCCCCCATATAGTATAATGACAACCCACCCCCTCTATTTTCTCTCTCATTCCACTTGTCCTTTATTTCTGTGAATATTTTTGAAAATTAAAGCTCATACAGACGTCATTTATTGTGTGCTCTTTCCCCCCCTTCATTTTTCCAGTTACCACCGCTTCATTCTGGGCACGGTTCTGGTATCATCAAGTATGGGGCTGCACCCCGTCAGGAATCCTACGTCAAACCGGTACCTCTTAGGACCCCATGGAAGGGAGAAGTAGGAGAAGGGTTAACCACCTATGGTAAGTGTTATTTATTTTATTCATTTATTAATTTATTTATTTATAAGACAATAGTCTTATTTTAGTAGGGTGGCTCCATCAGTAGTCAAATCTTCATCTTCACCCAAATATTTTCTCTTTCCATTAAGGAGTCGTTATATGGCTCATGCACTGGTAGAAAAGTGTCAAGTGTCCTTTGATTAGGCAATCATCCCAAATGATACACCGGATACTCACTAACCACCCCCCCCCCCCCCCGCTTATTCGGCCGGCTGAGTCGCCGCTAAATTTTTTCTCAAGAATTAGTCCCTCTCCGTCGCCGCCGGCTGGATTCAAGGGGGGGGGGGGGGGGGGGGGGGGAGGGTTAAATTTTGAAAATCGCGCCGAAAATTTCATAAGCGGGGGGGGGGGGGATGTTCACATTTTTTGGGGGGGAGGGTCCAGCTTTTGAGGAAAAATTTCGCAACGACTCAGTCAGCCGCTGAATAAGTGGGGGGGGGGGGGGGGGGGGGGGGGGGGGTAAGAGCACTTTTTTTGTCCCGAAAATTGGAAAATTATGCCGATCGATTTTTCATTCAGTAGGGGGGGGGGGGGGGTAAGGTCACTTTTTTGGCACCCTTTAGCACCTTAAAAATAAATTAAGGGGGGTGTCCTCCAAAACACACACATAAACAAAATTGACGGGGGGGGGGGGTTAAACCCCAACCCCCCTGCGTACGCGCCTGTGTATACGTATATATATTGGGATGAAGAGCCAAGAGGGTGAACCTCTCTTCCGCATAATCATATCTTTTACCCCTCCCCCTCTCTCTTCATACAGTATCCCGGAGTCAGAACCCAGCAGGAGACGGTAACTCTCCATACATCACCTACGCATCGTATCAGATGAGCCCACAGAACAGACGGTCATGGAGGGAGAACTACTACAACCAGCACGCTAAACAAGGCTTCAAATTCTGGTTGGAAGAAAAGAAACCCGTCTCAAGTAAATACCATTTAATAAATGAATACATGTTTAGTTTATAGTACCCCTATGCCACTTATTTTGTAAATACTGTACAAATTTGCATTATAGTATGTTCTTTAATATATCACTAAATTATTACATTTTGAAGCAAGGCTTCAGATTCTGGTTGGAGGAAAAAAAACACTTCTGTGTTATTCAAATGGAATATGATATCAGTTCAAATGTACCACGCCAATGGTTAGGCCGACTTCATTTATTTTATTAATTGCTTTTTTCTGTTAAGCGCTACAACCACCATGACCTACGTAAACTGCTCATTTGATTATTGTATCAAGATTCTGTTATACCCCACGGTAAAAAAAAAAACCTATTCTTATTCTCTTCTTTTTTTTTCTTCAGGATCCCAGAAGTACACCTTTGGGACATACAAAACCCATCTTGGACTCGGAAATGGACCAAGGAATTGAGAGCACAATATTTCAGCAGTCTCTTTTCAAAATGTATTACACCCCTTGTCCTTGTGAGCAGACGACGCTATGAGAGTTTTATGGCTTGGGGGGAGGGGAGCCAAAAGATTTGATTTTAGACTCTCAATACGTGTGCTGTGGAAATAAGTGTACTAGCTATCATTATTTCTATCCAAGGATGCAGCACACTGGAATACACGTACTAACATGCTCATTTAAGTATTTCTAAGAATATCGCTATGAAATTATTGATTAAAGGTAAAGACCAGTATTGGAAACGCCCCAATTTCAAAAAATGAAATGGAAGCTCTCATTACCAATCATGTGAAAGAATATGTTTTGACTAATACACGATGATAAAAAATTTGCCGGGAAACCGCCTACTAATTCATAATATTTGGTAAATTTGTTTCTCTCATGGTCTGTGAGAGATATAGGGTAGTCCCATATACATCTTTCTGTGTATAGTGCTTGTAACTTTACGAAGAATGGGCCAAAGTTCTTATCATTTTGATGATTCCAGAACCTTGCAGATGCTAGATGCTAGATGATCAACCTTTTCTGATCGATTCCACAACGTTTCTTTCACAATGCAATCGCATGACCATAACTGGTCTTTACCTTTAAGGCTTAGACGGATCCAGGGGGCGAAACGACCATCCCCTAGTTAGAGAGAGAGAGAGAGAGAGAGAGAGAGAGAGAGAGAGAGAGAGGAAAGAAAAAAGATGCCCTTTTTATATAGAGGTAGAAAAGACCAATGCTCCCACCCTAAACCGTAACAAAATTGGAAGAATTATTATTATCGTTATAATTATTATTTTCTCTTTAATAAAATGTTTTATCCCCCCCTTTTTTTTTCTTTGGGGAAGGGGGGGGGGTGCTTTTACCTGTTAAAGGGGCTTGAGAGGGTCGCGGGTATTCCGAAATATTGTTCCGAAAAAAAAGGAAAAAAAGTCTGGACATTTACCCCTATTTGAAAATGCTGGATCCGCCCCCCCCCCCCCCCAATTGTTTGTAAAAACATAACTGCAGGTCGGTTTGATTTACTACACAGCACTTTTATAATGTGTGAATCACTTGATTTTGAAAAGCACGAAATTGTACCTGATTTTCGACCAGGGGAAGAAAAAGTGCACAAGCCTTGTGGAAATAAGCGTTGAATGGTTCAAGCAAAGAGGCATTATAAATATAAGATTAAACTTAATTATGTTTTATGAGTGGCACGGTATCCTGGTTACACAATGACAGTGGCGTATCCAGGATAATGTGGAGCCAGCATACGCCCTTTGCTCCCGTTTGAAGGGCCGTGAACAAATAAACAATACAAATTGCAATTTTCCTATAGGTACGCGGGGCTGCCCATATTTCCTTATAATCTTTCTGGATATCCCTGTGATAGAGAGTTTTTTGTTGTTACATGGAGTGACTAAAAAAGATAAGAAAATGTAAATAGAGTCTTACTAATCTATTTTTGTAAATGACGATTTATGTTTTGTACAATGTTCAAAGCTATGCATGGTTATGCTATATAAATGTCAGTGCAATCTCTTAAAGTGGCATTAATTGCAACTGCTATAATTATATGGTCGTGTGTTTTAATATGATCTTGCTGCATGTGTTATTTTCAAATGCTGGCAAAGATATTGTGTATTACCTGATTATTGTTAACTTAAGATTTGTTTTCCTTCTGAATCACGATCCTTTGAAGACGTTAAACAAAAATCAACCTAAGGACATTTCGATAGTCCTGTGTGTCTCCTTTTGAAATGTGCGTGCAGTACAGTGACTTAATTATATGAATATACATTCTATATGCAATTAATGTTATGCTGTTGAATCGATTTTTCGAAAATAATGGCGATCGTTTTCTTATTCATTTTGTTTCATAATTTTTTGATTATTTTTATACTATGAGAGATCTTTTTTGTTGGACTTTTTCTGTTTCCTATTTGTGAATTTTGAAAATGTGCAAAAGAAAATTTGTTCTTTTGTTTCGGCGCTATGTTCGGATGCAGTACCCCCCCCCCCCCCCCCCACTTTCTTTTGATAAGTGATGAAATGAGTAAAATTTTGATCAGTCGACTATTTTTATGGGGTAGATGATGCCGGAGGTGTCGGCTTCAGTCAATTTAAACGAGGCAGAGTTGTATCATTTCAGCATTTTATAAGCTAAGCAAAAAAGAATTCAGACAATTTTTGTAAAACTGACAAATCGATCCAAATTTGTTGAAGGAGGAGAAGGGCATGACACACCATGCTTCTCCCCCATTAGTGATGCCCCTATTACTGATAATACAAAAACTAACACAATCGTTATAATTTCATGAGCGATTAATTATATATAATTGCTTCCTAACTCAGTATTTCTCACTTGCCATAAATCCTTCTTTGTCTTTGTGTAAATCAGTATTATTTCCCCCTTTTTCTTCTTCTTTTGTAATATTGACTCTACGCCATGATGGAATTGTCAATGAAATGACAATCTATGACGAAGGCTTTTGTATTATCACTTATACCTGTGTTTTTATATAACCACCGTAGAATTAAAGCTACATTCATCTAGAAATGCTGATCTTTGAAAAGTCATTATCAATTGGCATTGGACATATTTTCAAATTGTGAATGTACTAATACTTCTAAATAACATTTTTTGTGCAAAAATAAATAAACGTCAAGTTTTATTGCAGATTTTCCTTTCTTTTGGTTCTTATTCTTTATAATTGGTCGCGCATTAATTGGACACAGTGTGTTGTCCATTGCAAAGGTGAGAGGCAAATTAGATATTGATAGAAATGATTGGAAGAGCGAATGAGTGACATGGGAGGTAGGGAAGGAGAGAGGGAGGAAGAGAGAGAGAGAGAGAGAGAGAGAAGAGAGAGAGAGAGAGAGAGAGAGAGAGAGAGAGAGAGAGAGAGAGAAAGACGCTCACACGGAGAGAGAGAAAAAGAGAGAGAAGGAGGGGGGGGGGTGGCGGTTGGGGTGCGGCTGTAGCACCCCTTGTGTTTTCAAGGGCAATGATTAAAATGATAAGAGTACTTTTGACGATGAGAATAATCAATGTTTAAAAATTATGATAATGATAACAAAACTATTGTGATGATGCTACTACTATTATGACTAATAATATTCTACTGCTGCTACTACATGTACTACTACTACTTCTACTACTACTACTACTACCACATCTACTTGTACTACTATTACTTCTACTAATACTACTACTACTACTACTACTACTACTACTACTACTACTACTACTACTACTACTACTACTACTACTACTACAGTCAATACTTATACTAATACTAATGATAATAAAAACAAACAATGATCTTTTAAGAATGCAAAGTTACCGACTAATCATTTTCGAAATCTTGAAATAAAATTTCAAAATGTTAGAATACATGTATCTTGTTTTGTTTCTAATTTTCCTATGAATTTTAATAATTCTTTATAATTATTGAATGATTTATTGAAAATACTGAAAATAGCAGCCCGATCGAGAGCTGAATTACATTCAGTTTACAATAAAAGCACATGAAGAACATAACAAAATATAAATTCCTGTCTCTGACTCTTTAAAATGCGTCATTATGAAATAAACTGAAGAAAAAAAAAGCTAGTTTTAAAAAACACGAACATGAAGAAAAAAAGTATATTTTCAGTTTATTTCGCCGCTTCCAATATTATATATAGCGCCATCTCCTGTTCTATTCTCTGCACATCAACCAGAAAAGATACATGAGCAGTTAGGGGCACCTCGATCTTCAAATAATAATAATAATACATAACATTTATTAGGCGCTTAATACTGATGTTTCTAAGCGCACAGTGTTCTGATTAAGAGAGACTATAACCCGTAGAATTAAATTAGAAGAAAAAGCAAAAATACAAAAGTAACATAGATAAGGTAAGAAAAACAGTGGCAATCAACTAAGTCAAGACAAATATGGTGCGCACCTCCACTGACCGAAGCACAACTGCAATTTACAATTTGAAAAGATAGGTTTTGAGTAGAGATTTGAATTGAGATACAGAGGGGGCGCAGTGAATAAAGGCGGGCAGTTTGTTCCAGAGAGCGGGGGCAATAACTGAAAAGGCGCGGTCACCATACCGGGTGTTAGTGTTAGTGTCAAAGAGGAACAATAGGCCTAATAATACATTTCAAAAAGCCATTTGAGGGGGCACATGCGTTGCGCCCTCACTATACTTGAGTTCATCCTGATTTTTAGGGGGGGGGGGTAGGTAGACATAAAAATGAATTATTCTCATAAAGGGGAAATAGTAGTCTATAACGTAAGATGAGATATATAGAGAGAGAGAGAGAGAGAGAGAGAGAGAGAGAGAGAGAGAGAGAGAGAGAGAGAGATAAGAGGGAAGGGAGGGGGACAAGTTTGAACAAAACAAAACAAACGAACGACACCAATAATATCAGAGAATTAATATAGTTAATAAATAAATTGCATGTAATCACTTCCGAGATCAAACTTCTTTCGTAGCCTTTTCAGAGAAAGAAATGTGAACGGGTAGTTGAATTCAGCTTTATACTTTAGATACCATTTTAAAACATGCATTAATTAGTATCTAAAGAATAAAACTGCAAGCAAAAGGATTGTCGTCGAGGCCTACTATGGGTGTATAAAACATTTTGCATATGGCCACAATGATCTTTTACCCCCAGAGGTTGCACGTTTGACTCGAGTCATAAATAGCCAGTACTGATAAAGAAAAATTAGAAATCGTGTTTTTTGTTTATAAGTATTTTCTTTCCTGATTGATACTTGTTCAAATAAATGAGGTGATATATGAATGTGTGCAGGCAGTGCAGCCCTAATCCGGCTAGGCCTAATGGCTATCTCTCTGCTCGCGGTAGAACTACTATAGTTTTTGAGAGTTATATACCATGTGATCGTAGTTAGCCAATCACGTCCTTCGTTTCTTGTTGCCTATTTTCCGAGGTCGCGCAAACTTAATAACACGAACATATCCATGTTGGGAAATAGGCTAAAATTTCTCCATAACAGAAATGCCAAATAAAACCAGGAAAGAAAAGGTATGTACCTTATTATGTTGTTATTAATATTTGTTAGATAGATAGATGTTGCACTTCTTAGTTTGCGAAATATTCACGTAACAGTGACGGGAGGACAGTTATCGCAATACAAATTTCCATAGACCCATGTGTGTTATAAGGAATTGTGTATTTATTTTGAACGTGAACAACAACAGTCTACCAATTCATTCGGTTACCAATTCATTCATCATTGCAGCTGCAGTGCACAGTGATCAGTGTAATCGTGCACTTTCCATTTGCTTTGAATTTATTTTTTCCATAGTCATATAGTCGTCACAACTAGAGAATGTTGTCTGCACTATGCCTTGAAGTTAAGTAATTGTGAACATAGAAAATGAAACCTTGACAGAGTATGAAGGAAAAATTTTGGGGTGTGAAAGAGCTGAATAAACTAAGTGAAGTCTAAGAAAAGTGGATTGAATTGAAAATGAAATGTTATTGAATGAGACTTGAGAGATAAGGGGGGGGGGGGGGGGCTTGGTAAAAGTATAACATACCAAACATCAACTAAATCGTCATCAATTGTTCAAAAAATGATCATGATTTAAAAGGTGTTATGTTTCTTACCTGTTTCGTGTCAATTTTCTTTTTCCTTGAAACAAAGAATAATATCAGTAGGGGCGCTGTTACGAGAATAAGGATTGTCTGCATTTTCGCAGACGTTTCATATTTTTGATCGGTGTGTTGGCGTTGCGAAAAACGGATTCCGCAATGATTTTCTTGATGCATTTTACATTGATTTCGTACAGAGACTTTCACATTATGAGCGATAAATCCTCGGGAAGACAGACAACCCTTGAAAGCAGACGGTGAACTAGGGTTTATTTTGTTACGCGAAATCCATCGCCAGTGAGCGCTGATGAAAAAAAACATCCGCGAAAATGCAGACGATCCTTATTTTTGAGGAAGCATTTTGTCAGCGTTTACGAGGATATCCTCATTTATAAGGACGATCCTCATTCTCGGACCAGCCCTTCTACTGCAGGAGGCTGGCTCAAAACTTGTCCGGATTTTAGATCTCCTATTAAATGTCCAGTGCACTTGTACATCCACTTACCGAAAGCTACCCAAGGCAGGTTGGCGGCCGCAGGCTGCTTGGTTATTACAGAGTTGAAAGGCCCCAAACATGACGTAATCTCCTTTATACATGAACATGCACATGCACACTAGTACTAGTCTGCGGGGGCACAGACTCTTATTAAAAATTTAACAAAATTCTATAAAGCCCTGAGCCTCGCCTAACTTGTCTTGTCTATAACCATGTCAAATGGCATGAACAGCTTTACAATGTATGTAAAGTTCCTAGGCTTTGTGTGGGGTGCAGTCTACAGACTCTCAGTTCTGATCCTGTATTACATGTTACAACTTACAAAGGGTATGTGTCTTCAAACTAAATGCTGTTCACAATCTGTCTCCAGTGGGTTTTGACTTTAAGTAGGATCTGTTTACACCAAATTCAAACCTACATGTATCTTGGAGTGTCCCAAAACCTGTTCCGGACCACATACAAATATTGTTTGCTCAAAAGCAATCTTGAGGAAGTTTGGTGGGATTACATGTACCCCCCCCCCCCAAGAAAAGGTTTGGAATAGGTGTAAAGTGTAAACGAACGCTAAAAAGATCCTTTTGAGTTCCACATATATATGTCTGGAGCTCACTTGTTATTTTAAGATTAAGTATTTGCTGGAGCTTATTTCTGCCTCCTTTGCTAGAACACTTCCTCAATCCTCCATGTAACTTGATTTAAAATCACAGTTCCAAAGTGTCTAGTTTAGGCCTAGTCTAGTTATGTCTCCCTTAGTTGTAGTTTCTGCTCACACTTTGCAATCATGGAAAAGCTCTTGTTATGACAGAGGCAAACAAATGTCCATATGACATGATCATCGCATGCAGATACAAAGAAAGAGGAAGTTATATGGACATTGGCATTTGTAAGAAAAAGTCATTGTTCTTTATTTCCTATTTGGTTAGGCATTGGTTCTTAATGGAGGTACAGTTGGAGGGGGATTAATAAATAAAGAGAATAAGATTTTTTTTATAATGAATTTACACACCTTTACACCCTCGGTGGATGGGGGGTGGGGATGAGCGCTGAACATGAATTGTAAATGTATTTGCACTCTTGCAGGAAGAATCACTGTACAAAGGGGGTTATCTGACAATTGCTCCAAGCTTTTATTTTGTCAAAGGTGTAGGATCGGGTACTTTCAGGTTAGGTTTAGGCTTTGGATCAATCAGGATAGGGTGAAATGTCTGGTCTAGGGTTGATGCTGGAATTTCCATTGGTGTAGAACATCGATCGGAGCTACAGTGTATTGGGTGAAATTAAAAATAAACATGTTTAGCATCCTGCCTTTTTGAAAAATAGGAAGGAGGCCCTTTTTTTTTTCTTCTTCAAAATGGCCGCTCGGTACATTTTCCCTGATAAGTTGGGCTATTTTTCAAGATGGCCGCCGGCATTTTTTTATTAAAAAAAAAATCAGTAATAGATCATTTTAGCAGTATATTTTTCATGTATTTTTCTTTAAAAAAAAAAAAGTTTAAAAAAAAGGAGGTGGCCACCAAAAAGTAAGGGGGCGGGGATGCTAAACATGTTTATTTTTTTAATGGCCTTGTTGCTAGACCATGGGTCAAACTACCAGAACGAGATAATCCAAATCACATTTCCAAATAGAGGAGCTCATTGATTTTGATGGTCTTGCTTTTGTTTCTTTTCAGGCACCAGCCAAAACTGGAAGTGCAGCAGTTAGTAACAACAAGGCAGCTACAGATGGTTCTGATGAGGTTTGTAACTTTGTATTCCATAATGTACTGAACCGGAAATGTAAACAAATGAAAAGTACTGTTTTGGCTGATGTACTGTTTTGTGGTGTGCATGTTGAAAGTATAGGTACATGTAGTATGTAGGTTTTTTGCCAGAAATATTTATTTTAAATGGGGGGGGGGGGGGGACAATTGTATTGCTGTTACAGATAGAATTAGAGTGGGGCCTACCCTACAACAATGTAACTCTTGCAAACGGACCATTGTTGCCCATAGCTTGTTTTATATTGAGGAGTTGGCCCTTTCAATGATACATGTACATTTGTGTACCGTATTTGCTGGTGTAAAGGCCGCAGTATTTTTGGAAGATTAAATAGCATAAAGTCGGGGTGCGGCCTTTGCGGCGAAAGAGTAAAATAGAAAAAAAAGGGCTAGTCAAAACCAGCACAAATTTGCACATATGAGACTACGAACGGTACAATAACTATAAAACTATGATATAGGACATTTCCACACATCTTACCAACAATTTTATGTTGCATCGTTGACATGAAGACGAAAATAAACTTCCAAAAACAACATCTGCCGATAGATCTTGATCTAAGTTCGTGCCAATGCATTGCAAAATTAACGGAGCTGTCGCGAAGCATTCCAGCCAAAGTCGCCATTTTGAATCCATTTCAATATATACACAAGAGAAAACTGCAAGGGATAGCATCAGGGACGGGATGGCCGAGCGGTCTTAGGCGGTGATTTGGGACACATCAACATTTGTAGGGGAGGGTTCATATCCCGCCTCCGACAATTTTTTTTGGGGGTCAAAATCGGGGGTGCAGCCTATGCGGCGCTGCGGCCTTATCGCCAGCAAATAACCACGACACAAGGTGCTCAATGTGCTCCAATAATTATTATGTACACCTATTTGTCACAAATGGTTTCATATGGATGGCTGAAAATTTACATGTACGGGTATACTAAAAAACTCGTTGTAATGTGTACAGTTACTTTGGTAGCCCTGTAATACAATGTTAGGTTTTGCATTGAATGCAATCCCCCCCCCCCCTTTGTTGTAGCGCTACAAAGTAGTCCTAATTTTTAATTAAGTGTATTTTCGTTGATATTACTTAATATAGTGATTCAAGTTTCTTTTTGGAAGACTTTTAAAGGAGATACACTGTAAAGAACAATATGTTATTGAATTATATTCCTACTTTAAGCAGTTGAATTCACTGTCAAACTGATTTTCAAAGTACTTATACATGTACTACCTATAACTTGCTCATCGTTTGCCTAATTAATAGGAAAATAGCATACAGGTGTACATGTACAAATAATTTGTCTATAATGTTCATGTACAATGTATTGTTAATTTGCCACCTTAGTCAAAGCCAAGAGATTTTTCCGGACTCCTTGATTGCAGTTATGCAAAAGAAAGAGAGGAAAAAATATGATCATGAAAATGTACATGTACTGTACAAGACAGTGCAACACATGAGCACCATTTATGGATTTGCACCCAGACTAATTTCAGCTGCACAGCTCATTAAAGACCTAATGTACATAATGTATGGCTTCGTGAGTTCATTCCTTTTCAGGTCTCTCTTTCTCTACATGTTGTGTCATGTAATGTGCTTGTCGATCATCGCCACATGTGTGTGATGGCGGAGTGGCAAAGCTAGGAAGGAGTTGAGTCCGCCGTTAGGAAGTATGGGAGGAAACTCAAATGGCTGTTGTGAAGTAAAGTGTAATATAGTGTTGTTCCAGCTGTCATGAAAACAGATTTTGACATTGGGGGTTGCCTGGCTATGTACATGAAGATAATGTGTCAAAAATGAAAGCTATTTTACATACAGTACATGTACATGGAGGCATATCAAAATTTGGAATGAATAAATTACATACATGGTGTATACTTTTAAACACTAACTTATAGATACAGTTTCAACAAAATGTAATAAATGCTGGCAGGGTGACACGAAGTCTACACTTAAAAGCTATTTCAGTTTGATAATTATAATGCAGTATTAAAATAAAGAAGGCATACTGTACAGCAGGTAGATGTCTTTGAATTTCATCATTACTGATTTAAGGATATTTTAAACATTTTTTGAATTTTTTTCGGACTGGTGTCAAATATGCCAAAATGGACACACACTATAAAAATGGCTTACTAAACGGTCCGGTAACATTCCGCCTCATTAGACGGGATTGGCCGCAAATTTTTGTATGCCTTGGTGGACAATTTGTCCAACCGAAAAAGACTTCCTGATTTCAGGGTTTCAGAATAAAAATGAATTTGTAATTTATTTCAGAATAGGCAGCCCAGGGCAACAATAACTCCATTTAGAAATTATAAAACAATATTCAAAATTATATTTGAGGTGTGAAATAACTTATGGAAATTCAAAGACTTCATTCTTATGCTTAATTATCTTTTATTACTTGAGAAAAAGCCCTACAATTTGGAAAATTATGCTCAGATAGGCATGTTTCCAAGTTTTTCCCTGAAGTAACACACTTGCAGACACCATACTAAAAACTTGTGGCCAATTTCATCTAATGCAAAGAGACGTTATTCGAACGTTTGGTAAAGGCTATAGAAATTTTTTGACAAAAAATGTTGAATTATTGAGTGATTAGCAATGGAACAGGAAATATGAATAGCAGTCATACATGTACAGTTGTACACATACATCTTTAGATGGTGCTTTTTAGTATATTAAATTATAGGAGCTACATGCACTTCTTTCATCATCTAACGTTTCTTTGCATTATCTAACGTGTGCAACTGTTCCTGATCTCTGTCAAGTCCTCAAGTGTGTTGTGTAAGGATTTTTCTTTCTGTTAATACTAAATGGCAATCCACAATCAAGTTGAGTTGTGATCATTTCAATCATATTACGTACTCTTAGGGCTTTTTAAAATGGGGCTGTGATCTCAAGATTTCTGCTTTAGAAAAGAAAGAAATTAAATTTATATTTCATGAAAACATGAAGTGCCTTTAACCTTTAGTCATCTTTAAAAATGTACATGTGCAATCCATGAATAATTAATGGACTTTGTGGACATAAGGTTAAAGGCACTTCATGTTTTCATGAAATATAAATTTAATTTCTTTCTTTTCTAAAGCAGAAATCCTGAGATCACAGCCCCATTTTACTGTACATGTAGGCCTAGATACAAGTGTAAGTCTGTGCTTAAAATAATATAATAATGCTTTGATATTAACTCTGTACTTGTGCATACATTACAAGCATGTTATGCACCAAAGAAAGAAGAGGTGGATGGGTGCGGTGAGTCCACAATGCACTGTAGTACTCTACATGTATTACGTAGTTGCACATGTAGGCCACACACCTATCCCTTGACGCACGATGTACACGTACATGTAGTTATGAATCATAAGCAATTCCTTTCCATGCCTACATGTGGTGATCTGACAGCCTGATTATAATGGCACCAGTACCTTGACGTCTATGGCCAGGCATTGCAGTGACTGGTAGATTGAATGTATTTGATGTCAAACAGTAGAGGGCTCAAATAGATGTGTTTGTATTTGGCTTATTTTGACCTCTACCATTGTGAGTGCAGCTGCATGGATTAGCAATCTCCTACCTGAGCAAATAGTATTGGACGATTGGAGGACGGGAAGCATTGTTTTGTATTCTTGGCGGCATCCTTTAAATGTGTATGATGTACATTGTACATGTAAATGTCAGAAAAAGTATTTTGGTTGGCCAAAAAATGCAAAACATCTTTTCAGAGCTACCAAGTATCACGCATTAGGCGTGACATCACGCATTTCGAGGGTCTGAAAATGCTCTTACGCACAACGCGCGTGCTAGATTTTGAAAAAACGCTATACCTTATACGTGTGTTATACCCTCGCACGTGCCGAATCATGAAAATGTCACGCATTGCCGATCTTTGAACTTGGCGTCTCTGTCTTTTAGCAACTGTACAACATGTACATTTACCTATTGTATTGCCAACATTCACTTTTTCATTTTAATGAAGCAGCTTAGGCTTTATACATGTACCCGTGTATGATGAATTTTTAGGTTACGTGTACTGTACTTTGTACTAATATACATATAGGACTGGGACCAAAAACTGGGTACCTGGGTCCCACCTGAGGGCCTTGAGTCCTGTCTAAAGAAAAAAGTACCTGTTTCCCGAAGTTAGATGGCGATGAAAAATACCCCCCATTAAAGTGACATTTTTTTTTACTCTGTTTTGCCGAAAGTCAAATGCATTGCACATTAGAAATACATATCGGATTACATGTGCACATGTCTGACAGTTCCAAACTTCAGCTTTATCCCATGACATTTCAAATAAATGCATTTGAAGATCATTCCTTTTCAGGGAGATATTTTTGATAGGATATTTGTCCTTAAAAAGAATGAGAAAGCACGCAAATTATTTTTCATCAGCCCGTTCAAGAATTAAAAAGTGCTGGGCAGGGCATTAATTTTACACAAGAATTTCATATGTCCAGTCAGTTGTTTAAACCAATTCATCCTTAGTTCAGTTTGACAGAAAGAAAGAAATCCATCTGTGATTGAATAAATAAAAGAAAAATAATAAACAGTGGTTACAGTGTATTGCATGGGGAAAAAACAACCGACCAACCCTGGCAGTGTTGTTTGCCCACAATACATGTTCATGCACGTGCGAGTAGCCTCCACATGCCTCATCATCCCGTCAATACCCTGTGAAACTTATAACCTTTCCTGCATGCAATGAGCTGTATTAAAGACTCAGATGATGTCTTCATTATAAATGGTTGGCCACACTGGTGTTTACCTAGTTAATGGAGGGTGGTGATGAGTAACGGCTGCCAAAGTCCAATGTTTAATTGCATTTATCAATTAACAGGGTATACATATATTGTACTCTGTAAGGAGTTTTTCAATAGGAGAGAAAGACAGGATATCACATGCTTTCATAATTGTGTTATATGTACACCTAATCTATTTAATATGTGTTAAAAATGGAATATGATTAAGATACTTATTTGCATGCCATCAATTTCTAAGCATTGTTATGTTTACAATGTATGTAGTCCTACATGTAGAAGAGAGTAGTATTATGGTCATCTTCCTGAGGTCTAAACACATGCTCTGCCTGGCTGAACTTACATTGTAGCTCAATATTTGATAGCCAGGTTTAGGTTTGTTCTAGCTAGAGTAGCTGATCAAAGATTATTTGTTTAGATCCTCAAAACAGCCTGGACTTAGTATTGTAAATAGAATAGAATAGCAAATAGAACAGCATACCGGTACTATTTATTTCCACGAAGAAGTTTCACATTTGCCACTTCTGGTGGAGGAGTGTTTTCCATTTCCTTTTGTGGTACTTCTCGTTACATTGCAACATGTGAGAGGCATAGAGATAGAGAGAGAGGGAAAGTGAACTGGACTATTTTTGCTCTTTCCTCCTGTCTCTCTCACCGAGTCTCTATACAATTTGCTAGTTTGTGAGGGTATCAGTTCCTGTAATCAATAGCCTACCAGGCAGGCGTAGTTAGTTGGCCGGTGGTTCAGGTCTCGGCTGGGCCTTGACTGCAAACGCAGACTGGGAGCCGGGAGTTCACCGCCATGTCACGCAAGAAGCCTGGGGAGTGGATTTCGGCCTTAATCGTAAGTTTTTTTTCCCAGTGGTGCTGGGCCGGGCTGCTTTGAGCCCCATCGGATGAGACCAGTGGTGTGAACCACATGTACATGCACAGTGTACTTCCTCCTCGTGTACGTTATCGGGATGCCTCAGACAGTGAATACAAGTGAAGTATTTAGATCTAGGAGGAAGTGTCAAAATAATTGATCTGTATTAATCATACTGGACAGGCTATTGAATTCACTGATTAGTTTGACCTACACTGTACATGTATATGTACATGTGTAGTACAGTGGTTCTTAAATATTATATGCCAGTCTAGTACCGTATGTCTTTGGTTTTCAGTGTCCACATGTATGACAAATTGATACGCCTACAATGTGGGTCATTCTACAAATAGGCCAAGTACGATGTACATTGGAAATTTTGATATAGCGGGCCTGTTGCAAATGTACTCAAGGAAGTAAGCCGTAATTGGATTGAAAGTTGGAAACGTGTTCTGATCGTTAGCTCCACTTGCACACAATGGTATGCATGTGGAGAGTTGGCAGAAGTTTGGCATCATGCCTTGTGGAGAAATGCAGATCTTTTGAAAAGTGTGCTAAGATACATCTGCAATGTATATATTGATTCAGTAGGAAAGCAACTTTAGACAGAAATGGTCATGTTCATGTATGTGTAGTCACACTATATAAAAGAAAGATCTACAACTATGGATAAATTCTATTAGATATTAGACATACATGTAGCAGTTAGTTTTTTTTCTCAGTAGAACCAAATAAAAATAATATTACGGAACAGGGGGATATGTTTTGTAATGCAGGCCCACAGTGTATCTGAAAAGGCTAACCATAGCCTTTGAGCCCTGTTTTTTAATATTCGCTTGAAATTGTCTGTGTGTTCAATTCTACAAGTAAACAGCCTTTTGGCTCTGAGCCTTTGAGTAGCAGATACTGTACATCAAAATAATATGTTAAAGAGGTTTTGAAGAATTTCTTGCGTGGCTAAAATTGTGAACTGCGTACGTGAAGCCATGATGAAATGGTCTTCTAGATAATGTACATCATACAGAGGCGACTGATCTCAACACTGTACTCCTATGTTTTCAGTGATGTCAAAAGTGGGGCTGGGGACTGTGTGATGGGGTTGTTCTTTTCATCTTTCCCCACTGTATGAATGAATAGATAATGCATGCATGTATGTATGTCCCTGAATATTTTGCACGTACATGTAATGTGTGCGTTTACAAATAAACCCTACTACATGTACACAATGTACGTGTAGGCTGCAGACTACCATCATTTCCTGCGCAAATGTATGCTGTTTCCTGTAAAATATAGATTTGTCAACCCATTATGAAACTAATGAATTTAATTGTAAAGATACTTGAGCTTCTCTGACTGTCACTACGTCATGTTACCATGGCAGATTTATTAAGAGGCAGTTGAGTGAATTTCAAAGTAAAGAATGGCCAGTGGACGCGTCAGTTTTGAAAAGTAGACATTATTTTCTTTGCTTTCTTTCATACTTGTAGAAAGGAAAGACTTACATATATTTTTGTTATCATGAAATGCGACATGATCTGAACAAGGAATTGAAGCAAATCATATTTTAGCCTAGATTTCTTAGTGTTAACTTGCTTTCTCAACATGAAGGTGCAGATGGTCTCAATGGCATCGCAGAAAAAAAAGCAAGGGAGAAAAAATCTTTTTCATAATTATCCAACCATTGCTATTTCAGGCATGTCCTTGCATTTCTGAAGGGAACAGTTGTGCATAGGTGTTTGTAAATCAAATAGTTCTGTTGTGGAGGTTGCATATGTACAGGAATGTGACACAAACAAAAAGACTTGCACACAGTTTAATTCCTAGCATGACATCATGGAAGCATTTCATGTAGCTGTTGCTATTTCAGGCATGCACTTGCATTGCTTGAAAGAAATGCTGTGCAATGGTATGAGTAAAACATGGGGTCCTATTGTGGATGTTGGCCCTTACAAAAGAAGAAATACACGCCAGTTTATTTTCTAGCTTGAGCTCATGGAATCATTTAATGCAATACAATTACAGGGCCTGTGAAAGAGTGGCAGAAATCCACTACACTGTACATGTGTACATGTCATTAGTATTTAAAGGTCAGGTGACATCCAAATAAGTTGATTCCTGTTGATGTGCAGGACTGCAGACAACTCATATTTTGTTATTCAAAGATCTAAATATATTTCTTAGATTTTGAAATACTTTTTAGAACAATTTCCTCAGACCTGCTGAGCTCCACCCTAAAATAATGCTCCAGATCTCATTCATCTTGTGACATCATCTGTCAATCATTAGTGAGCTAACAAGAGGTAGTGGTACAATGTATGTAACTTCCCCCAGCTCAGCACATGCTCACAAGTGAATTGCATTCTTTCATACAATACCTCCACATTCTTTTCCTGGTGATGCTACATCACGTCTGACATAGCAACTCCTGACATAGCAACTCCAATGTTGGTATTGTATGGTCTATTGTAAACAGGTGGTCAGCTCTGAAAACAATTAACTTGTACATTTCACTACTGTTTACATTAATTTGAGTGTTTCTTTTACACTAGTGCAGCAGTGAATTCATGACACACTTCTGCATCTAGGTTTTGGCACATGAGTGATGACAATGTTTTGTTTTTTCACAGGGAGGCAAGCACAGACCTGGAAATGTACCTCCTCCAACGCAGCTCACAAGAACCAAAGGCACAGGACCCCTCGTGAAGAAGGACAAGAGGCAGGGTTCTTCACGTTTCAACATCTCCAAAAACAGAGAACTTCAAAAGCTCCCACCTCTCAAAGGTATTTGATCATACTATAATGTAACTTCTGAGCCTACAGGTGTATGTATGTTCAGGAAAACTTAATATTAACGCTAGTTTGCGGCTAACTAAATAGGTTACATACATGTAGTTAGTTGAAAGGTAGGTTTAGTAAGGTTTTAATGAACATGAACCCTGAAGAATTTGCATTTAGGGTTCAAGTCCTCATATTTAAGCTTTGGTTATATGTAGGCCCTACATTAAAATTCAGACTCCTTTGATGTTAATGATAGTTATAGAACAGTTTAGAACATGAAACTTAAATGAAGCCCCCCCCCCCCCCCCCCCCAAGTCACACTCCTAGGCCGACCCCATAGATAGCAATCAAATACAGAAATCAAGTTATTAGCTATCTTGGGAAATTCATACATATTTTTCTTTTTGTCCGGTCTATTGTTGTTCTGCGGTTGGTCTTGTGTTATCTTGTCAGTTTTACCAGGGTATAAATATGTACCTGTACCTAGAACTCTACATGTATAAATGTACATGTGTCTCTTGTACATGTAACAAATTAAATGAAATGGAAGAGATGCATTTTTATTAAATTGATATAATTCTGCGTATTTTCTGTTAATCAGTTCCTTTTCCTGTTTATCATTAGGTGCTGTTTTTTTGTTTGTTTCCCCCCACATGTACATGTAGGCCTACTGCAGTGTAGATGTGTACATTTTTAGGAATTGTGCTCGATTTTTTTTTCTTTCTTCCCGGACATTGTAATGCAAGCTATGTCCATGGATCTTGATGTCTGCAAAGGCACATTTCCAGCTTAACCTTTTAGATACCTTATGTCAAAGCTAATAGGATTGAAAAGATGTATGAGCTTCTATGTATTTTTGTTTTGAAATATTTGTCTTTAGTATGGTTCGTGTTTTAGTTGTTTGTGTTTTTCGTTTGATGTGGGTCTCTCCCTTTTTCTGTAGGCAAGGGGGGGGGGGGGAGCCTGTTCTAGTCTGTATGAATCACAGTGTCATTCATCAAGGGCAACTGCTTAGATAGAGATGGACATTATTTGAACTAAATTTTTCATTTACATTTTTCATTACTTTCTAATAGACTTGCTCTACTACAAGTTGCCTAGATTTACATTTGTACATGTCTAACTTGATCCATAACTTGGAGAAATCAGTCAGTCAGTCTGTCTGTCCGTCTGTCTGTCTGAAGTCAATCAATCGAACATGAGAGGAAAACATCCTTGGAAGTTTGATTGAGGAGAGCATTGTTTATGTGATTGGAATGACCTAGCCCTTGACCCAGTTACTCAGCATCTAGCCTGGGAGCGCTCGCTGACGAGCTGGCAATTATTGGTGGTAATTGGAGGCTCTTACTTCAAGAGGAGGATCCCATTCAAATCCCTCTGGAATCACCATTACCATATGAGCAGAACTTTGCGTGCATTGTACTGATGTGATGTACAGTTGTACGTCTCGTTCTAGTACAGACAGATGCATGTATTTATAATCTTGTTCATGTACATCTGGAACTTGTACATATACATGTGCATGTAGGCTCCATGTTTGTTTTTTTGTGTGTTGAAACTTGTTAGAAGTTGAAAATAAATTCTTTCTTCACAAACAGTGGACAAATTTATGTTCTATGTTCAGCTTTAGCTTGATCTTTGAAGGACATTTGTTATTGTATTTCCTTAAATCTCATTGTTTAAAACAACAGAGAAGTACATGTATCCAAGTTTCTTAGAAATGTTGTCGATTAGAGAGATTGAAAAAGGGGAGAGGAAATAATGCTGCTACTTTACGGATGCCTGTGAAAGACCCCTGACATTTGAGCGCTAGCGACTTATGTCTTTTTATGGGTTTTGCCATTAGAGATTAGAATTAGATCATCTTGTTTGTGACTGGATCTATATTTGGGAGTATACATGTAGGTATGATGCATAGTTGGGAATAATATCTTCATTAAGGACGTGCATGCACCTTGATGTAAAAGGGAAGAAAACTACATGTATATATTGTGTGGCTAATAATGTGGCTAATAATGTGTTGAATCAAGCTTAGTACATTTACGTCCTATAAACCTAACATAAATTTGGGCAAGAAACTTTCAAAAGTAAAAACTATCAACTACAATGACAATATCTGACTCTTTGAACAAGTGCTAACTGATGCAGTTGGACACATAGACATTTCAAAATATATTACTGAGAATGGGAAGAGTATGTGTCAAACAATTGCGCTGATTGCTTGTAATACGATGTAAAACTACATGTACATGTAGTTTCATTCGGATTCCCATGATTTTTTAAAATTTAGAAATCTGTATATTTTAAACCTTGACTGAAAATATGATAACCAGTAGTTGTTTCACTGATGACTGATTGGGTCGATTCATGTTTGGAATCAAATTGCATTAATGTATTAGTGCAAGGGATATCTCTGGAGATACTTGAGTAAAACTTTAAGAAGGCACTGCACTTGGTTAAATTAAATGGACACTATATTTACTCCACTGCCTCTATTGTTAGTGTTTCTAATATATCTGATGCCGAACTTATTTGTCATGATTTATGATCTGTTTAGTGTTTACTCTATGTGTAAGATATATTTCCTGGTGACACTTCTATCTATGCAACTTGTCGTACAGTGTTTGAACCGGTCGTATTGCATGCGTAGATCTCCACACTCACCGCTTTGCAGATTTAGCCGGCTAAAAATTGTTGTATTTGTATCATGGGCCTACCTTTTCTTTTAACAGGTTGACTTTTACTTTACTTGTACATGTATGTATATGTAAATGAATAATGAAAGTAAAGTTCTGTTATGTCACATATATATGAGATAGCCTTTTTAATTTTTACTGTAAAGTTGCATACATTTACAATGTAAATGTACATTGTGGGGAAGCTCATCAATAAATACACAGACACAGAAATAAACTTAATTTTGATAGGTTCCATGCTGTCAATCACTGCGGGACATTCCCCTATCAAGTTAGATTGCATAAATTTTGTAGCATTATCAAAAGCAAAGTAGGATGTCGCTGGCAAAAATAGCCCTGGATCAATCAGCCTTGCAGAAGTGATGATCTAAAGGCCTTGATCAAGGCTTGATGGCAGAAAACCAGTGGGCAATCTTATCAAAGCCCATGTGCATTTTTTTTACTAGCCCTGAATCCACCTTTTTAAAGATTTTAGTTCATAAATTGCAAGATATAAATCATGGTAGTGCAGTGACATCTTGTTTCTTGAGTAGAGTAATTCATGGTGAAAATGATCTAGGCAAATGCTAATTGGCTATTTTCATAATCTAATCAAATTAAATGCATACTGCGTTGTTGTTGTTATTAAGTGCCTTGAATACTACAAATTATTTCATTCACTTGTGACCAACAATTGTACTTCAAATAGTCAGAATACAAATTTTGACTTGTTTGGTAGGACAGTCCATGTTTGTCTGACCTAGAAACAACTAATGTATGCAATGTGCATTCTGAATATAATAACCTAACAGGTGAATATAATAGCTTTTCCTTAGGTAAATGTGTACATAGATTTGAATAAATTTTGAAAACGTGTTGCTAAAATCAATGAACCTGTTTATACATTTTTTGCATTCTTGTACTTTTTATAAGAAAAGTTTCCTTTGACATCTGAAAAGCATAAGCAGAGGCCTGCATTACAGCATACATGTACATAACAAAACTTAGTGTACACTATGCAATGTGAATTCCATCCATAGAGAATTTGAAATGTCGTTATGCATAGCAGGTGTATCAAATAGTTGGTATCCAGGGCTGTGGCAGAGAAACACAGATGGAAATATATTGTATGCAGGTCTATTCCTGCCAACTTTCACACTATGTACATGTAGTAAGATGTCGTCCAAATAGACATGGTTACATGTAGTTAATATTTCTTCATTATTGTACAATTTTAAAATATATTTTTTCTTTGAATTATTTGAAATTCTCTTCTTAATTTTCCTGGTGTTGTTTGTCTACTAATATAGTTTTTGTTCTATTCTCCACACCCCAATCAAAGGTAATATCACTTTGACACCACATGTTCATCACCTCAGCTCAAGGGACTTCTGACTTTGATGTATACCGTAGGTGTTCTCTCTCTCTCTCTCTCTCTCTCTCTCTTCACAGATGCTTGGACTTGTTTTATTGGTCTGCTAATATTGCCTCTGCTCCACTAAACAAAGCCCAGACATTGCTATAAATTGATCATTTTAACACCAGAAGCATGTCCGACTATGATGGATGTATTTATATTGTCTTATTTCTCACAGATGCTACCCCCGGTGAGCGAGAGGATCTCTTCTCCAAGAAGTTGCTGCAATGCTGCGTAGTCTTTGACTTCATCTCAGACCCTCTGAGCGATCTCAAATGGAAGGAGGTGAAGAGGGCCGCGCTCAATGAACTGGTGGAGTACGTCACACATCAGAGGGGGATCATCACGGAAGCCATCTACCCCGAGGCCGTCCAAATGGTGAGTGGCATACATGCATGCATTGAGGACCCATTCAGACTTTAGGCAGTAAACCAGCTTTTTTTTTTTTTAAATGCCAGGAATTTTGGTTATGTTGAAGTAAATGACAAGAGGCAATTTGTTAGAGGTAAGGAAACAGCTACAAACAACAAAAGTCCCACAGCATACTCGTTTATTGGCTTCTTGATATCCTGAAAACCATTTAGTGCAAGAATGTTATCTCATGTTATTTGCCATGACATTATTTAAAGCGGTTTACTTCCCCGTGTGTGAATGAGACTTGAGAACCTATAGATAAAAGGTTGTGATGGCCTGTTGTCAAATGGCATTAGACGGTTGACCATTTGGGACATTGTACATCTCCATAAGCACCTGGTGCATCGGCCAATATCAATTCCAATATTATACAAATAACGCACGTCCCAGAGTGCAATAGCGGTGAATGCAGTACGCGCGAGGTTTCTTTAGATTGGTGCCGCTCTGTGCAACGAGCCGCTTGCTTAAAATACTAGAGCCATTTTATAATCTGCATTATTAATGGCGGCAGATGAATCATATGATCTAGTAGAAGAATAGGCCTATTTGATATTTCCTATTTTGCATACTATACATGATAAGACAATCAATATCTTTATGTTAGTCATCCTGAAGGATGATCTTAACATATGAATGAATTTTCCATGGGGGCCGCTTGAATGCCCTTCTCAAATGGCCTACTGGGTAGGGCCGACTGGGTAGAGCCAAGTGGTAGTGAGCAAGGGAAGGATAAACCTTGTTACTGAATGGCAAAGATATTGAAACCATGGCACATGATAGTCCGTGATCTGTGGGACCTCTGATCCGATCAATAATATGATTTTTAAGTGTTGTGAAATTTCTTCTTGTGTGATCCAGTATGATGAGGTCAGAGGTAGTTGGACAATGCCAAATTCTAAAAGAGTTCCTGCAAACATAAAATTATTTTTTACACAAAGTACATGTACCGTACATATCCATTGGTGAAAAATGGAATCCTACTTTGGCTGATGAAAAAAAAAACAAGGCAAAAAACAAATATAAAAGCTATGGTAATGTGTTATTCTACAGTTTAAAAAAAACTTAAATGAATTGAATCTTGTACATTTCAATTCACCTGTTATGGTACGCTTGTGCTATTAGTTTCCACCCTTCTGGAAATGGAATATTGTTATTGCATGGAACCACACCAAAAATAGCTTGCCAGGTGTACATGTATGTATACCACTAACACTAATATGGAAAATCCACCCCCAATGTTATGAGTTGAAGTATGCCCAAGAGGACCTTAGAGAAACCATGAAAACGGGGAGAGCGAGAGAGAAAGCTCTTGAAGAATGTCTAGAGAGAGATGGATGCTTATCTCGATCGACGAGGAGCATCTAGAGAGGGAGTCTGATGGTAATCTCCTTTCTTCTTCCTCCAGTTTGCAATCAACATGTTCCGAACGTTGCCACCCCCTTCCAATCCCCACGGTGCTGAGTTTGACCCGGAAGAAGACGAACCAACGTTAGAAGCAGCTTGGCCTCATTTACAGGTAGGTCATCCTCTCTCACTATCTTTTATGGTATCACTGAAAGTAACAATTCTCAATTTGCCACTTTTTGAAAGGCATATTGCAGATATTGTTGATGACAATATTCTGACTGCAGTTGTAATATTTTTTTTTTACAGATGTATTACTTCTGTAATTTATGTGTCCATACAATGTACAGTGTATGTTCTTGTATAAAAATATATTATGCTTTGGTTTTAGCAAAGCGATAATGATTTTTTTTTTCTCGCTTCAATGAGACATGAGGTATAATGGGAGGCAGTTGTTGATCTGAAGGTTTGTAATTTTAAAGGTCCATGGTTATGAAACAAGAATTTCCCATACTAGGGGGTTCATAATTGCACAAATAAAATGGGTTCATAATTCTTAACATTTGTTGCATTACCCCGAAGTTTTGTTATCCAAAGGTTCATAATTTCAAAAATGAAATAGGGTTCATTATTCTGAAAGTTTGTAAGCTGCAAGTTTGTGATATAAACAAAATGATGTAATGTTCTATTAAAATTTCAGACTAATGAATCTTACGAATACAAATGAGCCCACATACATGTATATTTTCAGAACTACGAGCCTTATATTTTCAATATTATGAACCCTACATTTGTATTTCATTATCAGAATTACGAAACTTTAGATAATGAACCTTTAGAGCAATGAACCTTTTGAACAATGTCCATTTCGGAATTACAAACCTTCAGAAAAATGAAATTTAATGATAGGGTTTACCACTTGAGCAGTAAGAGAGATTTTTAGTCACTTGCTGAGAAACAGATCCATCTGGCTAGATCTAGTACTACTCGTACATCTCAGTAGGAGAGATACTACCAGTGTGAATAATTTATTGCATTTAGCATCTTAGGCATTAAGAAAGAACTCTGGATCGTCTTCTCCCATCACAATTGTTGACTTCTGTCCTTTATGACCGTGTGGTATCATTTCCCTTCCTTAATCTTCTATTGGAATGCATCAGTACACTTCATTAGCCGAGGCTTCATATTAAGCCTTACTAGAATAGATAGCCTCTGTTTTAGGGATAGAAGAAGCGTTTCCTACGTCTCTCCAATATTCTGAGGGATTCAGACTAGGCTCAGTTGATTCCTGCTGAATTAAGAGTAGTTTTGCAAAACAAACCCTTTTATTTAACACTGCCTACATGTACATGTATGTACAATTGATAATGTGAAGTAGAAATGACAGACAAATCCTATACTTCATTTTATTTTGACAACAACAATTCTGAAAGAATGCTATGTTTTATGTAGTAGCCAAGTTAGTCAACTCATTTAAAGAGCGGTTTGCTTCGTGTTGACAGACACGTACTTCTTCCCATTCTGCAGTGAATTTCTCAGTTTCATTCAGAAATAATTCATGTTGACATTTTGTGTAATTAGTAGACTAAGGATTTAAATTTTTCTGTGTTAATTAACATTGCTGAAGAATCAAGTGTGCGTTCCAGTAATTCACATTTCAAATCCTTTTGATTTGAGGCTGAAGGGTGATGATAAGTGCTCTCCCATTAAAGTTTGTCTCATATGAGTCTGTTAAAAGACTAAGTACAAGATGGAGGAAGGCAGTGGTAATTCTTGATAGCATTATGTGCAAATCTCTTCCAAGGCAATATCAGGATGCTTCTTTAATTTGTTTTTTTCTTGAAAACGTGAAGTCCAATAGGGGGCCGAGTCAATGCCTGCGGCTACAGATTGACAAGAATCAAGTTATTGTTTTCATTTACAATTTGAGGCTCCCGCCTACATTTATGCATTTGGGAAAGAATGCTAGAATCTGCATTAAGGAATGAACGTACAATGACATCACTTGACATCTTGATAAAAATATCTTTGATAGCTGAACTCAGAATTTATTTCTCAGAAAATAACAATTTCTAAATGTATTGAATTCTGGAGCCATAAAAGCTCTGTGGTTGGGCATGCAGTAATATTTTATGTTCAATTTAACTTTGACTGTAAATGACCAGTGCCAATATTAATGGCAGACACTCAATGACAGACACTGTTCTAAAACAAATATGCAGGTATATTGATTTATAGGTATGGAGGTTACATTAGGTAATGTCAGTGAACCTAGCATCTTTACCTAATTTCTGTTGTTACCAGTTTGTTTATATTTGTTTTTGTCTGTGTTTGTCATTCCAATTTCAATATCTTCTTCGTACAGGCCTCATAAGTAGATATAATTTTAACTAGTTCCTCCCTCCCATCTTTCTTAATGAACTGCAAACCTTGCACAGGCTATTATAGTGATGCATTGACAATTTTCTGTAGATTTTAAAGACAGCAATTAATTCATCAATCTCAGAAGCTTGTCCAAATGTTTGCCCAACATAGCAACAGTGCACAAATCAAATCTGTATGTTGATCTGTAATCCAAAATGTCTACCGTACCTGTCTTCATGCACATATCTATACACGAAAACAAAATAAAGGCAAACAGAACAAACATTCATTCCTACATGATGGTTAGCTGGGATAAAGCATTCAGCACATTTGTGTTTTTAATTTTGTTTCCAATATTAGGGTATCATTTTGTACATTGAACATACCACATTCAATGAAAGAGTAAAGAAAGGTATGTTAGATCATGTAGGATATGTGTTGGGGGGGGGGGGGGGGGCTTTGAAGAAAGTTGCATCCAAAACGTTATAATCAGTTTACTCACAATCAACTCATTAGAACAAATCGTAAGTGATACATTTAACTCTAAAAAAAAAAAAATGATTTTGCAAGAAATTGTTGATACCCAGGGTGTCTTTGTAGATTAATTGGAGATACAGTATGATCCTGCCCCCCCCCCACTCAGTGTTATTTAGGGTACGCATATATGCATGTTCCCTCCTTTTGAAAACACCCCCTGAGTCCAGTGTGTAAAGTCAATTTTGTGTACCGTAATTAATGGTGTATAAACCGCACCTTTTTGCCGCCGAAAAAAATTCAAAGTCGGGGGTGCAGTTTATACAAAACACACCAAAAAAAAAAAATTAAAGTTTTAATTTATGCCCCTCCACCTGGCGCTATGCCTGGCAATGTCTCCCAGCTCAGTAATCAGTGTGTTGACTCACCACTAGGAAACTAGAACAACACTCAAATTTGTCTGTCAACTTGGTTTGATAGGTAATCTTTCTGATAGATCTCAATATGTAGTTTATAATAATAATTCCTACACATGGTGTACCACGAGGTTGTATCCTAGGTCCTCTACTGTTTTTTAATTTACATTAATGATCTTACACATTCAGCTGCACCTCACTGTTAAATGAAAGGCCTTCCCGCGTGGGTTTTTTTAACACGGACCTGGCTTGCTGCCGACAGAGTCGGCAAAAAAAAAAAAAAAAAAATTAGGGCGAAAAAGAGGGGTGAGGTTAATACACGAGGGCGGTTTATACAACGTTAATAACGGTATGTACGAGCTGGACTTTGGTGCTTGAAAAGTACCCCTTAACCGAACATTTTGGTAACACGCATGCGGTCATTCCAACCCCGGAGTGGGGGGGCCGGGAGTATTATACATTTCAACCACTTCCAATAAAAATATTATGTGTAAGATGGTCATTAGCACATAATAATATTTTATTAAAATATCTTAATGGAATGGATACATTTAGAAAAAGGTTGATTCTTTTAGTATTGTGACAGTAAGAGAACTACATGTTGGGGTCTATAGTTAGTGGAGAAACCTCCTACAATGTAATGTCAGGTCAACGTGGATGCCCTGTCACTGATATCCTGTTATTGACAGTTACTATCCATTAGGATTACCTGTCAAAAAAAACCTGGAGCTACCTTAAAATAGATCTTTGATGTGAATCTGATCAGCAGACGTGCCACTGTTTACTCAGTTGAGTCCATACGCTCATTACTAGCTCAAGCTAGCTCAAATCCACTGCCCATTTACTTTGATGTAAATCATATTTTTGACACCCTCACCCAATAAATTTAGTTTTAGTTATCTTTAGAAGGAAATTTATCAATTGCATGACCAAGTGCTTAGCATTGATTATAATTTCCTTCTGTGTTATCATTCTGTTTTGAATTGGTAGGAACTTGATTCTGTTTGTGTGATCAAAATTGTATCAGCAACATCTTTACAAAGATTATTTAGACTTCAATTTTGTTGATTCCATTCAGAGTTCCGGGTTATTGAATTTAAAAAAAATTGAAATGGTGCTTTAATTTTAGCGAGTATAAAAAGTTCTGCTGAACGACAAAACTTATTTCCTTTTGTTATTTCCATGCCTTTGAAACAGAATTTCCAGCAATCTGAAATGTACAGTCTCTTTCCTAACAAATCTTTATGCTAAGTATATGTGGCAATATTTCACGTTTAATACAGGCATTAATGCTGAAGATCAAATTTTATATGTCAAGATTCTTTATTCCTTTACAGGAAAGCCATATTAAAGCCCCACTGCACTACTTATAGCTACTTGTGCCCTCTATAAAGCAAACATTGATGCCTAATCGGTGACCATTGGTCCCCCATGATCTTCTTTTTCTTATGTTAATTGAGAGCTTATTCGATGAGAAAACCACTTATCGGTGAACATGAAGGGAGGTCTGATCCCTCCTGGCCAAAGTAGTGCGGTGGGGCTTTAAGTTGTTTGAACTGTGATGAGTGGTTTAGAATGTTATGTTGGGCCTTTTAGATCGTATTGTAGTATGTGTCAACATCAGTTTCTTATCCTTTCCCATAATTGTTAGTTACTTTAAGTTTAAGATTAAACACAGAAGTTTAGACCTAAATCGCAATATCAGATATAAACCAACTTCTTAACTGGTCTTAAAGAATCCAGTGTCCAGTCACTCCAGTGTACAACTCAGGCTTGGTGTCCACAGGAGCAAAATCTGTTTTCCTGTGCAAGGAAACACGGCAGCAATTGATTTGCTCATGAAGGGATCGAGGCCGTAACAGTTTTCACCGAAATCCGATGCATCAGAGAAAATTGATTGTAACACTCGAGGGAGATCTTTGAAGAAAAAAAGATTTGCGTAGAGTCCATGTGCATGCGAGTGAAAGTTCACAGAAGATTACCCGGCTTCTGCCCTTTCATCCCAGTTTCTCATCTCTCTGTCTCTTACGTTCTGTCTTGAGCGCTCTCTATCAACTCTTCTTCTCTTTCCTCAATGTGCCATCACTCTTTTAGTTTTCTCCAAACTCTCTTACATTCTTTCATTCCCCCCCCCCCCCCCCCCCGCACTTATTCTCTTAGCACTTCATTTTCCCTTTCCCTTCAGACACTCTCTCAGTTTTCTATTTCCCTTTCTCTCAAATTTGTTTCCCCTTTCTCCCATCCATATTTACACTACCTTTTCTCACTTTATTGTGTTTCTTATTTTTTTCCTTTCTCTTACACATTCTTTCGTTCATAATCTCTCTCTTGCTATTCTGCTTTATTCATTTTCTCTTTCTGTACATCTCTTCCTCTTTTCATCACTCTTTCTTTTAATAGTCCCGTTATGTTTCTTTTGTTACTATATTCCAACGATATATTAAATCACTCCCACCCCCCCCCCCCCAAAAAAAGAGAAAAACATGAGTGACAATTTTTAGAACATATTCTTTTAAAAAGAGTGCTTTTGCTGTGTGTGACGAGGGGGGGGGGGGGTGGCGGGGAGTGGGTTGTATGATTTTCTTCTGCAATTGGGAGTTTTCAACTGTTCTTTGAGATATTATTTTAAGTTACCTTTTCCTCTTATTTGTTTCTTTTTGACAGCTTGTGTATGAATACTTTTTGCGGTTTCTAGAGTCACCAGATTTTCAACCCAACGTAGCCAAGAAGTACATCGATCAGAAATTTGTTCTGGCGGTAAGTGAAACAAGTACCGGTAGGCAGTATCCATGAAACCATTTATCTATGAAGTGTGTTAAGTACATTTGTTTGTAAATGTCTGATCAATAGTTATTGTGGTGGTAAAAACATCCAAAATAACCATGAACATATACAATTCTCCTCTTTTGAAATGCTATTTACTGTTCAAATTACTCTTAGTCATTATGACGGACAAGATCTTGTTGTATTGATGGACACACTTACAAAAACATGTTTAATATTTTATGAAGGCAGGCAATAGGAAACATATTTCTTGGAATACATCAAAATGGTTGTCCTTAATAACTTTTAATGGGTTTTGGAAAATCATTTTGAAGAAAGGGAAATGTGGTATTCACAAGCAAGGTTTGATAGAATTCATAAAATATTTAGTTAATGATTTCTTTTACAACCCTTTAATCACATTATTTGTACAAAGTTTATGGATTCATTTTGACTAAGGCTTTGGCAGTACTCAAAATGCCTATGAATTATCAACTTCAACATACAGAGAATGCTTTAAAGTGCATGTAGCGAGTCTGTCTTTACACTTGAACCAGACATCTTCCTCATTACTGCAGTACAGCAATATCTTCTCAATTCAATTTCCCCTTGTCATTTTTGTTTTGAGGTTTCCTTTATTCCAAGGAACCGATTACAGTGTATGTGCAAGAAAGTCTGACAAATCATGCAAATGTACCTCACTGTTCACATTCAACACGTACTCTCCTTTGTTACCGTGGAAACGATATTTGTTTGATAAAAATATACTTTGACAGAGTTGTTTGTGCCTTTTATCATTGAGTGGCATCCATTATCATTGCCAAACGTATTAATGAGGTAGATTTTTATAAAGGAAAATGAGTTTCAAATAAAGTTACTTATTTAGCATGCCTTGACATGTTAGAGTACCAGATCAATTAATCAATTTAAGCTGTCATGTACCTTTTATAATGCAGCATTGAATGTGATTGATTACAGAAGGCAAAAAGTGAAAAGAAGGAGGTTAAAGTCTGCTTTGTGTATCCAAAAAGTATACTCAAATTTGGTAGCTTTGTGTCAAAATTGTATATCACCTTTGCCTTTGAAATGTACACTGTACGTCATAGTAAAGAGGGACTACAATTCTGTAAAATGATACCTCATTCAATATTCATAAAGTTGCTTCCATGGATGACTGAGCACCAGGGTATTCAAGAAGAGTCGTACAAATTCCTTGTATCAAGTTCAGGCTAGCAAATAATGTGGCTCAAATCCATCTATGCATGTCCTGTATACTTTTATTCTTGTTATCTTTGTAATTTGTAATTAAAAAATAATTTTTGTCAGTGGTCTTCTTTAAAATAAAATCAGCAGGAACTCCAACATATACTTAATTAGCACTAGATCTGAAAACTTGGGAGGACTCTCTGAAGTAGAAAGTAATATTTTTTACACTAGTCTTGTGACATAAAAATATACTGGTACATGAAGACCCTGAACTTAACTAGCTATTGAGAATTATGAATAAAATAAAACATGAGTTATAAGCAACAGGAATTTACATGTACACCTGTACATCCGGCGTCTAAAGGTCTCCTACATGTATCTTAGGATCCAATAAATCATAGTATTTTTTCCACAGAGGGGCCTTATATTTATGGTTTGTGGTGAATTTGGCCTCGGTTTTGTTCATATGTTCAGGTCCCTATACAGTATGTAAGCCTAGTAATCGCAAAGTAATTTTAAGCAGGGTGATATCAGAAAGAAATTAAAGATCCTTCATGTGCATCAAGTACTGTACAAAATGCTATAGCCTGCCACATGTCAGCATTACAGTACATTATAAGTCCAGACTCCACATGCAGAGCTGCCAACCATTCCGTTTTTGCCGGAATTACTCCGTTTTTTCCTCCAAATTACGGTATTACGTTTTTTCTTCATAAAATGTTTTTTTATTTTTTTTTTTATTTTTTTTTTTATTTATTTTTTTTACATACCACACGTCAAACAACTGCCCTAAAATGTTGATTTGATCACAAATTCAATAGAAAATTAATTTTAAAACATACTTGAAGAGAAAAATATTGTTTAAAAAAATGAAATGCCGATAATACCAAAATAACCAACAACAAAAATCCCCTGCTTGTATAGAAAAAACAGCATGATGAATAAACATTTCTGCATTGGAAGTGTGTCGCACGTGGTTGTAAGTTTCGTTTTTGTGAATTCCCTTTTTTGGCCTGAAATTCCTTTTTTTGCCTTCATGATTCCTGTTTTTGGTCGCACAAGGTTGGCAGCTCTGCACATGTACACTGTCCAAAACCAACCTATCCTTTCATCATTAGGAGTGGGCCATGGGTAGTGTACCAACACATATCCTCTAAAAATGAAATCTTAAACGTGTAGTTTCCGTTTAAACATGGATAACTTCTTCAAATTTCTTGCTATTTAGAATAAACGTGAGTGTTTTTGTTGTTATCATAGAGCAAGGATTTAATTTTACCAGTGTTGAATGAGGAGTCTCGTAAGACCATTCAAACTGTTGCCTACGTTCAAACCAAAGGGAAGCCTTTACAACTTAGGTCTCCAAACAGCTTTCTATAGATACTCAATCAATAAGGCATTCTCGTAGATGAAGTCGTTTAACCCTGAGATCAATACAGCCCCAGAATTAGAAAGCAATTGAGAGATGGGAGTTGCCTATTACAATTAAGTTAGTGGTAAAGGGATCCATAGGTATCTTCGTGTATCATTGTATAGTCAACATGATAATAATGTATAGCCTCATTAGCCTGGGGGTATATACATCCTGTACATGTAGGTATATCTGTATGCAAGTAATTGAAATGAAATGTGCATTTCTTTGCCATTGATTGAAATCAAGCAATCACAATGGGTGATGTTTATCACCTTTTTGGGTTAAAATTTACATTTGAATTTACCAAATGTATCTTGCACTTGTTATGTGTTAAATTATAGACCTCTCCAGAATTTTGAAATTCCCAGTAGTTCTCAGTTCAGTGAAAATTCAATTTTTGGGTAAATGCTATTAAATGGCATGTATAATTTGTAACTTCTGGTTTTTTTGGACTAAAGTAAATTATGCAGTCTCACTATCATAACTAGCTTAACTAGGCAGTGTATCCCTTTTGCAGCCAACATCAAATTCTGTATAACTTTGCAGGAATCATGTCACATATGTCCTATCTGTAAGATTTAAAAGTTTAACGGTTATCACTTAACAGTTACCTTGTTATCCAAAGGAAACCATTTACTCTCTAGACTTCACTGTCAGACACTGTTGAGTGACTGGCTGACTTTTTTGAATTTGTTAGTAACATAGATAAAATTAGCTGTATGGGGTACATTATCATTTATACACATCAATGACCCACTTCTTTATTGACCAAAAGTAAACTTATCGAGTCTTTACTCGGCACAAAACGTACAACTGTGCGGCACAAGGGTCTGAAAATCAGACTACTTTCTAGGCGTACTTTTCTCAAAGTGTGTTCTGAAAATTCCCAACACTCGATATAATTCCACATAGAGGCAATTTATAGTTCAAATCTTTTAAAGAGGAGTTTTCAGTTGGTATTATCTCTTGTTTACCATACGATTTATATAATTTTATATTTTCAGCCTCCAAAAGGAACAGACTACCTTTAATGGGGTGGATAGTTTGGTAATAATTCTAATGAAGAGACTATGTAAATGAGGGATAACGTAATGCTACATTAAAATAATTAACAATGAAAGAGTTCCATATTTTGTTATGATACAGAATTTCCAGAAAATTGACACCACAAATTCCATTTCATTTGCAATACACGTCTTGTACTGTTAGGATAGGATATGACAAGAGCTATTTTGAACTCTATCCCTCCCTTTAAGGGTAGATGGAGAGCCTCACAGCCAGCTCTGCTCAATCAGCAGATTACAATCTTGGGGTGAAATTCAGGGTTGCTGGGCAAGATGGGTCGCCATGGCGATAAATTAATGTGATCGTCATCCGTCCTTTGATGTCGTTGAGTAACTTCTTGGGAGCAAGGTATAGATGTATGTTTGGTGTAAATGTCAGGATGACCATGAGCCTTTGATGCAAGAGGTTTCATCCTCAATTTGCTGTTTACATTTCATGTGAACATGTTTCATATTGCTTGATTACACTAAGAGGACAAGGTGTTTATGTTCTGACATTTATTTAACAAAATAGCTGACAAAAAGCCTGACATTCATGAAATTCATTTTGCTTCATATTATTATTTGATATTTAAAGTAGAAAAAAAAAGTATTTCCAACCGACCGACCCATGTTTTGGCACCTAAAAGGCAATACAATCTTTTTTGTAAGGCCTTATTTCAGACTCAACCTCTGTGAGTGATTTATTTTATGTGAGTACATGTAGGTTGGCTAGTTGACCCGCAAGTCATTTTAAGTTCTATTTCAAGAGCACAATTTGTGTATTGAACTTTGTCCATGTTCGTTATCTGCATAGAACATACAGAATAAGAATGAAAAGTCCTCTTCAAATACAAGAGAAGACATTTAAACATATGAATACTGCATAATTGCCATTTGCCTGTAGGAATTCAAGTACTACAGATACGTATATTTTGTAGATCATCAATGCCAAAGAAACTATCATTTGAATGGCAGCATTAATTTGCAAGGCCTCTTTCTATGACACTCTTCTACTTATGATTATAATATTGTTTCAGTTCTGAACAGGAAAGAGTATTTATTGAGTAGTAAACTGTAGCTTCTACAATGTACACAATAGGTCTTCATGTATATTCATTTCGTCCTTGTTTTAACGAAGTGACGGTAGTGAGGAAAATCGTAATGCAAAGTGAATGCAATTTTTTTTCACTACCGTCACTTCGTGAAAACAGCGACGATTTGTATGATATGCCCCGCTCTCTAGAAATTTGTAGACTCTTTTGATCATTAATAAATAAAAAGGGCTGGTTTCTATTTATTTCATACTTTCACAGAATCAGTGTATAGCCTAGTGTTGTAAAAACTGAATCTGATTCAATTTTAGACAAATAATTACACATGTATATCATTGATGAGTTGTTATCTTACATAGATTATTGCTACTATTTTTCTAAAGTAGAAAAGGACATAGACCCTGTCGAGTTGTTGTTCACTGCCTAGGTGTGTATATTGGTGTATATGACACAATGGAATGCATTCATCAGTTAATTTGTGTGAATTTCAGGTATTAGAATGAATTAAATGTGAAGAATTTGAATAAATTTGAAGCCCAAACTCCTGTTTCAACCTGGTGACTTTCCCTCTTATATCATAGTGAGCTGTATTTAAAGGGGAATGCCCCATTTTAGAGTTCTTAGCTATGGGTCCTTGTAATATTTGACATAGGTTACATGTAGCTGCCCAAATGATTTTTTGTTTGTTCTTGAGCTCTTGCTTTGAACCACTCTCCATCAATTTGATGGTTCCAATACAAATAGGACTGTAAAATTCACGTTAAAAAAAAGAATAGAAACATTTCCTATTTTTTTAAAGGAATTTTCCTGCTTTGAGTCTCAATGGGAAGGTTTATTTATTTATTACTACTAATAAAACCAATGGAGAGGGTCTGTCTTAGTACTTAGGAAGTATTTTCAAATGTATGCCCGAGCACAGTTTCATTTTTATCTTTTTCATCGACTATATTCAACTTTTACACCACATTACAATCTGAAAATCGAAAGAGCACTTTAAGATATTAATGAGTACCGGTAAATGTCAGGATTTTTTTCTTAAGATACTGTTTGTCGTGGATGTCTAAAGACATAGCAAACTCTTATTTATTAAAAGTGAGAGCTCGTGTAACCACTGACATTTCATTTAACGATTAATTACGTGTTATGGTGGTTATCTTATGCATAATTGCAAGTGATAAATGTCTTCACAGCTTGAAGAATAGGGAACTGCTATCATGTGGGTGGATTTTTAATGAGAATGTGATGTTCATTTACATTGTACATGATGTACAGTGTATGTATCATTAGTGTATGTAACCACCAAGCATGCTAATGGAAATACAATCCTTTTTATGGCGTTGTAAAAAGAAATTGTGTACATTTTTATTGTTTAACCAATGCCAAGATTCTGCCTTGTGGAAAGTGGGTACCTTGTCATAAATATTAATTTACATTTTTTGTAGAAAGAAATGTTTTTCTTTTGTTTGGCATGATTTCATATTTTCCAAATTTTCTGATGGCTTATTCTGAGCTATATTTATGATTTTATTGCTTTGCCAGAGCTTTCTCTGAGCTTGCCAAAGCTAATGTATATGTTGATGTATATACCCTGTATCTAGGTCCCTCTGCCCATGTGCTAAAAATAGTGTGGTGATCACACCAGCCCCAAACACTAAATTTGCCCTGCTCCAGTCTTTTGCTTGAATGATTTTGCGGTGCACCTCATGTGCAGGCTCTGTTGTTTAGAAACGGTGAACTGGACAACGAGCAAATATGACGTTAGCACTTTGGTTCTCTATAGAAATTTAAAATGGGGCTCCCAGATGTGAATATGAACCTTACCAATTTCAACTGGTGAGGATTTTGTTATTTTATAATAAGCTTAATTTATTCTTCTCCCATATATTTCATTCCAGCTCTTGGAACTATTTGACAGTGAAGATCCGAGGGAGCGGGATTTCCTCAAGACAACGTTACATAGGATCTACGGCAAGTTCCTAGGTCTCAGGGCATACATACGCAAGCAAATCAACAACATTTTCTACAGGTTAGTGCACTCAAACCACACATATATGATCCTCAATGTAGAAGGGGGGGGGGGGAGGGTGATGATTACGATTATGATGAGTATTGGGTGAGAGAAGGGGAAGATGATGATGATGATCATGAGTACAGGGTGAGAGGAGGGAATGGAATGATGATGATGTTGATGATGAGTATAGGATGAGAGAAGGGGTGATGATGATCACGATTATGAGTATATATTGAAAGAAAGGGATGATGATGGTGATGGTGATTATGGTGAAGTTAGAACATTAGCAATTTTATAGATCCATAAGAAGATCTGTTAAGTACATGTATGCACCAAAGTCTCTGATTTTCATATTTCTTTTTCAGGTTTGTGTATGAAACAGAGCACCACAATGGCATTGCAGAACTTCTAGAAATTTTGGGCAGGTGAGTCATATGATGTTCTTCCTCCCTTCATGTATATCCCTTTTGTCTCTGTCTCTTGTTTTCCTCCTCTGTTTCTTTCTCTCCTTCTGTTGGAATAAAGTTATTTCTAACAATTAAACATGTCTTTAAGTAAGATTTAATTTTGTAAATATGAAGATTTGATTACATTGCAAGACTCATTGAGTTGGATATGTAAGTGGACAAGATTTATTTTTCAGAAATCCTGTTTAATGATGATCAGTATACACTGTACTGCATTGGAAAATTGATCAGGTCACTCATCAGAGAATGATCATCAAATTTCATCGAAGCCAAGAGTAAAAATGCAAACTTGAGCAGAATCCTAATTAACCAGTTAGGGTTGAAATGTAATCAAACTATTCACATCTTTCTGGTACTTGTATACAAATTTAAGTATTGCAAGGTAAAGACAATGTTTGTATGTCAACTGCAATCTCAGAATTTGTTCAGCTATTTAGATGATCTGTCATTTCCTCTGGCAGGATTTGTTCTGTTTTGAAAGATGGAGAGGATGGCAAGAATAGGGCTGAAGTTTGGTTTTTGCCGTAGAACTATAGAAGGGAGCAATTCTCGCTGAATCTTTTGCAATTTAATTTTGAACTGATAGAATAACTTGTCAATGTTTTTTCCCACCAGCATCATCAATGGGTTTGCATTACCTTTGAAGGAGGAGCACAAGACGTTCCTGCTGAAGGTCCTAATGCCACTCCATAAAGCCAAGTCCCTTAGTGTCTATCACCCGCAGGTAAGTCTTAGCGTGTATATGTAAATGGCGACTGACCGGAATGCTCCCCAGGGAGTGGAGAATATGCATACATTGTGTTGCGGGTAAGCCTGAATCCAATGACCGGGGTAATAATATGTACTAATATGCGCCTAGAAACAAAGTATTAGGCGCATTATGAATGTGAGCTATTATTATTATTATAACCCTTGGCAGCTAGAGAGCAAAGTCTGTTTAATGGGCTGTACAGTGTAAATTAATTCTATGCCTGTTCGGTTTACTTAGGGGAGACAATTACATCAAGTCAAATTACTCATTTTCCACTCAGTGACATATTCAAGTCTACTTGGAACAATACCCTGAGTTTCTATTAAAAAAGATAAGCCATTCGTAAGTGTGATAGGATAGTAGCACATTCAGCATACTGTGTAAATTGCACATATGGAGACAATAATGAGATGACACTGCCATTAGAGAACATAATATTGTTTCATACTCTCAGTGGTACAGTATTACGTTGAGTAGAGCTTTTAGCTTTGCTCTCCTCGCAGTCACTAGTCTGTCCTCGTTTTTTTTCCCATGTCATCAACCAACTCCCCAAGTAAATTGCTAAACAGCATCTACTCATTTTCCTCCACTAAGTATTCAAATTGTCTGAGCGTGGCCCCAAGGCCTTACGACCAAATGAGGTCATCAGCATGCTCTATTTGGCCTAATTGGAGAAAAATATTTGCCATGTCCACTTTGTATTCCATGTGTAATGACCTAATTTAGCATCCTCTCTCATGGTGGCTCCAATTTGATGGTCCAAATTAATCAATTTGTGATCTTATTTTCTGCTTTCTGTCTTTCCCCTCTATGTTTCTCTCTCCCTCTCTTCCTCTCGCTCTCTTATCCCCTCCCTCTCTTTTTTCTCTCTATTTCTCTTTTCATTTTCTTTCTGTCTCTCTGTCTGTGTGTGTGTCTCTCTGTCTGTGTGTGTGTGTCTCTCTCTCTCTGTGTGTCTCTCTCTCTGTCTCTTTCTCTCTCTCTGTGTCTCTTTCTCTCATCCTCTTATTCTCAATTTGTTTGTATTTGTGTGTGTCTCTACTTCTCTATAACTCATTTTATGCTGTATCCCACTCAATTTAGCTAATTATCTTTCTTCTCTCTGCCTTTGTCTCCTCTTTCTTGTCTCTTGTATGATTAACCCTCATGGTCTTAGTCTTTCTTGTTTTGGTTCTACATCCATTGTATCAGTATTAAAGCCTTCTATACATGTACATTCACTTGATATATTCAGATAAATGTATTTTGCATCTTGTTTTCTTGTAAATTAATGATCATCTTTTAGGATTAACATCCATGATCCAGAAGTATAATTTTTGTCTTTACTTCTTTTCTTCTTACAGCTTGCATACTGTGTAGTTCAATTCTTAGAGAAAGATCCTTCATTAACAGAACAGGTAAGATGAAGATCGGAAATTTGTATAAATTAAACACAATATGGTTGGGGATAATTTTGAAGAATTATTTGTTTCATTTATCAGTTAAAGAATTTTTTTATTTTTATGATTTAAAAAAAAAAAAATTCCTGGCAGAGTAGAGATTTCTTTTCCAATCATCATCATAGTCGTGAATTTGTTTATTTTTTCAGTGACCCCCGTCTGTAAATGGTTGAGTCTTGGCACTTAATGAGCATAATGTTGGGTATTTGTGTAAATGCTCAACTTCAAATGACATGTTAAAGGTGAATAAAAAGGCATTGTCCTGCTTGAGGAAATAAAGGTGACTTGGAAGGCAATTAATATGTTGCCTTTAGGCTCAGTCAAGAAATGAACAAGAAGAACAAAGAGCAGTCATGATAAATTCAGGTCGATACCTGACTTGAAGTCAGTCACACCCATGATTCTTGTTAATTTTTTGAAAGCTGCATGTATTTTAGGTTTAAAAAAAGACTGTTACCAAGATGGCACTTGAACATACTGTCATCAGTGAAGAATTGAGCATTGTTAGAAACTTTCTGAGAAACATACATATTTATGCAACTTGTAAATACACTGCACATTATAATGTTAAATACTTTATTTTTCTTTTCCCTTTGTGTTATGGCAGGTCCTCAGACTTTTACTGAAATTCTGGCCCAAGGTCCATAGTCCGAAAGAGGTAGGTCAAAATAGATATAATAGTAGTTACTTTTCATAGTTTGTGTTAATTTCTTGATTTTAATGTGAATTTTAAAGATGGTGTTATGACGTTAATCCAGTGTAATGAAGATCCATTTGTTATTATGCGTGCCTCATTCTGATACACTTGAATATAAAGGAATACGGCAAGAAATATATATATACAGTCAAACCTGTCTACAGCGACCGTGGTCTTTGTACACAGGTTCATTTAGTACATGTTTCAATGAGAAACCGTTTTCAAGGGAAACAAAAAATGTGCTTGTTTTAGACAGGTGGTCTCTGTGACCAGTAAAGCAGGTTTGACTGTACTTGTTTTAAACTAGAGAAATAGATAGCAAAGATAGATGAGTACATGTGAGCTCATCTTGCTAGGTACCCATTTAACACCTGGGTGGAGAGAAGCAATAAAGATTAAATGCCTGGCTTAAGATAAACTTGAGTTGTGGTAAATATAGAAAATGATTTCTCACAGAATCCAATGAAACTTACACTGAATGTTCAAGATTACAAATAAAATGACATGTGCCAAACGATTTTCGTAGAATATGTAAAGTGGCCAAGAAATTAGCTTAGAAAGTTACGGAAATCCGTGTAAGTAGACCAGACACTATGTGCTAATGGGAGTTGTGGTTTTTATCGAAGATGATGCCCAGTAAATTTTTGTTTGGTTGTTTGAACCAGTGAAATAAAAACTGTAGGGTGAACAATCCAGAATAAATCATAGCAATTTTCTCTCAAAATACGATTCCCATGCCAGAGCTCAAGATGAGCTTCAAGGACGTAAGCGTTTTGTTGAGGATCACACCCAGTGCTTTCACTCTTTTGTCAAGTGTTAATTAATATTTTTATTTTTTTTATTTTCTTACTGGGCCCCTCCTAATAAATTTTACTCTCCGACGGGGCCTACCAATTCATTTTATTTATGTACTCATAATGTAATTATTATGTTTTTAATGTAAAAGTAAATTGAATTGAAATTAACAGGTGGTGATTATGTTCTTTTGATTGATAGGTGATGTTTCTCAATGAATTAGAAGAGATTCTCGATGTGATTGAACCACTGGAGTTCCAGAAAGTGATGACGCCTCTATTCCAGCAGCTAGCTAACTGCGTTTCAAGCCCACATTTCCAGGTAAAGAGATGAAGTACTGGCTGTGTGACTGGAGGGTGCAAAGGACTGCTCGGAAATTTACTCTTATTGGTTGATTACGTAGTAAATTAAGCAGTTGTGTAATGTAAGGTTTTGAAATTAGGTCAAGCATTTGTCGAGCACTGGTGCCAAAATTGCATTCAAAGGATATTTGATACTGTAGAAAAATGAAAAAAGATATTTGTGAAGTGTCAAAGATTGTAAGAATATGACCAAATTTTGCTGGATATCACACATTTACATGTATAGGCTATTGGGACTTCACGTGGTCCTAACACGTTCCAAAGTGAACATAAACTGATTAGAAAAATCCATGAAAATATTTTTTAATCCTGAGTTCAGACTTGTAGTGTCCAGCACAGAAAGAAAGAAATTTAATGAGAATTAAATTGCAGCAAGTTTGGAAGATGGTTGTGTTCTACACTATAAGGTAGAATAAAGGTTTTATTTGAGACATTCTGTGAACTCATATAAAAAAAGATATTCACACGCAAAACCATTATCATAGGTTTGATTTATTGTCTGTTTGATGCATGTCACTCTCATCATTCCGATCTTGTCGCACGTTTTGAGGTGATGTAAGTTGTTGATGAAAGAAACTTGACCAGAGCAAATTGTGTGTTTGTCCTTCAGGTTGCAGAACGTGCATTGTATTATTGGAACAACGAGTACATAATGAGCTTAATAAGCGACAACGACGAGACGATACTGCCCATCATGTTTCCAGCATTGTACAAGAACTCCAAGGCACACTGGAACAAGTCAGTCAAAGTTTTCTTCTTTCTTTTTTTCTTCCCTTTCCTAATTCGTTGGATGGGAATTCACTAAATTATTATCAACTTTTATGGAGATCCTATGTTTCCAGGATTGTAAAGAGCTCTTGTCTTCAGGTTGCAGAACATGTATTGTATTATTGGAACGAGTACATAATGAGCGAAATAAGTGACAGCGACTAAGGTATTCATTATTTTCCAGGATTGTTCTAACGGTTAAATGTTTGTGATATCATTTGTTTGGAGCCAGAAGGGTGTCAACTCTGTAAACTGACGAGTTAATGCCCTTCTGGCTCCAAACGGATGATATCATTTATTCCAAAAGATGTACACACATTAGCTGTACGTTGAAAAAAAATTAAGATATTGGTGTTGGAGTCGAAAGGCAGCCCACTTAGCACTACCAGAAATCCATACTAGCGGAAAAGGCTAGCATAAATAACCAATAAACAAGACCAGTATGCAGAAAGAAGGGGTTAGGAGTGTGGATTAATGTGGTTGTTCGTGATGTTGTTGTATGGTTAGTCTTGTAACAGGTTAGGTATGTTAAAGACTCTGCATACTGGCCTTGTTTGCTCACTGCATCTACAGGTTCATGTAGCACCATCCAGTTATATACCCTGCCATGTGTGATGTACACATTATTTATGGTTACTAAATTGAAATCTTTACCAATATCTGTCGAACGTACCCGATAAAAATTAGGAATTTCTTTAAGCAACCAAACATTTTTATATACTTTTTTCATACAAGTATCCAGCAAAAGAGAGGAATCCAAGGTCCATATCTGTAATTTTAAGGCCAAAACTAGGAATCTTTGCTTAAAAATTGGATTGGGTTGAAGCTTGTAGGTACAGGGCATGGGTGAATTTGTTTAAAACATGAATAAACATTTACTAGCAAGGTTAATGAATATTAATCAGTGATGACCCTAGGTTTCTGTAAATGTCAGTTTAGATTCTTTACATGTCCACCCAGGAATGTGCTTTAATTTATGCATGCTTCCTCCCCCAGTGAAAAGCTGTTTATTCAACTTGATACTTCAAAAGTCATTATGCGGATTACAGACATTAGTTATTTTTATGTAGGCAGGCATCTGACAGCCTTAAGTAACCATTGTAGTAGAGGCATTCATAACAATTGAATACATTCTAGACTGGTCTTTGTCCCCATTGAACAGTTATGTACTATTGGATACACCTGTTACATACAATACAGATTGCAATTATTCCTTTCCTAATACGAATAGACTCTGCAATGCACTGACTGAAAGGTGTTTTTCCTAATCAATGCACCCAAAGTGTATTTCGTTTGAATTGACCAGTTCATAAATATATAGAAATTTTATATTTTGAGAATTGTCTGTCATGAATTTTGGGGGGTATTTTTCTTGCTATTCTAACACATGCATATCCATGACTAAATTGTCCTTCAAACTTTTCAAATAAATGATGACTTGTGTTTGTATTCTCTGACCAGAACCATCAATGGCCTGATCTACAATGCACTGAAGCTCTTCATGGAAATCAATCAGAAGCGCTTTGATGACTGCATGCAGAAATACAAAGACGAAAGACAACAGTGAGTGTTTAGCTGTATTCGTATACCATGAGTGCTAGGAGGGAGAGGGGAGGGGGGGGGGGGGGGGGGGGGTTGTTCTTTTGGTTCTCAACAGATAAATTTCAAAGATTACATGATTGGATCAAGAGAGCAATGCCACATGGGTTCTTATAATACATGTATGGTCTTTTGACTCAGAATGTTGTAAGTTATTAACTATGCATGAGAAGATCAGTTTCCTGTTTGGAGCCACGATGGCGTTAACTCTAAGTATACAAGTCAAAGACAAAATAAGTGTCACAAACAACTTTTGGAAGCGTCTTTAGATTTCCTTTACTAGACATGTGTATATATGAAAGTCCTAGATTATCATTATCGATGCATGTGAATTAGTAGAACTATTAATGTGTCTTGATGGCTTTTTTGTGGGTGCTATTTCCAATCATCTAAGGGTGTGAATTTTCATTTGGATCAAAACATTCAGTCCTTTACAGAAGAGAGATCACATTGTCGTCTCTATTCACACGGTGATGACCTTTCCTTCTCTTCGGAATAGGCATACATGTTCCTGTTAATTGATCAACAACTCTTTCAGATAAAAGCAATGTTATAAAGGAGTGCTCTAATTTTGTTTATACACCTCTTGTTTCATTTTATCTGTCTCCTTTTCTTTCTGTTTCTCTCTCATTACAGGGAGAAAGATAAGCTACTGAAGATGGATGAGATATGGAATAAACTAGAATACAAAGCAAGATCAAATCCTTTGGTAGGTATTCATATAAGTAGTTGATTTACCAGTGTAATTCACATGTCATGTTTATTGTGTAGATTTGACGGAAGCTTGAAATTTGGTTTGGGTTTGAATTTGTCTTTGATTGTCTTTAATTTTTTTTTAAACCAAATGCATAAATAGACCAATGTTGTCAATTTGTTGTTGATCAGATAGGAAATTATTTATTGAAGCAATTCGAGTAGTATTGATGCAGAGGTTAGTTTTACACAATGACTTTAATTTTTAATTTGGTTATTGGATCCTCAAACCAGTACACCAGCCTACGTAGACAAAAATGGAGATTGAGACAATTTTGTATCTTAGTTATTTTTCACTTGAAAAGAAGATCAAGGAGCTCCATGCCATTTTAGTAAAGAGAATCTTTTTCTCATCCAATATATCTGTTGTTTAGAAGTAGCATATATTTCATAAATGAAGAAAACTGCTTCATACCATAGCAAAATTGAGTAGGAAAGAACACACATGATTTTGTGCCTCATGTCTATAATTACTCAATTTAATCATGTGCAAATTATTGAATTTATTATATAAGAAAAAAAAGTGAACATTCTACTAATTAATATTTGTCTTTCCATCCCCCTGGCTTGTCCAAAATTCTTGTCTTGTCCTGTCTTTAAACCGGTAGTTCACAGAGACCTTGCAGTGTATATGTACCAATATGGGTTTTGATGTCCGTAGATCGATGTATTCTGTACCATACTAGCTGTCCTATGTGTGTAGACCTTATTTGTTGTTTTAAAATAAAATTTGAAATACTGCAGCAGGATAGTGCCTAAATGGTAACTTAAAATTGTACCCAGGACATATTTTCCAGGAAAGCTGATTGGTCCATCAATTGTCAGCAATGTAATGTAATGTAATGTAATGATTGGTTAGGTATCCACAGTAACTTTGGTCCTGCCATGAATTTTTGGCTGAAATAGAGAAATAAGTTCTTACTGAATGTAGCACCCATCTTGTATGTTTGAATGTCATCAGTGACTCCTTGCTATCTTGTTCATGCATGAAAGAAATACCAACGTTGAAGTCGACTTATGTGTTCGGTGCATATAAACGGAGTACAAAATATCCCCCCTTTTGTGGCTTCTGGCAGGATTTGTTTAACCCTTACTGTACTGGGCTATTTTGAGCACCCACTGACTGGGGGGGGCCTGGGAGGCCCCCCCCTATGATCTCGGCCGTCGATTGTCCGATGAACACGAAAATTTGCACGTTTGTAGATATTTACGTAAGGAACAAGATGGTATAATTAGTTTTTTCCGAATATGCAAATTTTTGTCGTTAGCCTAATTAATTATGCAAAAATGCTAATTTTATGCATTTTACAGAAAACGTTTCAAACTCCACTTTTTGAATGTTGAAACTCATTATTCATATGAAACTTCTTTTTTAACTCAAAAAAGTTAATTTAATGTAATTAATAATGATAATTTATGCAAATTTTGATTCCATTTTTTTTTTTGTTTTTTTTTTTGATGACATGCGCATACTAATTGTTATGTAACGCCTTACAGGTATATCCGATTTCGACGAAAATGGTATCAAAATGTGCGTGAGACTTGAGGGAAAAAAGTCATGAAACGACAATTCAAAATTCCAAGCGGTTGCGGCGCAAACTCCGAAAATGTCGAGGGGGGGGCCTCCCAGGCCCCCCCCCAGTACAGTAAGGGTTAAACGGGGTCAAAATTGAGTAAGATATGGCCTTGTAGTATCCGGGGGGGATAGTTGGGAATAGTTTAGGAGGACCAAAGTCACTTTGCATATTTATATATGCATATAGAGCATTTCTGATGTTTGGTAGGAATTTGCCTGGTCCCCCCCCCCCCCCCCCCACCCTTGTTATGTACTAGATATCTGCTCCAAGGGTGTTTGCTCTAACAAAAACCCTGCTAGTTGCAATGCCCCTCTCAAAATGACATATCCTATGACCTTTGTAGCCATATTTTTAAAACTGACTGTTCAAACTGACCAGTCCGTAATGCTGAAAATAATTGAAGCCTGCATATAAATGAGTGATTTCATTCCCTCAAGAATATTTTATTCAGATCCCTATTGAAGGCAAATAGATCTTTTTATCTACATTTTAAAGCCTGTCTCCACTAGTTTGTCCAGGGGATATTTAGCAAGGTCACTGAAGGTGGTTATCTCATCAAATCACCCTCAATTTAACATAAGAAAAAGAGGATCATGGGGGACCAACAGGCACCGATTAGGCATTGTTTTCGATATAGAGGGAGCAAGTGGGCTTTAAAATAGATCAAAATAATATTATAATTAGATTGTAACTCTAATTGTCACTAAAATGTGTAATGGTATTTGGAAATCATCCTGGAACAGCTTTTTCCTTCTCCTTTAGCTTCATGTTTAGAGTTAGCCTTATCATCTAACATCCCTTCATTTATCTCTTGTTATCAAATCAAATACATATATCTCTTTGAAGGTATTGCTAAACAGAAATATAGAGTAGAGAAAAATATACATATGTAGAAAAGATAGTGCACTATGTTTACTGTAATGCACTGGTAGAATTCTGTTGTACAAGTTGTTTAATTGGGTACTTATTTTCATTTATTAGTTTATTCTTACAGTCCTCTTTTTTATTTAGCGAAAAAACAAAAACACACCAGATAATTATCTTAGAATTTATGTTTAATAGCTGGTATATTAAGAGAGCTTTCTAGCTTGACCCCCGGGTAGCCCAAACCCCCTGCATACCCTGCTTCCAAATCCGTGGACAGTATGTAATTAGGAGCTTGCCTGTTTCTTGTCTCGCCTAGTTTACCAATGTTGGTTTAACTGGACGCAATAGTGAGGCTGGCAGTATTAACAGCCCTGACATGGAGATGGACTCTGAGGCCGAACTCAAAGAACACATTAAGAATGAGGTTAGTGCTCATTGGAAGAAAAAGAAGAAAAAAAGACATTTCAAAGCAATTATTCTAGCTTATTTATGCATATTTCGGCCTCTCATGTATGTTAATATCCTTTCTTGTAACCACTTTGTATCAGAAAATACATGCAAGGTACCCTTATGCAATCTGTGTATTGTTTAACCTGGTTTACATCTGTTTTGCAGATTTCTAAAGCATTCCATTTCATAAAAATTACCATTTTACCAAGAAGGGGGAAGGGGGGGGGGCAGGGTGGGGTGGATGATGATCAGAAGATTTGTAGATATTTTCCCTTCTGTAAACCCCTTTCATTTGTTCATGAAAAGTACACTACTAGATGTTTAACATTAATTTTACTAATCATTGCAGTGTTTCTAAAACATACTTATATCATTGACATTTACTCCATTTGTTGATAAGAGCATGCACTCTAGGAATCTGATGTTTTTTTGGCAGAAAATGTTTTTATTATGCCCAAGGCGGTGCTAGAGACATTTTTTGGGGGGTTGTCCGTCCATCCATTCTGCTTGTCCGTCCACTGTACGAGGCTCAAACTTGTCCATCTGATTATATTTTGGGTTAGGAGGTCAACTTCTGAAATTTCAGCTATATGCCTCGTTATCGGTGATATTGGTGATAACATGTATTACCGTAGGAAAATGATCTTATCAGATTTTGGGTTGATAGGTCAATTTCTGAACTATGAGCTTCAAACATGTTGACAGTATTACTATAGGATAGGAAGATGATCTAATTAAATTTTGGGGTTAGCAGGTCAAGATCATAGTTGTATAAAGTCGACATACGATTATAGGCTTTTTGTTTTCGTTGTGATATGTCACAAATAATTCCACCCACTAAATTTAGGGCGGAAACATATAGGAGACACAGTGGCATTTGTTGTTATCTATGTTGAGATTTTGTGAGCATTTCATTTTAGCGATCATCCTTGGGTTTTTTTTTTTTTAGGGGGGCTGGTTAGTTGGGCCGCTTGTGCAGTTCATGTTTTGAGGAAACCTTTTTTTTCCCAGTCCAACTGGGACATTCATTTATAGTGTTGCAGTTTGCTTTTTTTAAGAAGGGGGGAGGGGTACTTTAATTTACTGAGCTGATTTGAACCTTTTTGTTTCCCAAAGAGTTTGTGTTGGACTTCCTTCTAAAACTCATCTGTATAGTCAGTGTGTGTGAAACGTGCTTCATATCACAGATTTCATGTTGCTTTTCATCGCTGGCTTGTCCGTCTAAATCCAAATATTTCTGTTTATTCTCTCCCAGATCTGCTCCCACTCACAATAGAACACGTCACTGGGTCTTGGAATTCATATTTGATTTGCTTGTGATTGTAGAATTTAGGATAGTCTAAACTTCAGGCAGAAATTATACCCTCATTACTGAAAATGAGATAATGGAGACTGGAATAAATAGACCGACCCCCCCCCCCCCCCAACAACAACCCTGCCTGCAATAGAAAATATGATTACAATAAAACTATTAAAAATATTCGGATTCACATTAGTGTAGAGTCCCATACACCTATTTATGTGTGTAGTGCATGCATGAGATAATTAAGTAATATTGACTGCTTTCTGGGCAATACGACATATATCGCCCGAACCGTAGGTGAGGGTGATATATGACAAGTCGTATTGCCCAGAATTAGGCAGTCAATATTACTATTATTAACCACATCAGACATCTAGAGCAAACAAGAAACTCTTACTATCCTATACTCAATTATGTAGGCTACACAAGGTTTCCTAGCATTAGAAGTTGCAAAAACATTGTCAAACCAGCACTGTTCATCCAGTGTTTGACAGATTTTCGATACACTGCAAACAGTTTGCCTAGGGTGTGATTGTTACGTCACAATGGAGTTCGCGCAAAGTGCGCATTTTCTTATACGCGATGCGCGATGTAAATTACAGTAGCTGATGCGCGATGTAAATTACAACTGGATCTACATTATTGCTCACTAGTTTAACACGCATTTTGCCATTGACTTTTCAGAGCGGGCTAAAATATTTGTCCATTGGTTTACTGTATAACCTATATTGCCCGCCAAATTACACACAAATCCCATTGACTGTTCTGAGCGGGCTAAAATATTTGTTCATTGGTTTACTGTATAACCTATATTGCCCGCCAAATCACACACAAAATCCCATTGACTTTTCTGAGCGGACTAACTTATTGTAATTTTGTTGACTTATCCATCAAACCCTGAGGGCAATAACATTTAAAAGTTGCCCTGCTCAGATGTCTGATACGGTTAATAATATCTATTATTATCTGTATAAGGCTTCCAAGTGGTACAATAAATCAGTATCTTTAGCCAGTACCAGATGACAGATCAATATTGTTTTCGTATTGCTCTGTCATTCAGGAACTTCAACTGATGATACAATATTGCTTGATTTTCAAGTCAAATTTTTTTTTGTCAGCTATAGATAATAATATTGTATGGCTTTGTTTTCCTGTTATACTAAATAAAAAATTGCTCTCGCCATCCAATATTATACATGTATAATTATTTTGCTGATACTAAAACATCCTATTATACATTCAATGTTAATGTGCTGCATAGTTAACCTTTTTTTCCAATTTCTTAGACTTGTCAGTTGCCCTGATATTCAGATATGACAAAAATGCTTGAAAACAAATTCTTACCAAACACCCATTTCTATGTGTACTATTGTGTAGTGCATGAGATCTTCAATAGTAGGATTGACTCAATATCTGTTCATTTTGCTGATTCCAAAACGTCTAGGAATCCTTCGTTATTAAAGTTCCTGCATGATTAACCTTTTTTTTTATCTTCCAGATATTGTCTTTCACATTATCATAGCATGACCAGTTCTAAACCTTAACTTCAAAACTCAGGGCAACAATCTGTAATTGCCACTGATCCAACCATTGATTTTATTGCTTTTTCTTTGTTTTAAATGCTTTTCCCTAGAAGCTTATTATCTGCAGACTCATCTTCATGTTATCTCACTGCCTCTATTCATTAATATTTTTGTTGCCAAAATATGAATTGCCAACATTTTGAATTATTTGCATGGTAGTGATTTTTGTAAGCTTATTTTTCTTTGTGTACATGGAGACTAATGTCTAGAAGTAAGTCTTGTCTGTGTTTCAAAACAAACAACTATGAATAAGGAAAAGTGTATGAGTAGAATAGGGTTAATAATAAAACAAAATATTATATTTAATTTTGTGTTCTCAAGGATAAGGATTTCATGTTATAATGGGAATACATTTTATCTCTCTCCTCTCCCTGCTTACCCTCTTAAATCCTACATCTCTCACCCTCTTGTGTCCCCCTTCCTCTGTTGTACTCCTCCCCTCTTTCTTACTCACTCCTCCTTCTCTTTCCCATCCTCTCTCCAATCCTTTACTTCTCTTCCTCCATCTCCTTGTTCAACCCACCCACCACAGGCTGCTGAAGGAGTACCTGGAGGTAGAAAGGAATCCAAGCCCTTGCTGAGGCGGAAATCTGAGCTTCCAAGGGACGCCTTCACCATCAAGGCCATCGGCACCCACAAACGGCACGAGGAGTTCCTCGTTGCATCGCCAGAGACCAATAGTTGAGTCCTACTCCAAGATGCCCTTGTACTTGGGCCTTCTTTTGTTTGCTATCAATTCAAAATCCTTTTTTGGAAAAATTTATCAGAGTATTACCCCCTATCCCCTTTTTTTTTCTCTGAACTAAAAATATAACTGCATTGTGTATGAACGCATTTCTACAGCCTCTTCGTAACCTATTCTCTCGGTAATCTCCAGAAGACGTTTGTTAAAAACACTACTCCACATTTCCGTTTTACTTTCTCTAATGCATTCCTGTCTCAAGAACTTCTTGCTGTTTCTTTGCATCACCCCCCCCCCTTGCATTGTTGAAAATATGTGATTACTTATTACAGATCCTGGTAGCTCCCTTACGGCCCCCTATTCTGTACCCTGCGTTCATCCAGTGCCATTAATTCTTGTCCTCTTTGGGGCTCTGTCCATTTGATAAAAAAAAGGAGTTTTTACAAAGTACATTTTGTAAATAATCAAAGAAAATATACTTGTCTTTGAATTGTAAGACAAATATAGCAATGTTGTTCATCGGCTCAATTAAGAAGCCAGCTCGTGACGATCATGTTTATCAATTCCTACATCGGGATGATTGTAGGGCTAATGTGTATATGGAATCCTATTTTTGTAGTGCTGAATTCATTGACTGATTTGTGCTGTTTGGACAGCTTATTTTTTGTTTTTAAAAAGTGTACACTTCTACCGTGTAGTTATTTTCTGGGTAAAATAAGTACATAGTGTCTTTGTGTGAGGCATTATGAACATGTTGTATTTCACTGCTTAATTGGGTTGTTTCGTTTCTGGAAAGAGTAATTTTGACTGCTTTTGCAGCTTACACACTGCGCATTTGCTTTCTGTCTACCAATAAAATGTAGTTTAATGAATAAAAAGTCCCTTAAAGAAAAGGGTCAACAATTTGTAAGCAGATTGTTGATTCTATTTGGCGAATCTTATTGCCTTTTACCGATGTAGTGCTTTATTTATCTACCTGAATTTGTTGATAATTGTTTGCAAATTGCCTAAGATGTTATCTTCTCTTTCCAAAGACATTCACCATTATGATAGCAGAGAAGGAGAGTTGGAAAAGCCTACTCTAGTAGTAGCCTAGGGTTCTGAGTGTTGCTATTCAATTTTTTTTGTTTAGATGTTAATGTAGACTGGATATGATACAGTATATGCTTACTGACTGGCATAGGTATATATTTGATAATACCAAATGTAGAGCACTTGTTTAATTCATTGGTTTGCTTTAACAACAACCCGAAATAGGTTGTGGGTATTATATAACCTAATTTTATTGGATGTGGTAGACAAATTGTGGTCTCTTGTTGACATGTATAAAGAAAGGAAACATTTATGTACACTGTATGGATGGTGAGTTTGTGTTACAAAGTGCCTACTTATGTCCCTGCTCTAGATCAGTGTATAACCCTGTGGTAGTTATACACGCCTTGTATGTCTCGGTGCACAATCTCTATATGTCTCTTCTCAGATTCTCTGAACTTCCTACTAAAATTGTGATGATTATACATTGCCATTTATTTGTTATCAAAGAAATAATATGTCATAAACATGACTTTCCAACAAGATAAAACTGCTCTGAAATTATTAAGTAGAGCCCCCAGGAGCATATGACACCACCCCCCCCCCCCCCCAAAAAAAAAGAAGGTGTGGTACAATTACATGTACAATGCATTAGTGGGCATTTATTGTTTCAGTCAGCTTTTACTTCAACTAGAGATTATAAGTATTTTGTTGGGATTAGAATTATTCACATGAAGACAGCCAGAAGGTGCTAACATATATATCATTTTACATAGATATAATATTCTTCTGGTTTTTGGCATACGATATGCTTTTATTAGTATATCTCTGGTACACTATGCACTATTCAGGGTCAATTTGGTTGTTTTTATATTTGAGTTGGTGCACCAAATCAGTGTTTGTTGATTTGATAAATGTGTTGTTTAAATACCATACACCAAATACAAATTTCTTTTGTATTAAAAATCATAGTTTATGCAATGTTACATTATAAAATTAGAGATCACAAGAGACAAAAACACATGCACAGTAGCTGGAGTAAAGCAATCGTATGCAAAAAGGCCAAGTTATGGGGTATTACAGTGATTTTATATTTATATTATTTAGAAGACAACATGTGAGTGTAGAACTGTAAATCCATGTGATATATCAGGTTTGAGTTAAAATAGTGTTTTCTAAACAAGTAGTAGCGTTAATTCAAATCGGTTACCTTAAAACTGTTTGGCCAGGAGGAGGGATTAGACCTCCCTGCATGGTCATCTTATCAAATCAGCTCTCAAAGGGGACCATGCTATATATAGAGGTCCCACTTTACATCTAATGCTCGTGTATTGATTCGAGACCTTTCCAGTATTACATTTTAGGAGAATTATTAACTAATCAATCCTAGTATGCAATTTATGAAAAAGAATATGGAATTAATTTAAACGACATATAACTCGCCACAATTTTGTTATTTTAAGGGGTTATGCACTTGTCAATTGTAGTGGGGATGGCCAGACCATGATGTGGGGCGGGGATAGAGCCAGATTCGCTATGGAGCTGACTGTGACTTGGCGTACCATCTCAAGTAACTGAAATAATTGATTATGGTTAAATTTCCCCTTGGGCCAGGACTACAATTGACAAGTGCATTATACAGAAGCGACCTTTGTTTTCCCACCTATGATATATGCAAGTATCCTAAATTGTGTTTGAAGCATTTTATAGACCTTAGTAATTCTGGTTAACAATCGTATTTGTTGGAAAGGTTAGTCAAAAGTTTTTTGAATTTCTATGGAGAGCTTTAAATTTAACCCTTATTTATCAGCTGCTGTGTAAGTTCAATGTTCTGTATAAAGCACTTCAAATTTAGTGCACTGAATTTATAAAGATATATGATCTCACAAATGTGGGCTGGATTATGAATTTTAAAACTGTATTCAGAATACTTGATGTGCTTCTGAAAACATGGCTTTTTGATGTGTACACTAAATGGGTTTCTCTCTTTTATTTTCTTCTCCTGTCAGCACACGTAGGGTTAGATAAGAGAAATCTTTGAAATGAACATGCTTCCTCATGTTTAGCACCGTTGTATGATATGTAGTAGTGACAATAATGTATAAAATACAAATCTAACAATGACGTTGTGAAATGTGGTTGATGATGATATCCATTTGTGCTTTGTGAATGAGAAAAAGAATAATTCAAACACTGGTCTGTCTGTTTTTATTCACGTATATTTAAACAAAAAAAACAGGGATATACACATTGTCATAGGATCTGCAAGTGTGTTGGTATTCACAGATCTTTTTGGTTTATAGTAGTTGTAGCTAGTTTTGGATTAATAAAAGGATACAATTTTTTCTAATTACTTTGAAAATCAATCTACACTTGGTAGAACAGGCGCCAATGTGATGTTTATTAAATGTAATCTTTCATATGGGGTTTGTATTTTGTAAATACCAACACTTGCTGAAATCCTAGCATGTTTATCAGATAAATATGAATGATAACCGTTCGTAGCTGACTTTTGACCCGTACAGTGTATGGGTCATTACTGCAAGAAACAGCTTTATAGGAGATTTGAATCATGGCGAAAGCAGAGAATTTAATTCTAAAAATTGTCATATTTAACCCAATGGCAACGTACCGGTATTGAGAATTAATAATGATCGATTCTCTTTTAACTGAGAAGTACAGACAATACACACATTTATCAACACTGGCTATGTCGGTGTTGTTAACAGAAAGTATCAAACTAATGTACAAAAGTGGGATTTTCAAAGGCAGATGCCACTATCTGATATAAGGCCTTTCTATTGGCTCATTACAACAGTGGTTCCATGTTTTTTTTAAAGATGGTTAATGCGAAATTTTGTGTTTTTGGAATGACCTCTGCCTTTGAAATCCTGACACAGAATTGGAATAATCATGTTACTGGACTCCCTGGTTAATCCTTCTCTGCTATGGCCACTAAGTGACCATCAATTTCTTCTTCAGACAGCGTTCTGTATTGGGAATATAAACAAAGAAAAATACAGTGTTAGAACAACTATGGGGTTGCAAAATTCAAAATATCTTTGCTTTCTTACAAAACATTACAAATTAATTATAAACATTTACAACAAATGTAGAAATATATTTTGGAAACAGAGGGGGTCTACTAAAAAGCAATGCTTGTACAAGTATGAACACCAAATGATACTTGGGGGGGGGGGGGGGGAGGGGAACGAGAACAAGACGGTACTTTACATGACAAAGATAGAAGAACACAAGTCATAAAACAGAGTAGACAATGCCAAAAAAGAAGTGAGAGATCGGGGGTACAGAAAATAATAGAAAATGATGAGCTGCATGAGGGGTTGAGAAGAAGATGAGGAAAGAGAAATGTGCATTAGAGAGGAGATATGCATGAGAAGGCACAATGTAAAATATCGGATTACATTTTGAGTCGGGGAGTAGAGAATGATCTTGTATTCAACAAGAATGACATCTAAATCTAAATATATTTTTAGTGTGGTGGTATAGTCTACAATCTAACCCACATTATATTATTATTTAACCCCCTCATCATTTGTTTATTTATTGTCAATCCAATGGAATTTTAAAGCCCCTCTAAAGTGTTGGGAGCCCTAAAGTCATTGTCATGTCTTTACACAAACTCTTGAAGTACAGTAATTCAATTCCTTATTAGAAATTCTAACTCTATACACCAATTTACGGTTACATCAGTGCGCATGCATAAATTAAGATTGCGCCCATGCAAATTATGATGTGAGCGCACAACGCAGCGCGCAGGCAGTGATGTCATCATACTTTGCATGGGCACAATCTTAATTTACGCATAAACCACTGACCTCTAGAGGTCATTTGGTTTGTTTACTTGTAAATTAAAATGGCACACATAACCGTAAACTGGTGTATTTGGGTAATTACATAAATTAGGGACCCACTTTATGACATTCTTGGTATCCCACTAACAGAAGGAACCCACATGTATCTGAGTAAAGACTTAAATAGTGGAGTGAGATAGTGATTTCCAAGCATAATATTGCATCCTCATACCTAGAATCACTTAAAGGGATAGTTGAGTTCTGTTTTCAGACTGCAAATGCCTTCAAAGTGCATGGTTATTGCTCTTATTCATCACATTTATAGTGCCCTTTAAGAACCTAAAATTGCTATGAAGGTAATTTTAGACCCCAAAATGTGTGAAATTTAGCCAATACGATCATACCAATTCAGCTCCACTTTAAAATAGTAATTGTAATTGTAACACGAAAATGCCAACAAAAAGTCAACATCGGCATTGGCTGAAATAACGTAAAAGGCGTTATTTCGGTTTTTTTCAAATTTTTCAACATATCTAATATTTGTGGTGGAACACAAGTATTAGAAATCGTTATATTTCAGCCGTCTCTGAACCGATTTTGATCAAACAAAGATGATTTTGTCATCTAAATATTATGTTCTTTCAAATTTGACACTCAGTTTTTCATTATTTCACAAAAAAATGATTTTGTGTAGCGCCCTCTGCAACAAAACTCAACTATCCCTTTAAGTGGGTCCCTAATTTTGACTCGATACATGACACAATATTCTACATGGTTGGTGCTGATAATTCACCTGAACGCTTGGTTGTCTCTTGTCACTACTGCTACCTCAATCTCTGTTGGTTTGAAGTCAGCTGACAGCACAGATGACAGACACTTGATGGCAGTCTGGTATGACATTCATAAAAAAAAAAAAAGTGGAAGAGATAAAGACTATTCCAATGCTTCCTACTGATCTACATGCAATATATCAGGATAACATAGATCATGTACACAGAAGCCATCATTTATGTCTGATCCATGCTACATGTAGTCATTAGTGATGAGCATATTTTGAAATACTGCTGTGTTATTCAATTTTCACAATGTACAATCTACACCCATATACAATTTGCATAGTGTGAGAAAGTTTTGTGTAAGTTGATGTACAAGCTTCTATGTTTTTATTTTATTTCACTAGCAAGACTGTGAACAGAAAATCTTCATTGCTCAAGCAACTTGCTAAACATGCTATACACAACTGAAAACCCTTACCTGAAGTTATTACAACAGTTATACTTTAAATTCCTGAATAGATCCCACAAGATTATATAAATATTATCAATAAATGCAGTTTTTACCCTTGATAGAATAGTCAACTTTCTTACTCCATATTGCAAAGAAATGACTTACAAACAAAAATATTTTTATAACTAGATGGGCCTTCGACTGTGCGCAGTCGAAAATAATGCCTCCGCCATGAAAGCAATTTTTAAAATTCAAGTTTGATTTTAATGCATTAAAAGGTTCTCAGAATATTGTGATTACAAACTATTTTTCATATACATGTTTGCCCCTTTGACCTTGGATCTCGTGACCCCAAAATCTAACCTATTCATTGGCTCTGCAAGATACATACATGACCAAAGTTTGGTGGGAATCTATCAATTGGTTATTGAGATAACGCGATCACGAGAAAGGGACGTACGGACAGACAGATGGACAACCCGAAAACATAATGCAATAGTCGTAAAGTGATGCATTACATTCCTAGTCACATCATATGTTCATTGAAACATATATATGGATACATAATGAGTGCACTCCTAGTAGAAGGCTATAAAGTTCTGACCATGGATGATACATGTACAAAGTTCTATTTATTTATGAGATTACTATCTGTGTCACCTCGCTTCCTTCCCTGCACAATACCAACATCAATCAGGTACCAAGTACATATTACCTATCAACATCATTGGGAACCTAGTCTGTATGGATAGACCCAAATTTTCAATGATACGACTTGCCATTTTTGATATTTCACCAAACTTAATGCATACATGTACGTCTTTGTGAAGTGCCTCAATACAAATTATTTCATTTATCTGTCATAAATAGTTGAAATGCGAATCGCATATTAGTTGCTGCTAGGTAGGACAAACGTTATGGCTAGCCCTACTAACACTTAATATATACATTCAAATAGCACCTTTCCCACTGAAAACAACACCATTTCACAACAGATATCAAACTCTGTTTGACACTTAAAAGCATATGGTCTTTGTATACAGGTTTGTAAACACAACAATTTTGATTGATGGGGAAACAAATAATGTGGTCTTTATAGACAGGGGGATAACTTAAAGCAGGTTTCCCTTAACCTGATCTAATTCAATTCAATAAATGCAGCATTAGCTACATCACAGGGGCATGGTGTGTGTCAGTGAACAGCCCACAGAGTTCAAAGTAAAAAACTGTGTGTTAAAATGTATCACGACTGAAAAAGTGCTTGAGCCTGGAGACTAACATGAACTCCAAAACAAACGTTACCTCGACTGCTTGGTCGTAGGTGAAGTCCTGCTTCTTCTTGAGTTTCTTCTCCAAGAAGCTGTTGGCCTCTGTCTGCTTGACCCCTACGCTGGTGGCCTTGTAGCCGCAGAAGTACCCTGCTGGATCCGTCTTGTAGAGCTGAGGGCCAAGCTCTTCGTCCCAGCCTAGGAGAATCATACCTGTTTCATAGAGAGGGCAGTTGAGAATGCTAGTAAAATCATACATGTGGCTATAGACAGGAGGGTATGCACACACATATGCACATGTTAAGGTAAGCACATAATCATTGTGGTAGTCTCTACCAGATTTAAGGTTTAATCTACTTTGTTGGGATAATGCTCAATGCATGGTGGATAACTCTGTATATTTCATGAAAACTAGTAAAACCATACAGTTTTATCTTTTCCATTCCAAATGTGACATGTACGATGCCTTTTATGAAGCCATTTTCCCCTAAAAATTTGAAGAAAAAACAAAATAAGCAAGATTTCCCACACATTCCTGGGCATATTAAATGTTATGAAAATGGCACCCCCCACCCCTTTCATTCATGGATCCACCCCTGATGCCTGTATACTTACTGCATCCTAGGGGCCTCATCTGTGCACTCTGTGTGTAAACCTGTGATATGTCAGCCATCCTCTTACAAAGCATCTCAACAGGGATCTCGTAACCATACTTGTACTTCCAGTTGGCTGCCTCTACTCGGGCTCGGAATACCTGGGACCTGCTGTCGGCTGGGGATGAAAAACATACAACATGTTATCACCAGGTCAGAAATTTGCCTTGTCCATTTTGAAAGGTTTACTCTGTATTTTGATTATATGACTATTGTCATCAAGATCAAAAGTTTAAAACAAGAAATACTTTTCATGAGCCAAGTTCCTTGCATAATCATTCTTTATCTTTATAAAAGTATTACGAAACTGTATACCTATCTGAGCTTGATTTAAATTTCAAAAAGAAAGATAAGTTTTCCCCAAGTTCCAAAGTGTAAGATATTATTTTAAACTTTTACAATTGTTTGAATGGTTCCTTCCAGCCAGAGCTGAATTTGAATTGAATTTGAATATATAAACAACAACACATCACAATAATGACAGTACAATTATATTATGAACAATCATACAATGCAAAGAATAATACTGATACATGTACCAGTATGCATAACATAAGAGTGATGTTGATTGAACAGCAATGGTTTTAAAACAATATTTAGACATAGCTCAGCATACTATCAAATGTACAAAATATAAAATATAAAAATATAAAGTTAGCACAAAAAAGTTAGCACAAGTGCTAGGCGAGTTCCATTCTTTGGCAAGATTTTTTTTTTAATTTTAAACTTGTTAGTATTTTGTCTTGGTATGTAAAAGAAAAGCATCTCTACTTTTTTTTTTTTAAAGGAAAATTTTAAAATATCAATCATATTCAGAGACACCACTTATAACAATTTTTTGAAAATATTCAAATACTGTCTAAAAAAATTAATTGAATAGCTGCTTAATCATTGTTAGGGTAATAATAAGTGTATTTTAAACATCAAATATAATTTAATTTAGCAAAAGAAGGAATGCACTGTAACATAAAATACATGATTAGTATTCCAGATACTGGTAAGAGTTTAATACTTGAAGATAAATCTAATCTCTTTCATTCACTTGGCTGACAGGGAACAATATATGACCAAAGGCATTTAGAACGGTCAAAACCATCAAAATTAATAACAATGTAAATAAATGTGCTCGTAATCATTATAGAATTAGATACATACCTGTCATGCCTGTCATAGCACATCCTATGTGCTCTGTGATTTTGTACATGTGTGTGACAGTCATTGGGTCAAGAAGCTTGTCCTGCATGTACATGAGAAAGGGATTACAAAAATATATATTAGGAACCAGGAGAGTACATGTAGGTAATTGAGGATTATTTACAAGTTTACAAAACAGAATAATAAAACTGAGACTTCAATAAATGCACATAAAAAGTGTAGTAGAAATACAGGAGATTAGGATTCAATTCTATGGAAGCCCGACAATGAAAATTAAATATTTTATTTAAATAGGTATATAATGAAACGTAAGGCAGATGGTACCAATGTAAAAGCCTTTGTAGTCCTGCATGTAAATGCATGTACTGTACATGTATCAAATGATAACCGGTTGCAAACTGCAAAGACGAATGAAGATGACAAATATGAAGATAAACGACAAGGATGAGGGTTCAGATGAGTAACTGATAACGGCGAGTGTGTAAAGACCAAGTTGGCCATGTACTTGTCAATCCAATTAAAAATGAGGGACCTTTGTAAAGTGCCTCATTACAAATTATTGAATTCACTTGCTAAGAATGACTGTATTTCAATAGTCAGAATGTGAGCTGCATACATACCTTGTAAGGCAAGCCATATCGTTTGTCCTACCTAGCAACAACTAATGTATGCAATTAGAATTCTGACTATTGAGATATATTTATGAACGAAAATATTCATTTCGAGACACTTCACAAAGGCATATATATGCTATATAAATTTGATTACATTATGAAAATGGTCTATTAAACATTGAGAAACTGCTCTGATTTGAATATGATTCATTCAGATATACTGGTACTCAAGTATATTTAGAACATAACATCGCATTTAAACATCCATCCCCATCAATATGTCACCATCACTAAGTCACTATTGCTATACATGTACATATACGTGCAACAGTCTTCCTGCACTGTCTGCACGTTAACTGAATGGGAACTGATTTTTAAGAAGTTTTGTAGGCTACGCCAAGTATAAAGATGCGGTGAAAATACATGCTATTACGGTACACAAGGTGAAAAAATGTCCTATGCTGCTGCAACCAAAAATGTTCATGAATCCAAAGAATCCTCTTCAAGCGCAGGTTGAACAAGCAGTCTCCAGCGAGACAGAAAGAAATAGCAAGCCTGCCCAATGAAATGAAAGAGCAAAATTCAACGATAGAGACCAGAAACCCTAACCAGATCGAGATCATCGAGCAAAGACAGAACAGGAGCACCCTCAAATAACTGTTAACATTTTTTAGCATTCATCGTGTTTGTGATCAACAAATTTGAATAGGATCCGTTGTAGAAGTTGTAGAAGCAGCACATTACTGCCTGGATGTACAAACCATACACCCAGAAATGATTCATAAATGGTAAAAATAACAAAGAAGGAGAATATACAGAGTACTCAAGACCAAAAATCAAAATCTATGTCATTTACTAGGAAAGGTGGTGACTTTTTTAAAAGGCAGTGGAAAGTACAACGAACTGTGATGCTCAGCTTAAAGTATTGATTACGGTTCGCTTTATTATTTATTAGCATCATAGTTATTATTGTATGTTTGAAGATAATTCTCTTTTTGTTTTAGGATAGAAGTTATAAAAGAGGTAAGGACGTGACAGGTGGTACTAAAATTACAACCATGGTTGCTGAGTATACAAGGGTGCGTTTATCATCTTTTGCCACTCAGAAACAGCGTTGTTATACCCCACTATACAAACGTGATTTGCGGGGTGTTGAATTTATCAACTCGTCATGATTCAAAATTTCAAATTAAAGACCTTGTCTCTGCGCAACTGCTTTTCGCAATTTTGACCCGGGAAGTAGAAAGTTGCTCGGAGGTCAACTAGGGTGCAAGCTGTTTTGTTTTTTGATCTAACTACTAGTGCACGCGAGGACAATACAATAGTTAAAACACGTAATCGCATAATACGTAAACAATGAATGAGTATGCAGGCATGCTTGTACAACAACATGACACAGCACATGGCGCACACTATTTTTCCGAACCGGAAATTAGCCTGGGAAGGTCCAATTTACAGGTATGCATGTATGTGTGTTTCAAAATAGCTTTGCTTTTATCATCTCTCAGAAACTTGATTCTGGCTCATAATGAAAAAGTAATTTTGTTGGTGTTTCAATATACAGTACATGTACCCATATCTAAAGACGTTTGAAAACAGGCTTGGGTTTATCACCATGCAAATTTGCCTGAAACACATTTGAAAAGCACTGATAAACGCACCTCATGAGACATGTACACTTCTGGCTATCCTTTGTACAAATCGCTGGTTTCATTATACGAACAGAAGCTTCAAACTAACGTCTTAACATAAATGAACTGAATGCAACTAATATTTAACCACTTCATCCTTTCCTTCCTAATTTATTCTTTAAAATAACAAGCTACATCTGACATTATTAATTTCATTAACACAACCCAAAAAAAGCAAAAATAAGAAGAGAGGACAAGAAACTATGCCCAATCACATTGCCTGGCGAGAATCAATCAACGGCAATGGAAAAAGCCATAAAAACCAACAACAATCTTAGCCTCACACATTTGATACAGTACGCTCCATGTTTCATAGTGAGAGGGTGACTAGAGGAAGAGAAATGGTGGGGGGGGGGGGCATAAAATAGCAAATCCCTTAATTTATAGAAAAAATATTGAACCCTTTCACCCCCCAAATTCAGATATCCTTTGTGCAATTATATTTCAACCTCCGCCTGCTGCCTTGGCTGAGTTTGAAACATACACATCATCGTTCAGGAAATTCTGAATTTACTGGATTCATCTACTTTGTTATCTGAACTCTGAATCATTCTATATTTGTATAATACTTGGTTTAAAAAAAAGCATGATGTAAGATAACCATAGAAGGATAATAGAACTTACAGGAACTTTCTTCTGTGTAATAGCCACAACACAGTCTGGACCCTTCACTGCAACTGATGTCATGCCCCCTTGGTTGATTGCTTTGAAAGCATATTCTGGGGGGAAAAAGAAGATAAAAATTATAAAATTACAAGAAAAAAAAAAATGCTTGTAAGTAAGCAACCAGATGGCCTACGGCTTTAGGTCCTTTCCAAGGGACCTGGTAATGAGGATTAATGCCTTACCAAAGGGCACTAGCACATCGCCTTGCTTTTGAACCCGGGTCACAGGATTATGAGACCACTGCTCTACCGACTGAGGTATCATGCCTCCTATTAAGCTTTTGTTGTTGTTGTTGCATATACCTGAACAAAAGGCCTTGCCATAACAAAATAAAATACACTCAAAGATTAAATTCTGAATGTTCACTTTATACTATAATCCAAAACTTTTACTCAGCATTATCATTACTTTTATTATGTATGTTAAGCTTCAGACTACTCAGAGAGATAACATGATTTGACATTTGTACAAATGTTGTACAATTGTACAAATTTGCCCAAATGCCCATCTAAAGGACCAACGGGGGTTGTGATAAGCCTTATGATATGTGGGGACATCGTGAACAAATGAATAAGAAAGAATTATTTTTTTGGAGAAATTTATTATTTGGCTCAGAGTGATGATTTACTATATTTTACAAAATATGCAGCAACTTCCCTCCAAAGGACAAACGTTGGGAGGTTCTATGTGAGGAAATAAAAGCGATCAAAAATTGACACATTTTTGGTCAAGAGGCTGAACCTGACCCCTGGCCGTTTGGGCCAAAAAGTGATGATTTTCAATTAGTGCTGTAGTCAAACGTTTAACCGTCCGGTATCCGACCGCCCATGGTGGATTCCATTTTCAATTGGACGGTTTCGTTTTCCCGTTTTTTTTTTTTTTTTTAAAGTTTCGATTTATGCCCCTCCACCTGGCACTATGCCTGGCAATGTCTCCCAGCTCAGTAATCAGTGTGATGACTTACCACTTGGAAACTAGAACAACACTCCAATTTGTCTGTCATCTTGGTTTGAAAGTAATCTTTGTAATAGATCTCAATATATATTCATCCCAGCTAGGTCCTCTACTGTTTTTTATTTATTTTAATGATCTTACACATTATTCTAAAACGACATTGTTACTATTATTTGTGACTAGTTCACAAGCGCAAATCGGCGCCTTCAGTTAAATCACCTTCCTGCTTTTTCACACGGCAAAATTTTTTATTTTTTTAAATAAATCGTTTAACCGAAAACCGTTCGGTTTTGACAGGCGGTTAAACGGAATTGGAGATATCCGTGATGTTACAGCAATATTTTCAATATTGCCCATACGCCCTTTAAGTTTGAAGGACGACCGGGGTTGATATGTTGGGACATTTATTGTGAGCAAATGAGCAAAAAAAGAATTCCCGTTTTGTAATTTCCTTTCTTGTTCGAAAAAAGAAAATATATTTTGATGTCAATGTGGTCCAGCAATTTCTGAAATTGCTGAATGAGTTGTCTAATTTGAGGTTCCTCAACAGAAAATTAGTGTAATTCTGCTTCCGAAATTCACATGAAAATATTGCTTTCATTGCAAATTGGTACTATTAGTCTGGAAGTTGGGTAAACTGGCGCGAAAAGGTCTAAGACGCAAGTAAAATGGTCCTCTTCATCGCCCGGGCGCGCCTTAGGGTTGAAGCAGGATGTAACGTCCCCTTGAGCCTATAGAAACAGGTACAGCGATGCCTCTCATAGTCATAGGCATAGTAGTATTAAATCCCATTCCCAAGTCCAGTATCAACTAGATGGTAGACCTCTAAAGCTCTAGATCTAGGCCTAATCCACTCCAGCAAAGCATAGAGTCAATGCTAATGTGTATTGACCTCTAGCACTGCACTACGTGTTAATACTAGAACAGCATTTGAATACATGAATAGTCAATAACTCATAACACACAGATGCACACAATCATGCCGATGCGGCTGATCCGAGTGATCGGCAAGTTTGACAGTGGACTCACTCACAATTTGAATTTTTAAATTATTCTTTCTAACATTGGAAAGTTGAACAAAATTGTATTTTACTGCTATTTAGCTTTGGTGAAATCAGTTGAGTTTTGTACAGTTGTGTTTTAAATGTTGAGAATCAATAGTACAGCTTTAGTTTTACTCTTTAGCAGCCAGGATAGTAATGCACGTCTGTCAGAGGTGCATTGTGTGGCCCAATCAAGTATCAACCTTCATCATAATTCATCATTCATGGCATCGCCTGAACGACTAGGCCTACACTGTTAATTGTTAAGTTACATACCGACTTGATACAGCCGTCCTTCGGGAGAGAAGACAGTTATGAAGTGGTCAAACCCAGCACTTGATCCTCGTGACATTGTGGAAACTAGTAAATCTAGACCAGTCTTTTGAGTGTGCCTGTACTCGACTCCGGGCAAGCTCAGCGCTAATGTAGCTAGGCCTAAATCGTTTACAATGCAAGTCATTGGCGGTGCACGCATAACGTATGGAGCGCCAAAGGGGCCAATATCAACAGTCACAAAAACAAACAAAGATGCATACAAACAAACAAAGAAGCATACAAACAAACAAAGGACAGAGCAAAATAGACAAAGTACCCAGAAGAAAGGACCAATTAACAAAGAATAAATCAAAGGTCAGAGCAAAATAGACAAAGTACAGGTCAGAAGAAACAGAGGGCGTTTTGGTTTACGGTAAGCAAATAGACATCAGGCACGAAAACGAGAAAGGACAAACTCAAAAGGACATCACCTCAGCTACGAAGTGACCCTCAAAGGACAACAGAGGGCGTTTTGGTTTACGGTAAGCAAATAGACATCAAGCACGAAAACGAGAAAGGACAAACTCAAAAGGACATCAGCTCAGCTACGAAGTAACCATCAAAGGACAACAGAGGGCGTTTTGGTTTACGGTAAGCAAATAGACATCAAGCACGAAAACGAGAAAGGACAAACTCAAAAGGACATCAGCTCAGCTACGAAGTGACCCTCAAAGGACAACAGAGGGCGTTTTGGTTTACGGTAAGCAAATAGACATCAAGCACGAAAACGAGAAAGGACAAACTCAAAAGGACATCAGCTCAGCTACGAAGTGACCCTCAAAGGACAACAGAGGGCGTCCTCGAGGTTTTTTTCTTTTTAATCTAGGGCCTACTCCAATATAATACGCTGTAGGTCAATACAACAAATATGGGCTTTCATCGAAAGGGTGCGGTGCGGTGCGGCGCGGTGTGGTGTGCTCAACGCACCCATTCGATAAAAGAGGGGGGGCCTTTTCTCGAAAGGGTGCGTTGAGAGCGGAGTACCATTTTAACACACCCTTTCGATGAAAGCGGGGGGGGGGGGAGGGGGGGGGGGGGGGGGCTTTTCTCGAAAGGGTGCGTCGACTAGTCTTTCGCATCAGTCGTTTAAAATGAGGATCTCGGACAGAAGGTAATAGTTGCCAATTTAAGTATATCGAAAATGTATTAAGTGAAATGGAATGGTCTTGATTACAGAGTGGTCTCTTTGATGGGGGAGACAGAGAGAAGGAAAAAAGGGAAAGGGAAGATAAAAGGAAAGAAAGAAGAGGAAGAAGAAGAAGAAAAGAGGGAAACGGGGGCGAAAGGCTCTTGCCTCCCCCCCCCCCCCCCCCGCCAAAAAATAAATAAGAGAGAAAGAGAGAAGGGAAAGGGAAAGGGAAAGAGAATAAAAAAGGAAAGGAAGAAGAATATGAAGAAAAGAGGGGCTCTTGCCTCCTCCTCCTCCCCCCGCCAAAAGATAAGTAAGAGAGAGAAGGGAAAGGGAAAGGGAAAGAGAAGATAAAAGGAAAGAAAGAAGAGGAAAAAGAAGGAAACGGAGGCGAAGGGCTCTTGCCTCCTAGCCCTTCTTCCCCTCCTCCCCCCCCCCGCCAAAAAAAAATAAATAAGAGAGAGAGAGAAGGGAAAGGGAAAGAGAAGATAAAAGGAAAGAAAGAAGAGGAAGAAGAAGAAAAGAGGGTAACGGGGGCAAAGGGCTCTTGCCTCCTTTCTTTCCTATTCTCCCGCTTTTTTGTTTTTCTCTTTCTTTCTTTTCTTTCTTTTCTTTCTTCTCTTTTCTTTCCTTTCTTTTCTTTTTTTCTTTTCTTTTTCTTTTTTTCTTTTCTTTCCCTTTTACTCTCTTTTTCCCCCTCCCCCTTTTCTCTTTTTCCCGACGGCAGCGCAATTTTACCGACAATATCCTGACAGGTGGGGGGGGGGTGTCGCACCCCCACACCCCCTTTGGAGACGCCCCTGCCTTCGCCACTGTTGGCGACCACAAGGCTATCAATACAAATTAAGACATATTAATGAAGATTCTTTTTTAATGTTGCAGAGAGATAAGTATTTTCTCTATGAACTTGTTTAATGGAAAATAAATAATATTAAAAACATGAATACTATAGCGGTATAATGATGAGAGAGATGATTTAAGTCATACTTTTTTTCAATGTGATTGGAGTGGACTTGAGGGTGGGGGGGGGGGGTCCTCCTAAGATCTCGGCCGTTTCACAGCCGATCGCCGCGAAAATGCATATTTATGGTAATTTATGCAAACAAGGTCAGAGAATTCACATTTTTACCCATAAATCATATATAATTCATATTCGAGCGTTCTTTTTCACTTCATATATTCGTTAGAATAATAATACGACAACAAAGTTGGAAGAGCCAGTTTATCCCTATGTTATCTCTTGTTTTGATTATTTGTATTTATGTATTATATTATTTTGTTATTTCATTTCATTTCTAACCACAATTCAACTATTTTTACCCAAAATCAAACAAATTTACTTGAAACAAGACCAAATAACCAATGTTTTCTCTTTTTTTAAAAGAATAAATGGTATTTCCATATGTTTGGTACATAAATCACAAAAATGAGCGATTTTAGATTTTTTTGACATGCAAAAACAAAAGGTCACGTGACTCCGCAATTATACGTCCGATTTTCAACAAAAAAATGTTTCAAAAGATGCGTAAAACTCGAAAGAAAAAAGTCATGAAAGAAAAACTGCCGCGGTTCCGGAGTAGTCGCGAAATTACTAGAAAGCACTAATCTTTTTTGGGGCCCTCAAAAATTTGAAAAATCGTACCCCCCCCCCCCCCTTGAACGCCAGGGGGGGGGGTATCTCCCAAAAACGGTAAAAATTAACGTGTTTTTTTTACACGTTTTTTTCACAGGGCGGAGCCCTCAGAAGCTCAGGGGTATTAAACATCAAAATTAACGTCGGATGAGCATAATTTTATACCTTATTTGTGACAGTGGCAGGACACAATTTGGTGTTGGGTCCAGGGGGCGGAGCCCCCAGAAGCTCAGGAGTTTTGTCCATTAAATAATTATTATTTTATACCTTATTTGTGACACAGGGGTCACGAATTGGCGTGGGGTCCAGGGGGTGGAGCACCCAGAAGCTCAGGGGTTTTGGGCAATAAATAACGGTCAGATGAGCATATTTTTATATCTATTTGTGACACTGGAAGGACACAAATTGGTGTTGGATCCAAGGGGCGGAGCCCCAAGAAGGTGAGGGGTTTTATACATCAAATTATCGTCAGATGAGCATATTTATATATCTATTTGTGACACTGGCAGAACACAAATTCTTCTTCCTCTTCCTCTTCTTTCTTTCCTTTTATCTTCTCTTTCCCTCTCCTTCTCCAACATAAGATGCAAGACGGATATATATCGACTCACCTTCTTTCCAAGAACCATAAGGGCCTGGAATTTACTTCCCCCCCCCCAGCATCTTTGCCTGCGACGCAGTCGAAACCTTCAAAGCCGGACTCTTATGGGAAGCCATCCAAGGGGGTAATATAATCATAGTCCCTCCCCACAACTGCAATGTGATGGGACTTAATTCTAAAATGTTCTAGAAGCAACAAACACTCTCTCTCGAACGATAACGTTCTTATTGGTCATCTTTATATCCCTCTTGAGGATCAGGACCAGGATCAGAACAGATTCTCTCTCTCTCTCTTATTTATTTTTTGGCGGGGGGGGGGGGAGGGAGGAGGCAAGAGCACTTCGCCCCTGTTTCCCTCTTTTCTTATTCTTTTTCCTCTTCTTTCTTTCCTTTTATATTTTCTTTCCCTTTCCCTTCACTCTCTTTCTCTCTCTTATTTATTTTGTTGGCAGGGGGGGGGGGCAAGAGCCCTTCGCCCTTCCCCCGTTTCCCTCTTTCCTTCTTATTCCTCTTCTTACTTTCCTCTTATATTTTCTTTCCCTCTCCCTTCTCTCTCTCTTATTTATTTTTGGCGGGGGGGGGGAGGGCAAGAGCCCTTCGCCCCCGTTTCCCTCTTTTCTTCTTCTTCTTCCTCTTCTTTCTTTCCTTTTATCTCCTCTTTCCCTTTCCCTTCTCTCTCTCTCTTATTTATTTTGTTGGCAAGAGCCCTTCGCCCCCTTTCCCTCTTTTCTTCTTATGCTTCTTTCTTTCCTTTTATCTTCTCTTTCCTTTTCCCTTTCCCTTCTCTCTCTCTCCTATTTATTTGTTGGCGGGGGGGGGGGGGAGAGGCAAAAGCCCTTTGCCCCCGTTTACCTCTTTTCTTCTTCTTCTTCTTCTTTCTTTCCTTTTATCATCTTTCCCTTTCCCTTCTCTTTCTCTCTCTCTCTGATTTATTTTTTGGCGGGGGGGGGGGGGGCAAGAGTCCTTCGCCCCCACCTTATTCCCTCTTCTCTTCTTATTCTTCTTTCTTTCCTTTTATCTTCCCTTTCCCTTTTTTCCTTCTCTCTGTCTCCCCCATCAAAGAGACCACTCTGTAATCAAGACCATTCCATTTCACTTAATACATTTTCGATATACTTAAATTGGCAACTATTACCTTCTGTCCGAGATCCTCATTTTAAACGACTGATGCGAAAGACTAGTCGACGCACCCTTTCGAGAAAAGCCCCCCCCCCCCCCCCCCCCCCCCGCTTTCATCGAAAGGGTGTGTTAAAATGGTACTCCGCTCTCAACGCACCCTTTCGAGAAAAGGCCCCCCCTCTTTTATCGAATGGGTGCGTTGAGCACACCACACCGCGCCGCACCGCACCGCACCCTTTCGATGAAAGCCCATATTTGTTGTATTGACCTACAGCGTATTATATTGGAGTAGGCCCTAGATTAAAAAGAAAAAAACCTCGAGGACGCCCTCTGTTGTCCTTTGAGGGTCACTTCGTAGCTGAGCTGATGTCCTTTTGAGTTTGTCCTTTCTCGTTTTCGTGCTTGATGTCTATTTGCTTACCGTAAACCAAAACGCCCTCTGTTGTCCTTTGAGGGTCACTTCGTAGCTGAGGTGATGTCCTTTTGAGTTTGTCCTTTCTCGTTTTCGTGCCTGATGTCTATTTGCTTACCGTAAACCAAAACGCCCTCTGTTTCTTCTGACCTGTACTTTGTCTATTTTGCTCTGACCTTTGATTTATTCTTTGTTAATTGGTCCTTTCTTCTGGGTACTTTGTCTA